TCAATTCACTCCGACATCACTAATTCACTTTTTTTTTTTTAATTGGTGCCAAGTATAATATCAGACTGTTTGGCCCGCTGCGGGCGTAATTTAACTCCAAAAAAGGTGAAACTTGCGGTTTTTAAAATCCCATTCTGTGACGTTTCAAATGGTATGGGTCTTGTCAATTCACTCCGACATCACTAATTCACTTTTTTTTTAAATTGGTGCCAAGTATAATATCAGACTGTTTGGCCCGCTGCGGGCGTAATTTAACTCCAAAAAAGGTGAAACTTGCGGTTTTTAAAATCTCATTCTGTGACGTTTCGAATGGTATGGGTCTTGTCAATTCACTCCGACATCACTAATTCACTTTTTTTTAAATTGGTGCCAAGTGTAATATCAGACTGTTTGGTCCGCTGCGGGCGTAATTTAACTCCAAAAAAGGTGAAACTTGCGGTTTTTAAAATCTCATTCTGTGACGTTTCGAATGGTATGGGTCTTGTCAATTCACTCCGACATCACTAATTCACTTTTTTTTAAATTGGTGCCAAGTGTAATATCAGACTGTTTGGCCCGCTGCGGGCGTAATTTAACTCCAAAAAAGGTGAAACTTGCGGTTTTTAAAATCCCATTCTGTGACGTTTCAAATGGTATGGGTCTTATCAATTCACTCCGACATCACTAATTCACTTTTTTTTAAATTGGTGCCAAGTGTAATATCAGACTGTTTGGCCCGCTGCGGGCGTAATTTAACTCCAAAAAAGGTGAAACTTGCGGTTTTTAAAATCTCATTCTGTGACGTTTCGAATGGTATGGGTCTTGTCAATTCACTCCGACATCACTAATTCACTTTTTTTTTAAATTGGTGCCAAGTATAATATCAGACTGTTTGGCCCGCTGCGGGCGTAACTTGACTCCAAAAAAGGTGATACTTGCGGTTTTTAAAATCTCATTCTGTGACGTTTCGAATGGTGTGGGTCTTGTCAATTCAGAAAAAATGGAAGTCATTTTCGAAATCCTTGCAATTGGTTACGATTTACTACCCACTGTTTCCCGGTTGGGACTGATGCGTCAAGTTGACGACATTACAACCCTCATATTTAGCTAGCTAAATACATATAATAAACATTTAACAAAACACAAAGTGGGCTCTGTAAAATAGCATTTTTAAAATAACATAGGAGATAAAGGCTTTATTGTTCACAGTGCATTTAGTATACCACGACTCTAATTAGATGAACAGAGTAAGAGGTTTCTGAGGCCTTCTTGGTTCAAATCGACCTCGTCCAATATCAATTTGAGCCGCCAAATTACGATGCACTTCCGGAATGACATTGGTCAATGCATCCAACAGCATGTCGACCACTTTCTGTTTGTTTCGGTTTACCGTACACAATATGAAATACAACTTGTCCTTGGTCTGCTGTTCGATGATGGACTTGAATTCCTCCATTTCACGCATTTTCAGTTCTGTTTTTTCTTCAAATTTTCCTTGGCATAACTAAAATTGGTCAACGATTTGTACCTTTTTCATCTTACCTCTTTGAAAACACGGATCTCTTCCATCGCTTGATGTCTTGCAAGTGTGGCCTTCTCCCTCTTCCGTTGTCTAGCTTCTTCTATCAATTTCTGTGACTTCTTCTCGGTATTGAGCAGTATGTCCAATACATTAATGTTCTCCCTTTTATTCGACATCCTCTCACCAACTTCTTCTTGTTCAGAGGACGCTCCCAACCGCTTCTTGGATCCACACATCGGAAAATGGTGTCCGGCAATAAATTCCCTTCCAAAACCAATCTTCATTTATGAACATTTTTCAAACTTCCACAAGGAACTCGGATCTACTTTCTCAAAATCTGTGTTACGCTTCAATGTTTATCCTAAATCGTACATATTCTTATTCTCTGGGAAACTCTGAACATTTTGCACCAAAAAAATGGAATTACGATTTTTCGTAACCCGCTACTGCCGTAAAATACCCCGCGGGGCCCCGTAAAGGTCGGAAAGACTCGGGGTTTCGTTTCTTCGCGCTGTCTGCACATAGTCACCTTGTATATTTTCTGCCAAATTCGGGGCCAGCGAAGCTTGCCCAAGAGATCAGATTGCTTTTAAAAAATTTGGCATTCATGCTTGCAACATTGTTTACTCCGGTTATGATTATAAGTACCGCTATTGGTACATATAAGTAAAGCAGTACGGATAAGGAAATCCGAGTTCACTGTGTCGTGTATTATCTTTGCATTTTAAGACATTTAGTGCCAACATCTATTAGAATTCCAAATTTTGGATTATCCAATAATAACGTCACGAAATGTCAACAGAACCCGGTTACGGAAAAAATAAAATATAAGTTTTTTATATTGATTCATAAAGATCATTGATGGCAGACGACTACCTACCTGCTGAAAAACGAATTCATTACTCGAACAATGCAGGAAGTTCACATTCGGTAAGACCCTTCCAAAAAAATTTATTTCTTCAGGGAAACCCTTACTTACCTACAGACACTCAACCTCCTGAGCTGGCACAAGAACAACGTGGTATGGAACGATTCCATTACTTTGAAGAAAAGTTTAACTTATAAATTTAGCCCCATCTGGCCATGTTGCAGCAGGTAAAACGTTGGCAGACTTCTTGACCGATGTCAAGGCGATCACACCGGTTATTCCCGACAGTGTAGCCCAATATTACATGAAGAAGAATGGCTTAAACAATGAGGATCCTCGAATTATTCGTCTTATTTCTATTGCTACACAAAAATTTATATCAGACATTGCTTTAGATACTATGCAATCAGTAAGTTGTGAAGCTTTTGTTTCATTACAAATTTAGGCACGAATGCAAGGATTGGGCCAGCTGAAAAAAGGAAACAGAGACGCAAGATTTGTAATTAATACTGAGCTACTAGAACCTGTACTCGAAGAGTACGGTATTCCCTTTGATAGGCCTAACTTTTATCATTGAGTTATTAATAAATTATGAGTTCATCGAGACCACACTACCTAATTGTTTGTGGTAAAAGCCCTGTACCTATAGTTGACATTTTAATATGGTTAGGATGAGGTCTTTAGGCTTTAGATATGCTCAGGGTCGGCTTCCCGGCGATTCTTTTCTGGTGGATCCGCATTTGGACTTTAGGACCGTTTTGTCCAAACAAGGCTTTGAGAAAAACTTGCTTAAGCGAGGATACTTGGGATCGTTTGATTCGCTGAAACAGAATTATAACAGATGGTGGAACGCGTTTGTGGAATACTCTCAAAATGAAACGGTAGGTTTCTGTTTCCAGTCATTGTTGAGCATTTAGGTTGAACGGAAGCGTTTTTTGAAAGAGCAGTGGCATGGGTTGCAATCTGTTCTGCAATTGCCGAATACTCTTAAAAACATCGATTATCTAACTGACAGAAGAATATCAGATGGGAATGCGATCGTGAAGACCCTCGATCCACGTACTCCATTTATAGCGGAAGTGGCTTTGAACACGTTTTTGGATGGAATAGCAGGAAGTGTAAGGCTAGCAACTCCTTCTATCGTGAGGAAAGCTGTTTTGGAAGGCTGCCATGTGGACTTGAATTCATTTCCTCGAATCCATGACAGTGATCCGGAATGTTTTGTCGTTGGTATGTCTTTCCGAGCCATGTTTATATTTATAACATTTTTGAATTTAGGTACCTCTCTGCCTTCACAAGTATCCGTTCTGATTGATAAAGAATTTGCAAATAAGAATAATTTCCCGATTTCCTTTGTTTCTCTCGGGAAGGGATATCAAATTATAAACAACAGAATGGAAGAACTGAACCAAGTGTCCTTATTGAGAGTTGGAAGATCCATTTCATGTCCGATTGATGGGTTTATGGATTTGTTGAATCATGTATTCGGGCTGATCTCTTCGTTTCTTCCCAACGCTAGTATTAGAATCGTTCTTCCGACCGATTTGCTAAATTACGAAGATGCAGCCATCACAATTATTGCCAATGACATCACTGTAGCACGAGTCTCATCCATTGGGCAATTTATCAGTAGACGTCTTAAAATTGTCGACACGGATTCCTTTGTAAACCTTGCTCATGGTACCGTTTACTGCAGTTTTCTAAATAAATTTTAATCACTGAAGTCATTCTTATCTTTTCCTGTTTTTACCAATCGATACCTTTAACGCTTTTAAATACTGAATGCAACATTTATTTAGATGATCATGGAGAAGATCCAGAGTTGGTTGATACGACACAGGGATCAGACCAATGTCACGTACTCTCGTTTTGGCCGAGGAGGTAAGTCGCCGATTTCCTGTTCTTTATTTTAGATGGGGAAGCGGACGATCGCCCGTTGCCGACCAAGATCATTGTAGCTCCGTTCGATGAAAACGCCCCCGAATTTATGTTTGTCCAGTACTGGCATGTGCAGAAGGTGGCTGTGGTATGTCTAAAGCTAAACAACAACGTTTTTATAATTTAGTTTAATTCTTGCTTTGGTCTGGCCATGGTTGTTCTTTTTTTCGTATCGAGTTTCTTTGAATTCAACTGGTATCACCACAGAAGAGGAGTTGATATTTCGGCTCTTCTGGGACTATTTGTTTACTTGGGGCTTGGAGTTATGATCCATTACTACGTTTTATGCGGCATCAAAAAGCAGGAGCCATCTTATCTACTGCCCTTTATCGTTGTATATTCGGTAGTGTGTACAGGAGAAATTGTGACATTGTTTGCCTTGCTGTAAGTGCTATGTTTATAACTATATACGAAAGTTTAGATTCAAATCGTTGGAGCCTCCTGATGCTACGCAGCCTCCTTTCTTCACGATGTTTATTCTGGTCCTCATTTTTGCAGTTGTCCAAGGAGTGATGCTATACGTCGTCGTTCAATGCAGAAAGTATTTGTCAATGAAAAAAATGCATGAATTTGAGATGAAAGTGGCAGAACGAAGCGTAAGTTTAAATTTCCAGTCTTGGCGTAACGAAATTAATGCGCGTCTTGACCAATCATTCCCACATTCAGAAAACCAGTAATCCCTCAATTATCATCGAGTTCGCTGCCGAAAATGATGCTGGTATTGAAAATCCCAACAGTGAATCTCAACCTCCAGACTCCATCATCGGCATTACGTCCCATGGCTTAGTATAGTTTAACTTCTACTTAATGCACACATCTACAAGTACTAGTTCAGCGAAAAAGTCCGCGGAATGGACTTTGCACCCCCGCACGGTGCAATTAAAATCATCACAGTGCATACAAGAGGGGTTCCGAGTAAATTCAAAATTTTTTCGCCCATGGCGCGTCGTCAAAAGTTTCTTGAAACGCCCTATACAAGGCCCACAATAGGCAAAAACAGCGAGGTGCGAATAATTCTTTCCACTATACCGTTCAGAACAAGTTTTATCCTGTCTTGGGCTCTCCACATTGCAGGGTAAGAAATTCTATGTGGGCGAAACTCGTGGTCGAGAGTCATGGGCGAAAAAAATTTTGAATTTACCGAACCCCGCGACAGACTCCGCGCGGTGTATTTTGACTTTGCACAGTGCAACCCGGAATTCTGTTGCACTTTCGATTTTCAATTGAGCGAACTTGGGACTCTCGCGTCCGAAATCGCTGGGGTTTGAATGTGATTGCACAGTGCTGTTCAACATTGAACAAGAAAGTGCGTGCGTTGGAAAGAGACAGCAGACATTTTAGTTCGCACGGTGCAAGGGATCAGAAAAAGCTTGGCGGTCGCACAGTGCAGCCCTGAAATTTATTTCGGTTTGCACTGTGCCGTCTTTCGGAAATTAAGCTTTTAATGTGAAGTCTTGAATCAATGATGTTAAATTTACATTTCAAAGATTCAAAATATATTCATGTCAACGAAGTTGCCAAAATCTTTTTGGATCAAGGTAAGACTTTTTTTAGCAAAAAATAGCACTCAAAAAGGTACCCTATAGACCCAAAAGAACGGGAATTTATTGCACTGCCCCCAATTCCGTCCTGTCACCCTGTACTTTGCACTGTGCGGGCCAAAAATTGCACAGTCCCTGTGCGATTGGCGTAGGGCAGCCATCCCGCGGACCTTTTTGCAGAACTAGTATTGCTGTACGCGGCATAATATTATTAAAAATTTGCAATATTGTCCATAATACATTTATTATTTTTTCATATCATTTCCGATAACTAGAATAAATGAAAAGGAAGATCACCGAACGAACTTTATCGATGGGCGTTAAATAAAAAATTCAAGCATTAATAAAGTTTTCCACACAAGCTTTGAGATCTCCCCGTGCTTCGATCAGAATCTTTTCGGCGTAGGGTCTTTTCAATTCAAATTCCTTGACCAATAAGGCAATATCTTCAGCATGGAGAGACACTACATTTGGGGTTTGAGCCTTAAGGTGATCAACATTCTCGGTTCCCATTTCATCCTTCTCTTCTTCGTAGTTGGTTACTCTCTCCAGATCAGCAGCTCCCCAGTCATGTTTGTCCACGGCTTTCTCCTCAATACCATCTTCCCCATTATCAGCCATCTTAAATTCACATGTATATGATCACCAAGGAAAGAAGGGAAAAAATCAGAAGAAACGAAAGCAAGCTGTAAATAGCTACGGGTGAAAAATAAAAATTAGACCCAACTATTTTAATGTCCATAGCCGAGTGGCCACCGGGCAAGTTCGGTCTAAATAGAAGAAAACCCACCGTTATATTATATAGACAAACTGTCAGCATTAATTGATTTTTATGACCATTTTTAAACGTAAAAGTACTTTGAAAATTACCACAAATACCCGGCTTCGCGGTACATCCCCCGTTTGAACCCTAAACAAAGGTACTCGGCGAACTACGCCAAAGCTTGGGAGCTAAAGTTAGGAAACAAGGCTTCGACCTGGCTGGGACTGAATTACTATAATACCTCTATAGTTTTAAGGGTACCTACGAAGGCTATGACGACTCATTTAGTTCTATACAGAAAAAGTTTAGTTCCGGACAGGTTTCATCGTATAAAGTGTAAAATCGCAGGCTGCAGCCGTTTTTGAAGGGTAAGGTGGGGCTTCGTGGAAATTGGACAGGGTGAAATTGGACAGAGTGAAACTCGACAGATTTTTTTTCACTGCAAAAAATAATCCGGGCATTGACAACGATGAATTGAGTCTGCACGCCAAATTTGGGCTAATTCTGACCAGTTTCCGCAAAGTTATAAGTTGTGGCCAGAATAAGAAACTTTTTCCCAGAAATATTTCTGAAAAAATGTCTCCCGCACGCAATTTTTTCTGCTAATTTTGATTTGTCCCACCACGGTCAAATCTATCAATGCCAAAAAGTTTTGGCATTGTGCAAAAATCAGAAAGTTCATTTTTTATCCAAAACACAACAATTTATCCCAATCGAAAAGCGCTTTTTTAGCGACGCGTCGCCATTATTGATTGAAATTTTTGAACACTTCGTTATAAAAAGACTTATACATCCAGTTTAAAATTTGCTTGAAAATCGCATTCATACTATACATCAGCCGAGAAATCTGGCCCCAGACTTTTTGCCCATATGTATTTCCCCGGAAAAGAGGATTATAGAAAAAAACGCTATTTTCCACCAGAAAAGATATATTTTCTCCCACAAATCATAACGCAACACTTGATTTGCGATAAACAACAACAATAAACTGTTAACAATTCCAGAACATGCAAGCTGGTGATTCAAAACTGGATGAAGACTCTCCAAAAACAGTACCAGGGACCATACCGAAACATGACAAATCCCTTTATTCCGTGTGTTCATCTTCCGTCACACAAAGCAGAAGTTTCTGCATGGACTGAGTGAAGTAAACTAAAATAAATAATTGTAATTACGCAAATTAATGTAAGAGTTGAATGAAGAAGATGTCGTCTTACCCCATGGCGTGTATAAAACAGCCGGTTTGGCTTTAACTTGTACAAATGCCAGGTAAACTGGAACCCCGGAGCAGATGATGATGGCGGCAGCGATCAATTCAATCGGACTCCTAACAAATGGAGTGACCAAAATAAACAAGCAGATAGCCAAGAAAGAGAGTGGCACCAACAGATTGAACTTAATAGGACGGGGAATCTCGGGAGAACAGATTCTCAACTTAAGCAAAGCAGCCACAGACATGAACACCACCGCCGTTTCCGCGAAGGACAGATAATTGATCAAATCACGAAGCTCAGAGACGAAGATGTTCACCAAACTGAGTAAACATAGGGCGATCAAAGATGGAATAGGAGTCAGGAGTCTAACATGAATCATGGCCAAGAGTTCGGGGAGCTGGCCATCCCGTGCTCCGGCAAAAAACATCCGAGAAGAAGTAAAAATGATCCCGTTCACAGAGCCAATGCAACTGATAGCCACGAAGAAGGGCATCAACGGCGACAGAAACCCCATCACTCGATTGGCAAAAGTTACGGCTACCGCAGGCGACAACAGCACTTCCTGAGGCGTCAACGCAACAAAGTAGGCCATATTCACCAACAAGTAGATCACAGTTACCACGGGAATGGAGAGGTAAATAGCACGTGGAAGGTTTCTTGGATGATAGTTAAAACGCAGGGAATCGATGACTTACTTGTTTGGTTCCTTTATTTCTTCAGTCACAAAGTTGAGGTAATTGTATCCAGAAAAGCTGAATACTCCCTGATAAAAGGCCAAAGCCAATGAAACAATGCTCATATTACTTCCAGAGTTCAACGATTCCCAGTTAAAGTTATTGGATGAACCTAGGATACCTCGAATAGGAACCAAACAACACTTACCAGTTAAGAAATGATAGACACCAGCAAAAACAATTAGCAAAAGTGCAGCCACTTTAGTAACACTGGATATATCTTGAGTCTTGGTAGACCACCGTACATTGTAACAATTGATGAAAGTCAAGAAAACTAAAAACAACATTGCTTTTAAGAGGAAGCACACTTACTTATCATAACAGCAGATAATAAAATAATCGGAGTTTGAGGTATAGTACAATCCAGGTAGAAAGGCTGTAAAGAATACGTTGAAAACGTCAAAGCCATGATTGCAATGGAAGATGGATTCACAATAATCAATGCCATCCACAGAAAAATGAATGCTGGGACTTTGCCAAAAGCTTCGTGGATATAGGTATAATCCCCTCCACTTTTCGGGATGGTGGTTCCTAATTCTGCATAACAGAGGGCACCAAGTAAGGAGAATATTCCGCAAAACATCCATACCACCAACGACAAGAACGCACTTCCGGTTTGTTCAATAACACCTAAATTCAGGTAATTAATAAATCAAATCCCCACCTCGAGGACTGACAAAAATGCCGGAGCCCACAATTACTCCCACAATAATCGCGCATCCATTGAACAGCGAGATCCTCTGTTTCAGTTGTATCTTGGTTTCCTCGCCTTCCTCTAGTAATGCCGCTTCGTGATGAAGATCATTTTCTCGATTGTCCTTTTCCATAGAATCGTCATCAGCCATCTGAAAACAAAGAAAAAGCGTTTTTTTTAAAACGGAAAAAAATAAAGCTGGCTTGGAGCCAAAACTATAATAAAAAGCAAACCGAGTAGAAACACTTGGCCAGGGCTTTTCTTCTTTTTCTCGGAGAAGGCAGATGCTGATGCAATACGGATAAAACAGGACATCCCGTGTTACGTTTTCTAACAAGGGAATGCACTTTAGGTGTAAATCGCTTTTTGAACCGGAGGTAGTGCAAATTGATCGGCATATTAATCTTCAGTTTTTAATAAACATATTTGCCAAGTGTTGTTGGATTAGAACAAAATTCTCATAAATTGCTAGCCAAAGACTAATCCAATATTTGGGGCTTTGGTAGTTCAGCCCCCCAGGAAAGAACTGGACTGGGGGGTTGTACTACCTTAGCCCCCAATATTTTTGATGACTTTCGAATAAATGAATGGAAAGCAGCTTAGAAGGGAATGCATTTAGGTGTAAATCGCTTTTTGAACCGGAGGAATTGCAAATTGATCGGGTAGGACTCAGTATCATCCCCAAAAATCTCTGCACGGCCCCTGAAGACAGAGATATGAGCCGTCAAAGTTAGGTCAAAAGAGATCGCCAAAAAGACCTCTGAAGGGGAAAGAAAATGTGAATCGGTGGCCGAGTGGACGACGGCAATACCCGGGCCTGAGTACGATATCTGTGGATTAAATTTTTTTCTACAGTAAGAATAAAACAAAAATAAATTTTTGTATTTTAGAGTATTCGCAGAGATTTCACCCTTTGTGGATGATTCTGAGTCCTACCCGATCAATTTGCAATACCTCCGGTTCAAAAAGCGATTTACACCTAATTCATTCCCTTGTAAGCTGCTTTTCATTCATTTATTCGAAAGTCATCAAAAATATTGGATTAGTCTTTGGCTAGCAATTTATGAGAATTTTATTCTAATCCAACAACACTTGGCAAATATGTTTATTAAAAACTGCAGATTAATATGTAGGAATTCAATTTTAATTCATGCTTCTAGTAACCCGAAATGAGGGCCTTTCTGGATCGAGCTCTGAAATCAGTACGATTTATTTGCAAGAGGCCTGAATTCAGCCATCAGAATCCAATTATTTTCTCACCGTCCACGAATGAAATCACATGTCAAGTAAATAGTGACCACAACGCCGTATATGGCAAGCACAGCAGCAATATAGATAAAAGTGACGGCTTCTTTGCGTGCCCAACAAACTTCACTGCTCTTTAAATTTGGTTCCATAAATGCTGTAAATCGTACAATACGGAGTGGTCCAACATTATTTCAAGTATCTCTCTGCAAATACTGCGCCAATTTTGCGAAATATTGCGCAATGCAATGTTACGCAATTTGAGACAAGAATTGCGCATTTCTTGTCTAGAGGCCTAACAGACAAGAAATCGCGGTTTCACGCCACGACATCCAATTTGATGTGTATGTCACCATCCTTACATACTTGATTTTAGGTCAAAAATTTGTCAAAATTTTAAATTCAATTTTCAAAAATGTATAACAAATAGTGGTCCCGTCTTTTCTGCAAAACGCAAGCTAGGAGTAGGTCGCGAGTTTCGTTATGACACATCAACACGAACACTTTTTACCTTCATGCTACATTTGTACCTGAACAAAATTGCCGTTTTTGAAAAAGAAATGATGGGGGTTTGTTCGTATGTACCACCTCTTTGATGTGAGTTCCCCGGGTGTGAGCCGGAAAAAATCAGAGGAATAAACCTAAAGTAATTTGAAGCCGTAGATCTCCGTGGCCAAATTCCGTGAGCAATTTTGACATGTAACTTTGGCCATGGATAGTTGCTACAAGTCCCTTGTTGTTAAAAATTTTTGAAATGATTTTCAATTGAGTTTCTAGGTTTTGGAATTTTTTTTAGTTTTGGGCTTTCACCGGACTCTGGGGAAAAATTGAAGTTAAAACGTCGGTGAGTACGGGGCTCTCTGTAAACGTAGAGCCGCCATATTTAGTGGAAAAAAGGGTGTCTCAGCTTCAATTTGAAATAAATTTTATAGAAATTGGTGCAGTATTTGCGAAGAGATACTTGGAATAAGGTCCAAAGCCCCGAGTGGACCACCCTGTACATGTTATATCTCATCAAACTTACAATGAGTATAATTTCCAATCAAAATGGTTTCCGATCTGACATTCCGTACCCGTCCCTCATCTCTCCTTGGTCTTGTATTAGGTGTTGGAGATGATGGTTCTGTTTTTCTCTCTTTTTTTAATAGCTGTAAGCATTGTAACTATAACGGAGAGAGTATTGAATAGGAATGCAAAAAGCTATGAAATTTCCTGTAACGTTTTTCTAATCGATCTTACCAGGTACCCATCATTTGTTTGTTGGTGGGCTGCCTTAACTTCAGTGAATAGAAGCGGTTGATCTTTCCGCCTATCCCAACCAAGAGGCTGACCTTGTTGTACTTCTGGTAAGGGAAATGCTGGCTTAGACTCACTTGAAGGAGCCCTCGGAGTCCACACGGAAGGTGTTGTTGTCCGGAAAGGCTGGTCGAAGACTCCGTAGATCTGGGTTTCGTGGTGGCCATCTTCATTCTCGAGAATCATCGAGTTTGGATGGAATTCCGAAGGGTAGATCTTCGGACAATTCGGAGGCTGAACAAAAATTCAATATATAAAAATAAGTATTTTCATACTGTAACACCAACACAAGCATCGGCGGAACAAAATTCGAGCTGGCATTCAAATTTTATCAGATCATTGTCAGGAAACCTAAAAGCATCGAGGGCCACAAATGCCATGCTGGCCTCAGAACTGTAGGTAAGCTCGGTGAAATCCTCTGATATAGGGCACCTATAAATAACAAGATTAGTCTCGGTCAATAAAAGACGAACCCTCTTTCGTCGATGACTCGAGTTTCATCGCTACTGCCTTTGGCAATACAGTTCTTGACCAGGATCTTCTGATCTGCTAGAAATAAACACATGATTATTTATTTACTTAAGAAACTAACTATCTTTGCATTGCCATCGATGAACAATCGTCTCTCCAAGATTTATTTTCTGAACTAAGGGCCCTTCTAAAGTATTCGCCCTTAGGCTATAATCGCATTCATTTGGGGCGGTATCGTGCATCATTGGCTTCACTTCTAGATCTGTTACAGCCACACTTGAAGTCACATTCCTCGGCGAACGATCGAAATGGCATCCAATGTCATAAGCTTTGTCATACTTTGTAAGGAATTGGGAATGAAATTTAACAATGATGACCGTTGAGAAGGTCATGGAAGTATTAATTTCCTTTCGTTTGGCCATCCCACATGTTCCAAACGGGACGGTGAATGTAAGTTGGGACTGTGGGTTTCTGGCAAATTCAGCTCGACATTCCGGGAATTCGAAATGCCCCTTGACGTATATACTTCCTCTAAACAGACCATCATTTTATGTCGTTAGGCCTACCGAAATGGTTTGCTTGTAGACATTACAACCCTAAAGCCATCACGAGTACAAAATATTTCCGGTTCTCCTACAACGTCATTGTCAACATTAAGTGCGAACGTTTCCTAAACAAAACCCCATCAAGAAATAAAAGTTGGAAGTCTAAACAAGGCTAGAAATAATTACCCATATTATTGTCATCAGAAAGGGAACCGTAGACACCCTCATCCTGGCGATCGAAAACAAAAAATGACCCTTGGCCACATAAAAGCGCTTTGACAGACGGGAGACCAATTAACTGTTGTACAGGTGTCCGCAAAAGAAAAAGCCAAAATTACCTGTGCCAGATGGTCCAGATGGGAGCCTTGCTTCCGGTCCCACGGAATCCGGTTGGGAAAAGCCATACAGCTTATTTTCTTTAAAAAACAGTATTAAAACTGGCAAAGGAGACTGGTATATTTGCTTTATAAGACCTTTTATACATTTACAATCCTACAACGATCTAAAAAATCTCTGACACTTTTAACTCTTGGTTTCTAGAGCCGACTTGTAGAAGGACACAGTCTTTTCCTTCAGAAGTTCGGGAGCCTGGTTGAGGTATCCAAAAGCACAATTAATGTTTTTGTTCCACTTCGAGCCCATATCCGACTTGACTTCTTCACAAGAAGGCAGCTAAAATTAAGAAGAACAATTTTAACCTCTACGAGCTTTTCTACCTTCTCTTTGTAAACAACGGCGCCATTTAAAACGTCTTTCGTAAACGTTTGATATACCGCCTCACCCTCTGCCGGCTCCAAAGTCCAGACCTTCTGATCAATAGATACTTTCACGGCAACTACAACGGCTGCCAACTTGATACCGGACCTAAAACAAACCTTTATGCAACTCGAAACACAACAACTTACTTTGTTACCCAAGACACGAATCCCATTTCTCGAACTGATCACTTTAGAGCTTTTACCTTCTTGTTCCGGCCCTAAATGGTCGATTTTTGTATCACGCGTGCAGGGGAAATAAAAAAGTGAATTTTATGATTTTTGCACAACGCCAAAACTTTTGGCATGGGAAAAGCTGGTCGTGGTGGGACACACCCAAAACATCAAAGTGGAACGGTTGCCCGCTGACGACCCCTTTCCGTCAGTGCGACAGATTTTTTGAGCGCCACTATCGAATTTCGGTCTGAAACGAAATGTAAAAATCAAAGAGAATGATAGGGCTGAAAAAATATTGACGTAAAATGAGTTTTAATGGTCTAACCAAAATTTCTATGCATGTTTGTGACGTTCTTTGCCATAAAAAAATATTACAACCTGAGATTGAGAAATTCCAAGAAGGATTTGAGCGGAATGAGCGATTCCGAGAACTGGATGGACTTGTAAGGAGAAATCAAAGAGTAAGGTTTAAGTTTTATCATTTGTGTTTCTTAGATCGTGGAAGCTTTGGACGATTTTGAAAGAATAGATGTAAAGTGTTTCGAAAAAATTACCGACCAACTAAAAAAACTAAGGGAGATCTTGGATGACGTTGATTCAGTGAAATTTTCCAACGTGAGTTTTTTATATCACTTTCAGTTTATTATTTTAGGCTGATTTACGAGAAATGGATCTTGACGATATTTCCCAAATTAAATTTAAGAATCTGGCAGATAAGAAGTTTTCCGAGTCTCAGAAAGTGGAACATTTGGGTGTGATATTAGAGTCAAACTGATCTCGTTGTAATTTATATGATGTGTGCATAAACAGACGAATATTTAGATTTATTTTTTGGTGAATTGTTAGATGCCTCATACCTATGTAACTTGTCATCTTTGCGCTTACTAATACGATTTTAAGAGATGGCGAATAAGCGGTCATCGTTGAAGGCTTCCAGAAATGGAACTTCGACGGACAAGACAAAAAGATCAACTGTAGGTGCTCAGAAGGCCAGGTCAAACCATTCTCTTAATCCAGACCGGAAGGTGGAAAATGCTGGGGTTGGGACCAGAATGAGGTCCAAGGCGACAATTAATAGGTTGAGGATGTACAAGAACTTCAAAGCGATCAGGTATGCTGTGAAAATTTTTATTAAGTTTATCTTTAGGGATCCGAAAGGAAAGATTATAAAAGCGGCGCCTTTTCAAGGTTGGCTCAATTCCGGAACTGTGGCCAGAGTTGAACCGAGTCGTAAATGGTTTGGTACGTTATATATTGTCATAAATGGTCCGATATATTTAGGTAATACTAAGGTGATCGGACAAGAACAACTCCAAAAGTTTCAAGAGAACATGGGAAAAGTAATGAAAGATCCCTTCCAGGTTGTTATGAGGCAGACGAGACTACCTATTTCTTTGTTGCAAGAGAAGGCCAAGGTGAGCGTTGAACTGTATTTTTGAGGCATTGTTTAGCAACGACGAGTTCATGTTGTTGATACGGAAAGTTTTGAATACACTTTTGGAAAAAAAGCTCACAGAAAGCAGGCCAATGTGGGTGCCAAAGACCTGGACGACCTTGTTCGCGATGCGGAGACGAGGTCTGATGGATATAAGGTTGACGATGACAAGTCACTTTTGAGTAATCAGGAGCTGGATGATCGTCAAGTAAATCAGAATCCGCTGTTTCGAGCGGGTCAATCCAATCGAGTTTGGGGGGAACTTTACAAGGTTCTGGACTCTTCGGACATTGTTGTGGAGGTTATCGACGCTAGAGATCCCGAAGGAACTCGTTGCAAGCATGTCGAGGAATTCTTGAGGAAAGAAAAACCTCATAAACATCTAATTCTGGTATTGAATAAAGTGGATCTTGTTCCTACTTGGGTGACAGTAAGTTTATTCTCGCATTTTATTGTATTTTTAGAAAAAATGGGTCCATATTTTGTCCAAAGAACTGCCAACGATTGCTTTCCATGCGTCCATCCAACACAGCTTCGGCAAAGGGTCTCTGATAAATGTCCTAAGGCAATTCCGGCAATTGCACAAGGATAGACAACAGGTATTTTTAACAAGAACGTACTATTTTTATGTTTGTTTTTAGATCAGTGTGGGATTTGTCGGCTATCCAAATGTTGGAAAATCGTCGGTTGTAAATACCCTGAGAAAGAAGAAAGTATGTAAAGCTGCCCCTTTGGCCGGGGAGACGAAAGTTTGGCAATATGTAACGCTTATGAGGAAGATATTTCTGATCGATTGTCCAGGTGTTGTCTATCCTCAAGGAGACACGGAAACCCAAACCATTCTCAAAGGCGTGGTAAGTTGTAATTGTTTTAATCCACGATTTCTTGAGGTCCGTGTGGAAAACGTGTCTGATCCAGAGAATCATATCCAGGGAGTCCTGGACCGAGTCAAACCCGTGTATCTACGAAAACATTACAATTTGTACAAAGATGGAGCGGATGAACAATGGGATTCTGCTGAAGATTTCCTCACGCTGATTGCTATTAATTCGGGAAGGCTGTTAAAACATGGCGAGCCTGATTTGAATACTGTCGCGAAGATGGTTCTGAACGATTTCCAGCGTGGAAAACTTCCGTACTATGTGCTTCCACCAGGTCAGGAATCAGAGGAGGGTGGAGATGACGAGGTAAGCAATGCGCCTATTTTTAAAATAATGACTAGGCTCCGATTAACGAAGTGGAAGAGGACGAAAAAGAAGTCATTACTGATGCAGAATCCATGAAGGGGGATGATTCCGAACTGCCTGATAGTGAAGATTTAAAAGAGGAGGTCAAGGAGGAGGTGGAAGAGGAAGAAGAATTCACAGATCTCGAGAGTAATTGTTCCGGGCTCTCAGATCTGTCTGGGTTGTCTGATCTGGAAGAGGATCTGGTGTCAGAAGCCGAACAACCGATAGACGTGGAAGTAGGTTATCGAGTGCGAACTTAGACTGAACCCGACATCCCTCCACGAGGGAATCCTGACTGACTGAACCCCCAAAACAAAAACTTCGTAACCCCCGATGACGATATGGCGAAAGTAACAAAATCTGGCCAAATTCAATAAATATAGGCCGAAGTGCCAAAGATGACCAAATTATAAAAAATTGGCCAAATGGAAGAAATTTTATGAAAATGGAAAAAAAATTTACCAAAGTGAAAAAAATTGGTTAGTCTCGGGCTTAGGCTTAATTTAGGCTTACACGGAAGTACTCCAATTGCGACGCTTAGATTTTTGATGACACATGGCATAATTTTAGGTTAATTTTTTCTAAGATATATGCGAGAATCCGAGCTCGCGCTTTTCAAAAACGACCGAGATTTTTACGAAAATTTGAGACTTTTTGCCGAATTCTGGCACGAAAAGTTTCGTACCTATTTCTACCGTAAAGGGTGATATTTCCATAAAAAATCCTCTCGGCGGCAAAGATCGTTCAATATCTCGGTGGCGCTTGCAAAGCGCGAGCTAAAAATTTCAGGAATGATGTGTGGTCTATGCCCGATGTGTGTGAAAAATTTAAAGAAAATCTGAGTGTTGCACTTAGGGTACTTCCAAAAAAAAATTTTCAATTTGGCCACAGCTTAGTACATAGGCCAACGTTTGTTCAATTTGAGGGGTTCAGTCAGGCATTATAATAAATAGTAGCGCCATAAAGTCCTGACACATTTGCACGGTGCGTTTTTCTTTCGCGCGCGACAAACGTGTCAGGACTTTATGCCGCGACTCGTATCGAGTGCTCATCATAATGCCGGTTTTTAGAATAAGGATCAGAAAAGAGGACGTGGAAATCGAGCTGGGAAGAAGATACAGGAGAAAAGGAAGAGAATTGAGAAACTGAAGAAGAAGCAGCTCGTTACTTCAGTTGTAAATGACACCGGGGTAAGCCCTCAAAAGAAAATTTATTCGTATACGATTTCAGGACAGTAAAATTGTCGACTTTACTCGTGATCGGGTCAGGAATATGTGGTTCAAGAAACTTCAAAAGAGAAGAAAAGTGAAACATCAAGTGTAATCAAGCTCATCCGTGCTCTTTGTTAATTTTTGGCCAAACTAAACGTTGTTACAGAAATAAATCTTTGTTTTTGTTTTGCCACATAGTAACAGTAGTTGCAAAATACAACCGTTTCTCCATTCTCTTTTTGCGCTTCTAATGCGACTACAGCGAGATCCGAACAATGGCAACAAACAACCCCATTATTTGTAGTTACATTTCGAGGGACTAGGGTATTCCTTAGAAAGTACGTCTTGACTAGTTCTGTAAATGGCTTCATCACCATAAAAATATTAGCGAGGCAGTGTCCAAGAAGTTCCCGGTTGACATTGGCGTTGTTTAAACGGCCTAAAATTACATAAATATCTTGAATAGAGTGTTACTACTTACCTTGAAGAGCATTATTTTTGACCTCGGTGTTTATTCCCATAAAGCGTCGAACAAAGGTTGAGGATCCCCCTGATGACAAGAAAACCAAGTAGTTAACGAGTTGAAGGCACGCTGTTATTGTTAATATCCTCTCCACACTTGTGGTAATCTGAGGAGCATGCACATCCTCTTTGATAGCTGTTAACACCAAAGGAGCTAAATGCTCTAGCAAGTATAGAAACAGACGATTTCGGACAGTAAAATTACCGAAACGACAACCCAACAGTTGTTGACCAGGAGAGGAACCTTAAAAATTCAGGAAATTTGCCTTATTTTTACCTTTTACAACGAGCGGTACATAATACAAAAGAGGTACTGAACGTTTGATATACTTGTATACAGTAGTCCAAACCGGAGAGTCAGAAACATCGCTGAGATACAATTCCAAGTTCGTAATGATCACATTCAGGAAGTCGGTGTCCAAGGTCGACGCATCTAACTCGGTAACTCTGGACGCCATTCTTTTCACTTAAATACAGCAACATTTTTGTTCACAAAGGTAAAATCTCTGTCTAACTACGTTATCTGTATCTGGAGAAAATGGTCCCGCAGCGAGAACAAGAGGTGAAATAAATAATTTTTTATTTTTGCGTGTAACTTTGGACTGTTTCGCGAGTTCGTCTTATGATTTTACCTCATGTTCTTTGCATTATTCTCGCTGATTGAGTTCTTTGTTTTTATTCTCAACGGATTTGCCATCGTCAACAGGGAGCGTGTCTTAAATAAGGTATTTATCAATTTATCGTATTGACCTCTTGTTGTTTTAGTATCTAAAATCCCGCGAGCATTCATTTGACAGTCAGAGTCAAGACTCCGCGGTGTTTCGGCTGGTCCAGTTGATTATTTCCATTCAAACAGTTCTTCGAGGTAAGATTTCTTTATTTCAGACTTCTAAAATAAAAATTAATTTTAGTTCCGTTAATCTTCTTGAATTCACTTATTATTGTTGTGAGACTTGTGGTTGGGTAAAGAGATGGCAGATGCTACGTTCAACGAAGTCACTGGTCTCGAATACAATACTTTAAAAGTTCCATATGAATTGCTCAACAAAAAATTTCGAGCTGCGCAGAAGACGATAGATCAACAAGTGTTTCAGTCTAAACGAAGTAAAAATGCGCTTACCGATCTACTAAAAAAATCAGATAGGTCCATTGATGTTGAGCCTGTAAGCTTATTCATGTGAGCTAAATTAATAAACAATTTATTTAAGGTTCGGGTAGAGTTCTCTCAAGTTACTGATCGGCTTCGCAAGTTTTTAAAATCATTTGACGAGATTGTGAGCGAAGAAGAAAATGCAGCTCAGACTTTTGGGAGTAGAACAAAATACCTTAAACAGGTGCGTGGTAAATAATTTTTTAATGTTTTAACCATTTAGGGCTTCTCTTCTGATCCTGCAATATCATCGGCATTTCGGAAGCAACGGACCAACAGATTTATCATCGATTATTTCCTCAGAGCCGGCTATTTTGAGACGGCCCAAAAATTGGCGGAATATGTGGGGATCGACAATATCGACCGGAATGTCTTTCATGTTGCCAAGCAAGTCGAAGATGGCCTGCAGAGACACGATCTCTCGATTTGTTTGAATTGGGTGTTGGACAATCGCTCGAAGTTGCATCGTTTACACTCCAATTTCGAGACGGAAGTTCGAGTCCAGCAATTGATTGAATTGATAAAAAACGGCCAGAGACAGGAGAGTATCAACTTCATCCGAGCGACTTTTGGAGGGCCAGACAAATGGACCAACGAGACCTTACTGCAAGTTATGGGTCTATTAGCATTCGGACCTGCCACTGGTGTTAGTTCCTATCAGAAGCTTGTGATATCTGAGAGATGGGAACAGATTCTGGATATGTTCAGAGAAGAAAACGCCAAGATCTTCCGACTGTCTCCTCAATCGGCCTTCAGCGTATGTCTCCAAGTAGGATTGGCTGCGTATAAAACGCCTTTCTGCAAGAATAACCCGGATTCCCGATGTATAATATGCCGAGATTTGTATGACTTGGCTTATGGGCTGCCCTTCTCGAATGTGAAGAACTCTCGTTTGATTTGCGCTTACAGTGGTGAGTCATTGGACGACGAAAACAATCGCCCCGTCATGCTTCCCAACGGCCAAGTATATGGCGAGAGAGCGATCAATCAGCTCGTCCGAGACAATGTAATTATGTGTCCCAAGTCAAGTGAATTCTTCCCTGCAGACAAGCTGCAGCGTGTGTATGTTTTATAAGTAAAGAATCTGTGTTTAATATTTTTACAAATTCTGAATTGCTATCTAAGTAAAGCATCATTCTTTCTATACGCAACGCGCTTTTCTGTTTTTGAATGTCCGAAACGAGTTTCCTTGAATCTGATAAGCAGCGGAATGGAGCATCTTCAGTTAGTTAAGTCATCAGAAGTTGAGTAATCAGCCTCGAGATCGTTTGAAAAGTGCAGGGACATAAAGGATTAACCTCGTTTAATCCTTCTTTTGTATTTTTTGTTTGATCTATCATTTTTGGAGGTGTGGAGTTTATTCAAATGACTGACGAAATGTATGTGTCTCTACCTCGGGCGGGTGTTTCATGTTCGTTTTCAGTGGTTCTGGCTTAAGGAATACCAAATTTGACATTCGTCAGACATTTCCAAGGCTTCAGCGACTAGGACAAAAATTAAAAAATGTAAGCTTAATAGGTTTGAAACATTGTAATAGTTATAGTTAGTAAAAAAGGACTCAAATTTGACTGAGAAGACTCTTCAGCAAGCACACGGATACTACATTTGTCGTAAGTAGGAAAGGGATTAGAATGAGGATTGCAGGATTTCTTGGCTTCTATCACACCGATCCCGAATCCCGTCCTCTTCAGGGGAATATTGTTGTATCCGACGATTGCCTCGCTTTCTACCCCAAAGAGGAGCACTTTAAATTAATTATTCCTTTCGATCAGATTGAGTGCATCTCTACATCAGACCATCTGGGAATCAAGAGTGCTCTACAGGTAGATCCGAGATTTCTAATTTCCCAAAAAAGTCTAGCTCTACAAAACGGATGGCTCTGTGTTGTTCTTCAGCAAAATTATAGACCAAAAAAAGGCTTTTGAAGTGCTGTACAATGTCTGGCGAAGTAATCAAAATTCGGGATTTGAAAATGAGGTAAGCCTGGATAATTGAATTAGAATGCGAGACATTTGAAATTAATTGGATAGCAAGGGTCGGTTGCATGTGTATTCCCAAAAAGGTGGACCGTGGAGCTCGCGAGTCGGATGAGGATAGCACCTCATCCTCAGAAGGTCCCCGTATAATGTCCGGAATGAGTAATTCCAAGACCGTTCTAGAGAATACGAAGGTAGGCTGGGTAGAGCCCTAGAGAGTAACGGACAAGTCCTGCGGGACAGCAAATTTTGGGGGGCTTGGCCTTTGTGGACGGGGACTGGGCTCTTTCTCCCACTGGCTACGAAATGTTTTATTGATTGCGCACTCTTCGTTGGGAACAGCTGTCTTTAAGGTTGTCACAACTGCTTCCACAGCCACCACGGACACCGTTAGCCTCAACCAGGCGACGCTTCCTGGAACTAGTAATGGTAATTTCTTCCTCAAATACATAAACTATTTGAGAATCTCTATTAAAAAAATTTAGCCCGTAAAGAGCCCGCGGATTGTGATTGTGGAGAACATAAAGGGACCGTATTCGTTGACAAGATTTATGCTTTGGAAGTGGATGAATTGTATCAACTATTGTTTACCGAAAACGAATCTCTTCTCAATTTCCTCAAGACGGCCAAACGATCAGGTACCGGGAATATTCTTGTATACGTCTCCTTTTAGATCTCCGCTATGAATCCTGGACTGCCATTGAGCATGGAGAAAGACGGAAGAAGAAGAGAACTGCACGGTACACCGTCGAACTTTCAAGCACACTGGGACCAAAATGTACTCATGTCACCGAGGTTCAGGTATGTGTTATTAAAAATAGAGATACTTGTTCAGGTGGTGGCTGAAGTGGGCCCAAATGCTGTTGATGGATACACCATCACCAAGGATGCTGTAAACGCCGGAGTACCCTACGCCGACAGTTTCAGTGTTTTCTGTACATATTGCATTACTAGGGTGGGGCCGAAGAAAAGCCGCCTAAAAGTGCACGGAGAAATTGTCTACAGAAAAAGTGTCATGGGTGTCTTCAAAAGTAGGTCAAATTTTCAAATATTTGTTTAATTGTACGCCCCATTCAGGTATCATCGAACGGATGACATTAAGTGGCATGCATGATTACTACAAGCATCTGGACAAGTACCTCAGCTCATGTGGGTCCAAGGAGGAGACTTCGAGAAATGGAGCCGGCTCTGATTGGATCTCTGAGTTCCCAGAATCCGAAATGGACACTCAGTTGGAATCGGAGAGTTTGCAGAGTCAAGATCCCCCCAGCGTCGAGATTCGGTGCGCTTCTTACCAATAAACTGACTGCTTCCCATTCGTTTCAGATTACGTGCGGAATTAGTTACGCAAAGAAATGAGATAAGGGCCCAGGCTGCGAGTCTTCGAGAAATACAGAAGTCTCTTCGGCTAGTAGTTCTGCTGTAAGTGCTTGCAAGACTTTCTTTTACTCCTCGTTAAGACTGGTCTTGATCTTCGTGTTATGTATTTCGAACACCTACCGGTATAGCCAGCTCGACTTCAACAGCATTGCCTCGGGGCAGAGTTTCACAAAACCCGAGTTATAGAATATAGATCCAACTGTGATGTTCTTTCGTTTAAAATAAATTTATTTGAAGAAAACAACAACAAATAACAATTTCCTTCTGCTCACCCAAAGATCTCGTCAATCTCATTCTCTGGGAGTTCATCATTCGGCCGCAAGTCTTCCTTTTTTATAGGGTTGATTATTCTTCCGGCCTTAGTGACAACCGCCTTCTTGACCAGGTTCTTGTGCGACAATGACGTGTTCCAATCCCTTCCCAATGGTTGACGTATCACAGCTTCGAAGTCTTGAACCGCGGTAAAAGGAAACGGAACGTCAGAAGGCTGAAGCTTCTGGAATTCTGAGTCTCCGGAGCCTCGTACTATGAGTTGCGCATTATCCTGATCCACTCTCCTCCTTTTGTTTGGTCTTTTGACAAATCTGTGGCATTCATAAGTTTAGTTTGTATTTGCCTTACCTCTGCTTCCTTTCCATCTCTTGATTGCGGTCGATTCCTTCTCCCGTCCAATCGCCCCATCCAAATAATCGATCATCTTTTACTGATTCTTTGGTTTTTTCGCACTCATCTTCTTTTTCTTTTTCAAAATCAGCTACGACATTTTCTCCATCAAAAGCGTTAGCCAAGAATTCGTCATTCAAAACTAAAAATGTAAGCAAATAAAAAAACGGACAAACCTTCATTGTCAACATCCTCTAGCTGCAAGACATCTCCGGTTTGCAAATCAATCTCCACAGGTTCGGTTGCCTTTGTGGCCCTGATTGAGGAGTTCTTGCTCCATGGGTTACTTTTCCCGTCTCTTTCTACTTGATCAACGGCCAACTAAATAATTAGGCACAAAAGCTAGCTCTCACGTTTATGATTTCAGTCTTGGTCAATTGCTTAGTTGCGTCGCTCTCATCATCGCTGCTTTCTTCCTCCACCTCCATTCCATGCCGTTTTTTGAATTCTCTCCCAATATTTAAATGTTCTGATATCAGTTGTTGCATCTGAGGATTCCTAGCCGCATATTGTCTCAGTTGAACAGACCATTTATTGGTACTTCTGTGTTTTAGAGTAGCCCTCTCATAAGCCCGATCTACTTCTAATTCCTTTAATTTCTCTTTAGCGGCGTCGGGATTAGTGGCCAGGAGATCTTCGATTTCCTTGATCACTTTTTTCCGTTGTTCTTTCTTTCGCAATCGATGATATCTGAAAGGTGTATTTCTCGTTGCTTTATACTCACGTTTTACTTTTTATCTTGGCATCTCGGGCGTGCTTAGCGGCTCTGAAACTCATGACCGCCCTTATTTTCTGCAGTTTGGCAGTTCTTTCCTTTGCATCTTTGAGACTCAACGCTTTCAATAAGGTCTTTTCGTCTTCTGTATACAATTCATCAGCATCGAGCTTGTTGTTGCTTTGCCCCAGTGCATCCGCCAATCGTAATTCAAGACTTGTTCTAGGCTAAAGATTATTTTGTTTAATTAACATGTATTTTTACCTTAAAAGACTTTGTTTTCTCAGCAACTGGTTCATTATAAAAGGTTTCAGGAGCTCCGAGGGGAAACTTCAACTGTTCCGCTGCCCGATTTGATTGCACAACAGGATCCCATGTTCGTAACTGTTTCCTGAAAGCACTTGTAAGAGTGTAATATCCTTACCTAACATCGGAATAGGCGATCTTACTCTGAACTCGTGTTTGTTCCTGACGATGAAGGGGTACACTGAGCTTACTTGACTTCCTTTTTGTCTTCTTTTCTTTCTCCTCTGAAGGTGTAATCAAACCCAAGTTTTCCTTCAAGTTCGTTACATTTCTAAACCTAAGATAAAAGAAAAAGCATAAACCGACTTAGTGGATGTAATGGCTCCGGCAAGATCCGACAATATAACGCTTCCTTCCACACTCTTCTTTTTCTTCACTACTTTTGTTTTCAGAATCGACTTCTTTCCTTTCCCATCAACAACGTTTTTAATGTCTGCGACCAAAAGACCGTGATCAACATCCCAAATCTCGTCGTCGGACATGACAGTTATTTTCCACAAGCCTCAAGAAAAAATTGCAAAAACATTTGTTTGTTTCCTACCTTTCAACTGCGCCCGAGAAAGTGGTTTGTGTAAATGCGTTTTTATACGATGAAATGGCTGACAGCTGGAAGATGTACGGTATTTTCAATGCACGATGGCTAATCACTCACTACTTTAGTTAAGTTTATGTCACCTACAATTAATACATCTTTTTACTTTGCATTTGTATTAAAATATCTTTAATTAATGTGATTGGGAGAAACTGATAAAACAGAGAGGTTCAGACCTTATCATTACCAAGAAAGGGACCTTTCACTTTCCGGATGGAAATGCCTAGCACCCACATGCATGATGAAGAACAAGGATTTGGCATGGACGATCATGAACCTTTATTATTGGATCCTCGTCGGCGACATTCGAAGTAACTTTTGCCGCTTATTACCTTTTTTTATTTTTAGCAGGATACCGGTCATTGGAATCATTGGACTCAGTTTTATTTTCTTTTTTGTTATCTCTACGGTCTTCTTCGGGGCATTGTATTACAAGAAGGTGAAAGATGTAAGGATAATTCTTGTTTCTTCTGTAACTTTTGGCGCTACGACTTTTCGGGTCGACGATACTTTGGGTTGACTTTATTTGTCGTTCTATGCATGGAAAACGCAAGCAGAAGGCTTAGTTAATAGAAATAATAAGATTGATCGGGCCCTAGGTTTTGAGCATGGTCGCTTGAACGGTTAATTCTACGTTCAGTGGCATTATCGCATTTTTGAAATTTGCCCTTAGGGCATTTTTATGCTTGTTGCAAGGACCAAACTTTAGCAGAAAGATGACAGGGAAAAATTAAACAGTATTTTCAGTCAGCATACCATCTTCAATACGTACGAATTTATTTTTGTAATAATGCATGCGCTCGCTAGACCCGCGTAAATGTCACACACTAAAAATATCGAAAAAATCGGCGTCCGATTCATTCCAGAAAAGTACAGAACGCTGTGCCATGTACAGGGTGGGCCACTCGAAGCTGACAAGTTGTTTCTTTGAATTTCTCCGCGGAGACTCCGCCGATTTTTCTAAAATTCAGATTTTTCTGGAGCTGAGACCCGCCATTTTCAACCGACTGAATTTCAAAAAAACATATTTTAAATTGACCTTTCCATGCCTCCTCAAAGTATTGAAAAATTATTTTCAGGCCGAACCCGCTAAAACTTAGAAAATTTTTGGAATGATTTTCAATTGACTTTCTCGGACTTGGAAAATTTTTGGTTTTTTGGGGGAAATCGTGGAGTAAAAAGCTGCTAGTAGTCGCCTTAAACTTGTTTATAGCAAGTTGAAAGCCACAAGAGGGTTGTTTGTATTACCATTAGGGCACGAACATTAAAAAAAAAAAAAAAAAAGATTTCAAAAAGATTGAAAAATTCGACGTCACTGGTTATCGAGTCAGGCCTGGGGCATCTTGAAGCTCAGAACCCGGCTTGATTGAAGTTTTAACTTTAAAAACCATATCCACGATACGCAATTCTAGCTGCGCATGACTCTCAAAGGCACTGCAAGTTTGTGATGTTAGAGGAGGTGAGCATAATAACTCAGAGAGAAGCATTAATAATCAGATTGTTAAATAAAATTGTTTTCGGAACAATATTTGATAACTATCTGAGGTAAAACAAAGAAAATTTCACCCAAGAACTCGGAAAAATGACCAAGTTTCCAAAATCATTCCAAAAATTTTCTAACAAGGGAAGTACTTGAAGTGTGACGCTCAGATTTTGATGAAACTTGGCATAAATTTAGAATAATTTTTTCTAAGATATATGCGAGAATCCTAGCTCGCGCTTTACAGAAACAACCGAGATTTTTAGATCAAAAGTCGGCGAAAATTTAGGACTTTTTGCCGAATTTCGGCACGAAAAGTTTCATGCCTATTTCAACTGTAAAGGATAATGTTTCTACAAAAAATCAAATTTTTCCGCACGAAACTGCCAAAGTTATGGCCAAAAAGCGCTTTTCTCTCTGACCGCTCTCCACGTTTAGTGTGCTCTCTCGGCGGCAAAAATCGTTCGATATCTCGGCGGCGCCCGCAAAGCGCGAGCTAAAACTTTCAGGAATTGATATTTAGTCCATACCCGATGTGTGTGCAAAATTTAAAGAAAATCTGAGCGTCACCCTTGAAGTACTTCCCCTGTAAGTTTTAGCGGTTTCGGCCCGTTCTCGGAGGATAGGTTACCCCTAACAAATAGGTTACCCCAGCGGATAGGTTACCCCACCGGATAGGTTACCCCAAGTTTCGGATAGGTAACCTCGGAGGATAGGTTACCCCACGGATAGGTTACCTCGGAGGATAGGTTACCCCGAGGATAGGTTACCTGAAAAAAAAAATTTTTTTTGAAATGTTTTCGCTTCGGGAGTTGGAAAAAAGGATTTTTTGTGAAATTTGAAAAAAATTTGAAGTGTTTTCGCTTCGGGACTGGGAAAAAAAAGAATTTTTTGGAAAACTCAACAAAATATTTTAATCTTTTCGCATCGGAAGTAAAAAAAAAATTGTGTGTGAATGAATATTAACTTTGGTGCCGCCAGCACTAAAATTTTGTCTAAAACCAATGGTACCACCTGGTACTATATAGTACCACGTGTATTTGGGCTCTACTAAGCACCAAACCATCACCATTACTGCCTTACGGCCAAATTTTCACTTCTCACAAAACAGTACCAGTTGGTACTATATAGTACCAAGTGTTAAAACGTGTTTTTGGGTTCTACTAAGCACCAAACCATCACCATTACCGCCTTACGGCCAAATTTGCACCTCGTACTAAATAGTACCAGTTAGTACTATTTAGTACCAAGTGTTAAAAATGTGTTTTTTAAGCAGTACTAGGCACCAAAACAACACCATTAACGTCTAAAAGTGTTATAAGTCGAAAAAATTTCAAAAAGAATCCCTAAAGGTAGTAAAGTAACAGAAACCCAGTTTTCATATTCAGTCAGTTCATACTCACAAGGGATCGGCAAATAGTTGCAACCTTTAATCTTAACAAAACATATAACGTTTGAAAGGGCATTAAAAATAGCGCACAACGCAAGAAAAATTAGCTGCCTAATTTATGTTTGGACAAAGTTATGGCCGTTTTATGAAAGTGGTTACATGCGGCCAAAACGCCGGTTTCTTATATTACAGTAATCCTGCCGGTTTGAAATCGTCTCCACTTTTCTAGTATCTAAAAACGTCTATCACGATCGTTTTATGGCTCTACCAATCCTCGGTTATGAGTTATTAGACATTACTGCATGTTCCAAAAAATTGTAAATAAAACTAGGTTAATGAGAAAAATGGAGCTAAAAGCTTTGGAAATACATTTATATGATCGTTGTGGTTTTAGTTCACAAACTAAAATCTCAAAATTAAAAATTTCTTATGTCCTAGCCCTACCAACGGTTTATCCACTGTGCCAGCAAATCTTTTGCCCGATTTTACAATTTTCTCTTCGTATTTTTTCGAAAAAAATGTGTATTTACAGGTCCTAGTAAATTTAATTCACGTCCAATAATTATAATAGGTCAGACTACTGGTATGACACCCTTGTAATTATATGATAGTGGTATCCCCACTCTCATCACCATCAAATTTGTGGTCGTTTCAAAAAAGGCCAAAAATTCAGAAAAATCCCGTAAAAATGAATTTTGTCTGCGAAGGAACGCAAATTGTTTAAAAATATCAACATACCATGGTTTTGTGGCGTATAAGATACGAAATGCAAAAAAATTGCGGAGCCCGGGTTCGAAACCACGACCTGTTTCGCCGGAAGTAGGGGTCGCTACCACTCGGCAAACTGAACACGACTCCGTTGCGGCTCCAAGAGCTTATAAAGTGACGCGCGAAATTAGGCTAAAATCTGTATTTTGGCCATAACTTTGTCCAAACATAAATTAGGCAGCTAATTTTTTCTTCCTTACACACAACTTTTTAAGCTCTTCCAAATGATATATGTTTTGTTAAGATTAAAGGTTGCAACTATTTGCCGATCCCTTGTCAGTCAGCTCGAAAAAATTTCAAATTTTATTCAAATTTCACAAAAAATCCTTTTTTTCCAAGTCCCGAAGCGAAAACATTTAAAAAATTTCTCAATTTTCACAAAAAATCCTTCTTTTTACACTCCCGAAGCGAAAACATTTCAAAGAAAACATTTTTTTTCTTTTTTTGGTAAGGGGTAACATATCCGTGGAGTAACCTATCCGGTGGGGTAACCTATCCGTGGGGTAACCTATCCGGTGGGGTAACCTATCCTCCGAGTTATGTGTTTTTTGGGGTAACCTATCCGGTGGGTAACCTATCCTCGGGGTAACCTATCCTCCCCAAATCGTTTCGGCCTGCAAATAATTTTTCAAAACTTTGAGAAGGCATGGAAAGGTCAATTCAAAATATATTTTTTTGAAATTCAGTCGATTGAAAATGGCGGGTCTCAGCTCCTGAAAAATCTAGTTCACTTTGCACTGTGCAATTTTTGGCTTTTTGCACTGTGCAATAGGCTTTTTCGAGCTGTCGCTCGCACCGTGACTTTTTTCGCACAGTGCATGTCGCCGATTTAAGTCCGGCGACTTTCCGGACGGCACCACGACATTTCCGGAATTTGGACACTTCCGGAATGGCGGAATAGTGACACTTCCGGAATGGCGGAACAGTGACACTTCCGGAACCGGGGAAAAATCAAAGAAGAGGCTTAGACCTGCCATCTGAACCATCTGACTGGATTTATTGTTATTAATCTCAAAAATTTTGTTATTTTTTTTCTGATTGTTACTTTTTTCTTAAGTAGTAGTGTTAAAAAGTAATTTTTTGGAATTTTTCCAAAAATACTCGATTTAGGGGTTTTCGAGGGTGCTGATTTCGAAAATCATGTTAGCTTTCCTCTTCATAGTACTATCTGGTACTATACAGTACGAAGTGAAAATATGGCTTTTGGCGTTAATGGTGTTGTTTTGATGCTTGGTACTCCTCAAAAACACGTTTTAAATAATTGGTACTGTTTAGTACTGTCTGGTACTGTGTAGTACAAGGTAAAAATTTGGCCTTAAGGCGTTATTGGTGTTGTTCTGTTCCTTAGTACTCCTATTTTCACCTTGTACTACATAGTACCAGACAGTACTAAACAGTACCAGTTATTTAAAACGTGTTTTTGAGGAGTACTAAGCATCAAAACAACACCATTAACGCCAAGAGCCATATTTTCACCTTGTACTGTATAGTACCAGATAGTACTATGAAGAGGAAAGCTAACATGATTTTCGAAATCAGCACCCTCGAAAACCCCTAAATCGAGTATTTTTGGAAAAATTCCAAAAAATTACTTTTTAACACTACTACTTAAGAAAAAAGTAACAATCAGAAAAAAAATAACAAAATTTTTGAGATTAATAACAATAAATCCAGTCAGATGGTTCAGATGGCAGGTCTAAGCCTCTTCTTTGATTTTTCCCCGGTTCCGGAAGTGTCACTGTTCCGCCATTCCGGAAGTGTCACTATTCCGCCATTCCGGAAGTGTCCAAATTCCGGAAATGTCCTGATGCGTTCCGGACGGACTAGTAACCGCCAAAAAGTAATTTTTGCAATTTTTTCTCAGAATACTTGATTTGGGGCTTAAAAAACGCGATAACTTGCAAAATTTTTAAAAATTATGGTATCTTCTCAAATCTAGGAACAAGCTGCCTTGCCAAAATGGCCGTCTGCTTCCTACAGTCTCTTAGGAGAATATTCAAAAGCAGCTGTGGCCGCAGATAACGAGTTGTGTTCGGAGATTGGCCGGGATGCTCTCCTCAAAGGTGGGAACGCCATCGATGCAGCCATCGCGGCCTTATTCTGCATCGGGGTGATGGATACACAGAGCGCTGGACTTGGCGGGGGACATTTCATGACAATATATAACTCGTAAGTGAGAAAGGAAGGCGGACCTGATCCATTCGCCAAAACATGCAGATTGGCTCCCGAAAAGGGTCAGAAGTGATCCTTTTCTTGGGACTTTTGTTACTTCCTGGAACCAAAATTTTACATTCTTTACACCGGGATCAGGTCCGCCACTCTATTCTGTTTTTTAATAGGACGACTAAAACATGTCATGTTGTGGATGCGAGAGAACGGGCTCCTCTGGCTTCGTCCCGAGACATGTACAAGGATCGATGGGAGAAGGCCCAGAAAGGTAGGAAAAACTATTTATTCGACTATCGGCAGGATGGGAGGCTGTCGCTGTTCCCGGAGAGCTGCATGGCCTCTGGAACGAATATTTAAAATTTGGCGGAAGATTAAACTGGTCAACTTTGGTGGAACCTACCATTAATCTGATGAAGGAAGGTGAGAATAAGAGTAAGCTCAAAACAAATTCAGGGTATCCAACATCTCATGCTATGGCTATTGCTTTGAAACAGAATGAAAAAGACGTTTTGGAAGAGAAAACCATGAGAAATCACTTCTTAAATCCTCAAACTGGAAAAGTTTACAAGGCCGGGGAACAGATTACAACTCGGTAAGGCCCTTCCAAAGGCCGAATGTTGATGACCAATACTTTCCAGATTTAATTTAATAGAAACTCTCGAAACGATTGCATACGCTGAGGATCCGGTAAAAGAATTTTATTCCGGAAGTCTGGCATCCAGTATGGTAAAGGAGTTCCGTGAAAAAGGTAGGAAGAAAATAACATTTCCATAAGAATTAAAGGTGGTATTATTACATTGGAAGACTTTAATCAATACAAATCTATCATTAGAAGTGAGGAAGATGTGATACAGGTCAGTCTGAATGACGGTCTGATTGGTTGCGGCCCTCCTCCTCCATCATCTGCTGCAGTTACACTCGCCATTTTGGGAGTGACTGAAGGATTCAAACATAACACAAAGACATTAAATGGTTACACAGAACTCTTTCATCGGTACATTGAGGCTTCCAAGTTCGCATACGCCCAAAGAAGTGGTCTAGGGGATATGGATTTCGAGAGGGATGCTCTGGATCTGGCCAAGAATATCACCGGGAAAGATTGGTTTGCATGGGTAAGGTCGAAGATCGACGAGGTCACCCACGAAGACGCATATTACGGTGGGGACTTCCATATGGCCGCCCCAGACCATGGGACCACGCATATTAGTGTGATCGACAAGGACGGGAACGCTGTTTCTGTTACTTCTACCATTAATCTAATGTAAGATCTGATGGCTTTTCTTTATCTGTGCTCAGATTGGGAGCCAGGGTCGTCTCAGAGTCAACAGGAATTCTTTGGAACGATCAGATGGACGACTTTTCTCTGCCCGGACATCCAAATTACTTTAATATCCCGCCAAGCCCTGCCAATTTTATCAAGCCTGGGAAGAGACCGCAGAGTTCGATGAGTCCCTTGGTCATTTTCGATTCAAAAACAGGGAAATCGGTATGAATGAAGACATTTCATCTTCACATTTTAGCAAATCTTGAGTATCGGGGCGGCCGGAGGCTCGACGATTATCTCTGGGGTCTCAGGAGTGGCCATGCACTTGTTGCAGACCAATCTGGATGTGAAGCAGTCCATCGACTTCCCCCGGTTGCATAATCAATTACGTCCCAATGTAACGCAATATGAAGAGAGATTCCCCATGGAATACATTCAGTCCTTGGAAAAGAAAGATCACGAATTCCAGGCAGTCAAGGGTCTTACTGTAGTCACGGCCGTCCACAAGAAGGGAAAGTCCGTTTGGGCAAATAGTGACTTTAGAAAAGGACCCGAGAGTGAGCCCGCAGGCTATTAGAGTGCTTTCATTGGTGACTAGATGATAGTCATAGATAGGGGAAATCTACGTGTTGTATGTTGGTATTCAAAGATAAATAGTAAAATAATATTTATGAAGTAATTCGCCTCAGAAGAGGGACGCTTGTCCCACCATCTGATAACCGGGAATGAAGCGGCAAATATTAATAAAAACGGTTGAACGGAGCTGCATGGATACAATAAGAATACAGTAAGTGAATGAGGTCACTTCGGTGTCCGATTCCTGAGCTGAGACGGCGAGGGTCTTTTCTGGCCTATGAACGAATGAGGGCGTGCGTGTTTTCTGTAGAGCGATGGCAGTCGATTTAATACCGGTGGGGCCTCCATGTCTATAGCATATTCGTCCACCAACAACTCCGCATTGGACCACATACTTGGCGAGGCGCTGTTCGTTCTTCCGTGTTCGGCATCTGATGATGTCAGATCTTCGGAGGAAGCAACAGGAGCCAACGGAGGGAGCTCTTGTATCAGTTTCGATCTAGAATTCACTTATAATTCTGCTGATACACTTACTTTTCGTGATCCAAGAAGTCCAATTGTTCTTCAAATAAAAGTCGGGCCGTCTCCATATTTGGTTCTTTTCCGTTGGCGGCCACATTCTGACAATTCTGTAGCTGATCTGTAGCGTCTTGAATCTTCTTCTCCACCTCTTGTAATCCCCCGCTGGTTTCCGAAGACCGACGGTGCTCTTGAATCCTCCGAAGATTCTCAGAAACTTTCTCTGATGCCTGTTCCAACTCCACGATCTGATTGAGCGTAACTTTGTATTGTCTCAACTTCTCTTCAATCAGCATCTGAACACAGACCGCCTGTTTTTGGACATCTTCGAGTTGTTCTTGAGCATGGACGGCCTGATTCCGACGGAGAATGCATGGGGCAAATATGACGGCCAAATTGGAAGGACTCATTTTGTTCACCATTTCCTAAACAATACCTTTTAACCATTCTTCCTACGTACTTGATGAGCGACACGAGCAAGATGATACATCAGTCTGTCTAGGATAACCTTGTTTGGCTTCGGGAGTAGATCCACGACCACGCTGAGACATTTGAGTCGTTCCGAGGGATCTTTCACTTCTAAACATACTCCATGTTACGTAAGGTGCGTGCATACACTTCCACAAACTAGTCATACAAAAGATGGATTTCGCATTTGGGTACTGTAGTTCGCAATCTGACACAACGTTACGCAATTACCCTATTATGATTTTTTTCTGCGCCTCTCTTTTATTCTTATTTTAGACTTTTTCCAGCCAAGAATAGAAATTTTTATATGACAGTGTGCGAAAGTGTAAAGCAAACGCCTTATGTACGGTCATGATTACCTGAGACATGGATAAAGTTTTCGTATAATTCGAAAGTGATCAGAGGTTCTCTCAACTCGCGGAAGAATAGCTTCACTATTGTAGTCAAGATGTGGATCGGGATATCAGAGAAATCAAAAGAATCCAAAGCTGAAATTGTAAAATTATAATATAGTAGACTACAGAATTATTACATGGAGAGTCCTCAATCTGTCTTCGGACAGTCTTCACAGCTGCCAGAGACCCGCTCTTTCTGTAGATTCCCTCCACGAACAAAGACTTCACTTCTATGGACATAAACATATTGTTGACACAAGGAGGAGCTGACAATTCGTCCCCAACTAAAACACTGAGATCAACCCCGAAGAAATTGTTGGTTTCAGCGGCCAAAAAGGGCTTGGAGCAGTGGCCATTGATCTTGGAATGGCACTTTTTGTGACAACTCAGTCGGCAATTCCCACAAATAAATATTTTCTCGGCATGCCACATGAATTGATTGCAGACTTCACAGTAAGTAGGCACATGGACAAAGTCAGGTTTGAATCGATGTCCATTCAGGAGCTGAAAGGATTTCGTTTTTTCTTTAGTCTTACGGTAACATCAGATCTGCGCCGTTTTTTGCGGACCGTGTTGATGATGTTGGATCGTCGATGAGATCCCCTTCGCTTTGTTTGTTGTTGCATAAATCCATTCAAGAATCCCCTGAAGGCGTTAACTCCTAATGTGGTCGGGAATGTAATATTTTCATGGGCACACATCTTCGTCAGGAGTCCCTCGAAGGTTGTGATCAGATCCCGATACCGCAGCACCGTGCGGCCTTCTGTTAAAACAGCTTCGCAACCGATTAATTCCATGTGAAATTCCCTAAGAGACTTCTTAAATATGGCATCAACTACAGTATCCCTCTTCTTTTCCTGCTCCAATTGACATTGTTTTTGGAATATAAACATGCTGAATTGACGGAGATCTTCCGTCGTCTCAATCAACATGGCCGTGGGGTCAGTCTGATAAAGTATTAGTCATAAGGAAACTCATACCTGTTGTTTTGTTTTAGTCAAATTAAATGTGCTGACCAATGGAGTTAGGGATGACTTGGGTCTAAAATATATGGATTTATAAAAGAAAAGGCCTCACTTCAATGATCGACGAGGTAATTCTCTGGTCGGACTCATAGGAACACAAGGAATGTTAATGGAAAAGGTTGCGCATTCTTTGTGGAATGATAATTTACATGAAACGCATTTGTATCCCTGAACCAGAAGACTACTCAGAGGTTTGTTGCACATGGAGCACGCATCAGAAGCCCTGTGGATTCGAGTCATCTTAAGGCTGTGTCCCTTTTTAATTTCGGGTCTATCCGTGTCTGTTGATATGCTGAAATGAAATTTTATCACAATTGTGTCATTTGACCTTTTATCCTTTATACCTTGTTTGCGCCTCGTTAAAGTCATCTTCGCTGAGGTCCTCCTTTCTTGTTAAGAATGCCTTGAGATGTTTCCTCGCTTTGTTGAACCCAAGTTTATGGAATTTCAATTTAGACATTGGACTCTGGACTTTCACATCTTGCAGATTTCGCCTTTGCAACTGATCGCTCTCAGTACTAGCAGCTCGGCGAAGCATTCTCAGCTAAATCCAGGTTATTTTTTTGATTAAGATACCCAACCTTGGCCGTAGACGCGGTTGTGGCTAGACTTTGTCGCCGTTGGAATCCCTTGTCAATCTCCCTGCAAATTAATTGAATTTATGCTTACTTCGTTACATTTGTTCACCGAACTTTCTACCTTACCCGATTAATTTGAGTTTCGTGTCTTCCAGGATAAAAGTGGCATCCAGATCAATATCGGAAGAATCCCTAAAGAAGTAGAAAGAAGAAAAGTAGAACCAACCAGTTGGCACTGTCCCCGATTTCCTCATCTTCTGGACTGGAAAAGGCATCAGTATCCTCAACATTGTCTCCGCCAAAAGGGTCCAAGGATTTGGGATCATTCAGATTAAATTTCGGGAGGTCTATTCGGTGGACCTTATTCAATTCAAACTTGAGTAGTGATTTCTTCGGGAACTCCAATTTCAGAAATTCGAATTCCTTGCGAAGCTTGTTGGCACGGTGCCAAGACTGTATGAAAAGAGTTATCTTCCGCAGTCTCTGATAGATCTTTTTCTGTTTTTCTTTTCTCCACCAGGTTTGTATAACCAGCGCGGCCATGTGTTGACGCCGAATCTGGTTTCGAGTAAGCATTCCCCTGACCCAGGCCTGCATCCTGACCATCCCCACCTTCATTTTCAAGTATCTTCTTCTTGCCAAAACAGCCCGGAACCAACTTTGGAGTGTTTCTATATGCCCCATGATGACTCGATGTAAATGATCGTCCAGTAGCAGCTTCTCAGCATCCCTCATAAATATCTAAAACAATCTGTCTTCCCGTAGAGGGCTTACTTTGTTTATCCCATATTGAATATTGTCGGCCTCAATCAGAGGATGTCCCAAGAAGAATTCTTTAACGTCCTCCCGTTCGCTCTCTCTGCCCTTGGGTAATAGAATACGGTATTGCTGAACGAATGAATTGTATTCGATGCGGACGCTGTACCCAGCCCTGCGTATTCTGACCGTTTCCAACATTCCTGTGTATCTAAGTTGTCTGAGGATGATATTGTCATCGAAATAGTTGGGGTTCTAAAATTTAATTTTAATTAATTGTGGTCTCACTTTTTCGTTATTCGATTTGATACATCGGATAAAGTAAGGAGTGGCCTGGGACAACGTCTTCATGAGCCTTGATAGCGAATATTCGAATTGCCGGGACACGGAGGTCGGTTTGTTTGAAATGGGCTTCTTTCCAATCAGTTCCTTGACGGCTTGAAGGGACTTAATGCTTGAATGCCTTTCGTCCCTCGGTTTGATGGGCAACTTCTTTGCTCGATTAACGATTGTTTGGAAGACAGAGGTATCACAGAAGTCGGGCACAATGTCAATGCTCAGATCTCCCCTCAGGAAAGCGTTGAGATGCGAGTCAGATCCGCGACGAACCGGTTTCATAGGTTCATTTGGGACTACCAAACGGTCCAGACTTTCTAAATTTGCCGATCTGTAAATACCCTCGTGGCCAGTGTTACCTGCTCGGCGTTGTCGTCCATTCGTTTTCAAACAATTTTTAAAGGCAAACATTGCGCGGAACGTGGATCTGACCATTTTCCATCTGAAGAAGGCGACAGGATCAGAGGCGATGATCTCTTTCATGAATAAACTCCGGCTTCCCTTGAGTACAGTCATCACATCTTGTCTCATCAAATCTTTATTCTTTTCTCGAAATCCCTAAAAGTGAATGCATTCTAAGTAATAGTAATACTTACAGTAACCTGATACTTTACTTTGCCTGCGTAATGTGCAATAATAAATGCATCCTCTCTTTTGTGGGGGATTTCGTAATATTCGTTTGACTTGAGAAAGGTGTTTAATTTATCCAACATGGATCTGTCTGTCCCATTGTTTATATTACTTTCTTCATCGACCAATCGAAGTAATCCATAAGGTTTACTCTAGGGCGCATGTTATTCATAGATCCACCTACCTGAAACAACTGGACACATTCAGTGTTGTCCGTATATTCGATATTGGTCCAAGTGATTCCTTCTTTACAGTACTCTTCCTAAAAAGAAACGATTCAAAAAATCCTTTTCTTACTTGCTCAAATTGGAAGATATGCTGATTAAAGTATGCCTGAAGATGCTCATTTGCATAATTTATGCATAATTGTTCGAAGGAATTCCACTGAGCTCCGATATCCTCAAATCCGAAGATATCCAAAATCCCGATGTAAAATCCTTTTTTGGTCAGGGAAATATCCCTTCCAATCAATGCCTGATTCATCCGCAGTACAATCCAATGGAAGAGGGCGTTGTAAAGACACTTGGCCATGGCATCTCGGGTGTTAATGGCCTCGGCAACATGATACCTGGAGATTACAGTATCCTTTTTCAAGACAGTTCTTCGCATCGTTAACGCTTGATTCAATTGATTGGCCTTAATGCCGAGTAACTCCGAGACAACGTCAACAAGTTCCGCATTTTGAACATAAGCATTCTCATCGCTATGATATCCAGGTCGCTAAACAAAGAGTTTATTCCCACCTCAACGTGCCGGACCTACCTCGACAAAAGTAACATTTCCGAGAAGTAGAACTGCTGAAATTATACCAAAAATTTTTTGCTGACTCGAATTGGAGAATCCAACGGCATCCATGGAATGTTTTAATCGTTCATATTCGTATTGTTCATTAATCCCTTCTCCTTGGCCAAACAGTTCGTTCTAGAATTGAGATGATTGCAATCGATTACCTTACTTGGTTCAAATAATTGTAATCATGGACTTCCAAGAGGAAATGTTTTTTTCTTTCTTCTTCCGTCGCCCCTTTGAGAAGATAATAGAAGACATGATAATTCCGTTCTTCGACTGCTTGTGATATAATCCTTGACTTTTCCAATAGATAAATCTCAACATTGGCCCCAGATACCATCCCATTCTCTCGGTAATTCACTTTGATAAACTTCCCAAATCGACTGCTGTTGTTGTTTTGTAAAGTAACTGCATTTCCAAAGGCCTGTATATAAAGCTATGGCATGAAACAGCAACAGTACCTCAAGAACTGGCCCCGCTGAGAGTAACATCTGCTCAATGCTACTTCCGTTACTACCTTTCTGACTGAGAGTTGTCAAGTGATGAAGTAAAAAGTTGGTTGATTCAGTCTTCCCCGACCCGGACTCTCCACTAATAACAACGCATTGGTTTTGTTTGATTCTGAGCATACTGTAATCACCAGCCATATATGTACTTAAATTAGCACGAAACTCACTTATGATATGTAACATCTGCAATGGCGAAGATATGTGGGGGCAATGCTCCCAATCTTCTACTCTGACAATATAGACGAGCATATTTGGGATTGTAGATGGGAAAGAACTTGAAGGGATTAACTGCCACCAAGATGGGACCAATGTAAGTGTATATGTGGCCACTGTTAAACCGATCTCTCAGATTCTCGAGTAATGTTTGTTCGGTTAATTCGGGCAACATACACAAATCAGCGTACTCTCGATCCACTGGTTGTTGCAGGAATTTGGCCAGAAATTCGTCGATGGTCGACGAATTTTCGGAGATCCCGGTCTGCGTTGTTGAACGGCTGCCTTTTTTCCGCAGAACGAAACGATGACGAGGAACTGAAGGATCATCTTCCGAGGAACCGTTTTGGCCCCTTGGCCACAAAGTCTGAATGGCCACAGGGTATTCTCCCCGATCTAGTTTCCTTTCCTTATACGTCCTTCCATCCAATGTCCCCATCGTTTCAAATATTTCAAAATCATTAGAATTGGCGTCATCTGAAACATAAATTGTTAGCAACGTTATGTCATTGTGATTATAAAGGTAGTGGAAATGAGATACCAAAGTTCTCTTGTGCAACAATCTTTTCGATCAACTCTTCCGTCGTGGATCTTTTGTGGAACTCAAGCCGAACCCGTTGACTGCTGGCCTCTGGATTGAAGGAATGCAAATAAACAGTCAGCAATTGGTTATGGGACTCATCTCCGATTGTGAGGGCCCGTTTAGGGAACACCCCACCCGCACTTATCGTATGAATTGAGTCGAAACTCATGGATCTTGGATTAGAAATGGCATTTAATTTTACAAATAAAGGGCGGAAGCGACAATAACCACTACCAAATCACTTAGGATCTAGGTGCATGGTTGAACAAAAACAAAGTGATTGCACCTCGTGGGCAGCTGCGATCTCGAGGGAAGCATTTATCCCAACAGGCTCTAGCAATCTAAGCCTCCGGGCGAATAAAAAAAACCTAGGGAATGACAGACGTGACCTGCCCAGAAAAATCCGAATAACAAGGATGCGGAGGTATAATTAAGTCAATTGGTTCATTTGTGTCAATTTTACAATCTGCAACTCAAAATTTATGTTATTCTTACAATTAGTAGACATATTGTTTTGGGAATTTTTACCAGTTATATAAAACGAGCTAAAGTTGGATTACCCTAGAATGTAATAACATCTTTGGTTTATTTGACATTATTCTGGCTAAACTTCTGTCCTACTGGAAGACGGTATTCTTACTGTATTTTTTGCAGGACATGGATTCTTTCGTATTCACTTCCCTCGGCCGCAGCTTGCCTGGAAAAATATTTGCGAAAAAAAGAATTAAAATTAAAACTTCGAAGCTTCTTTTGATAAATCCGTTGGCCACATCAGGCGCATAAGCAGGACACTTATGGAGAAGAGATTGGAGGCGATCACGAAGAAAGATGAGTTCTTGAATTTGGCGCAGAGATTATTGTAAGTCCACGTGAAATTGAAGTTTATATTATTTAGGGAAGAGAGCGATTCATCTGACGACGATGTTGTCTGTATAAATGCTGACAGTTCCAAGGAAAATCTAAAAAGACCCAAAAAGTTTGAAAGTAAAGAAGGTGGCATTAGCGGGACAACTTCTAAACGAAGAAGAAGAGACAAAGATGAAATTGAAGCCGAGAAGGTACGTTTATTAAGATAGATTTGACGAAAACAGAATAACAAGCTTTTAGCTAAAATTGAACGGGAAAATCAAGTTGCCAAGAACTCCAAGTGCGAGCAGTATTTGTACTGTTATTGCAGCCGACTCGTGACCCTGCTGGACCGTAAGTATTTGATTCAAGGAATTTATATAAGATTTTAGCTTCGATTCCAACTGCTCTCAATAATATTTTCAACGAAAGGAAAATAACTCAACAATTGAAAGTGGAAGATGTCGATAAAGCTATTGTGCTATGGAAACGTAAGAAGATCGCAGGGAAGGTGGTGGACAATAAGGTGGAGCGAGAGGAACACTTGGTACGTAGTCAAATAAGTGCCAAATATCAGTTAGGTTACCCAACATCCTTTCTTGCTGGTTATTGATGGAGAAACCTTTGATGTGGTTGCTTCCACAGGGCTTGTTGAATTTGTTAATGGCGTTCTTAGAGAACACAAGACGGGATTACCAGCAGATCCACATCTAACTATTGCCGTTCTTGGCCATACAAAGACCAATGCGACTCAGGTAATGTGGAGCTTCCTTGGTAACGTGTTTTTAGATTCATTTCTTGAGCTTCGATCTCTTCGAAAAGACCCAAACACAGCTTCGATTTGTGAAATCTCCTGGTGAATTGTGTTTGTTGATTGCCCAAATGCATCGAGCAATTGCCAAATATATGAAAAAGGAAGAGCGGGGGGATGAGATTCATCTGGACACCGATAAAGGAATCCCCGAGGGCCCCAAACTGATCGAGGACTGGTGGAACCGGATGCTCGGCCTTGTCCACAGAATGACCGAGGATTGTCGTCGTGCCATTGTGCGGAATCACCCAAACCCTTTTGTTTTAATGGACAAGTTGGACACAATGCCCGCAGGGGAAGGAATGCAATATCTGTCTGAGATCAGAACCGAGAATGGTCGATTCCTCGGGCCGGCCCTCGCTCAAAAGTTGTTCTTTATCCTCACTAGCGAAGACGGGAAAGAAGTACTCGACAAACAATAATCTGTTTACATTTATTTACTGATAATGAGGCGATTGATCGGGAGTTGTTATAAAGCCGGATACATCAGTACTCATCTCTTGAAGATAGTCGAATTGTTTTAAAGCGTCTCGTTCTTTGTTTCCAAATCGTTTGTATAATTTATTTCCATCGGATACGATGTCTCTCCGCCGTCCCTTATATTGTACACATTCCCCTTTCTTCTTCAATTGTTTGGCTAAAACGTGTATGGTCTCTTCTTCTGATGTACCTCCATTACTCGTGTAATCATTCTCCTGAAAAATATTACACATTAAATCCTGTTGTCACAAATACATTATACTTATAAAATGGACTTACAATTCTAAACCTGTATCGTAGCTTCGTGTCTCTTCTTTTCGGTTTCTTATCGCCATCAGAATCTGAAGGCTTAGAAGCAGTCCCGGGTTTGTATAACTCGGAATCAGACAATGAGACGTGCATTCTTCCTTCGTTGTGTTCCCAAGTAGAATATCCTTCGTCTCTGATGGGGACCTCGACATCATCAACCGAGTATTTGTATAAATTCTCATTATTTTCTCCATTAGACTCCTCTGCTCTAGGAAATTCACATTCTTCGGGTTCTTTTGGGAATATCTTCACCTCATCCATCTCATCAATGGCCAGAGACGAGTCGTCGTTGCCAGAAGTATCATTCAAACTACATAAATCATTCAAGGAGCAGAGCTGATCGGGAGCTCCGAGAAATGCACTGGCCATTCGAATTCCTTTGGTCGAAAAACCTGGGGGTCTTTCTGATTGTTGGGCTAATTTGTGACGTAAATGGTATACCTAAACGGAACTATTGGTGTACGAAAAACGAATCCCTACTTCTCTTTTCAATAATTCGTATTTGTGCAGGATTTTGTCATACTCTTTGTAGAACTTGTAGTAAAAGCCTGCCTCTTTCCGACTTCTCTTCACCTCCTTCCGCAGGTCTTTTATCAACATTTGGTACTTCTAAAAAATCTTATATAAAATATACATAGAGAAATCCTTACCCTTTCGTAGAATTCCGCCATCGTGATTTCGTTTTCAGATTCGGATTCTGAATCACAATCAGTTTCATCTGAATCATTTTCGTTGAAAAGGACCCTGGAAGAGTAGTGGGTCGGACTAGGTTCGGCACTGCCATATTCCGAAGAAACGCCTAGTTTTACTTCTTCATCTAGATCTGGCCATGGAGGGGATTCTTTTTTAAGCTTTTTGTAATCTTTCGAACGATAAGTCTCGTCCTGAGAGATGGGTATTGATGACTTTGGTTTGTGGCTCTTGACCGAAGATCGCAAAGATTGCCTCGAAAAAGCACGATTCTGAAATGATTACATAAATATTTGAAAAGGGTTACGATAACAGTACTTACAGTCTCATAGGAGTCCTTTGACTTCTTGTGAAAGATAGAATGGATGATACTAGACATATTTGGATGCTATGTTCACGAGATCAGCTGAAGAAAAGGTCGGTCCACTCTCCGCAGGAGGTCGCGCGCGTCGGGCGTCCTTTAAACCAGCAATGAGAGGTCGGTCTTAAGTGGAACGATTGAGCTTGGCTTTCTTTTATTTCTGATTCACGTAAAAATTAATATTGAAAAAAATCTCGCTGCATTTGCACCTTCTTGCCCATAATAGTATGATTCCCATCCCACCAAAACCGGGAAAAGTAAATGCATATTACGTTTCCAACGAAATAAGTCATAATGTAAGTAAACTAATGGCTCTCTACAGTTTAATATTTACCATTAGAATATAATTATTGGCGAAGGAGAAACGGTATTTGTCGAGGAATGTAAACCCACCCCAGAGCTCTGTTTGGTCACGGGAACTCATGGAGTCTGTGAATTACCTTTGAACCGAGGTATGTACATTGATTTATGTAGCAACCCCGCAGTTGATTCTACCGTTTTGCAGGGTATATATAAGAGTGAAGAAATAAGATCGCACCGGTCGTTTCGAAGCAAAACGTTAAAAACGCTTTCCTCACTTTTTTTGAAAAAAATAGAATGGAAGAAATGAGGCCGACATGAGAAGAAAAGCTCGAGAAAGCAAATTTGGCGTCTTTTTCAAAATCCCAAAATCGGTCTTATTTCTTCACTCTTATATGATAAACGACCGAGAATACAGGCACATTTTTAACAATATTTTTAGTGAAATCAACCGACTTCGAGTTAATATCAAATCCTGTCCATGAAGCCGCAAAACGAGGGAATGTGCAGCTATTAGAATCTTGTCTTCAACATGGAGTAGGTTAGAAATCCATTTAATTTAACTCTGACAGATGTCAGTGAACTCCCTAGACAAATCTGGATCAACTCCTCTTTATTGGGCTTCCCTGAATGGACATCTTAACGTCGTAGAGAGATTGCTTCAATGTGAGAAAGTCGACGTTTCATCTCAGGTATTTTTAAGTGCTTGTAAGTGTTAAACTTATATTCCAGAACAAAATGGGAGACACAGCATTACATTCAGCAGCCAGGAAAGGATACCTAAAGACATGTGAATCGTTGGTCAAAGCTGGTGCCCCTTTAAATGTGGCCAACAACGACGGAAAAACCCCCTTAGATTTATCGCTAAATCCAGAAATCTCATCGTTCATAAAATTATCTCTTGAAAAGATCCCTCCAGAAGATCACATAAAAGAATATCAGAGCTCAGACGAAGAGGAGACATAATTAGCGCTACGAGTACCTTAAAATATGTGATTTGAATAAATTATTGATAAATAAAGTGGATTGTAGACATGTAACCTAATTAAGAGCTAAGGATTTTCCGTGATTATAAAAACTTTTATCAGTTTTACGAGGAATACTTCACTCTGTCCGAACACCTTCTAATTTTTTACATTTCTCCCAGTTTTCCGTGATTGCAACGGAATGCCACACTTTTGTCTTTCGCTGTGTGAGGAGGCTATACGTTAGGCCATTTTATTCCTTTCGTCGAAAATATTTCAAGGCGGGTTTTCTTCTTTTTAGCACATTATTGTTGGGTTGGAATCTCTTATTTTTGCATACATGAATTTTATTAAATGTATGGATCGGGTAAAATGAAATTTGTACTTTTTACGCTATTAATTTAGGACGTTTTTGGGCGAAAGTTTTTCTTTTTTAGATGTTTAGAATTTGAGAGCGTTCTCGATATTCGCGAGTAAAAGACGAATCTCGGCGTCTACAGTGTTTTTGTTTAATGTTATTTTACCTTTTTTGAGGTTTAAGCAATGGCTCGACGTGGTAATAACGCGCTCCCTGGAAACCATTTCCGCAAGCATTGGCAAAGACGGATCCGCACCTGGTTCAACCAACCAGCCCGTAAAGTTCGCCGTGCTGAAACCCGTGTTCAAAAGGCCAAGGCTGTAGCTCCACGTCCAGTGAGCTTGTTGCGCCCAGCTGTACACTGCACGTCTATCCGTTACAACAGCAAGGTTAGATTGGGACGTGGGTTCACCAAGGAAGAGTTGAAGGCTGCCGGTATCTCTGTTGTTGAAGCAAAGCAATTTGGCATTGCCGTCGATCACCGTCGTGTAAACCGATCAGTTGAATCCATTGAGGTGTGTTTACTATCATCTGTTTTACGTTTTTTAGCGCAATGCTCAGAGACTCAAAGAGTACAAATCTCGTCTGATTGTCTTCCCCAAGAAGCTCAGCAAGCCAAAGAAGGGAGACAGCACTGTAAGTTTTATGCTTGCGATTTTCATATCTCTCTTTAGGAAGCTGAACTCAAGTTGGCTCAACAAGTAAAAGGCACCATCCTCCCAGTCAAGAACACTCAGCCTCGTATCCGTGCACAGGCTATTACTGAGGAACTCAAGAAATTCCAGGTATACAGACACCTTCGCAACATCCGAGGGGAAGAAAGAAACCGAGGAAAACGCGAGAAGGCCGCCAAGCTTGCTGCCGAAGACGGATTGGGATCTACCCGTCGTTAAGTGTTATAAATTTGTTGGATTTGTTATTAAACGGTTTATTTTTACGATTACTAGTGTATGGCAAAACCAGTTTATTAATTAGTTTTACATTTTGCTTACGGTTTGCATGGAGGGTATTTTAATCATGCGTTAGGGTGTAGTACTCATTCGCCATGTAAATTACCAGAATTGAGAGTTTGTTTCGGGAAAATCTTATTGTTCTTTATGAAGTTTTTCGTAGGCTCCATGGTTTTTGTAAGAAGCCACATATCCGGTGTTTTCCACCTGATCGACCCGTCCGGCCTTTCCCTTCCCTTTGCCTGTGGAGTCAAACCGTTCTTTGTGAGATCCTGTATATTTTGTGTGATCGGTCAACCTGTTGTAAACTCCATCCGCGTTTGCTTTGGCTGCATTTTTAATAACAGGAGCCTCCAGTTTGTTCAATTTTTCTATGATTTCGTCTAGTTCTGCCTGTAAACTTTGGATTTTCTGCAGGACCGCATTACATACCTGAACTTCTTTCTTAGAACTGCGGGCTTTATCGGCGGCCACATTCACCAAAACGGCCTTTGTTTCTGGGAAATTGGTCTTCTTCTTAGCCCTGAAGTTTTAAATTCTTTAGTTGACCACAATATATGACATACAGAAATAGAGCGGAACGATGACGTACCCTGCAACTTTGCTGAATGCGATTCCCGTCATGGTAGTTGTCACAGTCTTACCGTCGATAACACCGGCGTCCTTTAACCATTTGTCAAAATTTTTTCCCGTCATTTCAGTGTTTGTAGCAGCTCCGAATTTGGCAAAGGCCTCCCATCTGTAAATATTTTTTGATTTTCAAACTTCAATTTTTAAAGACTCAAATGGTAATTTGACTTTGCGCATTTTCTGAGAAGGGAACCTGATCCAGTGGCAAAAAACGGACCTGATCCAGTGGCAAAAAACGTATCATTTTGCATCCGGGAAGTATCAAAAATGTGGCAAAATGCTTTCCTCTCCAAGTGAAAAAACTCCGATTTCAAAAGCGCGCCCGCTCTTTTTGTGAGGGAAATGGCGCGGCCTTCAAAAAATTGCTTTTTCACTTACAAGGGATCGGCAAATAGTTGCAACCTTTAATCTTAACGAAACATATATCATTTGAAAGAGCGTTAAAAACAGTGCATAACGCAAAAAAAATTAGCTGCCTAATTTATGTTTGGACAAAGTTATGGCCAAAATACAGATTTTAGCCTAATTTAACGCGTCGTCACTTTATAAGCGCTTGGAATTGCAACAGAGTTGTGTCCAGCTGGCCGAGTGGCAGTGAGCCCACTTCCGGTGCAACAAGTCCTGGTTTCGAATCCGGGCTCTGTAAACGTTTTGCATTTCGTACCTTATACGCCACAAAACCATGGTATGGTGATATTTTTAAACAATTTGTGTTCCTTCGCAGGGAAAATTCATTTTTACAGGATTTTTTTGAATTTTTGGTTTTTTTTGAAACGACCAAAGATTTGATGGTGATGAGAGTGGGGATACCACTATCATATAATTACAAGGTGTCATCCCAGTAACCTGACCTATTATAATTACTGGACGAGAATTAAATTTACTAGGACCTGAAAATATACATTTTTTCTAAAAAATACGAAGAGAAAATTGTAAAATTGGGCAAAAGGCTATTGCTGACACAGTGGACCAACCGTTGGTAGGGCTAGGACATAAGAAATTTTTAATTTTGAGATTTTAGTTTGTGAACGACCACAACGATCATATAAATGTATTTCCAAAGCCTTTTGCTCCAATTTTCTCATTAACCTGGTTTTATTTACAATTTTTTGGAACAAACAGTAATGTCTAATAACTCATAACCGAGTACTGGTAGAGCCATAAAACGACCGTGGTAGACGTTTTTGGACACTAGAAAATCAAAGGAGACGATTTCAAGCCGCCAGGATTACTGTAATATAACAAGGAAAGTACTTCTATGGGGTGTGGAATTACCGGTCGAGATATATATCAAAAAATTCGCAAAAATTTTCTGATTCAGAATATATATAAATTAGCTGCCTAATTTTGGTCTGATGACATGTTTTTGTCCTCAGAAGTTTTCTCGCGACACAATGCAAGTGTCTTTTTGACCGTGTTCTTACCAATAAAAAAATTTTGTTTTGTGCTAAAATAAATTTTGAGGCCTTGACAAGCCTTAAAATATCAAATTGGATTACAACTACACCTTAAAGGTAATTCCAATGTAAAAAATGGGTTCTAGTGTGGCAAAAGGAATCGAACCCGTCCCCTTCGGATTCCCAATCTAGCGCTCTAACCACTCGGCCACACCGCTCTCTTCCGAAGGAAGAGACCGAGCGCGCTTTTGTTGCCGCAGATTTTTTTCCTCGAGAAATACATTTCTTGATAAAACTCGTTAATAGACCAAAATTAGGCAGCTAATTTTTATATATTCTGAATCAGAAAATTTTTGCGAATTTTTTTATATATATCTTGACCGGTAATTCCACACCCCATAGAAGTGCTTTCCTTGTAAGAAATCGGCGTTTTGGCCGCATATAACCACTTTCATAAAACGGCCATAACTTTGCTCAAACATAAATTAGGCAGCTAATTTTTTTTCGTTGTGCACTATTTTTAATGCTCTTTCAAATAATATATGTTTCGTTAAGATTAAAGGTTGCAACTATTTGCCGATCCCTTGTTAGAGAGGGAAGCATTTTGCCACATTTTTGATCCTTCCCGGATGCAAAACGGTACGTTTTTTGCCACTGGATCAGGTCCCCCACTGTATGTTTAAATCGATTTTGGCTTGGGGCATAGTCAGATCGAAAGGTGTGTGGTAGTCCATTTTTCGCTTGGAGGGAAATCTCTGCGCGGGACTTCAAAGCCGAGAAATTGGTTACTGGTTCGAAAAATTCGGGTATGTTCACCACGCGGGTATATTCGGGTATTTATAAAACAAAACTAATACTTTAACAATTAAAAAAGCTTTGCAATCCAACTTTCAGAATCCAAAAAAAAAATCACTGGAAATTTATGCAAATTTTTGGAGAAAAGTTATGAATAATTTTCAAATTGAAATTTTTTTTCGTGTCTTATGGCTGAAAAAATGAGTAAAAATTGATTTTTCATCCTCGAGTGAGCAGTATGCTTCTGATTTTAACATAACGCTCATTGAAATTTGAAATATAAAAAAAAATGAAAATCCAAACTTTTTGGTGATCAATTTCAGATCAAAAAATTCGCTGGACAAGAATATGTAAAAATTAGCTGCCCAATTTTGGTTTTGTAAGGACGAAAAAATCCTCAGAACTTTTCTCGCAACACCACGCAAATGTCCCTTTTTTACATTGGAACTACTATTAAGGTGTATTATTAATCAAATTTGATATTTTAAGGCTTTTCAAGACACCAGAGTTTATTTTAGCTCAAAACAAAACTTTTGAATTGGTAAAAACTTGGTCAAAAAAGCGTTTGCGGTTGCGAGAAAAGTTTCGAGGGTTTTTTTTCGCCCTTACAAACTAAAATTGGGCAGCTAATTTTTACATATTCGCGTTCAGCTTATTGCTGAAATACGTCTTGACCTGTAACTCCATACCACATAGAAGTACTTTCTTTGTGAAATGTCTTGACGCGAAATAAAAGTGGCAAAATTCGAAAAAAATTTTGCAACAACAAAGTTCACGTCCGTAACAAGTGCTTCAAAATTATAGGAGTAAATAGGAAACAATTGTCATCCTCACCCGATTACGTAAGTATAAATGATTACTTACCGTCTTCTCATCTCCTTGGGGTCACTCCAATGGAAGTCATATTTGGGCTGTTCTCCGTTATTACTCATCCTGCAAGCGTTCTGTGATTTCCAAACTTTGATGGAGGAGGAGAGGATAAAATAAAAAGGCGCGCAATCGACTTTCGAAATGTTCAAAAAACGGGAAATGAGAGGTGAAGGGAGATGAATTGAAGGTGAGGTGAAGAGAAAAAGAAGGAAGAAAAACAAGTCGGAATGACTGCAGGTCCCATTATGGAAGTCGAGATTCCCGAAGAGCAGAGAGCAAAACTGGAAATGTCCTCTGGCTGCCGCCGGCCAAACTGCGCGCCATGTGGCCGTCTCCTTGATTGTCACTCTTTCGAAAGAAAAAGACCACCACTTTATATATCGCATGCAAATTTTTCGGCCGAACTCGGTTTCGGGTATCATAGTGTAATATAGCGGAAAAAGCCGGACTAATTACGTGGGCTCAAGGCCAATGGAATACATAGAATATTACGAACAAATAATTGCCCGGCAACCGGTCTTTTTTAGACACTAATATAAAAGACTTGATTAGCAACAGAATATTCGAGGAAACTTTTCCCAAGACCGAAAGAAAAGCACAAGAATACCATTGACCATATTCAGACCACAATTACTGCCTAACCCATGCAAGATCCTTGTTAATCGACCATTTAAAAACATTTTGCTGCCTAGCATCAGAACGGTACATGTATCCAGACGATCCCGCAATCAGAGATGTTTTCCAAATACACAGGTCATCCGTGTGAAGGTAGTGGTTCTGGTTTCGTTTTTTGAGATTTTGTGGGGCCCGAAAAAGCGGCCGAGAAAAGGGCTGCTTCTCGAGCCGGCTTTACGCGCGGCCTTAATCGATAACGACGAAGAGAATTGGATTCTCCCATTTCTGGTCTATAGAAACTGAATATGACTTCGTTCTATGAAGCCGCAACCAGGTAAGTTCCGAGTTTTTTTTAGAGATGACGTGGGATAAGTGGACTTGTGCGAACTGGCATGTGTTTCCAAAAGACCAGCAAACTTTGACAATTTGTATTATAGCGGTCGAAACTATGATCGTTTTGCGACTGATGATTTGATGGGCGAGAATACATTAATCAAGATGAAGCAACACTTCTGGACTGCCAAACAATTATTGCGCAATAAATTAGGCAAAAAAGAAGACGACTGTTTAACGGCTTCGGATGCTGAATTCGACTCTAAGTTGACGTCATTTTATTCGATAAGAGATTCGAGTAGAAATTTAATGGCTGGGTTGGAAGATCTCCATCATTTCTTTGGCAGTAAGGATAAGGGAATGAACAAAATATAGCCAAGTTTAGATCTTCAGGAAAACAACAAAGCGATGGGAGTTCTTCTGATAAAACAGTCACGCTTTCAGAAAGCCCATGTGGCGAAAGCAATGGAATCAGTGGGACAAGCACAAAGTTATGCATATAAAAGCAGGTAGAAACACTCTTGATGACCATCTTTTCTTTAGTGGTACTGCTTTGAACACGATGGTGAAGATGTATAGAGACCTTGACACTTTCTTCGACCGGGCTGTCAACGATTGTGCCATCACTGTGGAGGCGGCAGAGAGAGCTCGGACGGAGTATCGGGGATCACTCCTTTGGATGAAGAAGAGCAGTGAAGAAGTAACAGATAGCTGTCTATAACGTAATATTATTAATTCGTCCACAACTTTTCAGTTGGATCCCGAATCCGAACAACTAATGGACCAATACAGGACAGCACAAGCCATATGTAGACAAAATAAGGAGAAGTTTGACCAGCTCAAAGAGGATACCTTCCACAAGACCGATGTTTTAAGTCAGAGCAGGACGAAACTACTAGTGGCAACTACACAAAGATATATTGAAGACATTGGGGAGTACATCCAGGAGATGTCCAAATCGTATTCTCAAGTAGCGGATGAGTTGAAGGACATTGACAATTACGAGATTGATGTTCTTACGGTAAGTCCGATGGATAGGTTACTCTATTTTCAGATCTTAAATGATCCCATGTCGTTGGTTGTAGAGAAAAACAAGGCTGAGAGACCAGAAGTAGAAGATATCCCGTAAGTTCTCCCAATTTTTAAATCATGCCTAAGGCCATCAAGAAAAGGAGAAGATGAAGATCGTAATGAATGTGAACAAGGTGTTAAATCGGACTTAATTGGCTTCGAATCAGAGCCGGAATCAGATAAAAGTCGGGCGGATAGCCCTTTAGGGGAGCTTCCTGAGACAATTAAGCCAGAGAACCTCCTGGAAGATCCGAAAAGTTTCGTGGTGGGACCTTTGCCAACCTTATACAGCCAAGAAAATCAACAGTTTCCCAAAATAGAACCACCTTCCGGCTGGATCAACAAGGTTAAATGTGGTGCCCAGGACATACTGAACTTGAATACGGGTAATCGATCGGAGTTTATGCCTTCCGAGCTTGTGAATCAAGCTCTGGAGTTGTCCAAAGAGAGATCGACCGGGGTGAGTTCCCGGAAAGCATAATCTTTATTGTCATCCTTTAGGAATGGGATGATTGGATTACTCAATTTGATCCACTGCAACAGAATCAACAACAGAACAGTTCAGAAATTTGAATAAAATAATTTATTTGCATTTACTGACTACTTGTGACTGTCGAATTAGATATGGAGCTGTTTGAAGAAAAAGATTTCCGAGATCCGCCGCTATAGGAGCTGCTTCTTCGTGTAGATGAGGTGCTGGATCGGGACTGGGCGAGCTCAGCCTTTCTTTCAGATATTTTGATCAGTTTTTCGAGGAGTCTGCCGTTTTCTTTTTGTATTCTCCGGTTTTCTTCCCTTTTCTAAAGGGGTTCAATTTGGATAGTTAAGATATAAGGATGGTGACATACGGATCAAACCGGGTGTCGTGGCCAGAAACCGTGATTTCTGTCTGTTAGGCCTCTAGACAAGAAATGCGCAATTCTTGCATGAGCAGAGAAAAAAAACTCCACAAGGAGGGAGCTGAAATTTGGGCAATGTTACGCAATTTGAGAATTGCGCATTTCTTGTCGAGCGGCCTAACAGACAAAAAATCGCGGTTTCTGGCCACGACACCCCATTTGATGCGTATGTCACCATCCTTATATTTACCTGGAATGAGTTGAATCTGGAATGGCAGACCGACTTGGACCTCTTGGTGTCTATCCTCGGCTCAATGTCCATCACCTAAATCCCTTAATTAGACATCACATCTCACAATTAGAGCCCATTCACACGCAATCCGTAGTTGGACGGAAATTCATGCATAAAAGATGACATACCCTCTGGCGATGTTGTATGTACGCCCTCATCTGAGCATGCTTGTAGACCGGATTATTTGAATCGTTGTGGTGCATGTCCTTAGAACAAAAAATGTAATAACTCCAATGGAACAGAGTAAAGCCATCCTTAACCAGGCCCTACTTTGTAGTTATGGTAACGGCCAGGTGGGCCATAAAGGGGCGCTGTAAACTCCCGGGCTTTTTCCCCGCAGGCACAGCCACGGAAGAGCAGAGATAGCATCATCCCCGGCCTTGTTCCTCTTTTTTTCACCTTTATTAGCACACCAAGAGGTGCTGCATCTCATTATCAGTCCAGTCCTCCCTATTTCTGCGCTCGAGGATTGTTCCTGGAATTAATTTTGGTCAACAAACTGGCGGCCAACGGAAAGACAGAGGGCTCTGACAATGGCAAAACCGCGAGACATCATCACAATCTGCAGGTATTCAGCCGCGGGATTCTTTTCTTATCATTTGAGTTTAGGACAGACAAGGGAAGACTTTGTTGATCTATAGTTGTATCAAAGGCCAGTTGAACACTGTTGAAGAACTCGCTGCAGACCACAACATTGATCCTAACATCCCCGACAATGAAGGAAATACAGCTCTGATACATGCATCTGCTGCAGGTAACCTTTAAAAAATGGTAATTACTTATTACAGGGCATGCGAAAGTAGTACAAGTCCTGGTCGATCGCTTTCCAAAAATAAAAATAGACCAGGTAAATAAACTGGGGCAATCAGCTCTGATGAAGTCGGCGATTCAAGGAAGGACAAACTGCGCCAAAATACTTTTGCGTGCCGGTAAGTGGAACGTCGTCTTTGTTCATGGAATTGATATAACCAAGGTGATTTATATCTGGCGGCAAGGTCGGTATGCCGATGATTTTTTACGCCTACTTGCCAAAAAAAAGTTGCAAAATCTCAGCGGTTTCGGCCGAAAATAATTCTTCAAGACTCTGGGAAGGCATAGAAAGGTCAATTCAAGATTTTTTTTTGAAATTTGGTCGGTTGAAAATAGCGAGTGTCAGCTCCAGAAAAAAATATTTTTGTTAAGTAGGCGTAAAAATTCATCGGCATACCGACCTTGCCGCCAGATATAAATCACCTTGGTTATATTATGCCACAAAAAAGATTCTGCTGCATGGAAATCGGGCTGGGTAGAGAGAAAGAAGACTGACAAGGGCTCGGCAAAACCCAGCATACTGGTTTTTTTTGGAGACCTGTACCGTTTGAAAAAGCGGGAAAACTGGTCTAGAAGCAACTTTTATAAGCTTTTGTTTCTGCTCTGCGTGATAATATTCTAGCCTAACATTACCGTTCCTTTGGGAAAACAAATGCGATTGACTTCAAAAGCACAGCAGTTAGCAACACAAAACCGATCGATGCAAGACCTAGGACAGGCGGGGAGCCAAAAAAAGATGTTGGGAGGTGCCAACCAGGCCTGCTAAAGCCGTTGAATGCTTGGCGGAGACTTAATATGACTGCTTTCTCCAACTTTATATAGCTATTGCCAAACCCTAGTTTTCTTAATCCTAACTAGTAAGCTATTGTAGCATGGAGAAGACTAAAAGTTACTCTAAAAACCGAAGAGATACAAAAAGTCTGCAGAACAGTGCTGTAAGTATTGATCCAACGGGAAACACGCCTCTTTTAAAATAGTAAACCCAGTGATGTATTAAAAAAACGTAATTCAAAAGGTGCAACAGCGCTTACCAGAAACCGGGATTGTTTTTCCAGAAAGCCCAGAAGTGGGTGGTATTAAAGAATATCCATTATCTGCCCCGAGGGTCTGTCGTTAGTTAGGAGATGGCGGTTTCAGCAGTATTAAGGAGTGCAGTTATTTAGGTCATCATAAAAAATGTTGCTGTATAAAAATTTTTTTGGCTTTCATGCCAACTGTGATGCAAAATATCCTGCTATATTAATTATAAATATTGGGCCGATACCCTGCCCCAAACGCAAAGCCCCAAATAAGACATGCTATACAAGTCTTTCACCAGGATGCGAGGTTTTTCCGAGCCCTCCTGAATACAGAACTTAGGTCATTATTAACGTTTTCTGCCAAATTTTCACATATTCAAAATTTCGCGCAGTTTTTAAAATTTTCACAACTAGAAACAAGAACGGGACATAACGAGTTATTTTATTTATTTTGAGGTGCGGATCCATACAAACGTGACTTTGGTCGGCAATTCTGTGCTCTCGAATGGGCCGAATACGTTGGTCGTACTGAATGTGCACAAACGATCGCTCATTTCATGTTGGAGCCGGGCCACAAGGTCCCGGATAAGAAGTTGTCGACGGCTTCTGATAACTTGAAGCAGGTTGCTTGCCTCGTGGCCATCCCTCTGATCGGTGGAGATATGCCGGTGATTGCCAGGCCACGAGTACGATCTGCACCTCCAATACCCGCTGTTAAGATAACCCCATCGGATGGCAAGTTCGTTCTCAACAACCACAAAAAGGCCGCTCGGTCAGTTTCGCGGCCTACCAGTTCATTGGCCTAGTTGATTGACCAACACGGTGCTAATCCGAATCCGAAAAACTTCGGCATTCGGCCGCCACGCAACCTTCGAAGACGGGAACAAACGAAGCATCGTCTTCCACCAGCAGCAATTCGTATGGCGCATTCGGATCTTCAGCATGTGATTTGAAATAAAGTCTGAAGCAATACTTTAATTAGGACTCAAACAACTTGCCTTTTCTTCGCTTTAGAGGAGATGGACATGTATTTCCTGAACTCTTTCAACGTGATCTTTGATTTTGGGACATGCGCGACAATAGGAACTCCGTCAGAACCCTTTAGGCTGAGTTTGGTCGGGATGTTATGGGAGCTGAAAAGAATGGTGGGAAAGAATTGCCTGCTTACTCTAAGCACTGATTCTTGCTCGACATTTCTCTGGCCTTTTGGAACACCATTGCTCGATGCTTCTTCTTAATGGGTAAAGAAGCGTTGGACAAGTAGGTGGTGGCCATGGATCCGATTCCGGAAGTATCGTCATCATATTCATATCTGGATGGCTTCTTGCTTTTACAAGAATTGCTCGACATATTATGGGACACTCCCGACATCGACCAACTCATTGGATCGAAGACTTCCTTCTTAGGGCGATCGGGAGAGCAAGATCCTATAAAAAATATTAGTATTTCCTTCCGTTAGTCGTGCACATATACATAAAAGGTAGAACTTACTTGGAGAGCGGCGCCTGTTCTTGAATGACCCATTCAATGGGGATTGTCGTGTCGGAGAAGGTTTGTTGGAATCCATCATTCTTCTCTTCACATAGGAGTCCAGATCGTCGTCATCATCAGCGAAATCATAAGCCGAATCAGACTTTCCGACGAAGATGACGGCGTCCCGGGCCGAGAAATTGTTCCTCTTGTCGATCTCCTTGATTTTCTCATTCATTTTCTCTGTTCGATTCTGCTTTCCATCCAATATTGTAAGTTTTTTGATGAGCAAGTCGGCAAATACTCTTCGTCCATCGTCTGTGTCATGGCGGAAGGCGGGTTGAGGGCCGTTAAAACTACGCTAAAATTTTTTTATTTCAATTATTATACAAAAAAAATTATTTGATACTGTATTCTTGATGGACTTACAGTATCGTTGGGCACTAAAGGATGTTCCTTATTGTAAGCCTTTTTCCGTTCATTAGACAAGTTGGAAGATACTGTAGAATCATTCTTGCTTGTTGTGGCGTTACACACATAAGGATGTTTCAGGGTCGTCGAATGAATCCCAAAGAGACGCTCAACATGACTGAAAAAAGGCTGATTTACAGAAATAGCTGTTACCTCTGACCCAGAACCAAATCTCGATCATGCTGAGTTCGGAGTAATGTTCGCGATGTCAGCTTGGTCTCACGTCGATGTGTGTTTGTTTTATATTTTGAATCAAAAGATGAATGTGTTGCGTCGACGGAAGAAGTGGATGGGCGTTGAATATGCCCTGTGGAACGTTCCACGGAATTCCACAAGTCCAGAAACTCCTGGGACTGATGGAAGGATTGTAATTGGGCCTGGAGGAACTTTCTCACATAAGGGATGCATTCATCGAACAGAGATTTATCGATAGGAAAGTTTTTGTCTTGCAATCTCTGCTGTATTCTGTCACTTATTCGTCGATCATTGAAGATGCAGAGCTTGTTATTATCACTCAGATATTCCTCATGTATTTCTTCTGCCAATTTTCGCGCATCTGAATCCCTCACTTCAAACATTTTTTTGAAGGCGACAATCGAGAAGTGAAGATTAAACGGAAGGGCATTGCTCTCGTTCTGGATCCATTGCATGAACGCCTTCAAACATTTGCCAATGATTATTTTTTAATGACACTTACTTCACAAGCATCCCCATCCTCCAAGACCTGATCCAGATCTGCCCACCAATAATCTTTCCTCATTACGTCAGTTTCATGAATAGTTAATTGAGCTTGGGAACTGTCCTGAAGGACGGCGTATTAGGACAAACGAAGAAGGGGTATTAAACGGATTAAAAACGCGTTTAAAAAGAAATAAAAAAGATGCTCTGACTCCAGCCACGCCACATGTCTGCCTCCTCGGTTCAAGGAATGAGAAAGGCTTTTCCATCTTATTTTACCCCTCTCCATATTCAGAAAGACCTCGCGCCAGATGACCCGAGCCATGGCCCCGGTTGGATCCCTAAAGGGGGGGGGCGCAATCAGCAACCCGCCGAGACTGATAGCCATGGGAGACGGGTCTTTGCGGTGCGCTTGCTTCGTTTTAAGCGGAGTCGTTAACACAGCCCTCATTTGATGTTTTGCCGCCTTTCGGATGCGAAAAATGGAATATCACGATAAGAAACGACGAGTGAACGAGAAGGGATTTAATAGGAAAATGAAGACGAACAACATCGTCATCAGAAGGCCGACGTCCAGTTTGGCGTTGAATTGGTCTCCCTTTCGACTGCCCGTCCTTCCTTCATTTTTCTTTTTTTTGCTAGGACAGGCGGCGTGATCAAAGGAACAAAGCACCCGCCCTTCCTTTGCTCCCCCCCCTGGTCCGTTACTCTGACCTCAAGTGCTTGCCATGGCGCTAAAGAAAATGGCCCAATGACAGTCTTTCAATCCTGAATACTTTAAGCCACTCATAGTTTACTTTTATCACAGAATATAAATATTAGTCTGTCGGGAAAATAATGCGGACTTCCCGCGCCTTGGAATCGCCAATTATCGGTTTGCGACGGCTAGGCGCGGCTGGGGATTTGGTGCGTGAATGTGACGACAAGACATTTTGCTACGACGAGTCCACATTACCCTCCCGACAAACTGAAAGATAACATAAACATTCACCAAAATTGTCGTTTTCATGGAGCATTAAGAGTGGCAATTGTAGTTACAATGAAGTCCTTCAGCCGCTCGACCTTCTCATTCTTTGCTTTGCCGGAATTCTCGTAAATCTTGACAACATTGAGTAAGAATTGCATGCGGTCCAGATCAACTTGACTGTTGAACCAGTTGATATACTCTTTTCGAGTCCAGTCGGCTGATTCATAAGGTAGCTGGAGATTGGCGATCCTTATTCCCAACTGGGTTATAAACCAACAAGGGATCTGTTTGACATCGTAGTTGTAATCTATTTCCTCAGAATTCAACAGTTGCGAGAGGAGGTTTCTGTTATTCAGAAATTTGGACGAATTACAGTTTAAGCTCTAAAATTTACTGATATAATTCTCCAGTAGTTTTGATAAAAAAAAAATAAGAAAACTTTCAATGATTACCTGCAACATCTTGCACAAAGCTCCAAAATCTTTGACTAACCGTGTTCTGACCAGAGGAGCGAAAGTCGTAGTCAATGTGCTGTTGAGGAGGAACTGTTCGATGATAAAGTTTATAAAGTTGGGCAACGTTTCCAGGGATTCTGCCAAGGGTTCAATGTGGTTGATATGGGTCCGAAAGACTTTCAAATGGTCACACAACTCTCCCATGTACAAAGAGCACGGCGATTGTTGCAGTTCTCGATTAAGATCTTCTTCGTGCATGGAATCCAAAACCAGAATGATGGTCTCCTTCATCGTATCAACTATTAATCGGAGCTGGGGATCGATGAAAGCACGGATACAGTCGGAATAAAGAGGCCATTGTCTGTAATCGTATATATTGACTTGATAGAACCTACTTTCTGAAGGCATATGCGACACTTAAGAGCTGGTAATTAGCGGCCTGAGCCTTGCTGACTCTGCCGCTCAATCTCAGAACCTCCGGATTTACAATTATCTGTTCTTCTATCTTGGCAGCGATAATTTGCAATGTTTTCGCAACATTCCCCTCCACTTGTTTTTGCAATTCATTGTCCCAGGAAAAACTGTTTATCTCGGACTTTATGGCGCCATTCAACTGGAACGGAGAGGTATATAAATTAAAAGATGATACCTTTTCCACAATGACGGGGCCCTTTAGATCTTCCTGGGAGAAGGTATCATTGACAAGTTCGAATAAACGAGCTAATGATTGACTCAAAATGGCCGTCTTTAATGGCCCCAGGGCATCTCTGATTGGCTTCACAATAGCCTCGGCGTGAGGTAGTAAACATTTGCTGACAGTCTGCACTAATCTCATCATATACTCGGTTTCCACTGGCATTCGATTCCTTAAGATTGTTGCCACCTTATTCGAAAAGTACAACGCATTCTCAGCTCCTGCAAAAACGGAAATCTTGGCGAAGAAATTTTTAGCATATGGAATTTGGAATGCTGGAAGGCTTGTGTTGAGCCATTTCCCAGCTTTGTATCGTTATCCGAAGCTGCCTTACCCGCGCCGAACGCTTGATAACAAAAATATAAGAAAATATCCGCTTTTCAACGATCAGATATCACAACGAAGCGTTTAAGATTGGCATGATGACCAAAAGTACCATAAAAGTCATCGCCCAATGTACTACTTCCGCGTTGGGAAAGAAAATATTTATTTTGGGCAATAAACCGGGGCATATTGAGTAGCCAAATTTTACATATAAGAGGGGTTCCGGGTAAATTCAAATTTTTTAGCAATTTTTTCTTCCGCATTGTATCAGGAAAAAAAATTAGCGAAGTGCGAAAAATCCATTCCACCGTTCAGGACAAGTTTTATCCTGTCTTGGGCTCTGCACATTGCAGGTAAAAAATACAATATGGCCGCGTCTGATTTTTTTCGATTATCACGACCGAAAAAAATTTGAATTTACCCGGAACCTCTCATATATTCCTAATCAGCATGATTTTCGCTGACCGAAAATGCAAATCTTTTTGTGTATAACTCAATGCTTAGCAAAAAATTTGATGTGAAAGTTTCGGATGCTACTCTTAAACGTATAGTGGTATATTTTGCCAACCTTTTTTTATTTGCGGACAGTGCGCGTCCATTTACGTGTTTTTGAGATAGGTCCCGTCTAAAAGTATGAGCCCCCATAAAAGTATTATATTTGTCTTGTAAAACCAACCTAAAACATGAAATCTCTCCAAGTAGGTATGAAGGTTGTTTCCAATCCTTGAGAGCTGTCTCGAAACGCCATCACTTGTCTTGGCCGACAGTAAATTCATAAACAACAAGTCGATCGATTGCAGCGATTCGTCCATAATTGCCCTCAATTCCTTCGTACAACCATCGTGATCGAAAAGATATGAAAACGCCTTCAGGCAAGTGTTGACATGAGAAACATTAAGCGTCGACAGAGACTGTTTCAGTTCTTCAACTGCTTCACTGGACGTTTGGGCACAAATTACAGTAACTTTCTTTAAGAAGCCATTATTTATCCAGGGAACTGAAGCGAATATTGTGTTTTCCAGACATAATGCCTTCAGTTCGTTGGCACATTCAGCTTTGGTTAACATGTCCCTTTCCTCCTTTTCCCAAATACGAATCAGTTCTTGGCATCTAAAAACTTATAACATTAAATTGATAATATAACAATAGTGCGACCTAAAACTTTTTCGTCTTGACTGGCAAAAAATCCCGGTTTGTGGAGATTTGGCTGTCGAGCTTCCAGCCAAGAGATGCGAAATTCTTCACTGACAAGGGAATGGTCTCCCCCAGCGCTTGGGAAAATGACTGGTACAGGTGGATAGAGCAGGTCTCACACCATTCCCTTGTGCGCATTGAAAAAGAGAGAAAAAAATCTCTACGGGGAGAGACCAAAAACTTTCGCAATATTGCGGAAATGTTACGCAATTTGAGTCAAAATAAGACGAAATATATTACATCGCACAATCATTACATGTATTACGTTAACAAATTATACTTTTTCCCCACCTTAACGTATCCGAAATCACTCTGGAAAACAACACCAAATTCTCCATGGCATCACAATCACTCCGTAAATGGTCATAGCTCTGGGCAAAGAAATGCTTAACTTGTTTGGCTTTATCATCCACCATTCTCATCTCTTCGTTGAACCCAGATTGAACCCGATCCAAGGTTTCAATGGCCCCGACTTGTTCAAGCAACTTCGGGTAGTTCTCTTCCACCTATAACCAAAATGTTAGATACCTTATTAAACTTTCTCAGGCATCTTACCCCTTTTCTCAACTGGATGTGTAAATCAGACTGGATTGAGCGTACTTTTTGGGAAAGAGCGTCCAAATCTACGTTATCATCTTCCACCACCTTCCTTAAATATTCTGTTTCGTCCACTTTCCCCCAAATCAAGTCTTCCACGGTGCTGATCATAGACATTCTAAACAAACGGGTAGCAAATAAAACAGCACCATTCCGAGATATCTTCATGTAAACTACATGTACAAGAAGTTCTAGTATAAACACTTCAACAATTTAACAGACCTAATAGTTAAACAACAACACTATGAGTAAATCGATTTCAACTTCGGAAGAATGGTTTGAAGATTAAAATCTCTAAAAGCAGGATCAATTGCCAGTGGCTCGAAGATATCCGTAACAACGCCTCTGGCGACTGTCCTGGTTCGTCCTTCTCTTATCGTAAACGCCATGTTCTTCTTGATGGGGACATCATTTACAAAGAAAATCTCGGCCTCAATGTGTTCCCCAGGCATCAACAACTCCTGTTTGAAATGAAGTTTGGCACTAACATCCCAAGTAGAGCAGAAGACGCGCTCAGTGTACCCGGAACGAATCGCAGTCTTCCTTCCATCCTCTTCAGGCGACAATAAGTAGACGTTGGCTTTAATGACGTTGCTTGTAAGGATCGTCCCAGGCTTTCCTAACCACATCCCTCGTCTAACTTGAGATGCCTTCAACCCTCTGCATAAAATGCCACAATGATCACCAGCCACCACTTGTAAAGCACTCTTTTTGAATACTTGGATGTCAGTCACCACTGATGTAGAATCCATATCGAATCCCTTTATTTGAACTTGTTCTCCCTTCTTTAATCTGCCCTGAGAGAGAGTGCCAACTACCACAGTTCCACGGCCCGTGATCTGAACAGAAGATGCGATTGGCATGAGAAGTGGAGCATCCTGCAACCAGAAATTGTCAATTCAAAAGAAAATATAAAAATTACCGAAATAATGACCCCTTATGTTTGATGTGACTAATTTCGTCCCCTATGATGGAAAATTTTACTAACAAGGAAATCACTTCTATGGGGTATGGAGTTACGGGTCGAGACATATATCAAAAAATTTGCTGAAAAATAATATGTAAAAATTAGCTGCCCAATTTTGGTTTGTAAGGGTGACAAAAACCCTCAGAACTTTTCTCGCAACACCACGCAAATGCGTTTTTGACCAAGCCTTTACCAATTAAAATTTTTTGTTTTGAGCTAAAATAAACTCTGTTGTCTTGGTAAGACTTAAAGTATCAAACTTGATTAAGACTGCATCTTAATAGCAGTTCCAATGTAAAAAAGGTAGTTGTACGCCAACAAGGGCTAGAACCCGTGGGTAGATTACTATCGGGTTTCCAGCGTTCTAACAACTCGGCCACACCGCTCTCTTCCGAAGAGATCGAGCGCGTTTTCCATTCCGCGGATTTTTTTCCTCGAGAAATACATTTACAGGGTGCGCCAATAAAATCTGGACTAATGTTTTTGCTTGCCCTGCGGGATGTAACAGTACGAGAACAAAGTGAGCGATTGGGGATACGTGTAATACGTCCAAGAAGCTGTCTTTAAAGTTTCAGACAAAATAATCGTCTACGACACTTGTTTTGCCATTATAAGTGCTTACACCTAAGGCGCCTGAAACACGGACCCCAAATTGGTCAAAAAATGGTTGCGCTATCTTTACCGTTTTATGCTATGGGCTGAAATTTACTTTTTCTGATAGAGCTCCGGTCTGTTTTTATACACTGAAATTGATTTTGCCTCATTATGACAATTAGGCTTTTTACAGCTCGCCAAAGTTGGCTTAAAAACGGGCCCCTTTTCCCGAGAACTTCCGTTAAATCAAAGATTTTTATGTAGAAGTTTCCCTGTGTGATTCCAAACATGTTAAGCACCAGAGCTACTTTTGTAAGGATAACCAGAGTCAGCCTAGTCGCCTTTCAAAAAGGATTTTTCCATCTGCTGCCTCTGGGGATGAAATAGTGGCTGTAGGGGCATAATTTACTATATCCTCGCTATTCGAGCGAGCTTGGACTAGATATTTCTAAAAGTGATTTGGCTACATCAGCATGTATCCAGTATACAACTCTATGTTGATTTTTACGCTCAAGGCCTTTCATACTTGTTGCAAACTGCCAAAACGTTTCAAGTTCCGAATGACCGTGCCTTGAATTCCCCCCATGAACTTTTATTTATGCAGAAACTGTCCCCTTGTATGTGCGGATTTTCTTTTACACTATAACAATTGGCTATGTATACGCTCTGTAATCACGGAATTTTGGAGCAACACGACCTATAATCTGGCGTTGAGATCCTTAAAAACACAAAAATCCAAATTTTTGGGTATTTTTTTGTTTCCGCCACCAGCGCCGCCAGATCGGACACCAACCCTGGTTCCGTAGGCTGTTACAAAGACAACAGCACGTACTTTATATACAATAAATTTGAAGAACGTCAGTAACCAGTAGCAGAAATAATGGAAGAATTAATATCCCAGTCATCATCGGGAAAAAAAATTTCTGCACCTCCAAAAAGTTTTGATTATTTTTTCAGTCTTGCAATAGGCATCGACCTGGTCATTACCGTTGCTGTATAGCACGGTTGTTACCCTTTCTAAAAGTGCTAAAAGTTTCCGTTCTCAGGCCATCCGAAAAAGGCTATATGGAATTTAGTTTTGTCCAGATTTTATTGGCGCACCCTGTATAAAAGTTATTGATAGACCAAAATTAGGCAGCTAATTTTTACATATTCTGAACCAGAAAAATTTTGCTGTTTTTCTATATATGTCTCGACCTGTAACTCCATACCAAATAGAAGTACTTCCCTTGTAAAAAAGGCCCTCAATAAAAACGCATACTTCTGATCGTTCCGGCTCGGGAAGCGAGTCCAATACTTTTAATAGTTCCTCAACTGAAGTTGTGTCAAGTCCTTCCAATGCCATCAACGCGGATCCCTTCACCACTGGAGCGTGTTCTCCTAAAGTAAAAAGCAATTATAAAATTATAACAAAACTTAACCATCAAATCCATGCTCAGAAAGCAATTCCCGAGCCTCAAGCTCAACCAACTCAAGGTCCTCTGCACCTACAAGATCACTCTTGTTTATGAACACAATCATGTTCTGTAAACCGATTTGTTTTGCCAATAGAATGTGTTCCTTTGTCTGTGCCATCACTCCATCTGTCGCCGCGATCACAAGAACGGCCGCATCCATCTGAGCTGTCCCACAAATCATATTCTTTATGAAGTCACGATGTCCGGGACAGTCTGTGTGAGAGTATCGTCTGGTCTCTGTCTCATATCCTATATGTGCAATGTTTATTGTAATTCCTCGCTTTCTTTCTTCGGCCGCTTTGTCAATTTCGTCGAATTTAACAAATTTCGTTTTCCCTAAAGAAATTAATAAAGCCAAAATAATAATCCACCTTTCTTTGATAGCACTCTAGTAATAGCTGCCGTAAGAGTAGTCTTTCCATGATCTACATGCCCAATCGTTCCAACATTGTAATTGACTTTAGTGTTTGATCCGGCTGCTACACTGTAAAACCTGAGACCAGACACCGTTACAATCTGCTTTGGAGTCCTAATGAAGCTGGATGCTGCCCTCAGCAGATACATCTTCTAGTTTCCAGCGCGGCAAACGGATTTTTTTTAAAATTCTATCAGCAAGCTGCGCCCATAGATAAACATGACGTTTTATGCACATCTTATACCGGATGTTTATACGAGAGGTAAGGTTCGGACGGCGTATATACCCAAATACCCGTGAAGCCGGGTATTTTCGGGTTTTTATGGGAACTTTCAAAGTACTTTTGCATCCAAAAATGTAAAAAAAGTGGATTTTGGTCAACACAAATCAATGAGTGTTGACATTTTGTCATAATTTGTTTTATGCCGTTCAAAACATGGTTTTTGATGTCAAAAAGTAGTTAGCGAGGTGCCGAAGTAAGACGAAACGGAAAAAAGTCCAAATCTGACTGCGAAATACTGGATCATTAATTTTTTTTCAGTGCTAGGTACGGTTGCAAGCGTGTCTTCTGAAATTGATCACCCAAAAATTTGAATTTTCATTTTTTTATATTTCAAATTGCAATGATGAAATCAGAAGCGTACTGCTCACTCGAGGCTGAAAAATCAATTTCGACTCATTTTTGCAGCCATTAGACACAATTTTTTTATTTGAAAATTATTCATTTTAACGCCAATAATGCACCAATTTCTATAAAATTTATATCAAATTGAAGCTGAGGCACCCCATTTCTTGTCCACCAAATATGGCCCGTCTAACTTCACGGAGGAACCCGCACTGACCTTTTATATTTTCATTCCAAATTTTGGAGCCCGAAATCGGTGAAACTTACAGGGGAAGTACTTCAAGTGTGACGCTCAGATTTTCTTTAAATTTTGCACACACATCGGGTATGGACTAAATATCAATTCCTGAAAGTTTTAGCTCGCGCTTTGCGGGCGCCGCCGAGATATTGAACGATTTTTGCCGCCGAGAGAGCACGCTCAACGTGGAGAGCGGTCAGAGAGAAAACCGCTTTTTGGCCATAACTTTGGCAGTTTCGTGCGGAAAAATTTGATTTTTTGTAGAAACATTATTCTTTACGGTTGAAATAGGCATGAAACTTTTCGTGCCGAAATTCGGCAAAAAGTCCCAAATTTTCGCCGACTTTCGATCTAAAAATCTCGGTTGTTTCTGCAAAGCGCGAGCTAGGATTCCCGCATATATCTTAGAAAAAATTATTCTAAATTTGTGCCAAGTTTCATCAAAATCTGAGCGTCACACTTCAAGTACTTCCCTTGTTAGAAATTTTTTGGAATGATTTTCAATTGAGTTTCTCGGACTTTGAAAATTTTTGGATTAAAGGCAAGAAAAAAGTCGCCAAATTTGCGGAAAAAATTTTAAAACATTAAAGTTTACGTCCGTACCAAGTGCGTTAAACCCATATTTCAATCAGGCGAGGTACCAATTTGGCGAATGAGAACGAAAGCTGTTTTCTCGTGCAATCTAAGTCTGGAATGTTTCTATGCATCTTCGGGGTGGATGTCGTCATGCATGTAGACAGTTTTGCCCATTTTTTAACATTTTGAAAAATTTCGAATAATTAAGCCTATTGCCTCAGAACGCAAAAGCAACGCTTGAACAATAATTTTGACTATTCCGTTGACTGCCACCATTTTTTTCTGCTGCTTACAGGAGTTTTATTTAGCCAAAGGCGCGAACATTTTCCAATTCCGAGAAACTCAACTGGAAATCATTCCAAAAATTTTATAAGTTTCACCGATTTCGGGCTCCAACATTTGGAATGAAAATGTAAAAGGTCAGTACGGATGCCTCCGTGAAGCTAGACGGGCCATATTTAGTGGACAAGAAATGGGATGTCTCAGCTTCAATTTGATATAAATTTTATAAAAATTGGTGCATTATTGGCGGAGAAATAATTGAAAAAAGGTTGGGAGTTTCGAGTGGCCCACCCTGTATGTTGGACCCAGAGATCATTGCGGTTAGAATGAACCTAAAAATGACAAAATCTGGTTCGGCGCAGTTGAAAACTTGTAGTTTGAAGTCGGCTGGCACGTGGCTCAATACCTAAATAGGGGATTGCGTTTTACGTGAACATTTTACTCTGTGTTCATGGCCCGGGCCGGGTTGCAGTCATGCTTAGTCCCCTACCTTTCTTAGCGGACCTCTTCGTCCCCGATCGTTAATAACAACGCTTTACTGGAACATGGAGATGATGGTTAACGTTTCTTATTCGTTTGAAGAGGGTATCAATGAACTTCTTTTAAATTTTTAAAATTTTCTTCATGAATTTTATGCTCATTCTCTCCATCGCAAGGTTGAGGCCGGTGAGGCCCCTGACTTGTGTGTGTTTAGCTTAAGACCCAGAACGAAGAGTTGGCTAAAAAAACCATGATCTTGAATGAATGTCTTGAAGGAAAAGGTCGGAAATATTAACCAAATGAACCGTGCGGAGCAAGTGCTCAAACAAGAACACCGCAAAGGATCAAACCACGAGATTGAAGATTTGAAACGAATGATAGCAAAGCAAAGATTTCGATTAATGGGATAATATTTGCTTAATGGGAGATATTATCAATCTGTTATTGCACAGAAGTCTCGAAAATCCACAAGAAAAAAACGTACTACAATCAAGCCGCTTAGGAGATGTCGCGGTGCCGCAAAATCCATTCCGCGGACTTTCTATTCTGTAGTAACTATCCCCCCCCCCTGTTTTTCTAAATAGATTGCGTTCTTTTAAGCGGTGAAAAAGGAGCACTCATTCCGAGAATTTGGACGTCCGCTTGTTGAAATACCTCCTCAAGAAATATTGGAGGGAACATCGTCATGTATTCATGGGTATCACAGTCCTCCTATTTATCCATCTATTAAATGAATGCCCCGATTCAACTGGTCAGATTCAAGAGTTCTTAGCCTCCATCAGAATCGCTGTCGTTACTACAAGCGAAAGACAAATAAGAAACTTGGCATGAGGCCATCTACTGCTCAAAAAATTAGAGGGAGTGAAAATCTATTGATGGGTAGCTTACCCTAACCTAAGTAACTGCTTTTTTGGGAATAGGCTAACGGGTATGCCGAATTAAAGGCATGGAGAAACTTTATGATCCCTATTCTATATTAAATTTGAAGGAGAATGAAAAACAAAATAAGGTTATCTTCAAAAACTGGAAGCATTCCAGTCAACTCTGTCATCATATACCTCAACTGTTAGTTACACTACAGGGTGTTCCAAGAATCATGGAAAAAACTATTCATTAATAACTTTGTGCTCAGTGGTCCAATCCCAATTTTTTGTTGCATTTTACAGGAAAACCTTGGAGTTTTTAGGACGGAGCAACTTACATTAGCTTCTATCGGTCTGTCGGGAAAATAACGGCGGATCGTCGCGCCTCGGAGTCGCTCATCATCGCTTTGCGACTGCAAGCCGCGACTTGGGATTTGGTGCGCGATAGCGGCGAGGCGAGACATTTTGATGCGACGATCCGCCGCTATTTTTCCGACAGACTGATAGTAAAAATTTTTAATTCACGATTATTTGGCAAAAATCTACAAAATTTTCCAGTAAAGCGCTATTTTAACAACCAAAATTTTCGACCGATTTGACATGACGAAAATGACGCCAATTTGACAACGTGACTGACGCGTCAACGAAGGACCCGCTTTTCTTCGAACAGCCGGCTGTGCGATAAAGCATTTATGTTTGAAATTGTCTGAAATTGCGTCTTTTCGGCGTTCGAAAAAAGCATGGCATTCTGTTTATTGAGATTAATATTTATGCTTGGAATATTCGGTGCTTGGAAATACTACAAAACTTTAATAATTGTTGTAATGCCTGTGAGGCGACAGCGTTGAGATGGCTTCTCTTTCACAGCCTGATGCTATACATGACGCTGTTTCTCAACTTGACAGCAGTGGAGTCACATTTTCCATCGAGGTATTTGTGTTTTAAAATGAAAGAACTTTCAGTTTGTGGGCAGTGTCTCAGTGAAGATCTCTTTGAATTCAGAAAAATCTGACAGGCGGGATAGTATAGGTGAAGCCTGTATTACCTTAGTCGCAAGTAGAGCACATAAAATTAAGGATGCGCAAGAAATCATGGTGAGATTGAAAAACATAAATATTTAACGTTTAGAATGTGGGCGATGTTTTGGGGGATCTAGCCATAATTAAAACTGAAGTTGATCTCAACGTGACCCATAAATCCCTGCTGATAATCGATTCAAATGGTAACCTGCCAAGGGTATTGCATCGACTAGAGATTCAAGACATTTCATTGGTTTTTCCAGGGCAAAATGTAGGTATACCAATGAGAAAAACTTGAAGATGTTTAAGAACATGGATGAATACTTCTGTTTTTTCGCCAAATGTATGAATCAAAACATCGAGGAGAGGAAATGCTTCGTATTTTATGCGGGAAAAGAGAAGGCGGATGTCTGTCGACTTCTTTACATCGCCTTCGAGACTGCCGGAAGAAGAAGATGTTCACATTCCAAGAGTTTAACGCCTTCTACAGGGATTTCGGCAAGAGAGGGTCCAAGTTCTTCGTTTGGTCCAGCACATTCTCACAGAAGAGAAAGAGATCCCAGGAATAATGATACTCATTCAAGTGAAATAAGTACGGCTTCACAGTTAATTCAGGGGATAGTTGTAGACGAGAAAGAGAATTTCCGCAACTTAACCCAGAACCTCGAAAGGGAATTTTGGTATCATGGGCTGATGAACCGGGAAATGGCGGAAACAAAAGTTGTCAGAGATAATCAATTTCTAGTCAGGAAAAGTCAGAACAAACCAAACCAAGTGATCCTAACGGGAATGCAGGGATCTCAGGTCAAACATATCTGTCTGATTGATGCCACGGGGAAGGTTGGTTATCTTGTTCCTATTTAATACAATTATTTTTGCAGCTTCGAACCACAGAAAGGGAGTTCAAGTCAGTCTCCGAATTGATTCGATACTATCAAACATCCATGATGCCTTTGTCTGGGGATCATCAAAGCGAATTAATATTGGGAGAGCCCGTTCGTCGGACTTTCTTTTAATTGATGTAAATAAAGTTCCTGCTATCGGTTGCAGTTTTGGGTCTGTAAGGGCAAATGGCTGAGATTATAAATATTAAAGTTTGTTGTGCGTACGTTATTTAGAATGCATCGGGGAGGGTTACTTCGAGAAAGTCATATTTAGTCGTTTTTTCCAAAAATGGCGGCAATTATGCCGTCAATCCCCTGAGGGAATTGTTCCGGTGAGATGACAATGAGGACTTGAGTCATTGAGAACTCGTTGAGACTAGAATCGGGATGCCGAGCAAATTTTCCAAGAGGATATCGTCAAGTGTGAATGACTTTGCTCAACATACCAGGTAAGATTACTGTGGAAATGTCATATAATTCAAAAACAGTGCCCATGGAATTCCGCGTGCCTCGAGTTCGACGGGACTCAGAAAAACTCTCTGGCTGTTACTCTTCTTTACTTGCCTCGGTGCCTTCTTTGTCCAAGCTTATCATATTGTAAAGAGATTTACGAGGAATGACATTATTGTGGGAGTTGAACTCAAGTTTGAAAACATCCATTTCCCCAGTGTTACAGTAAGGTCAGATGGTCTTAGATCGAAGTGTTTAGGTTTGCAATCTCAATCCTTACAAAAACAGTCTGGCTCGGATGCTAGGATCAGTCCGAGATACGGTAAGTAGTATACGTATCGTGGAGTGCCTTATGTTTAAAGTTGATCGCGTTTGATGACGCCATCGAAAGATCGGACCACAGCAAACGTTCCAAAAGGGAGATACGCCATGAAGAAGCGCCCAGACAAGAAGTTATCAAGACTTTATGCAAAGAGCATGGCCCTTCTTATGTCCCCTACAAATACGGCAACACTGATTGTATTTGTCGTCGGAACAACGAATTTGATCTGACTTTCGAATGTTCTCCCGCCGCATCTTGGCGTGTTTATGTGGCATGTGATCGGTGCAGCGAGATAACTGGTGTATGTTCGGAAGAAGGAAGTGGAGAAAGTCTTTGTCATTGTAATCAGGATCTGTGCATTTTGGCATCATTCTCAACAGTAAGGCCATACTTTCTGTCATTTATTATTTAGGTCTCAGTACGATGGCCTTTGTTGGCTAAGGATATTAAATGTGATAGTTGTGAAGACCATTGCATTCGAAATGATTCTGGAGGAAACTGTACTTGTATTGGGATCTACGGGACCAGGGACACTTTCTGTGAACGGAAATACGATTGGAAAATCTGCAAATGCAACGAATGTTTCCATGGTGGGACTTGTGTCTACAGCCCCTCAGGGAATGTGGATTGTATTTGCAATCGAAGGAAGATTTGTTTTGAAGCTCACCATACCTTGGACCGCGCGAAAAGAGATACTGAGATTGGCGCAACAACTTTGTTGAAATCAAAAAGACAGATTAAAAAATTATACGAGAAAATCTACAGTAGTTATGAGGGATTGTTGGCCGTATATTCCATGTGTGAATGCCAAGGTTCTAACTGCAAAGCTTTAAAGGTACGTTTGCTTTTACTATTGTTCGTACTAAACCTACCGATAGACGTATTTATAAGGCGTGCGCTGTGTGAACCGGCACAGTAAAAAATTGGTTCTTTGTTTGGCAAGGCAATACAAATCAGAAGAAAAGAGAAAGAAAAATATGTTTTTTTTTAATTTTTTGAATAATGGAATTACGCTAGATTGTGTCAAAAAATATATATATATATATAATATATATACTTGCAGAATAACAATCAAGGTGAAGTCTGTCTTTGTTTTTACAACAAGAAGAATAGTCAGATATGGCCATGTTACCCTCCCCACATGTGGTCCGAGAGAAGATGTAATAAGTGCTCTCCCTTGGGAGACTGTGTATACACGGACAACACCGACGGCCAACTCCCTTGTGTGTGCGCTTCGGTTATCAGGTGAGTACTGTAAGGCAATATACTTTTAATACTCCTGAAGAATGTGCGTTCGCATTGAAGAACGAACTCCAGAGGAGGAGGTGTTGGCCACAGATGTATTGCCGGAAGTCCCTGAAGAGACGAATTCCAGTTCTTCCTTAGTCCTTGGAAACAGAATCCCCAAGATCTGGGAGTTTACCACAACTACCACAGAGACCCTGCCGGAAGAAGAAGTCAGTGACAAGGAGATGGCCTACGGACTGAAGGGAGTCGAAGACCCTGTGGCCATACGAGCAACGGCGGTGGAGAATCTGATATTCGCTGTAAATGAACTGAATCAGAGTGAGATCGGAAGGATCGGATACGACAAGACCGAGTTCATCACCAAATGCAGCTTCAATGGCCGGCAGTGTTCCATCGAAGAGTATATTTATCTTATTTTACACGATCCATTTCAGCGACTTTTCCGTTTATATCGACCCGTCATTTGGGAACTGTTTCACCTTTAATTACAACACTTCAAAAATGATTCGAAGCGAACGAGCGGGATCCAATTACGGTATTCCGATAATGACGTACATCTATTCATTTTAGGATTGAGATTTCAAGTTTTTGTAAACATATCAGATTATTTACCAACCACGGAGGCAGCTGGTGTCAGGATAACTGTTCACAGTCCCACAGAGCAGCCCTTTCCGGATACGCATGGGTACAGTGCTCCCACAGGGTTTGTAAGCTCTTTTGCCATACGATTAGTAAGTGTTCCCGAGGACTATAACGATGATTAGAAAAGCATAAATCGTCTCCCAATGCCCTACGGACAATGTGTCCAAGATGGAAAGGACGAGGATTACATCTTCCAGGATAAAGAATACTCCACCGAGGTAGCTGATATAATAAATATAATTAAACGGTCCTTTCAGGGATGCCAAAGGACTTGTATTCAGAAGTATCTTGTACAGAAATGTGGATGTGGGGATCCCAGATTCCCGACTTACCAGAACCATTCTAATTGCCCTGTGGCTGTTTCAGCTTTGCGTAAGCAAAAAAATTACTTTTTTTATGGGTTTAGGTGATTGCCTGCGGGCAGAAATGAAACATGCCGCTAGACTTGACACATGTATATGCCAGCAGCCTTGCAAGTAAGTCCATGTTATGTTTACAAAACATATTTTTACAGTCAAGAAGTTTACACCGTCTCCTACAGTTGTGCAAGGTTGGTTTGGTATTTTTTTCTTAATTTATTTGCAGATGGCCTTCAGGGCAAAGTGCGGGGGCTTCTCAGGAGTGTGGTCCCTTGCTGACGCCCCAACAATGTCTCCATTTCCATCGAGAACAAGCCGCTTTGATCGAAGTCTACTTCGAACAACTTAATTATGAATCTCTTAAAGAGAGCGAAGCCTATGCGGTAGGTAGATGCTCGATTTTAAACCGCGTTTTTACGGATTGAAGCTTCTCATAACCAAGGCCGAGCATTTCAAAAAAAAAACGACCGTCTCAGAATCTTTTGAAATTTTGTATAGTTGTTGTGCTAGGATAGCTGAACCTCAGTGCGAATTTTTAGTTTCGGAAATTATGGTATACGGGGATTACGGTAGCACAGCGTTCCGGGGTTTTTGCCGACGATCGGTGTCCAAAGAATAAAAAAAAATAGGCTTTGCGGTTTTATGAGTATTTGGCCAGTGAATTTTAGCAATCGGGGGGTGCTGTATGATCACCATGAAAATGCCGTAACTCCAAAGCCTCCTTTTATTTCCTGAATTTTTGATATGTTGTTACATCCATGCCAAAGTATTTTTGAAAGGCTTCAAAAGTTGAGACGAGCTTTCGGCATAAAAGTTATATTCAAAATGTCATCTGGGTATTTTGCAAAGTATGCAAAGGCTACATCCAACGACAAAAGTGTCAATTACAAAAATGTTCCGCATTGTCAAAAATTTAAAACGGTGATGTTTTGTTCTTTTATCCCTTCCGGTTTTTACACACCAGCCCAATCTTTCTGAAAATTGTACCTACCTTTCTTCCAGGATAAAGAATACTCGATACCGTAACTTCTGAAACTGAAAATTTGTGCAGCTATTCGTACAACGACTACGCAAAATGTCAAAAAATTCTGACGATGAGATCGTCGTTTTTTGGAAGCGTCCGGTTTTAATTGCCATTCTGCTTTGATTTTCTCTCGGCTACAAGTTTTAGTTACCGAATCTTTTATCCGACTTCGGTGGACAACTCGGTCTGTGGATGGGAGTCTCTGTGATCACCATCATGGAGGTGTGCATCCTCATCACCGAAGTCGTCATCGGATTTTGCTCCACATTCTTCTGTTGTCATCGAACAAAGAGACCGCCAGAAATTTCCGCGCAGGATCCGGCTCATTTGAACGGTCGGGCCATCCCTTATATCGACCAAGGACCCGTCAAAACATGCGATTTTATCCGAAGTTTCAAATAAACAAAAAATTTATACTGTTAGGCACCTTTCTTGCAATCAGAATGATATGCGTATTTGAGGGCAGCGACAAGATTACTGTAACAAAAGAGCTGCAACTGTCCCGACGAGTTTGGGTAGAGAGAAGAAAAATAATGTCAGCACAACCCGTACATGAAATGCCTAAAGGAATGACCTGGCTAGAATGAAAGATGAGAATGACTAATTACATGGCTAAGAACATAAACATATATAGGTTGAAGGTCGACCTGAGATTCAGGAGTCATTGACAGGCTTCTCGACGAGCAGACTCTCACTGACGCCATTGGTCCTGTTCTTGGATAAATCCGGCTTGTCTTCGACACTTTCACATCCAAGTACTTTCTGCAGATATTCCAGACATTGCCAAGACAATGTGTAAACGGAGGGAACTATCAGCAGTCCGTGTAAGAGACCGAAGATGACGACCAAAGATATTGTTTTCACAAATACCAAAGGAATATAATTCTGGAAAAGAAATATTTTACAGAAAATTTACAAAAAAAAAAAGAATATTGCGGTGAGTCTTACTTGTAATAGGATTAAAGGAAGAATGCAGACGACTGTGCTGACTCCCGCTTGGACTGTTGGCCATCCAACAGCCTCTAGTGTGGCTATCACTTTATGCTGTCTAGTCTGGAGTTCGTATCGATACAACTGCCCATGATGCACACGAATTGTATCCGTTAGCTAAAATACATAATTTTCCCGGTTCAAATGTACATATTACATATACATACCTTGAGATTGTACGCAATATGAGCTGTGAAGTCTACACTCATCCCCACACTCATCAGAAAGGCACATAAAGTTACAGGATCAAGGTCCAATCCCCACCACGATAAGATTCCGATGACTTCCAGGGCAATCGATGCGATTGACATCACAGCCAGCCATATCAGGAAGCCCTGGCTGATAAAGAAGATGCTGATTATAGCCATGCAGACGATTGTAATGGCGCCGTTCTAAACATTCTTTACAACCCTCTGATAGATAACTTACATAATAAGTGAGGGACTTGAGAGACAGCATCTGATCGACGAACATCCCATTCACTTCCCAGACACTCACTCCCAGATCATTGAATTGATCAGCCACTGATCTCAGTTGTAACATCAGAGCAATCTTTTCGTCCCAATTGGTGGTATTATGATAAATTACAGTAAACCAGAATGCTCTCACGGGGATCTCTCTAAATAAAACATGTTTTTGATTACGAGTTACCCACTCTGAGTAATCTACTTTCAGAAAAGAAGAGTAATGTTGGTAATAAAATTGGTTCAAAAAGCTTTCCAATTTGTTGTAATAAGGTTTTAATTGAGCTCGCGGCCTCAAAGTGGTTGTAGTCTCAGCTTCTGAATCTTCGAAGTCGAACATATCACCCAGATTTGTCTGATCTTTCTTAAACTTTTCGAAATCCCTGACCCAGAGATGGGTGAACTCGGCTCCTTAAAGATCATTTTACTACTCCTTACCACCCACCCTTGCATTTCTCCATTTTTTCGAACTCCATGGCCATCCGATTGACCTCATTCAAGACCCGGTTGTCATCAAGATTAACGGGTTTGTTCACAAATACAGTAACCGGGTAGTAGTCAGTCCATACCTTGTGAGCGATCAATTTGTGTGGTTCTCTAATCGGGGAATCATGAGGCAAGATCTTCTCCGTGTCCAATCGGGAATCGATTTGAATAAATCCAATAATAGACGCAATCAAGGTGAATACAACCAGTATACATACGATTATACCGGTGGCTGGATGCATGATCCATCTGCAGTATATGACCGAGACGTTATGGTATAAGCGACTAAGTCTGGTCTCCTGGAGGATTAAAGTCTGTTATGACTGCTTACTTTATGCGGGATCTGGTTGGAACTGGGCGGGAAATGCTCTTCTTCTAAACGAGTACAATACACCATCATCGGGAAGAACAAGAGAAGAGTAAAGAAATAACACCAAAACAAGGCAATCGCCGTGATATAACAGAAGATGCTGATCTCCTCAGTGGGAGTCAGAGATCCCAAAATAAAAGTAGTCACATCTGTGATTGTGGTGATCGTAATCGAAGGGCCCACGTCCTCTAAGATAAGACCCATTCGCTGTGCAAGGGATATCTTTCTGATTGGAGTCCGATGCCAGGCGTGAAGAATAAGAAAAGAGTCATTCACTCCGATGCCCATAATCAGAAATGGAGTTATCATGGCCACAGAATTCACTCGCCATCCTAGCCATCCGAAAATTCCAAAAGTGACCAGAAGAGAAAGGATGGGGCATAAGATTACAAATGCAGCCATGATTATCTTCCCGATATCCATCACATCGGCAACAATGGAATCTGCGACAACGGAACAGCAGACGAAGACAATGGTCAGGATAATGCCTGGAATACAATTCATGAATGAGCAGGAGTAGATACCTGCGGCAAAGTAAGGAGCCATTCCACGGCCATCTTCCTTCATCTCATAGTCTACGATCTCATTCCCCAATAAAAGAACTTCAACTTCGGATGTCTTGAGGTCCCGGAGATGCCTGTAAACTCCCATTTCCCATCCTTTCATCCGTTCTTCGTCCCCTGGTTTCTTGAAATCCCCACGAAACACGATCATTATTAACTAAAAAATGTTATCAAAAATTATAGTAACCTACTTCGATGTAATCGATATAAGACACGGCCTTGACTTCGGTTAACTCGCTTGATTCGCAGCTACAATTACTCTTAGGGACGATGCCTGCGGGCTTTGGCCTTGTATCATTTGATGGTCTTAGCTTGACCCCGAAAAAGTTTCCCTCCAATTGGTAATCCACTCCGTCAGATCTGCCCCGAGGGAATGTCAGATTAGTGATCGACGAAAGAGGCTTCCCCTCGTTGTATTTAAGTACTTGTTTCTTCAATCCGGTCTAAAAATACGTTTCTTTGGCCGGTAATCCTTACATAAAACTGACGGACGAAGAAAGAGGTAAAACAAAAAGATCCGCAGACATCCATGAAGGTGCAGTTACTGCGCTCGGTGCATCTGATTGTGAGGTTAGAGCTAAAGTACTCCACCAAATCAGTGGCTTCCTTCAGTTGCCTCAAACGATGCATCGAGCCTCCATCTTTAGCCCGTAACAACATTATTGTGGATATTGGATCACCTAAAAATAAAAACATATGTAATTAATCAAATTACCGGTAGAATTCATAAATTGTCTTAAATAATTGGATTCCAATCTGGCTCTGGATGTGATAGGAGTGTAGCCATCCCGGACATTATCTCGGAAATCCACAGATCTTAATCCCGCACCTAAAACACAGGGGTACTGTAAGTTATCATTTAGTTTTTGTTCGGGTTTGTAAGCACTTTCATAACAAAAATAAGCAGGTTTAAGCAGCTTTTGACACCTTTGTTTTATCAACAAAGTCTCGCCAAATTGTACTTACTTCCAATAATACATAAAATCACGCTCAGACAAAAGCATGATTTGGGATAAGATCCGATGAAATACCCAATCCTGGCGTAAATCCTGGGCATGTGATTAGCTAAAGGAATATATAGAGGGACACATAAACATACAAGGACAGAAACGGTTCAACGAGCTGGCCGAATATTGTGGTTGATGGGCCTTAATCAAGCGACCAGTCTGGATAGGAACAGGAATTGCCCTGAGGGCAGAAAGATCCGACCTGATCCAAAAATTAGAGCCATTCTCCGAAGGTCGGCCCTCTGCATCCAAATCCTTGAGCTCGTGAAGCTCGGGGGACTTCATCTGAACAGTTCGAACGGTCTTGTTTACCCGATCTGACTCATGTCTAAAACAATAAAATATTTTGGAATCGCCAAACTTTGGGACAAGAAAAGGGACCGCCGTGTTCTGGCCATTTATCACGAAATGGACCCAATCTGTTTAAAAACGATGGAGAACAGAGGTTCGTCATAAACTCCCTTATCAATTTGTTTAAGCCCTTTTAACAAAAATAATAAAAAATCGGTTAAGCGCCTTCTCCTTTATATTCCGCATATATGGAAAGAGAACAATTGTTTGGCATAGTGTCCACTCAGTACATTAAAGCGAAGTACTTTTATCGACAGTTCAAATGAAGGAAACGATTTTTGTAAAGAGGGGAATCTCTGCAGTTATTAATTAAAATTCGGAAAGTGATCGCTCGCTTGGGTGGGCATCTGATAAGACCTTAAGTCCACCAAACTCAGACCAGCCAAGGCAGTCTCTATCCACACGAAATACCGAATTCTGCGAAAATGACACATTGACCCCATTTGAGCCCTCAAGATCAGTATGTAATCCTAATGAATAAAACATTGCGATGATTGAGGGCCTTCTTTTGAGTTGAAGGTGAAGAGAAGAGAGTGGGAATAAGCTTTCTATATTACCTTCCAAACTTTGTTTTGTTAATATCAGACAATCTCTGATGACTAACCTGTTTTTATCAGTTCCGCTTATATATGCATAATTATGCACCAATCGGAATACTGTGCTAAATCCTGCATTTTGACCCTTGAGTCTCACTTACTTTTATTTTATAGCCCTTTACTTCCTTTTTATGTTTATCTATTCTCTTTTGGATGGCCCAGCTCTGGCGGGAATTCTAATGAAAGTTTTATGATTGAATCCGGTCATCTGTTCGAGGAGAGATCTATCAGACTGGCAGGTCTGATAGATCTGCCCGAAAAGTTTTCTTTCCTCCGCTTTCCCTCCAAGAGCGCCCTTTAAGAATTGGCGTTATATCTCGTTAATATGGCCCTAATCTTCTTCTGTTCATTGCTTTTTCTGAACCCAACGCTTCTGGCTGTCGAATTCTCTGATCTGCCAGTCTGCGGACCATACCAAGCATGTGCTTCCAGAATAAGTACCTTCCCCCTGAAGACCCAAGAAGCCGAAGCTGATGGAGGATCTGGACAGGGCTCTGGACTTGAACTAAATGAACCCATCTATGATGAATTTGTAACTGCAGTCACTCCGTTCGATTTTGACGCGGAACCTGAGAGCAAAGAGAAGAGATTGTGCAAATGTGGAAGTGAATGTAAGCCTTGTGTCACACTTTGATTACTAAAAGTTAAACTCAAATTTCAGCCGAAGATGATCAGACCTGCTCTTTTGAGGCCCCCGACAATGTTTTGACAATAGATTCCTCCCTTTCTCTGGCATTGTGTCAGCCTGTTAAAGAAGTGATCCATACCCAATGTTACGGCCGACGGCATTTTCTGATGATAATCGGGAAACTGAATGAGAGCGGGGAAGGAGTGGCGGATGTAAGCGAGACCCACGTGTCTTGTACTTGTGACAAATATCTGAGGGTTGGAATTGAGCCCTGGACCGAGGGATACGTCTTCCATTACCGATGTGGCCATGATTAATGTCAGATTCTTCTTTTCTTAACGTCTTTCATCGGTTTCGCTTTTTTGTCATTGATCATATTGGGGATACACCATGACGATGCCGCAGATATTTATTGGCAGGCCTTCAAACTTTTTAACATTCAAAATCCGCTTATTCGTCAACATTTACAATTAGATGCACCTAGATGTGGCTTCTTGGTTTTCGACTCCCAATCAATAATTGAGATTGGTCTTTTTTAATTTTATTTTTGATTTGCATACCTCCAATTTGGATAAATTGTATTTTCTCGGGTTGGCAGCCTCAAGACTATCCCGGTTTTTTTGTAACTGCTCCATGCAATTTTGAGAATTATTCGAATAAAATATTTTGAAATGCCTTTTTGTTTGCCTGGAATCCAGAAGACTTCGAGTGTCCAAGCTCCCCTGGAATGGTTTGTGATCAGGGAGACTCGTGAATAATTTTTTGTTAGGTCCGACTCGAATCTTCTGATCTGTGGAGTTGAAAATACGATAGTGGTTGTGGATGTGAAAGATTTAACGATTATTCAGACATTGACAAGAAACAAAAATACAGTATGCCAGGTGAGCAAAGTCGGAGAGCTTTTATTTTTATTTAGTTGAGTTGCCAACCCGCGGTTGAAAGTCAAGGAAACCACATTTTTTGTGTATCCTCCGATTCCACAGGACAAATCTCGATATGGGATATTATACATGGCAAGATCCTTCACCAATTTTCTTCCGCGGTTGTTTCATACCTAAAGTGGCTGGCTATAGAAGACGAGGAAGGGAATTTTCCATATGTGTTATCTCTGTCATCTAAGTCAACAGTGGACCTCTACGATGCTTTAAACGGGTTCTCTCTATGGTCCTTCAAGTCCAGCAACAATATTGCAGCTATGGCAATCGATCCATTTAAATATTCCGAGGTTGCATGTATGTTACCTAAAACCTGAATTTGTAATTTTTAGTTTTTTCGGGCAACAATTGTCTTATGTTTACGCATGACTTTGGAATCGAACACCCATTCCAATTTGATCCCATTGTCACTCAACTAAAATTGAATGAAAGCCAGGCAACTATTCGACAATTGGAATATCACAAGGCTTTGCCTAACAGGCTTTATGTGTTGATCTCTGACAGAGTAGGTTTGTCTCAAATTTCAGTGATGATTTAAGATTTTGATCGTACATGCGGAAACTAAGGTCGTCATTTACTGTACGCAGTTTGATTCCATCGGATCCGTAGGCAAAGTGAGTGGTAATGGGTTTAAAGAGAGTTTTAAAGATACTTCCGTGTTCAATGCGAGATGCTTTTTATTATGTTCGAAGTAATGGAGTTGTCAGTTTCAATATCGGAAATATTTACAACGTGGAGGACGGTGCAAAGTCTGTTTTGCGGTATGAGAATGTCGCCGGCTCCGAGAGCCATCGGATGTCGACTAAACTTGGTGTCCGTGGATCAGCACTGTGTCCCCATACTGAGTCCAAGGTAGCAGTGTTACTGTCTAATGGGAGGTTTGTTATTCACAAGTTGTGGAATCGGTCTGAAGAATCCTCCTTGGTCGATCGAATCAAATTACGAGAAGATCTAACACAAGAACCATTCACTTCATTAAGGTCGGTGTACAAAAAAATCATTTTTAATTTAGGTTTAGGTTTTCGCAATACAATTATTTGAATTGTCTTGGAATTGGAATGACAGCAGTCCGGGTACGACCAATGGATCCTCACAAGAATTTGTCTGATGAATTGGATGTCGGTCTGCTGGCTGCAGTGGCGAGTTCAACTGGAACTGTATATTTGGTGGATGTTCTTTCGTGCAAGATCGTTAGAGAATTCCAAATTCACTCTTGTCAAATACGGTAAGTCTTTCAATGGGGTATTATTTACTTTTTCTTCAACGTGGCGCATGTTTGCAATGTCATTCAGAAGGATGCTACGCCGAGTTTTACTTTAGAGTAGTGAAAAATTAATTTTTTCTTTTGTAAAATCACAGTTTGCATTTTTACAATTGCAACTTTTTCTAAAATGGAAAGAGGTTAACGTGGTCATTTTTTAAGTTTTTGAAGGCTGATGGAAGGACACGTTATTTTTATTTAGGGCTCTGGAATGGGGTGGTAGTGACCTTATAATAACCGCGGGTTATTCTACCTCTCTCTCTTCTTCCACGGTCAGGAATGATCTTTTCATTACCAACATCCGGACTGGCCAAAAGAAGCGATTACGGCCTGAAGCTGAGGAGAGTCCCATAGAACTTTTGAGAGTCTCACATTATCAGTAAGCATTTCCTTTAATGTTAAAACTTGGTTTAGTTGCTATTTAGCCGTATGTTTTCGTCGTGAACCTCTGGAGATCTGGGATATAAGGTCGAGAAGATTACTGCGGCGAATGTCAAAGAAATGCCCTATTATTATGGACATGGTAAGCAAATTCTAACACTGTTTGACGCGTTTAGAATTGGTTTGCGCGGCACACGAAAGCACAGACAAATCAGAGTGTAATGCGAGAGAACCTGGTAGTCATGGATGTGGATAATCACTTGTATCATGTTGTTGTCAAAGGGCTTCATGTGAGGGATGGCAAGGAAGTAAATACGGACTGGTCCAAAAACTCGGCTCCCCTTTCCCGTGTGGTCTGGAAGGATGACTACCTTGTTTTTGGGGACACCATGGGATTCCTGAGAATCTGGGACTTGGGGAAAAAGAGAAACCGAGAGATGAAGGATTCGAATGCGCACAGAGGGTCTGTGCTTCGAATGGTCTTTTCTTCACTTGCTGGCGACTACACTTTGTCCGTTCTTCATCAGAATCATGTTGCTGTTTGGGATGTGGAGAGTCTCCAATTGTTACAATCAATTCAGATAAATGGACTGACAATGTGTGATGTGGACATGAGTGGTGTTACTCCAGTGTATATAACGTCTATGGGATCGCTCCATTATGGAGCACATGGCGAACATTTGTGTGCTTCTATTCAAGAAGGTGGTGAGTATTTATATATTGTCATTCATCAATAAAAAATAGACCTTCCGACGGCATTAAAAAGCTTTCTGAATCCATCGGCTGATGACATCGGATTTTCAAGGCATTTAAAACTCGGGCTGAACATGGAACAACTCGAATTTATGTCAATGCCGACTTATCTTTCGTTTTTATGGCCTCCAGATGTGCAGAAAGTAGGTGTACTTGCAATAAAATTTGTTCAGTGTTTAGAGACTAATGGAATTGGATGTTGGACTTTTAATGGATCGGGTGGATACAATCGAACTCATAAACTATGTTGTCGAAAGATCCATTGTTTTGGGGAAGGTAATTTAATTGATATTAATAACAAGTTTGTTTAGTACGACTGGGCTACATCTTTACTTCTTGACACGTCGAACAACTCAAATGATCCAGGAAGTCTAGCCAATTCTTTTAAAGCTTGTCTATTGTCTTCTGATGTGAGCAGAGAAGAAAGCCGATGTCTCATAAAAATGGTGGCCACTAATCTCATAGCGTCGGGAAAAATATCTGGTAACTAAATTGATCCCATAGGTCATACTTTAGATGGTGTCCAATTATTATACCTGATAGATCAAAGGGAAGAAGCATGCAAATACCTGGCTTCTCAAGGGCATTGTGACAAAGCCTTTACCTATCTCAGAGTAAGTATTCTTTTGAAGAACTCAATTATTTGATTTATAGATAGATCCAAATGCGGATGAGGAATGCCTCAAAAAGTGTTTATCAAAGAAGAAGATTCTTATGGTCACTAAGAAGGTAAGTGAGCATTTTCTTGAAAACTGAATAGTTAATAAATAGTAATGATAATTACATATAAGAGGAATTCCGAGTAAATTTTAAAAATTTTCGCCACGATGCTCAACGATGAGCCCCTAGAAATTCTTTCTGTTTCACTGTACTATACAAGACCCACAATAGGCAAAAACTTTGCGAGCTGCAAATAATTCTTTCCACTGTGTCATTCAGAACAAGTTTTATCGTGTCTTGGGCTTTGCACATTGCAGGACAAAAATTCGATATGGGCTAAACTTGTGGTCGAGAGCCATGGGAGAAGAAAATTTGAATTTACTCGGAACCCCAATTGTATACAAAATTTACATTGAAGATTACGGAATTCCTATTCCTGGCCTCGACGAAAGAGCATCTCAAATGTATCCAACGATTAAAGGAGATGAAATTGTACACTTTAGCGGAAAGAATGGCTATTGGCAGCCCTAAGGGCCCAGAGATCTTCGATGATTAAACCCCAACCCTACAATTCTTCGTGCCGCAAGTCGTTCAAATGCTCCCCAAAGTTTGTTGCTTCAGATCCGACAAACGTAGAATAATCTTCTACTACCTCTTCGATTGAAAGTTTTCCATCCTAAAAATCCAAGTAATAAACATCCCTAGTCATGACTTCCAACCTTGTCTTTATCTGCAGATGAAAACAAATGTTCTGCTTCTTCGCGAGCCACAGTGTGCAAATTTGGGATCAGCCAATCGGTCAACTCAGCGCCATCCAAGTATCCATCTTTGTTCCGGTCATATTCTTCCTTAAAACGGGACTTCTCTGTCAAATAGAACTCTGACTGTGGTTGCTCATAAATTTCTCCCAAGAATTCCTTTAGGCTGATTCGATTGTCCTTGTCGATGTCCTTTTCTGAGAGAGTATTCTACAAAAACATTGTTAAAAGCCTGTTTCCAGTTTACTTTAATTAATGCCGTGTGCATATGGGGATGATGTTCGGGATTTTGAAAAGTCAAGAATTCTTTCTCGGTCAAAGCGTTGTCCTTGTCCACATCAGCGGCTTCGAAGTAAATTCGATCTTCATCCATGAGTTTCCCGTATTCTGGATCCAGGCCCTTACCATCTTCTGTTCCGAACGCCTCATGAATGTATTCTTGCCAGGTAACTTTGCCATCGTGATCTAATTCGGTGATGAATTGGAAAATAAACGCATACCTTGATCTATCTCCTCAAAACGTTCTCGTGTTTCCTCCTCATCCAAAGATAACAAAGAATTATAGACCCAATCTTCCAATTCGCGCAATGTGATAATACCGTTTTTATCCTCGTCCATCCGCACAGCCAACGCTCGCAGCCTCTTCTTGGACTCCTCCATCTTCAGAGAATCAAACTCGACGGCTTCCCTTTTAGAACCAAGTATGGCCTTATGGTCAAAATCTGCAGGTCTTTCGTAGGCACGTGGAACATGTTTAGAAGGCGTGCCATGTTCTACGTTTTCTTCCGCAGATACGAACAACAATATACATAAATAAAGCAACATCCTCCACTTTATTATGGAAAACTGACAAAACAAAAATAAACGAAACACTCCGATTGCAGGGCGCAACTCGCGGAAATAATATGAAAAACTACACAAAACTATGGACATAAATCGGCTAAAACAACATCAGGTATTCACCTTTTCAAAGAGAACGATTGTGATATGATAATATACGACGGATCACCTCTAACATTCAAAAGAAGACCTACAATGTAAGGATAAGAAGACCACCGGCATTAAATATACAGAGTTAAATTATAATTTAATTGTCCCGATAAAAGTTCACAAGCTTTGTTCCAATCAGGTACTTGTCGTTGCGAATCTTCTGACAAATAACCTTCACCTTTCCCCACTGCCATCTTACATACAAAGCGAACACAATAAAAAGGAGAAGTGCAGGATATGACATTCTTATCAACATTATCTCTTCTTCAACTGACATTCCTGAAACAAGTAAAATTAGGCATCCATAAGTATTTAAAGTCAACTTACGGCATAAGGTGATAATAATGTGAGAACACACATAGGGCATGGCAATTAGGAATGACAAAGAATTTATCATCGGAAGTGCGATATCTTTATACAACATTTTCAGGCTAAATCCCCGGATTCCGGCATTGCAGATCTAAAACACTAAGTCAGCTTGAATGCAAAATTAACCATACTTGTTCAAAAGCGTTTTTGATTCGACATTCAGGCCCCATAAGAATGGTGGTGCACACAATCTTCAGGTGAATAATTCCCATTGCCCATTCTTTCCAAGGGAAGAACAAAGGCGTCTGTCCAACACTAGCTCTGAATGGGCTGATGACCAATAATTGGAAGTAGAGACCCAATAGATACGGGATAATCACGACCATTGGAACCGCCGCGAAGATCACTTTGGAGATTAAGAACAGCGCTGCATGACTGGCCAGTTTCACGTAATCCCAGCCTTTTTGGAACCAGTCTCTCCAAATCATCCATGCTTTCACAACGAGCCAGCAAGTGTAAATTCCACATCCCACAGTATACGTCTCATGAATCGAGCGACCAAATCCGATGAGTCCAAGAACAAACCGACCAACCGTAACTAAAACAAAGTAAGCATTCAACGCCTGAAATCACCTGGTACAACGAAAAAAAAGGACGCGGCGAACACCAAAGTCAAAGCCAGACATCCGATAAGAGCCACCAATCTCAATTGGAAGTGATCCGGACGGTCGTAATTCTGGATGTTGGCCGGCTCCCTGATCATTAGCATCGCATGATGTCTGGCGGCCAAGTCTTGCTCGTTTCCCTCTTGTGGATCGTTTCCTGGTGCCCGATTTTGCTGTGGAACAGGCTCTGTTTCGTCATTAGGGAGTAAATAAGTATTTAGTTTCAGCATTCTACCCACAGTATCACACCAGAAGCGAACAATAACTTTAAGAATGTTGTAAGCCTTCGCGTTTTCCAAAAGTGTGGGCAAAACCACCTAAACTCAATAATAAAAACGAGGTCGCCAAACCTGAAGAAGCAACAACTCCATAGAAAACTCGCTTAGTGGAGCATCGGACGATCTAAATGAGTAAGGAAGAACAGACGGAACAACAACTTTGATCAACCTCAAAGGGGCGTATATAATGAGGAAAATGGTGGACATAAACAGACTAGTCGAGGCCACCAACCGACGGAAATGCTTGGTTACTGGTTGGTCGATCATCTAAACCGTTGCACAATGTTAACATAGGACCATTACCTCTTGGATTGGATTGAACTCGGGATCATTAAGATTCCTGATGAACCAGAGCACACCTGGTCTCAAAAGTCCACGCAAAGTCAAGATAAACGAAGCTGAGTAAAATACATACAACATTCCAGCTAACCAGTGTAAAATAATGGAACTAGTGGGATAGTTTTGAAAGGCTTTAATCCGACCATCAAGAGAGTTTCCAGTCAATGACTAAAGCAAACTTCAAAAAAGAAACAAACTTACAAGAGAACAAATGTCCAACCACCACCCACAGACGGTTGGGAAAATGCATAATTCCATTGTAATCAAAAGGAACACTTTTACCATCAAATATGCGGTACCAGTAACGGAATAGAGACTGAAAACAAGATCGGATTTGGGGACAAAAATTTTAACCACACTGGAATGACAAAACAACATTCCATACAATATAATAATACTTTATAGAAACCCTTAACTTACATGTTTAAATTAAATTGCCAACATACGACAAGATGGAGATACAAAAGGCTCGCAATTCCAAAGTACCCAATAAAGACGTTGATTGGAGTGTCAAAGAAAGATAAGGGGCCTTGCACGTTCAGAGCGTATAACATAATACGCCCACAACAGAACGGAAAATACACTGAAATAATTTATATCACACATAAAAGAAATTTAAAGAGCAGGGGCACCAACAATGACTTACAAAAAAGAAGATTGAAAGCCAAATTCAATGAGATGGCCCAGAAGACGTTCTCCAGAAAGACCAGGGATCCGTCTAGCCCAATCAGCCTCTGCCAGGTCATGTCCTCAACGATCCTCTCCACATCGCGACCCCAATTCTCCTCATTTTGCTGATTCTGTCCATCTTCTTCTCTGAGCATACCGACAACATTATTCCCGTTATCTTCTTCATTCAATTCAAAAGCTCTTTCGATTGGGGCTTGGATCACCTCCGCATTTTCGTGCCTTTCTTCGAACTCGATATTCAACATGTCATGTGGCCCACCAACAGCAATTTGTTCTCGAAGCCATACGAGTGCGATGAATGTGCATACGAATAAACAAAATATCACAGTTCCTTTTGCCTGATCTTCCACAATGTTCTCCAAAGAAAAGAAACTTAGAACACGAAGAGAAAATAAGTAATTCAAGACGCCAGAGAAGACCATTTTGTTAATACGACATGCCATTACCGGAACTAATAATAACCAGCAAAATGCAACCAGTGCATAAGTGAGGACGATCTTGCAACCTTTTAGACCAATTCTTGCAATACCTAAATACAAAATCAAACCCTCAACACAGAACACCCACCTTTCATAAAATCCTGTATGGGAAGTCTGTCCGGCATGTTTTCAGCATACACTGGTTGGAAGGAGAACTGGTGATTACATAATTCGCACACTTCTTTCTTGCTGTATTTTAGCCATTGTTCAAGGCATTTCTGATGAACAAATTTGATGGTTCCGGTGCAAAGACAAGGATGATATAGTACATCGTCGCCGGAAAGACGACAAACCCGACAAATATCTACAAACCAAACATAATTAAGATACGGCCCAAACAAACCTTCATCGTTATTAATACCGTCGTCGTATGCACCAACAGCATCTTCTTGATGAATCCCGGGATCATCAGCCATTTGTAACTCTTAAACGTTGCTCAGAAATATTGAGAAAAGAAAAAAAGTTATTTTGAATTATCAACTAAAACCTTACTTTCGGAAGAAAATAATAATTCGCAATGCCAGGATTTTTTTGCAAAGTTTTCGTTTCGAGGCGTACGTAAAACTCCCGGAAACTGTGTGCAATGCAAGATTCATTTAGCTGTACTAGGAAATGAATGTGTAAAACCCCATGCGTAGAATTACATCTATATATGATATGTGTAAGATTCTGCAGTTACTTTTTGTCTGTCAGTCAGTTGGGAATTTAAAAACTCCGCAATTTTGATCGTAAAGATGAATTACATGTATCTCTTCAAACGGTGCAAATTTTGATTGCGTTGTTTTTTATGAATTTTGAGCTCTCCAGAGTATTAACGGAGGCGAGGCGATATCGACGGATGATATTGGGCCAGAAGTGACATGGCCGGGACAACAAATCCCGGTAAGAGGCTACTCATGGAAAGACCCTCCGGCTTTGACCAATCTCGTTTTGCCAGTTTAACCAACTGGCCTTTGTGCGCACAGGCTGGCAAGCTCTTTGCCAGTCTCCAAAAAGCTGAGAATAAGAAGAAGAAGAAGTACACCCAGAGAACGGCTTTGCGAAACATTTGGCGCTTCAAGTCCGGAGGGCAGAGAAAACTCTCTTCACCTCTGGTCTGCAGAGCTGCCAGATCTTGAACTAGGCTTACGCAATGTCAAAGCCTAGTTAAGAAAATTTGTCCAGTTTACTCCGAGGGGAATACATCGACTTTCGTTAGCTTATGTGCTTGATTTTTGACATTACTATTTTACCTATCAACACTCCGGACGGGTGCTTTCGCTCAAACGAAGCACGTAAAGAAGGGAGTAATTGTGAATTAACGCTGTTTCGCACTTACAGTATATTCTTAACGTAAAAGTTATTTAATAATTTAATGATATTGAAAGTTTTTTTCCATTAAGCCTCAAACTTTGGCATGGCCGACGAGAATGGCGCTCCAGGGTCGTCACGGTCGAGTCGGAATGTTGAACTCCAAGTGGTTCCGACTCTCAACTCGACCCATCAACAGATGAAAAAGTGTGTAACTGTAGATCTACTGACGGCTTCTCAACGGGAAGTCAACTTTCTTCGAATGATTGATAGGAAGGCTCCAGTATTATACGAGAAGTCAGTAGTCGAGAATGCAATACGAAGATACGAAACCTACTGGCTGCCGATGCAATCAGCCAAACCTGATCTCAACAACATCCCGCCTCTGGATATTCATTGGATTTGGCACACACACATGTTATGTCCGGTGGCATACGAAGAAGTCAGTTTGCATTTATTGTAGAGTCTTACAGGGTGGGGAATTTTGTGGCCCGATTTGAATTGGCTATAACTTCTTTATTTTTGGACCAACTGTTAAGATTCTTCTACGAATGCTGAGCGTCATAGATGCCGTTACTGAGCCTTCGGACCTATGTGATACCGTGGAATAATTTACGGTCGTTTGACCGTATATGTTATATTGATTGTCTATGAAACCGGTGGGTCTTAAACCTCTTTGGGAGCCGTAGGCAAACAAGATGTGCTTTGTTCAACATGCCGGTATAAGACCATGATGAAAGGTATGAAATCGTGGCCTCGCTAAACAACCCTACTTTTCTGTAGTCTAATAAATATTAGCCAACATGTTTATTAGACTACAGTAACGGTTAACAGCAAACGAAAAACTAAATTCTTATAATTTATTTTCTCGGTTGTTATGATTGTCTGTCGGTAAATGGAAGTTTAGATAAAGAGTTTAGATCATAAAAGAATCTTAAGATTTTGCCTAAAAATAAAGTAGTTAAAGCCAATATCGGGCCACAAAAAGCGCTTTATGTTGTCTTATACATAGGATTGTGTGAGGATTTGTGGGCAAATTGTTGATCACAAGTTACTCAGTTCTGATGAGATACAACAACGGTACGAGCAGTCGGTGTCGCTCTGGAATGAGTTTTGCCCGGATGAGCCGTACGACTTTTTGAATTCAAATGTTTCTGTCGCTCAGGATTACGTTCAGAAATCAAAGTACAACATCGCCGACGCGGTCCAACGCCAAAGAAATTTTAATTATCAGGTAGGACGCACTGCTGTGACTTCTGCAATATATAGGTTTCATTGCCACATTTTACGTCTCCCAAGTTTTTGAAGGACGCGATTGATCGGTACATAAACTTCCTGTTGATCAAACAGACTTATCCCGAGCAATTCTTTACTCCCTGTTACGATTTTGACTTGGTTTGGCACACCCACCAGGTCCATGCTGCAGCATATCGACGAGACTGTACAGCCATTTTCGGAAGCATTCTCAGACATGATGATTCGGTGAATGATCGGTCCAAGAATTCCAAATTACTGAAAGGAGAAGCGGCAACCAAGAAGGCTTGGGCTGCACACTTCAAGGAGGGATTCTGGAGACGTGGATGTATGTATCGGTAAGTCATCCACATCCTGACAAACAAGTAAAAGTTCAGGGGTCATGTGGCGCCAGTCTTTTTGGGTTTCGAAAGTCAAGATATGGGTATCATCACATATGGCCATGTTCACATTCCCTCGATCTCGCTTAAAGAGATCCCTGTTCAGAGAGAACAGCTTAGATTGAAGTTGTCTTATGGAGGAAAGAAGATCACCACTTTTAACGCTGATCTGGCTGACAAGCAAGTCACCCGTTCTAGCTTCTCTTTAGTCTGGCAGCCTTCGGATTCGGGGGGATTCTCGACTTCATCGATAGTCAAATTCCCGTTCGAAAAGAAGAATGCAAAGGATCTGGTAGTTGAATTGGAATTATATGATAAGGTGTTTTTACAAAAACGGGACATTGTTACATTGACTGGTAGACTACCCTTAGAACAAGTAGGTGAAGCTAACAACAAATAAAAGTAACCAACGTGAATAAACATTAGAAATTGTAGCTCATTCCTGGCTCAAATCTGAAGACAGTTCAGAACCATATGCCTCTGGAAAGTGTGAACGCGGAACGGGTGATGAATGCAAAAGTGACGGTAATTACGAGGTGAGAACCCTGAAAATGGCGGGAACACTTTTTTGTTGCAGTATCTCTTTGAACCGAGAAATGGAACTAATGGCTGGAGATTATGTTGAACAACCAATCGAGCCCGACAGCAGACTGTGGACGTTGTGTCAGAGTGCAGCATTAAATCGGACAGCATTGCAACCCAATGCTAAGGCCTACGTAGCCACCCATAAGTAAGGCTCAAGGGTGTCATATAATTAAAACAATTGCAGTCTAATTGACACACGTGATGGCGCTAAATATTTCGTACAGGTGGTCCACAACGCGGACATGTTACTCTCCATGGTTCTGGTCTATGGCGCGGGCCAGAGGTTGCTTTGCATGGCTCACTTAATTGGTGCTGACAGTCTTCCTTCGAAAGAACAACTCGACTCCAATTTGGTAGGCAATTCCCTCAGAAGGCGTTTAATTTTTCCAGCAATTCCTGCCACATCTTTCGTCCCCTGATGAAAGAGTTTTTATTGTTCTGAACAAGGACGGAGACTCTGCTATTGTAAAGGGAAGGTGGAATGGATTTTCCAGGAAAATATCCGGGGACAAGATGCATAAAGGAAAGCCCGGTTCGGCTGGAGTCCTTAATGTGGAGTTGTTCAATCTCTTGAAGAACACAGTACAGAAAATTCAACTTCCTGGAGCTGATGGATCCACTTTGTTCGTCTTAGGAGGTAGAACTCTCCAGAATAACAGTCACGTTTTAGATGCCCAAGCACGTCTCAATGGCCGACGAATCCATTGCCGTTCCACACAAACGGCTGAACACATCGCTTGTATTTTCTCGATCGGTACTTTATTTGTTTTATGCAACCCGGATAAAGTAAGGTCGAGGCAAGATACGACGATGGTGGGTCATCAATGTCAGAAGTGGCCAATCCCGATTGCCTGTGGCTATGGGAAACCTGTACCATCAAACAGATACCTAGTTGGACGTCAAGAAGGCGCAGCTTGTGATGCCACGCCTGCCCTTTTGGCCATGTTTGGATCAGCCGGCCTCTGTGATAGTGGAGCTGGTTGTGGCTCCGCGTGCGCTGGATGTAGTGCTTGTGGAGCGTGTGGAGGCTGTGGCGGTGAGTTCTTGGATTATGTGCATGTACAGTTGCGGTCAAGAAAAAAAGACATGGACGTTTTTGTCCCCACTCCGGTTTAGTCTCCAGGACGGTTTTGTCCCCATTATTTTATTTTTGAAAATTCTTTGACCAGCTGCCAATGAGTTGAAATCACAGCCAAATTTTTTGATGGATCCAGGTTATTACTAGCCATTTTAATAAAATAAGGATGGTGACATACAAATCAAATCGGGTTTCAAACCGCCATTTCTTGTCTGTTAGGCTTCCAGACAATAAATGTGTAATTCTTGTCTGAAATTGCGTAACATTGCGCAATATTGCACAAATTTCTGCTCTCTCACCGTGAGGATTTTTTTCTTTTTTTCTCTGCTCACAAGGGAATGGTCCCAACGATCCGTGGGATCCACAAATGAAACCTAGATATTCTGAAAGAGCAGGTAAAATTTAGTAGGAATCCGTTTTTTCTACTTGCCGAATAAGTCTGTGCGACGAGAAATATCGACGAAAAGATCCGACCAAAAAATCGAAAGAGAGAAAAGACGAACCGAAAGGCCTTGGAAGGCGTCACCAAATAGTCTAGTGGAAAAAGTTCCACGCACGAACCTTTTGGGGAAGGGAGGCCTTGGAGGTTCGAGTCCACCCGGAGCGGATATCTCCGGCTTGAACCCAACTGTTCATCATTACTGTGTTCTACAGTTATATAAAAAATTTTTTTTTGTTTATTGACCTGTTTTACAGGGTTGTTGCATCGAGCCGTAACAAATTCTGTTCATTACCTCTTTCTATGATACCACCAGGTCCGAAGTTCCAAAAAAGACAAATTTATGCAATTTTATACCTTCCGGGCAGAATTTGGGAAAAATAGTTTGGGAACTTGTTAAACACATGCCCACGGCCATCTTAAACCAAAAAACTCAAAATCGATTTTTTCGTAAATATTCACGCGGTCACGCAAGGACCCAAAAATTCTCTTTTCAACTTTTCTTGCAAAATTTTATGAAAAGTTGAGATTTTGGCAACATCCTTTTTGGGAAACCGAAAAAGATCTGCAAGACCCTATACAACCTTCCAGAATCGAGTATAAGTGTCTTGAAAATACCAGACATGGGGCTTATCAAAAATATTGCCGAAGTGTCAACTTTTCTTAAAATTTTGCAACAAACCCTGTAAAACAGGTCAATAAACAAAAAAATTTTTTTTGTATAACTGTAGAACACCATAATGAATACATAGGTTCAAGCCGGAGATATCCGCTCCGGGTGGACTCGAACCTCCAAAGCCTACCTCCCGCAAAAGATTCGTACGTGGAACTTTTTCCACTAGACTATTTGGTGACGCCTTCCAAGACCTTTCGGTTCGTCTTTTCTTTCTTTCGATTTTTTGGTCGGATCTTTTCGTCGATATTTCTCGTCGCACAGACTTATTCGGCAAGTAGAAAAAACGGATTCCTACTAAATTTTACCTGCTCTTTCAGAATATCTAGGTTTCATTTGCGGATCCCACGGATCGTTGGGACCATTCCCTTGTCAGACAAGAATTGCGCATTTCTTGTCTGGAAGCCTAACAGACAAGAAATCGCGGTTTCTGGCCATGAAACCCGATTTGATTTGTACGTCGCCACCCTTATATAGCTGTCATTTCCAAGTTTTTGACACCGATTCCAACTTTTTAGCTAGCTTCTTTGAGATTTGGAAAGCAGACCAAGGTCTTCGGTTAGCCATTAGAAAATTTGGCTGTAATTTCAACTTACTGCCAGCTGGTCAAAGAATTTTCAAAAATAAAATATTGGGGACAAAAACGACGGGACATAACCGGTAGGGGACAAAAAAATTAAAAAAGTGGGGACAAAAACGGGCCCAATCTTTACCATCCTGATTTCAAAAATAATTTTTTCCGGATCTTTACTTGTTTCTTAACAAGGGATCGGCAAATAGTTGCACCCTGCTTTCTTAACAAAACCTATATCATTTGAAAGAGCGTTAAAAATAGTACACAGCGCAAAAAAAATTAGCTGCCCAATATATGTTTGGGCAAAGTTATGGCCAAAATACAGATTCTAGCCGAATTTCCGCCTCACTTTATAAGTTCTTCGAATTGCAACGGAGTTGTGTCCAGTTGGCCGAGTGGTAGTGAGCCTACTTCCGGCGCAACAAGTCGAGGTTTCGAATCCGGGCTCTGTAAATTTTTTGCATTTCGTCTCTTATGTACCACAAAACCATGGTATATTTACATTTTTAAACAATTTTTGTTCCTTCACAGACAAAATCCATATTTACGGAATTTTTGGGAGTTTTTGGCTTTTTCGAAACGACCACAAATTTGATGGTGATGAGAGTGGGGTTGCCACTATCGTATAATTACAAGGGTGTCATGCCAGTAGCCTGACCGATTATAATTACTAGACGATAATTCAATTTACAAGGGCATATAAATAAACTGTTTCGAAAAAATACCAAGAGAAAATTGCAAAATCGGCTAAAAACGCTATTGCTGACATAGTGGACTAATCGTTAGTAAGGCTAGGACATACAAAATTTTTGATTTTGAGATTTTTGTTTGTGAATCACCACGATGATCATATGAATGTATTTACAAAGCTTTTTGCTCCAATTTTCCCATTGACCTAGTTTTATTTACAATTTTTTGTAACTAGCAGTAATTTCTAATAACTCATAACCGAGGAATGGTAAATCCATAAAACGTCCGTGATAGACGTTTTGGGATGCTAAGAAATCAATGAAAACGATTTCAGGCCGCTAGGATTACTGTAATATAAGAAACCGGCGTTTTGGCCGCATATGACCCCTTTAATAAAACGGCCGTAACTTTGCCCAAACATATATTGGGCAGCTAATTTTTTTGCATTGTACACTATTTTTAATGCTCTTTCAAATGATATATGTTTCGTTAAGAAAGCAGGGTGCAACTATTTGCCGATCCCTTGTAAGTAGTAATGTTAGATAGTATTTGTAAAATATTTTTTGAGTAAGACGTGGACTTAAGGCTAATAGATCATACTGATTGCGAAAATGAACATTTTCTGGGGGCCCGGTAAAAATCAGGCCCGGTCAGGTGGCCACCCCTCATTTTGACAACGAGTAAAATTTTCGGGGCTACGACTTTCCGGGTCAGCGACAGTTAGAGTTTCGCCGCAAATTTTGGTAAAGAAAACTAACGTTATTAATAGCTAACAAGGAAGATTAGAAAAGGTGAGCATATTGCAAGGTTTCGCCCATTCTCCGCCGAGCCTTCGCCGACCATCCAACGGCCTTGCCAGGCCTCGTAGACACTTCCTATATCTTATTTTGGGTATCCATCTGCCCTACGCCCCGTATCGATCGATTTTGTGTTGACCCGAACTGTCGTCGACCCGAAAAGTCGGGACGTCAAATTTTTGGCTGTTTTTTCTTGGCTAGTTGGGACAAAACCTTGCTAAAATTTTGGGCGCTACGACACTTCGGGTCAACGACACCTCGCACTGCAGGATGAGCCAAGTCTTTCTCCTTGGATGGTCAACTCTTCCTCTCAAAATTCTTTTTTGTCAAGATTAATATAAATTTATTTATGTTTCAATCTACATACATCGACTGGACAATAACTCGAAAAGTAAGTTAAATTAACCGTCTTCCTATATATGCAATGATTTTTTGCATTACGTAAGTTTATCCTTGCGCATTTAGCCATTGTTGTAGGTATACAAATTTAGCTGAATGCTGTTCGTTCTTGCGATTCCATGAACGAAATTTAAAAGTCTTCCCCACAACAGAACCGGCGTCGAGCCTTCTTGGTGGCAGAATTGTTTCAGCGTGAAAGGACTTACACTTTTTTTGTTGATTCGATTTTCGATATTACACTAGGTACTTTTGTAAGTTTACGGCGAGATTAGGCCACGTTTTACGTCATTTAAGATCTACATGGACAATAAAACTTTATTTTAGCATTCTTAACGTCGTAACAGTGATTTCCCCCCTTTTATTGTCGTTTTTAATTTTTTTTCAGATTTTAGGTATGGAACAGTTTTGATGTATCCGCGGCCATAGATGCGTATTAATACTTCGCAAACCATATTTAAAAGGTCCCTGATCGATCTGAAAAATGTTTAGAACAGAATGAGAGGTATTTGAGACTTTTTTAGATCCACGTTGTACTTGATCACTTAGACCCTGAGACATCTCAAACCCGGGTTTGAAAGAATATTTATGTTGGGGACGGTTTAGTAATGGCTCAGCTTTGTAGTTTTCCGGGTTTAAACTCCAAAAACATTGGATTTTGCCTGCAACTTGACAAAAGTACCTAGTGTAATATCGAAAATCGAATCAACAAAAAAACTGTAAGTCCTTTCATGCTGAAACAATTCTGGCACCAAGAAGGCTCGACGCCGGTTCTTTTGTGGGGAAGACTTTCAAATTTCGTTCATGGAATCGCAAGAACGAACCGCATTCAGCTAAATTTATATACCTACTACAATGTCTAAATACGCAAGGATAAACTCATGTAATGCAAAAAATTGTTGCAGAGTCAGAAAGAGGGATAATTTAACTTACTTATGGGGTTATTGTCCTGTCGAAATATGCAGATTAAAACATAAAGAAGTTTATATTAATCTTGACAAAAAAGAATTTTGAGAGGAAGAGTTGACCATCCAAGGAGAAAGACTTGGCTCATCCTGCAGTGCCTCGGGTCAACGACATTTCGGGTCAACGATACCGTTTAATATTCTCGCTTCGGGACTGGGAAACAAGATTTTTTTGGTAAATTTGAAAAATGTTTAAAATGTTTTCGCTTCGGGACTTGCGAAAAGAAATCCTTTGGAGAATTTGAACAAAATTTTGCAATGTTTTCGCTTCGGGACTTGGGAAAAAGGATTTTTTGGAGAATTTGATTTTTAAGAATCCCGTGCATCCAGTTAAAAACATAAACAATGGATACGATTTTCTTATTTGCTCGTCGCTTATAAACACTATTTTTCTAACAAGGGAAGTACTTGAAGTGTGACGCTCAGATTTTGATGAAACTTGGCATAAATTTAGAATAATTTTTTCTAAGATATATGCGAGAATCCTAGCTCGCGCTTTACAGAAACAACCGAGATTTTTAGATCAAAAGTCGGCGAAAATTTAGGACTTTTTGCCGAATTTCGGCACGAAAAGTTTTATGCCTATTTCAACTGTAAAGGATAATGTTTCTACAAAAAATCAAATTTTTCCGCACGAAACTGCCAAAGTTATGGCCAAAAAGCGCTTTTCTCTCTGACCGCTCTCCACGTTGAGCGTGCTCTCTCGGCGGCAAAAATCGTTCAATATCTCGGCGGCGCCCGCAAAGCGCGAGCTAAAACTTTCAGGAATTGATATTTAGTCCATACCCGATGTGTGTGCAAAATTTAAAGAAAATCTGAGAGTCACACTTGAAGTACTTCCCCTGTAAGCAAAATTTTAAAAGAAACCAAAATTCTCCAAAAAATCCTTTTTCCCAAGTCCCGAAGCGAAATTATTAAACGTTGACCCGAAATCTCGTTGACCCGAGGTGTCGTTCACCCGAAGTGCCGCGACCCGAGTTGTCGCTGACCCGAAATCTCGGGACGCGAAATTTTAATATCTAAAATCTTTTTATCAATCGATAGTGCATGGACGTGCAGCTTTCCAATGGCTTCTAAAAGCACATCATATTACTGGTTATCAAGTCATCCCAGCGAAGTTAGGGAAAACATTTTTATACATTTGTTTTTCTTGGCCGCCACTGTATTATATTATTACAGGTTGTGGAGGATGCGGAGGATGTGGCGGATGTGGTTGAAGTACTTATGGACACCCCTTCCCATCTCTAAGAGTAAAACGACGGGTTTCTTCTGTTACCAAGTTTATAATATGATTCTCTCATACGTACAAGGGTGCGGCAACATATAAAGGTGGTCATATAAGAATTAAGAATTTTGTTTTCCCAAATCGCAATTTTCGATGCACAAAAAAGTCGACGCCCGAATCGAAAAACTGGCGTCGACTTACTTTTTTTCTCGGCACCGAATTCTGAAATAAATTTTTCCAAGTTTTTCGAAATCAGTGCACAAAGTCTCAAGTCAGCACCGCATTTCGGAATTCGGTGCTGAAAAAATTAAGTTGACGCCAATTTTTCGATTTAGGCGTCGACTTTTTTGTGCACCGAAAATCGTGATTTGGGAAAACAAAATTCTTAGTTCTTATATGACCACCTTTATATCGTCCCCTGGGTTTTTTCTTGAAACATGTACCATTTGAAAGAGCGCAAACAACTGGCCTAGAAGCGACTTTTATTAGCCGCTATAGTTACCTTACATGCTGGCTAGCGAGCATTTTTTCTAGGTCTAACCCTTCTTTCGAGAAAAAAAGCGGTCTTCGTTTTTCAAAAACACAGCGAAGCAGTGCTTCGGTGGTACTTGTATAAGTTTGAAAACGATAAGGGAACATAGTTTTGCGTCATTTAGCGGCTTAAAATCGAAGTAAAAAATATGGGTCATCTTAACATTTCATATATCCGGATTTTTCGAAGTTGTGGCATTTCGTGTTGTAAATAGTGGTCAGGTTCTACTTCTTTAAGATACTCTTTTATCTCACAATCACAAAACCAACTGAGAGGCCAATTAGCCTTCAAGTCGCCTTGGAAAAAATATAAAGTTCATTAACAAACTTTGTAAACCAAAATTTTAAGCAAAATTCAAAATTTTCATAAATTATACTATGCGTATAACGTCCCTATGCGGGGATGTGACTGTCTTGAGACAATTATGCTACCATAATTGATATTTTGGAAAGCTAAACATCGATAACACGGATAACCTAAACCAAAAAATAATTTTTTTTATAAAATTATTTTTTACTGTAAGTTTGATCTCAATAAGCATTTTTTCATTTTGAGTCTATAGATGAAAATCAATATGTCGTTGTGATTCTGAATTGGCTTTATCCCGAATAATTTACATGTTTGAAATATCCTAGTAGGTCTTGGGTTAAAAAACCGAAAACATCGCGTAATCACTCATTCCGAGCATTAACCTGAAACTTTCAAGCTCGGAAAGTGTTTTTGTATTATTCGATCTAGGTTGAACCTGTATTAAATGTCATTGGTGACCAATATTTATATTTTATTCGATCTCGCTAGCCTCTCAGGAATAAAGAGTCCCAAAATCCAATTGGGAATTTTTAAGAAACGCCCGCTAGCTAGCACGTAAGGCAGCTAATTAAAGGTGATAGAGTAATCTTTACGCTTTTTCAAATTGTATTTCACTTTCGTCCCATGCTGTCCCGACACATTTATCGCGGATCAAAAATTGGAGTAAGCTCGCGCGAACGTGCATACCGCTAGCGCAAAAGCGGGGAAACGCCGCGGCCCGCGGCGTTTGCGAAAAAAAAGAAAAAAACGCTCTTTGCAAAATTCTCGGGACTTTATGGCGCGAGGGTATATTTCAAGAAAAGGGACGAGGTTTTGCCGAGCCCTTGTAAGAAATACCCAGAGTTCCATTGCGGTCAATAAAATTTCTGGTTCTCATATTCGATTTGGACCAGAAAATAAACTGATCAAAACACTCTAATTTCTATAAATGACAAGGGAAGTGTGCGAAATGCGACGCTCAGATTTTCTTTACGAGGAAAGTACTTCTATGGGGTATGGAGTTACAGGTCGAGTCATATATCAAAAAATTCGCAAGATTTTTGTGATTCAGAATATGTAAAAGTTAGCTGCCTAATTTTGGTTTGTAAGGGTGAAAAAACTCTCGGAACTTTTCTCGCAACACCATGAAAATGCGCCTTTTTTACATTGGAACTACTAATTAAGGTGTATTATAAATTAAACTTGATATTTTGAGGCTTGTAAAGATGCTAGGGTTTACTTTAACTCTAAAACAAGCTTTTGATTTGGTAGAAACTTGGTCAAAAAGGCATTTGCGTGGTGTTTCGAGAAAAGTTCCGAGGGTTTTTTCACCCTTACAAACCAAAATTAGGCAGCTAATTTTTACATATTCTGAATCAGAAAAATTTTGCGAATTTTTTGATATATGACTCGACCTGTAACTTCATACCCCATAGAAGTACTTTCCTTGTTAAATTTTCCACGCATTTAACAATGGAGCATTGATCATCCAAATATTCGATGGGGTTGGGTCTCGACAGGAAATATTGCGATGCCAAGGCTTTCTCCTGCTTTCTTTTCGAAGTCTTCAAAGCAGAATTCTGCTTTTTCTAGAAAAGTTTTTCTACTTGGAGGCCGTCAGACGTGACTTTGAAGCAAATTATCCTTCCGAATGGAAGGGAACCATAATAACACTTTACGAACACACTGCAGAACTAAATTTCACGATCCAACTTTTGGATGTACTAAATACAGTGCGCGACAAAGTTATAACCGCACTGTAGAAATTGCTGTAACTTTTTTGGTTGCCAATAGAAATGTGTCATATTTGGCGCCAATATGCACTAGTATGCTACGAATCATGTGCCAAAAATATTATTTCGGTAGATTTCCTCAATTTGAAAAAAAGTTGAAAAAAACCAAAATTTTGGTGATTTTCTTTGCGACAAAATTATAACCGCACTTACGGATTTGGCTAATTGGCCTAATTAAACCACTGAATAACAATGGCTAATGTTTAGTTGCGTTTCCTGAGGCTTCAATAACGTCATTTTAATAGCTGGGAATACTCACAATCAGGCCTAGCTTTTTTAACCTCTTATGGCTAATATTGCTCCATAATCGGAAAACGAGGGATTTCGGCTCAGGTAGGCCGTTCGGACAGAGTTTACCAGTAGCTAACTGACTAACCCAGAAGCATATAACAAATCTAAACGTTCTGGTGAAAAAGGTGTGACACTGCGGCAGAGAAAAGGCAAGTATATCCGCCGAGCTTCCAACCCCACAACCCCCTGGGCTCATATAAAATAAGAAATAGGCCTCAATTGTAGCAGGAAATCTATGCTGAGGGTTGTAAGACACAGTTACGTCATCAGTGGGCGTCATATGAAGTTGTGACCTCAGCTGGCCCGGGTTCACGGCAGTGCGCGGCCGAGATTTGCCAAGGTGACATTGACAAAACAGTTTAATTGGTCAAAGGTCAGAATCACGCCGCTCAGAAACGAATTCCTTGGAGATTCTGCAGCTAAACGATGCCCCTGACGGCTTCACACATTACACATATAACTGGCATAAAATCATAAGAGAACAGCGCTACCTCTCGCGCCTTAATGTTGGAGGTGGCTCGTTGAAGATTTGGGGTGCCTTAGAAGAAACCGGAGTGCTTCCGTTGGCGGCCGCATCAATTCAAATGAATAGCCTGGAGTATCAGGAGAACCTTGGCAAACATCTGGTGCCGTATTGGGAACCAGACTACACGTTAATGCAGGACAATGACCGCATCCACCTTAGCTGGTCGACAAAGCAGTTCCTTGAAAAGCAAAGAATTGCTACCCTGAACTTGACTGCATGCTCCTTTGATATAAATCAGTAAGATAACGTGTGGGGCTTTCTGGTTCGTGAATTACGCTGTAACAGCAAGCAGTATTCTACCGTAACCGAGCTAAAAGAGGCTCTTTTCCGTTTATGGAGCAATATTAGCCATAAGAGGTTAAAAAAGCTAGGCCTGAGTATTCCCGGCTATTAAAATGACGTTATTGAAGCCTCAGGAAACGCAACTAAACATTAGCCATTGTTATTCAGTGGTTTAATTAGGCCAATTAGCCAAATCCGTAAGCGCGGTTATAACTGTCGCAAAGAAAATCACCAAAATTTTGGTTTTTTCAACTTTTTTTCAAATTGAGGAAATCTACCGAAATAATATTTTGGCACATGATTCGTAGCATACTAGTGCATATTGGCGCCAAATATGACACATTTCTATTGGCAACCAAAAAAGTTACAGCAATTTCTACAGTGCGGTTATAATTTTGTCGCGCACTGTACTCACGTGTTGCCTTCCAGGTGAAACATTAACAATATCTAATATCCTCGGTTTTAGACGGAATCTGTTTCTACTCATCTCTTTTATGCCTTTATTTGTTATTAATTGGTTATGTTTGTTAATAAACATTGTTATGTAATCTCTTTGCTCATTTTTTCGAAGAAATAACAGTTATCAAGCTATTTTTGTTTCCATAATAATAAAACGCTTTCGCGCCAGCTTTGTGCGGAAAAGTTGATTTTTCGTGGAAACGGTACTCTTGACGGCAGGAATAGGCATGAAACTTTTCATGACAAAATTCGCAGAAAAGTCATTTTTCTAATGACTTTCACACACGTCGAAAAAGCCGGAAAAACGACCGAAAAAATAAACTCAAAGGAATAAGACCAATAACTATGATCTAAACCCACGTATATATGACATATATGGCATTAAACAAAATGGGGACGTCTGAGGATTCAGGAGAAAAAAAGAATTTTAAGATTTGGCGACAAACTAAAAAAGTTATAGCCAATTCAAATCGGCCACGAAGATGCCCCACCCTGTACCAGTTTTGTTTGCTGTAGTTGAGAAAATAAAGAATATCACTCCAAACGTGATCAAGTTAATGAATGGGCTACGAACGACTTCATGTTGGTTCTAAATATATTGGGCTACTTTTATAAATACCCGAATATACCCGTGATTTCGGGTATATACCCGGGTATATGCCCGCGTGGTGAATATACCCGAATTTTCCGAACCCTAGCCGACCCGGCCCGTCTATTTTACAATGCCAAACATCTAGATCAACGCCTTTTTTGCATAATAGTAACTTTCCCAAGCTTGGGCGCAGTTCGCCGGACCGGCTCTTCATTTTTGGCTTCCGCGAGCTGCGCCCCCGCTTCAAAAAATTACGAGACGAAGACCGCTTTTCTTCGGTGTGGAACAGCCGTGCTTTACCGCGGTAGACAGATCTTCTGCGAAAGAGTGTTATCGTTATATCAATTTCATTCTCGACATAGATTGTGGGATATTGTTTGACTGACTTTAAGTTGACTATGACCGATTTGGATGATCAAAAAATACGCCGTTCAACCAGAGATATCAAGCGACCGAAGTTCGACGACGAGATCGTAGAAAGCGTCCCTGTCGTAAAGGGTGTTTTGAAGAAAAAATCGGATAGAATGTCCCCGGACTTAGTTATGGTAGGTTATCGATATCATCTATCTATACATAGATTTGCATCTTGTTTCCTTCAAAAATTATTGTAAGTTTAATTCAGATGAAAGAATTCGAGGATAAAAGTTTTCTAAACGATCGAAAAAGAAGGGAGAAACTTCAGATGGGGTCAAAACTAACGTAAGAATTTTTCCGATATAACGGAACCTTCCAGTGCGTTTGCTAGCCAAAGATTGCCAAACAAACCCGTTAACGAGTCGGACAGACCTACAGCAACTTCTTCACTTTTAAACGACATCTTCAAACGGTGGACAGTTCAGGACGATATATTACTCATGTCATCTGTTAGTCATGTATGTTTCTAAAATGATATGTTATCTATTATTTAGTTGTGTGATTTGAATGCGGTTCATTGTTCTACTCCATTTTCAAAGACGTTTACTCTCGCAGAGATTGATTCAAGGTGGTATGGGATTCTTTATGACGATACAATCAACAAGGCCACTATGGAGAGGATAGAAAAAGTGTCACAGGATCAAATTATGCATATTCAATCGAAAGTTCCCTTTTCGGTCGAGGAAGAGGAAATCCTTATGACTCTGACTCCCTTCAGGATAACTACTCATTTCACAATGTTTGAGAACCTTTTGAGTCAGCACAGGCATGTGTTTCATCCTTGTAGGACACCTGCATCACTTGAGGATCATTGGCGGTACATGAAACATTACAATCTTCTATGTGAGCAGACTGTTCCAGTGTTTGACGAGGAGTTAATAAGGGTGCGTTCAATAATTTAATATAACATGTTGTCTTGCAGATGGAGCGCCAAGGTAATGTTGAAAGAAATGATACGATCATCCTTCCAAATAATGCTGATCACAGAAATGTAGCACAGGATTTGTTTAACAGTATGATTGATATGGACGAATGGGAGAAAGTGGTAACAAAAGCCGTTACGGGGGTGTCTAATGCTCTTCAATTTGACCGCGACACTCTGGCGGTATTAAAAGGACGATGTGTGTCCTTTGACATAAGGAAAGATCGTGTTTTGATTGGGCGAAGTACGCAGAAACATCGTGTCGATGTCAACTTAGCCTTCGAAGGGCCTACCGCACACATCAGTCGGAGACAGGCGGTCCTAAAGATCGATCACAAAGGCAGGGCTGTCATTTACAATATTGGGAACGCTAGTATGTACGTGGACAAGGATCCATTGCCCCGAGGGAACAACGTCGAATTGCACAACAATTCGATGCTCGAAATAGGATTGCTTCGTTTGATGTTCTGCCGGAATCATGACGTCTATGACCAGCGCGAGCCTACGTCTACTACCCTTCATAAGACTGAACCTAACTCAACTTCATACCAACGGTAACTGTGGAGAAAATGTAAATAGAAACTATTTAAATAACCTTTTTGTAACAATTTAATAGAATTCATTAAAGCAACCACTCGAAATAAATAGGATAATGATGCTTCATTTATACATTATGGAAACAATTAGAGCCCTGTGCGATGAACCCGGAGGTAAAGATTAAACTTGTAATACCTGTAATGTGTAGTAAGTAGATTCAAAACAATCATTGCTGGCGTGGGAAGACAATGACGAAATAAATAATGTCATGATGTATACCCGAGTTTGGACGGGAAAAATTGGTGGGGGCCGGGGCATGGGGGGGGGGGGGGGCAAGCGGTGAATTCTGTGTTATACCTAAATCTGTGGCGAAATTCTGGATAAAAGCGTTTTACAGAGAACATTGGCTTTAAGAACAAGGAATGAAATAAATAAAACTGCCAAAAAGGGTAGCGGCGATGTGATAATAGACAATTAGATTGGAATAAGAACATAAGACCAGCGGAGCGTTGATTCATTGAATGGGCAGTGATTCTTGACTGATTTTCTGTTTGGCAGTGAGACCCGTATTGAGAAGGTCGTTCCATATACCTAAAGGGTAATCGCTAAAGGCAAATCAACTCTTACCTGAGATGATGTACTGAAGGAGGAATGGACGGTTACTTGCTGGGTTTGAATTTAGATATGATAAAGGTCTTCGACTTTCCTATATATCATCGGTAATTGTAAAACAATCCTCACCTACCTTGTTGTTGGGCTGCTTGAAGGATTCCCTTGTATATCTGTGATCTAAGGAACCTTGGATAAGAGTCTTTGCTCATTAGAGTAAAAACATGCTCTTCGGCACACCAGAAGGCAAATCGAGGGGGAACTTTCGGATTCTCCAGACATTTGAGGGTTTCTTCGAGGGTGCGAGAGTCAACATTTACCTTAAACCAATTAACCTTGACTAGTTGTAAGTAACGTTTACTTGATTTGGTGCTCCGGGGGCCAGGTAATCGTCTCGAATTTGCTGGGATTTTTCCTGGATTTGGCTATTTGGAGAATACTTGAGATCTTGAACAGCTGACCAAAATCTTATATTCTCCGACGAGAATTCTGATTCCAAAAATGTTTCAAGCACCTAAACTTTACAATCATTCACTAAGATAAAGAACGTACTTGTCGACCAATCGAGTCTCTGACCAATTCTTGAACACTCAAGCCCCATCGTTTGACCCGTCTTTCGGTTGGGACCTCAACACTGAAATATTCACAATGAATTGCACAATAATACACAGCTTGTAGATCAAAAAAAAAAAAAATGACATACGCATCAGTGTTCAAAGTCCAGAGTGAGGTATCGTCGGTGATCCAAGGATTTGGAGGATGGGGAGCGGACAAGAAAGAGTCGTAATCTTGCATATGTTCTACAGAAGCGACCATCGTATCGCTAGCCTTCATGGCCTTCAGCCAGGGCTTTGTTTTAAGGGCCAACTTGAGTCTTTCGACACGCTGGCGATGGCCTTGTAAGGTGCATTTCCTGAGGCGTCGTTCTATTTTCTGCATTGATTTTTCTAGACAGTTGGGTTGTCCTGGGCCAAAAGGACGTCGCAGTCGCCAGAAGGCTCTCTCTTCACTGTCAAATACAACCTTCTCGCTTTTCTTTTTTTCTTTCTGGATTTTGACCTGCATTTCAGCCTGAATTGTGATGAATCCCCACATGTGGGCAAGAAGTTCAGCCAGTTTATTGTAATGTTCGATCTCTTCTTCTTCCAGTCCATGTTTTTGTTCGTTCCTCATAAGTCGTTTATTCAAATAAATTGCTGAAATATTAACTACCAAATTATTTTTTTAAACAGTTTTTTAATTTATTTTGTGTTCGTGGTACTGTAAAACCGTTAAGCGAAGCGTTGGTTCTAATTATTTGTGACCTCAAGTGAAAAAACAACCATTTTGACAGAAGAAATAGTAAAATCTGTCTCCTGGGAAAATACTGTGCGCCCTGTACTAATACTAACTATTTTTTGTAATCACATAAGTTGTAAACAGTTTGGATGTATCAGATCAATGTAATGAAAAATTATGTGTACTCCTCGCAGACTCACCATATTCGATATTATCAACGTTCTTGGCATGAGATGGCCAAAAATAAGGAAGTTGTATACGATAGAGAGTATTGTCGTCTTTGACAACATTCGACGGCTCAATCACTGCAAAGATAAATCCATAATGTAACAACAAGGTCGCTAAATGAATGGACTCGGTCGAATCCTCGAGGTTGAGGAGTTCGTGGAGGATTTGCACCAAGTTCTGTCCAGTCAACGCTTGGGGAACAGCCACTCGAAAGTATTTGTGGGTTTTGAGAGGCGCCACCTCGGCTAGTCGGAGCAACAGCAAGTCCAACTGAAAATCGGTGAATTAGAAACAAAAGAATTCCAATTGGAAGTGACGTGGCCAAGATTAATTATGTTACCTTTTGGAGAGTGGGTTCCGACATGACAGGATGCTGGGGTTGGGTGGGGACCAGGCCCACCGTTCCGCGGAACGAATCAGGGTAGGAATCTGAATTTGGACCGCTGTTTGAACGCGACACGAATGTGGACGGGATGGGCGAGATAGAAATCGACGGTCAAGTATTCGAGCACGCAGGGCCCGTATGACAGTCAGGAACGCCGGCGACGTGGATGAGGGCAACTTGATGAGTGCGGATCGAGATCCCCGCAAAAAGAAACGAACGTGGTCCTGCCTGAAGGGCTCAGAGGAATTTTCGCGGAGCTGCGAGCGACGGCGTCGGACTTGTGGACAAGAGAAGGATGGATAGGATGGGGGAGTGAGAGACCGCCAGGCAGTCAGTTTAGATGCAGTGGGTGTGCAGGCGAGAGGCCGCTCGCAGCTGCACACGTCCAATCTCTCTATACTCCCGTGCTGCGGCGGCCAAGAGAATCCCCTTGGACAGCGGTCCGCTTATTCCAACGGTTTTCCGATGAGGAGTTTCTTTTTCTTTTGAGAGTAGGACTTTTGGTTGAAGCAAGACGGGAAGTTAAAGAGCCTTAGTCCGCTATTGGACATTGGCTGGAGATTGGAATAGCCAGCTGGTAACGAAGACGCCGCCGCACACAAAGCTCCGGCTCTGAAAAAGACCTCCCCCTCTTTTCGGCCGAAAGAAGACAAGACTATGGAGACACAGAAAAGCATGTCGTTTCTTTAAGTTCTCTTCTCCATTCTTATAGTAAATCATGAGCCAAGAATAACTTTACCCGATTCGCGTACCTGAACAACAAGTAGGTACAAAACTCGACGCATGTAATGAGGACTATTGAAACCAAATCAACATTGAATCAACAATCTGATATTCTTTACTTGGATTCAGTAAAATAATTAATATAAAATAAGGAATGCTTCCGTAAAAAATTTCCCGTTAATATACAATTTTAGAACGAGCCATTGTATTCGGCGACCCGTTCGAAGAATTTCCGCCGCTCGCTGACTGGGACGGCCAGTGATCGACGCACCTCACTCATCAAACTTTCAGGTAGCTTTCGAGACTCAGCATTTGCAGATGTATTTATATCCTTCAAAATTGGAATGATCGGATTACTGAAGTACCTAACATCTGAAACCATTTACTCATTAAAAAAGTCCTTCTTCTTACCATTCCGTCGATTAGGATTCACTTTTCGAATGGGCGGCCTTAAGACGACATCCTCTGTAGTTTGAGAGACATCTGGTACAGTAGATGGAGAAAGTTCTGTCTTGTTGAGCGAACCTGTCGAAAGACTCGCAGTTCTTTTCGGTATCTTAAGTGGAAGTTGCTCCTTTTCTTTATCTTCAAGTGATCTTCTAAGCTGCATCAGAGATTGTTCCTTCATGCGGATCTCTGATCTCAGGTATTCATTCTCCGACTTGAGCTCTCTGCAAATTATGATTCCTATAAAACGTTTCCTTCTCACCTGATTTGGACTCTGCTTAGGCTTTTCAATGATGCCATTTCTTCCTCTAACCTTGCATTTTCCGTACATTTCGATGAATATAAGTTCTTAACATTCAAGAGTTCGTTCCGCATCATCTGCATTACTTCCTTGCAAGGCTCTTCTTTCTGATTGCAACAACAATTCTGATGATGTCTCTCTTCTCTCAGACGTCTTATTTCTTCATCGTGTGCTCTTTGGACTACATCAAGGGCGATCTTTGTGGCCTGTTTCTCCTCCTCTAATTCATAGGTATGATGTTCATCAATTTTTTTGATGTTCTCTTCGTACTCCTGCTTCAGGTTTTGCATGATTTTTTGATACGAAGATTTGATTTTTTCAATGCTTTCCTCCAAAGTGGAAGAGCCATTCCGTTGAATGCAATTCTTTAAATCATCGTTTTCAGCTTCAAGGCATCTGATCCGATCGTCCAATATTTTGGACTGCTTCTCAAATTCTCGAAGCTGCTGTTTAAGTTGTTCTCCATGTTCAGCCTATAACTTTCGTAATTTTAGTCACAACCTTTGTAACTCGTATCGTACCTGAATTATTTCAATTTCGGCCTCCAAAGCCTGGATCTCCTTTCGTAAGTCGTCTCCATCATTGTTTTCGGCACGGTTCGATGAATCAGTTGAACCGATCACCGAACTCAACTAAAAAATTATCCTTCAAGCCTTGGAGAGTTAATTACCTTGTCATATGCTGAAATCACGCCTTCGAACGTTCTCTCCATCGTAGCCAAGTCCTGCGTGACATTTTCGTCCATTCCGGCGACCGTTCTAATTAGACTATCCACATATCTTCGGAGATAAATAAAACTTGTAGCATTCTGCGTGGAATGTAATACCTTGGACAGAGCGCCCACTTGAACCTTCAACAATGAAACTAAACGTCTGCTGATCTCAACGGACCTGAAATCAACAAATTTAAATCGACAATTGGGGAAAAAGAGATTTGAGGAAACCAAAACACTTCTTTCCCTGCATATAAGTCGTTAAGACATATCAAAACATGGAGTTACGGTAACTCAACTACTTTTGAGATCAAAAAATATGACCGCGTTTATAAAAGATACAGACAGTTTTGTTTATCTTTATTACGGTGAGGACCTTCAGCACTACGATGTCGTAATACAAAAAAAAAATTTTTGAAGTGAATAATGCAATCATTAACAAACAGTTCACTTGTAGCTGATTTAGATTAGCAAACATTCAGCACTACATTTGTCCCCAATATTACTCAGCTTAAAAGTAACATTCAAGGACCAGGTGTAAAAAATTACAGTAGCCGCAAATTTGCAGCCATACGGTATCGTAACTACACGTGCTGATATTCCCTAGCCACTCGTATGCAAGAAAAAACCTATTTTTCAGTTCCCCAATTCTCTTTTCCCCAATTGACGACGTTCCGTCAACAAATGACTGAAGACGAGGGATTGGACTTACAACTGCAAAGGACCCTCGTTGTGTGTTCGTGGGTAGCCTGGATGAAGAACATCCATTTCGCCGTAAAACCTGAATCCCGGAACGGCTCCGTCTTTCTTCACCTGCAAGTAGAAAGAAAGTGGAGACGAAAAGCAATAAGAATGAGCCTTGGAAATCGTTTTGTATCCTATCTCAAAGGCGTAGGATATACAGAACGCAATCCATAGTTTATGTAAAAGTTCTTACTTCTGGCGACGGAAACAAGGTGCGGAGACTAAAATTTTCATTTTCCACTTCTTTCAGTCGACTGATAGTCTGCGCGAGCTGTGCTCTGAGGGTTCTCACCTGGTCGTTGACATTCGTAATAAAAGATGAAGTGCCGTTAGGCGACGTCGAAACGGGCTGGGAGCTGAAGAGAAAATAGAGCTGCATCGGTCGGACAGGGATTTCAAAAATTCGATGAATGCATGACATACCGCAAGATGGAAACTCGGTCCCCCAAGGGCGATTCCGAATCAAAGGCGCGTGAGGACGGGGACAAGATATCCGCAGGACTTATTCCATCGACGGTTGAACTTAGAAGGTCCGAAAACCGGCTGGAATGTAAATAAAGGTAAATTACAATAGAGTATGAATTTGGATGCATAATATAATAATTTTCAGTGCGCGGTCGGAAATTGCCAAGGTGAAATTGACAAAACAGGTTCATTAGGTAAAAGTCAGCTTCACATCGTTACAGTACCGAATTCCTCGGAGATTGTATGGCCAAACGATGTCCTTGACGATTTCACACATTACTCATACTACTGGCACAAAATCAGCGTTGCTTCTCGCGCCGTAATGTTGGAGGTGGCCCGTTGATGATTTGCTTCCGTTGGCGGCCATATCAAAACGCAAGGGTAGCCTTGAGTAACAGGGAGTCTTAGGCAAGCATCTGGTACCGTATTGGCAACCAGGCTACACGTTAATACAGCAAAATGCTCGCGTATATATTAACTGGTCAACAAACCTGTTCTTTGAACAGAAAGGAATCGTTACCCTGGAAGGGCCCATGTGTTCCTTGGATTTAAATCCGACAGAGAACGTGTGGGGCTTCCTGGTTTGTGAATTACACCGCGACAACAAGCATTACTTTACCGTAACTGAGCTAGAAGAGACGCTTTTCCTATTCTGGAACAATCTTAGCCAGGAGATTGAAAAAGCTCGCTCAGAGTATTCCTGGCCGTTGATGAAGCCTCAGGTAATTTAACTAAACATTAGCCATTGTTATTCAGTGGTTTAATTGAGCTAATTAACCAAATTCATAAGTGCGGTTATAACTTTGTCGCAAAGAAAACCTCCAAAACTTGGGGTTTTTTCAACGTTTTTCTAACAATAAATTGTGGAAATTTCCCGAAATAATTTTTGGCACAAGATTTGTAGGACACTAGGTGAAAAATATGACATATTACTATTGATCACCAAAAAAGTTACAGCAATTTCTAACGTGCGGTTTAATTTTGTCCAGCACTCTAGCTATTTGGATGTCTTGCCGCCTTCCCAACTCTCAAAGCAGGGCGTTTAATAGGACCATGGGTCATAATCGACGTTTGTAAGCCGCATCCACCCGTCATAATTGGAGGGGCATCGGACACACTAATCAGAAAATGAATACCTGTCTTCCCGGGTTCCGTTCCGTTGCGAAGATTCCAGTCGCGTCAGATTTTCCTCATCGTTTTCATCTGTTGTAGACGACAGTTCTCCATCCATAACCGAATTACTGTGATGCGATTCTGGCGCCACATAAGCAATGTGTTTCCGTTTTTTCTAAAAAAATCTTTTAGTATCTCGTGAATACTTACTGTAAACGAAAAGATCTCAGTGGAGTCATGGGTAGCGGCGTCAGCGTTATCCATGGAGTTTAGATAATTAGGCGATGGGTTATGAAGATTCTGCTGTAATGCGCTGATCCAGGAGTCCCGAATGCCTGGGGTCATGGCTGACAACACATATCTAGCCCTTTTACATTTGATTTCAATGCCATAATTTCTAGTCGATGGATAAACATTTTCACATTCAGAAAGGTCAATTGTAATAGCCGGTTCTGCATTATCATCTACCCAAACATCACTAAATATTACGTAGACCAGGCCAGGATAACTTACTTGTATAATTTTAGAGAAAGGCCTGCGAGAACCACCCAGTATTTCTGGTATTGGTTCTCCGACTTCCCCCTCAGAGTAAGCCACCCTTTCCGCAGGGTATAAACATTTGAAGTGTCAATTTTAAACGTCTAAATCTCAAGTAAATAATACAAAAAAACTTACATCGGGAACTTGTTTCGGCTCTTCATCATTCCGAATAGAATTCCTTCCAATTGTATTTGAAAAGGCAGCATCCGACTCGTCTCCTGGATGAATATCTGTGTGTTCTATCGCATAACCATAATTCGCACAATCTGGTGGCTAAAGGAAATCAAGTCAGTTACAACAGTGTTAACCTACAAGTAGAATATCGCCTGATAAAGGTTCTGAATTGTGAGTTTCGTCCAGAGAGAATGAGCATGACGGAGTGATTTGGATCGTATTTTGGTTCGAAAACGTCTGAAGAACATTTTCCCAACTAAAAATATAAAGTAATGTTTTGAAAAACATACCATCGAATTTCTTCAGTGTTGTCGGCCTTTATATAGCAAACTGCTGGATGACTATTTTCATTATTAACAGAATTAGAGAAGGCTAACAGTAAACTGTGTGCATGTTGAGTGATGGCATCTGCGCAACAGACCCGAATGCATTTGTTCATGTCCATACGAAGTTGCGGGACCGTGTCTGGCTAAAAAACAATATAACTTCCAAATATGTTGGTCTTACATTTTCATCGAGAGCAAATATGAATTCTCCATCGTCATAAAGGCTGAACCATCGCCTTTGCCATCTCTAAAATAAAAAAGAAATGGATTTCAATCGGTATAACTTACCTTGCTCGAGTGATTTGGTTGGGAAAAATCTAAGTTGGATGGAGCAACATATAAAAACCCGCAGGCTAACGTTTTGCGGGCCATCTGGAAACAAGAATTATATTATTGATGTCAGTCAATCCGCAGGTCACTCTCTCCGCTGGATAGAGGCGATGGATCGAACGCAAAAGAACCGGTGAAAGGAAAGCGGAGCCGGCATAGAATCAGGTCGACGATCAGGGATAAAACGTTCTTTTGTCGATGGTGGGGAAGATAAAATCCCCGATCACTAGCCCGATTCAAGCCGAATGAAGTTTTCGCCGCAAATTTTCAATTCTTTGGTATGACCTGTTCAGCGGCGTAAAATTTTTTCCCGCGAGACGAAAATCGGAAGGTAGAAGATAACATCAAGGAAACTGCAATCAAATTACCTTTTTTCGAATGTAGTCATATTTTTGGTGTTGCTCCTTGACTCGAAAACAATGTTGGCATCGACTTTTGTTGAAAATATTTGGTTCGAAGTGAAGGCATACTTTATGGTGGTTGATTAACTCCATTTCTTCGATTTAGCGCCTTGAATCCATAACAACATCAAGCTGGCGGCGATTGTGATCTTCTCGCTCAAAAAATGGCTGTAACTCTTCTTTAACCCGAGACTCTCAAATTTCCGAAAACGGATTTATCCCCGCAAAACAAATAAATTCCCAGCGGTTTATAAGTTTTTGTAGAAAAGTGGGACAAGGGACCAGAGGACGCTTTCAAACCGCGGGGAAAGCGGCTTGTCTCGCTGTCCCACTGCCTTCCGCATACAACGGGCTCAGTTTTGAACGAAAACAAACACAACTGGTTTATTAGAAGATAAAATACCAACATCACATTATTTTGAGGGTGAAACAGAACACAAGTTCAGTCAGCAACGAAATCTGGATGCATTTGTGACGGCGTATTGTTTGGCTGGGCGACTTCTTGTTTCCAGACCTATAAACCGTACTCACTCACAAGAAATACGGTAATAATATTATGTCGTTAATGACATTGGTGAATAATTAATGACCCAATTCATTGGACAAAATTCGGCATAATCTAGCAAATGTCACCTTATATTTATTTAATAATAAACATTATCGTATTTTGAAATTAATCGTATATACGGTTGTCAAAAAACACAAAATTAAAGTAAAACATGACTGTAACATAATTGGAACGAAAAATCGTGAGGTTGAGTTTGATCAGAGGAAAGTATTAATGGACTCTTTTTCTCGCATGGGAACTTCGATTTGAGCATTATGAATAAGCGATATATTTCCCATGTTTGTGGTTATGATAGACAGAGAGGCTGTGAGTAAGGTGCCACCGAAGCGTAACAAATCCTCTTAAGCTCCCTCGAATCATCATCTGTAACCTCTGCGCAAGGAGGTTATAGGTGATGATTCAAGGCTATGCCTAAGCCTGAGCTTCGCTGTGTTATGCAACGTCCAAGTATTTTAATGGCTTAGTCATTCTGTCTCGATACCGTTTCGGGTGATAACCGGCCTTTGTCCCGTTCCCAATTAAGGCGACCTTTAGAGACGACGTGTTTCTTCAACCATTAGTGAACATTCCCCGTTTCAAATCATTAAACCTTTCCAGCGTGGAAGAGGAGAAACTAACGGTTTCACGTTTCTTCCTTTTTGATATATCATTCGAATCGTTTACCACCCTTCGGCAAAGTCAATTTACAATCTGCGAGGTTAATTATGAACACAGACGGGAGTACGGTAAGTTATGAATTCCTTGTTTTGAACAACTTTCGGCATTCCTACAAAAAATTGTTCCAGGTTGACTTATCGAATCGTGTTGGCCAGCTATTTATGATGGACAATGACTTCTTCCGGTCTCCCTTTATGAGAGAAAAGATCCCAAGAATGTTGTTCAGTAATGGTAAAAATTTTTTTTCTTAAATTATGCTACAGGAATGCGTGGATTAGAAAATCAAGCCAGAGCTTCATCAACTACACCTTGTAATCATGGTTTAAGTATGAATGACGTTTCCAGAAACGCCATTGTCAGAGATGTGCCAATAAGAGCTGCGGTAAGAATTGATTTTCTTTGCCAATCTGGTTTCTGAAGAGGTCGTGATCATTAATTCTTTAGACTCTTTCCACCAAACCAAACTTCATTGAGATCTCAAGTGTAAGGAATTCGACTCCAACATTAATTTCGCGTACTCTGTAAGTCCTCTATAAACAATTTTCATCTAGCGTTTAGAAAAAGGCCCGATTTTTCACAGCCGTTAACGGCCTTTGAATCCACACCGGATCTACTTCAAAGAGACAGATTCGTGACAAATGGGTGAGTTTTAAATAAATTAGAAATGAGGACTGTAGGCAAACAACATTGTCTACGACTTTGTATCTGGTTTTAGCCTGGATCAGCGTTCAACGGATTATACGCCCCATCTAAGTCCCGGGAAATCCGAGAATACAGGAGAATCAGTCCCGGATCTGAGCACTCAATTTGGTTCTTTAAGAAATGACAATACTTCCAACATTCAAAAAAAGAACTCGAAAGATTCTTGGGGCCGTGATGACTCACTCTTAAGACCAGCGATGCCAAATCTCAGAAATGACATTGGATATCACGAAAATCAACAGTGAGTGGTTTGAAGAAAATTGTCACTCAAATTATTTTAGGATACATGAAAAGCCGACAAGTTTTAAATTGAACGCTATCAAACCACCTCCTACTTCAGATTCTGTGCATCACAGTTTTCCGATAAGGTAAGATCGGATATTCCCTTCGCTATTGGTTCAGTTCTTCTCGTTCAACAACTCCTACTCAAAACCAAGGAACATTTTCTAACACCGCAAAACTTCCTCCTCTCATGACCCTTCATCGCGGGATCGTAATAGCTTCTTCAACTGTTCGTCATTTTCCAAAACCGGTGGACTCGGGAACAAGCCGACTAACGAGAAGCGAAGAGAGGAGAACCAACGATTTCGGGATGTTCCCTTCTTCGTCATTGAAGTCCCTTCCATCTCTCCATAAGGAACCCCCAAAGGAAGAACCGCGATTGAACAGCTTCCTTAGCCACAGATCCAATTCATTGCAAGAGGTAACCAAACCGATATCTTCCAGAACCAACAGCAATCCTAATTTGTATCCAAAGACGTTCTCTCGGCCTGTAGAGTCGACTGATCCCGTTGAGGAAGCAATCAGAAGTCTCGAAACATTTGGTAGGATATTTGAAAAAAAAACTTTATTTGTGACTCTAGATCCCAACGAGCTTATCAATTCTGGTTTAAACAAGAATTACTCTATGTCCTCTCCCAGCCTAAAAGTATATCCAAAACAACCGGGCTCACAAAAAAACCCTACCTCACCACCATTGCCCACGAACAAAGAAAGTTACCACCATCTTCTTCAAACCGTAGAAATCCTCCGTCTTAATTGTGAAAAGATGACGCAATTGTCATCAAGATCAGGTTGGAGGACGTATGGGGAACTGGAAAACAATCTAAACGACATGAAGAGAATTTTTGAAGTCGTAAAGACTGCAGTGAACAGAATATGTAACGACCCAAGCAACATAGAACAAATATTTTCCCGTCGTATTTTGGAAGAGTTAAAAAAAATTTTCGAAGACCTCCAGTTTATGGAAGCAGACCAATGGAGCTCACGGAAACTTTGGAGAGGAGCTTGGGCTAATGAAGGCATTGATGACGACTTAGACCGTTTTAGCATGATAACGCGGAAGGTAAGAAGTTGCATTCGAATACTAATATTTGCAGATCCTAGTCTTACTTAACGCAATGGATGCTGTGAAAGAGATTGGGCATAAGATCCCTCTGGCACCAAGCCCCGAAGATTTTGCAAACAGAGGTTTCAAGGAAAGACACCGCGGCTCGTCTATAACCGATCTAAACTATGGAACCTTGCCATCATCAATGCCTTCAAGTCAGCTCGACAGGTTAACTTTGCCGCGGGAACTTACTTCATTCTACAGTTCCCTTCCAAGATTATCCAGTCAGGTGGAATCACAAGATGTGATGGATGGAGGGGAATCAACGACTAGTTCAACAAACTCGGACAGTCCCACATTCAGTGGTAGAAGCCTCGCAGAATCGAAGGACACTCTAATTCCTGAACAATCATACCTACCCCCAGACTCTCCAGAATCAAGGGTGGTTATGGAAGAAGATGATCTTATGTCTCTAAACATTTCAATGAATGTTAACGAAACAGTAAGTGTAAGACCAATTACTAACGGATATACATACTAGCTACGCGTAATTTCCGTTTTTTTATTTTTTTAACATGGCCCCAACAGGGTAGCTCTTATGGAGTTAGGCGTACGGGGTGGAGACCTATGGAGCAAGTACCTGGTTTGCCATTTCAAAATTTTATTCAAATTCTCCAAAAAATTCCTTTTCGCAAGTCCCGAAACGAAAACATTTCAAAAATTTGTTCAAACCCTCCCAAATTTTTTTCCAAGTCCCGAAGCAAAAACATTTCAAACATTTTTCAAATTCACCAAAAAATTCAAAACTGAACCACAACAATTAACGAATAGTAAGGATCAATATTCCCCGGGACCCGGCAACCCCGGTATTTGCCTTTGCCCCGCTCATCCCGTAAGGGCTGCCTAGTACGTTCCACCCGTAAGATACATCCCGTTTAAGGGCGTACCTAGTCCTTTTGAGAGACCTGAATTGACTGGCAACATAAATGAAGAAGATCAAGAGATCCTCGAGTTTTGTGCTATACAGGTCAACCAAAACAATGAGAAGCTGAATCGTTTGGCACAAACTTTTTACAACGTCATCGAGAATGGAGGCAGCCCAGACAAGTTCGGACAGAAGGCAAAGATGGTAATAAACTCCGTTCCGTTGCAACTCATTTTAGATTGTGATGGTAGGCAAAGTCCAAACTCAGCTGGCCAAAAACATCGCCTCCAGCCTGCAAACTGTGAATTACAAAGCCGAGTTCGCGAAAACGGCACAGTTATTGGAAAACACCGTCAACTATTGTGAGGAAAGTATTCAAACAGCTATAAAACAGGTAAGAAACATAAGAAACTCGAAATAAAAAATTGCAGTATCCGCAAGTGGCAACTATTCAATCCTTGATCTCCGCCGTTAATAGTATTTGTCAACAGTCTCAAAACTTGAACATCCTCTTGACAATCTCGATGTATAAAGAAATTTAATTGTTTAAATATCACCGCATATCCGTGTTATATTGTACATTATGTGCATAAATTATTTCGATTTTTCGTCATTGGATAATTTGTCGTCGGAGCAATTCTCAAGAAGTTCATCGAGTTCCTCGTTCCATTGCTCTTCGGACTTGCCATCTTTGACAACTTCATAATCTGGCATATCTTGTAAGAACTCGGATTCCCAGTCATCTTGAACACTGTTAAATTGCCAGTACGTACGACCTACCTTCCTCATTGGTCTTGCTGCTCTCTTCAACTGCAACAGTTTCTTCTTCCTCCTTTGGCTCGTTTTCCTCTCTAACGGCTTCCACCCTTTCATTCACTGTATTTTCAGACGCTTTACAGATAAGTTGGACTCGATATAAATAATTTCTCCAAAATCGTTCCTCCGTTATTTTCTTGGGTACCAATTCAAATCTGATGTCCAATATCCTTGGGTCGTACTCGATGAAAAACTTGGCGATGGCTTCCATTTTTTCAATGGTTAAGTCTTCATCAACCACAGGGGAGTCTTGAAGGAAGATGGACTCGTCCTCGGAGAGACATAGAATCTGCCTTTTCACATTTTCATCTTCCAGAATACCAGCAAATGGTGAACCAGTGTCTTGCTTAGCGGAGACTTGTTGTTCAAACGACTTCTGGGCTTTGTTTAAATCACCAAGTATCGTCTGTAAAAATTAGTTCCATTGAAAAATTCGATGATTCTTACGTTGTCCAGGTTTTCCTTCACCAAATTCGTTAAATCGGCAGCCTTTTTTTGAGCAATAGCAAGATTCTCCGATGCAATTCTGGCATAATTTGAAAATGTATCTAAAAATAATAATTACTTGGAAAAATTCAGATCTACGCACCGGTAAAGAATGCAGACGACGATTTTCCTTCAGCGACGTCTGGAGCCGGCGTTTTCTTTTCTACACATTCTTCCGGGATTCCGGGCACACCTTGTTCCAGAAAGTCGCCTATCTTTTTTTGGGCTGCGCCAATCAGATTAAACATCTGCAAATGATTAGGAAATTAAAACTGAAAAGTACGAACGGTGAAGGACCGTGTCAATATCTTACAACTGGCCTTCATCAATATATATTTATTAGTACCCGCCTTTGGATCCAGACAAAACATACAGTAAAAAATGCAAAAAAAAACAATAGTAAAAATTGGAACGTTACAAATCATGCCACATGTTCGGTATTCAGATCATAAAAACAATATAAACGTGGACTAGACAGGAGAACTCAAATGTTCGGATCCAAGGTAATACACCATTTTAAAAACCTTAAAGCCGACATATCTTGGCCCTTTGGTAGTTTTCGCAGTAAGGACCCAACAATTATTTCAAATTGGCCTAAAATTACAGAAAAAAGGTTGAACGGATCTCAAATACTTACTCATTGGTAATCTGTTGGCGTTGTAGAGTTCTCGGAAGAAAGTAACCAAATAATTGAAGACTTCTCTGTTAGGGGAAGGAATTGTGCCAACATATTTATAATAAACGTCTATTTCTGAAGCGTTTGAAGAACAAACAGGAGCGCTTAACAAAAGCGGCTGTCTAAGTGATCGTAGAAACACATGTAGTGTCGAGTACAAAGTTGATGGATAGGAGGCCGCACAATTCACTAAAAGAGTAAATACGCAAAAAAAAAAAACAATTACCTAAACTGTTGTATTCCTCTTTATCGAGAATGTCTCGAATCTTGAAGAATGCATCATCTGAGAACGCATCATCGAACTTCACTCTATCTAATCCCACCTTCCGAAGAGCTTCCACCATATGAAATATCTGCGGAGGCACATTAAAACACTTGGATTTCTCTGCGATATCACTCTGCAAAGGTTGCCACAATATCAAAAACACGCTTACAAAATCAATTAGGAGTTCTTCTTTCTTCTCTTGAGGTGTCCGTCCTAACAACGTCTCTAAGTTAGCCCCAAAACATGAGGGCTGGTAAACAGCATTAACCACGAGAAAATAATCACGCCCTTTGTCCAATCTGATTACAAGAATGCAGCTCAATTCTGTTTTCGCATCTATTTTCCAAGCTTCTTCATTGTCCACTACAACTTGCAAAGTAACCTCCACAGAATCTTCAACGTCAATAAAAGAACTCTTGGGTGTTAAGGTCAACCAATTTTCCGGTAGCTCCGAACTCTGATGTTTGTTAGCAAACGCAAATCTAGTAGCCGTTAATCCAGTGTTCTTAATAGTGAGGACCTGCACAGCAGGCTGGCGGAAATAAACCTGTCCGAAGGATACCTGAAAAGTTCATGGAAACCGTATTCACATCTTCTTACCTCCGTGTTTGAGACTTGAATAGATGGGAGTAAATCGTTTGTTTTCCTGTCTGTTTCTCTCAGCAGCTCATCGTAAACAAGGGTTCTCTGCTTTTTGTCCACTGTTTTAATTGAGGCTTCAAAGCATGAACAAACAGGCTTATGGTCACTAAACAATACCATCTCCCGACTCTCATATGAAACTTGTTTTAGCTTAACGGTTTTGTCCTTCGTCCAGTACAGTATACGATCACACCAAGCTGGAACTCGTCGTTTTTCACTGGTATCCCAGTTAGAAGTACCCACATCAAATTTGTACGTTGGTCTAAAGCCCGGTGTAACCTCATGAAACGCGTTAAAAGCAGTTCTCAAGCGTTGTTGCTCTTTCAACTAAAAGAAAGTAAACAAAACAAAAGACGTACCTGATCATGATGGAATAGACCAATGTATTGGTTAGAATTGCATTTCAAAACCACTTCTTCGTAAGAAAATCCAGCATTTAAGCGATAATTGAGATCACCCAGCCAAATGACGGCATCGTGGTCATAAATCCCTTTTCCATCGGCAAATTTCATCTGCGAAATGTCACGAAAGTCCTAACAATCTTTAGTAATGTCATCGATTTTGTACCTGATTTCTTCTGCTTAGTTCACCGCCTCCAGCAGCTAAATGGGAATTGATAAAACAGTAATTCGAATCGCATAACCTTAAGCTGATCCCAACTCCACCCTTATTACCAAACTTCAAGAACCCAGTAGGCACTAAACCTGTTTGGACGTCCGACACATGAAATTTAGAAGACTGCAGACGATACATGACCAAAAAAATACCAATCAAACGAACGTTTTCTACCTAAAATGCAATTTCAAATATGGAAAAATTTTAGAGCCTACTTGAGTATAAGTGTTCGGAATATTCCTTTGCAAAACATAGAGCCACTCATGTTGCCTGCTAGCATTGTCCGTTACATAAGTTCCAAGCGCCAAGTCCATTTCTTGCAAACTAAACATGAAGATGCACAATCAAAAAAAATTACCCTATTATGATGAAATCAGGTAAGTTCTCGGGATCAAATACTAACCAATTCCCAAGATAATCGGGCGGAGATTTGCCGTTGACATTAAACGTCGTTACGTAAAACCGAGCATTTGAGAAGGTACAAAACCTAAAAAATAAAGATTCGGCATGATACCTATACCTTGACTCCTGTTTATGGAGCAGATCGTCGATGAAGAATTCAGACCCGAAACTCATTACGGCATTTATAGTTCATTCTATCGTTCAGGACATGATTCAAATTCCAAGCCACGTAAAAACGTGAACGAAAATGAAGATAACGAAATGTCACAAAATTTCTACGAAATGTTAAAATCGATAAAATATTTATTCAGAAAGCATTAAACGAGCGGATTATTAGAAGGTGCTACCATTGTGGGAGAGTTCACTTGCTTCGATCTCCGTAAACTTGATGTAAAATCTAAAGAAGTTTAAATCACCCTAACTTCTTACCGATCCTTCGGGATTTTCAGATTGGAAGAGATGAGACCGGTCAGAGCTTCGGCGATTTCGTTGGTCTTGCCTCCAAACCCCCCAATAGACCCCAGTTCCACAAAAGCAGACGAGCTCACCTTTCCTCCAAAAGATATCGCATTGTTACTATTTAACACCACTTGGACGTACTAAAAGAAGACGACATTCGAAACATTCGCAAAAGAAGGGACTCACGGATTCCGGCTTTCCCGTCAGTGTGGCCACCAAAGAACTCGCTTTGGCCAAGAAGTCAGACGGGATTTGGGAGGATTGTAGATCGGTGGCGATCTTGAGAATGGGCATCTCTGAAATCAGAGGGGTCAGCTGGTCTAATGTTTGTTCTTTGATATATTTTATCGGAGCCCCATTATCTAATTCTCTGGCGTTTTTCTTGTTTTATCAAAGGTCTCAAGGGACAATTGTTTACCCAGTGGTCACAAAATAAATAAAATCAGAGTTCGTGAACGAATAATCTTCTTCATCGGATAATAATTCTGATTCGTCCTTTTCTTCAATTTTTTCCGGATTGGCATTACGCGACAGGATCAAGTTTTCTTTGTTTGAGAAAATGTCGGTAGATTGAGTTTTATTACTTAAGATATGCCTTAAACATTGCGATCATAGTTTTAGCAAAACCCTATATCTTTCATTGAAAATTCTTATCACTATCAGGCTGGCACCGCGCCGTTTTTCCTCCGCCTAATCATTAATACCATTCCCATTCTTACGTCTAGCGTGTTTAGAATGACAACTTTGGTAGAACTATTTGACCAAGTGGTAAAGGATCCAAAAAAGAGGAATAATATCGTTTTACAAGATGAAGACCGGACGTGGACCGTGGCTTCATTGGACAAAGTTACTCATGATCTGGCGGTTCTATTTAGAACCAAATTTAACTGTAAAAAAGGATCTTGCGTGGCCATTTATATGAACAAGAGTGCTGAGTACGTGATTTCTTATATCGCTGCTTTGAGAGCTGGTAAGAACAAACTCCCAGGCCGTCTTATTTATAGGTGGGGCATATCTTCCCTTGGATATATCGTATCCCGAAAATCTTTTGACCTCTGTCTTAGACGAGGTTGTTCCTGCTGTGGTCGTTTCGACTCCACAACATGCTTCTCGACTGCCATGTAAGTAGGCTTAAAAAAGTTCTTTGTGATAGAGATTACTTTCGCTGCGCCTTGAAGTTGTTCAATAATTATAAGTTTATTTCTGCAGCGGATACCCCTTGCTTTATATTTGAGAGTGGATGGAAGATTGAGGAGGTGCCTGAGGCATTATCCTTGCCAACTGATATTACGGCCGATGACAAGGCCTACATTGTGTACAGTTCAGGCACAACAGGGAAGCCTAAGGGCATCGTCTGCCCCCATCGAGGGGCAGTTGTATCCTACCAATACCGTTTTCAATCCTATCCCTACAAGTCTGATGACGTTGTCGCTTCTAATGTTTTCTTTGTTTGGGAATTATTGCGGCCTATTTTACAAGGTAGGCGGACCACTCGAGTGCAAGCAGGTCTTCTAGGAATCAAGTTAGTGGTAATTCCGGATGACATTATCTATGATCCAGCGCCTCTTTGTCGATTTTTGAAGAAACACAATGTCACCCGAATGCTGTTCACTCCGTCCTTATTGGAGACTGTGCTAGATACCCAAAAATCCGACTTTTTGAGGGATTGCTTTAAGAAATTCAGGTAAGAATGCACAATTGATGAGATATTTTGCAGGGTTATCCACCTCTGCGGAGAAGTTGTGACTACCAATCTCTTGTCTCGCATAATGAATCATTTTGCCCATTGTCAGATCGTCAACTTATACAGTATCTCCGAAACCCATGATGTGGCGGTCGCGGATCTAAACGAATTCTTCAAGAAAAACGAACCCAGAAAGTTTGCGCCAGTTGGAAAAGTGATTCCATCGGTGAAAGTTCTGATTTTGGATCAGAACCAAAAAAAGGTCCCGATCGGAGTTCCAGGAGAGATATTTGTTTCTGGGCCCACTCTTGCTCTTGGATATCTCAACAGACCAGAACTGAACAAGAATCGGTTCCTGACGGTACCTGAGGAGTATCAAAGTGAAGTGGGAACCAACCGTATGTACAGAACAGGAGACTGGGGCTATGTTCTTCCAAATTCGGTCCTTGAGATTTGTGGCCGCGTTGATACTTTGGTCAGAATCCGAGGATACGGAGTGGAGCTGCAGGCGATTGAAGCAACTCTGCTTAAATTGGCGTATGTTCGGAGCTGTGCTGTGATTAGTATCGGGAAGGAAGGAGAGGATAAACAACTCGCTGCGTATATTGTACTAAAGGAAAATACATCAAGAAAGAGTATAAGAGCGGAGTTGAAACGCCTTCTTCCCTTCTACATGGTCCCACACTTTTTTGTGTTTTTGGAAAAGTGAGCCGTATTGTCCATTTTTACGAGTTAATATTTATAAAATTTATAGACTTCCAGTATTGGCGGCTTCCAGCAAGATCGACAAGAAAGCCCTTCCCAACGTTGACTATGAACGCGATGTCGTCGAGACGGAGGCCTTGCCACAGACCTCAACAGAAAAGAAACTGGCTTCTATTTGGGCAGATGTGTTACAACATTCTACACTGGATATTCAAGAGAGCTTCTTCGATCTTGGCGGGTGAGTTTCTAACTGAATTAAGAAATCTTTTTGCTTAGTCATTCTCTAATGGCTGCAAGACTTCTGAGTCGTGTAGCTGAAGAATTCAACATTAAATTTACCATGAGAGATTTGTTTTCTTCTCCGACTGTATATGAAATGGCCAGAATTATCGATGGAGTGGATCATCAATCTCCCGAGCATACAGTTAATCTCGACTATCAAGTTGAAACACATGATGTTAAGGACAATATGTATGTCTGCAAAATATCTTACAAATCATTTTCAGTATGGATTTGCATCTCCGGGCATTCTGGAGATCAACTGAATGGGGGAATCGTTTCTTTAGATCGAATATCTTACTCACCGGAGTCACCGGTTTCTTGGGAACTCATTTCTTATACGAAATATTACTGAATTCTCAGGCAAACATTGTTTGCGTTGTTCGCGAAGTTAGTGGGGAGTCAGTAGAAGAAAGAGTAAAGTTTTCCCTTAAAAAGTATGGATTATGGAATAATTCTATGCCCGAAATGATCCGGTAAGAGATATAAATATGGTGTTACACATTTGTAGCGAACGTGTTCGAGTCGTCATCGGGGACATTGCATTGTTCAAACTTGGCCTTAGTGAAGAGCATTACCACTTTCTGACTTATGATATTGATGTAGTTGTGCACGCTGCCGCGTATGTCAATCTTATATATCCATATCAGGTACGGATTGACCCATAAAATTGACGTTGTTCCAGGCTTTACATGGCATAAATGTATTGGGGACAAGAAATGTGCTGGACTTTTGTCATCAAAATAAGGTCAAGCCACTGCATTACATCAGGTATGCTGACGCTGTTATAAAATTCATTTTTTTTTGCAGTACGGATGCAGTAATTCCGCATAATCTCAGCAATATTGACGAGAGCTTTGACATCTCAGCTGTTAAAGAGAAGCTTTTCGATGGTTACGCTCAAAGCAAGTATGTGGCGGAACAACTTGTGAAAAGATCATTGGAAAGAGGGCTGCCTGGAATTATCTATAGATTGGGGAATCAGGCAGCTTCTAGTAAGGCTGCCTTCTGGAACGAGCAAGACTTTACTTATCTCATGCTTAAGGCCGTCATTCACACCGGTTCTGCCCCAAATTTGGACTGGATTGTAAGTTTTTGAAATGAAAGCAGTGAGACATGATTAAAAAGTAACTTTTTTATTTGTAAGGTTGAAGTCACCAATGTCGACTTCACAAGTAAATTCGTGAACCATCTAATCACGAAAGAATTCTGTGAGAATGTTGGAAAAACGTTCCACATTACAAATTCAGAAGGCCCCAAGTGGAGTGAATTGGTGGATTGGTTAGTCGAATTTGGATACGACCTCCAGTTTGTGGAAGCGAATCTTTGGATCGAGCAGTAAGCTCTAAATCCATTACCGTAATCCTTCTTGCAGAGTCAGCACTTCCAATGACCCAGCTTTGCAACAAATCCAGAAGTTACTACAGTTGATGGTCAGGTAAGCGTAATTAATAAAGTAGTTGTTTTTTCCAGAGACGAATCCTATTTCCGCACTCAAACCACTTATCTTCGTACCAATACCGATGCCTTATTGTCATCACTGAAATGGAAGTATCCAATTCTCGATAAGAAACTGTTCCATCATTGGATTCGAAACTTAATCGAGCAAAAGGTTATTGCCAAACCAAGACCCAGATCAGGTAATCATGTTCTTTACCTCTTTTCTGAAAGAATTTTGAAAATTTTTTGGTGTACAAAAGAAGGGATGTCTCAGCTTCAATTTGGTATAAACTTTATAGATATATGGCTCAGAACTTCTAAATCTCTCCGCAAGAGTCCATACGAACCCTGCAAATTGAGTCCAAAGTTAAAAGTTGCGCACTCTGATATAACATTACGCAATTTCTCTCTTTGTAGGAATTTCTGCCTTTCTCTGTCGCCTCCTCCTTTTTTTTGTCAACTTTTAACTTTAGACTAAATTTGCAGGGTTCGGATGGATTCTTGCGGAAAGATTTAGAAGTCCCGAGCCATATATTGGCGCAGTATTTGCGGAGAAATACCTGAAATAATGTTGGAAGCTCCGAGTGAACCATTCTGTATAATCTAGCAGCTAAAAGTTGTTTGATTCACTTGTATCGAGCTTTTTCTTTACTTTTCTTTTACAGGAATGACCTTATTGAATAAGGTGTGTGTGGTCACCGGTGCAAGTGAAGGAATTGGAGAAGCGATTGCCAGGGACTTGTCCCGAGAAGGGGCAAAGGTAGTCCTCTTGGCTAGGCAACTGGACAAACTTGGAAAAATCGTAACGGATCTGATTTCCCTCGGGTCGCTAGACTCCTCGCTTTTGGCTCTGAAGTGTGACATTACTGATCGAAGCAATGTGTGCGAGGTTCTAGACAGGGTTACCAATGAATTCGGAAGGATAGATGTATTGATAAATTGTGCTGGCTGTATGTATTACTGCCTATCTAAAAATGGTTACACTGACGAATGGAAAAGGCAGATCGATGTGAATTGTCACGGAACAACGAATATGACAGCAGGAGTCATTCCTGTAATGATTAAACAAAACAGCGGGCACATTGTTAATATCACTTCTGATGCGGGCAAAAGAGTGAGTTTAATCTAATTCACAACAGGAAACAATCAAGGAGCCTTCGCCTAGCTTACAAAAAATGGTTTCCGGGTACGGGGAACGCGATGGTAAATCCGTCTGTCTTTATCGCGTCTGTTTCTTATGATATAAAATACAACCTTCATAGTACACCCGGTTGTGGTAACCTTTAAAAATTTTTTCATGGAAAATTACACATATTGGGTGCTAGGAAAATATGAAATTTTAAAAATTGGTTCGATTTGAATTCACGTCGAAGCTGCGCTCCAACCATACAATGACCGTGTTTTAAGCCTTTACATTGAACGTTTTTAGGGGTTTGCTGGCCTTGCGGTTTATTCTGGATCCAAGTTTTACATCGAAGGTTTTGTTCAAGCATTGAGGCAGGAATTAGTGGAATACAACATAAAGTTTACAAACATTCAACCAGGTGATGTGTCGACCCAATTGGCTGGACGCTCCACCGACAAAGAGGTATGATTCTAGCCTACAATGCTTCACTAAAGTCCATATAACAGCACTTCAGAAATTTCTCGGTTTGTATTTACAAGTAATCGGCAAATACTTTCCACATGGTTTCTAACGAAACAGGTATCAGCTGGAGGAGCATTAAAAATAGTGTACAGCGCAAAAGAATTAGCTGCCCAATTTGCCTGGGGCATAGAACGACCCTTTTTTAAAAGGGGTCATAAGCGGCCAAAACGCCGGTTTTTATGTTACAGTAATTCTTCATTGATTTCCTCGTATCCAAAAACGCTTACCGTGGTCGTTTTATGGCTTTGCTAATCCTCGGTCGGTTATGACTTATAAGACGTTAATGTTAGTTACAAAAAGGTTTTTCCCAAGCCGGGAATTCAACTTGCTTGGGTTGGCTGCACTACACAGCAACCACTGCATTGCTGAAGCGATCCCTTCGCTGCGACTTCCCGTTTTTGTATTGTAATATTGACCAAGGGCCAACAGCCCGGGATTCGGCGATTTTTGCGCTTGGCGAATTATACAGGGTGTTCAGAGATTATGTAAAAAAACTATTCATTAATAACTTTGCCCTCGGTGGTCCAATCCGAATTTTTTTTTTGCATTTTACAGAAAAACCTTGGAGTTTTTAGAATGTAAAAAATTTTTTCTTTTATCGGCGGAGACTTCCGTAATCCGCGTTGAATTCGGCGGAGTGTTTTTTTCACAAAATAAGGCTGTAAATCGTTGTATGTGTAAAGAAAATGGGCGGAAAAGGATCCAGAGAACACAATATGACATTTCTTTCAAAATTTCTATGCTTCGGCGGAGAAATTTTTCAACCTCAGCGCACGATTTTTCTTGGACTCCGGATAGTCGAAATTGGCTAAAACCAAAGCGTATGGTATCCCTGGTTGGATGGCGCCTAAAAACGACTTATTACGTCTTCAGCTGGCTGGCAGATGAAGAAACGGCAATTTGGCGGAGAAATCGGCGAGGAAAAAATTAACCCATTTAAGAAATTATGCAAATTTATCCGCCGAGCATCCGTCAATAAGAAGAATCATATTTTTGGTTGATCAGGCCCGGATAAGACCTACAATTTTAGCTTTCTAATCATAATTTCTTAAATGGGTTAATTTTTTTCTCCGCCGATTTCTCCGCCGAATTGCCCTTTTTTCATGTGCCAGCCGGCTGAAGACGTATTAAGTCGTTTTAGGCGCCATGCCACCAGGGATACCATACGTTTTGGTTTTATCGAATTTTGACTATCCGGATTCGAAGAAAAACCGTCTGCCGAGGTTAAAAAATGTCTCCGCCGAAGCATAGAAATTTGAAAGAAATGTCATATTGTATCTTCTGGATCCTTTTCGGCCCATTTTCTTTACACATACAACGATTTATAGCCTTATTTTGTGAAAAAAACACTCCGCCGAATTCAACGCGGATTACGGAAGTCTCCGCCGACAAAAGAAAAAATTTTTTTTAGATTCTAAAAACTCCAAGGTTTTTCTGTACAATGCAAAAAAAAATTTTCGGATTGGACCACCGAGCGCAAAGTTATTAATGAAGTACTAATGCGCACTCCTCACACAATAGTAGTTCTCGAAATTTTTTACCAAAGCGCGACTTTCGGCGCAAAAAAAGTCGACAATGAAATTGAAAAAGCCTATCGTCTGAGGTGATGATCACCTCGGACAATAGGATTTTTTATGAACCCTTTATAAAAACACAAACTGGGCAATTTCTGAAGTGTAGTTGGGGCACTGTATTCATTAAAATGATTTCAATTAAGGCGACGGAAAAATACGATTTTTCGAAAGCGGGGCACAGAATTTTGGATCCCGAAGACGTCGCAAAGGCTGTAATTTATACACTCGGACAAGCAAAACACGTCGCAGTCAACGAATTACTTATTGAACCACAACAAGCCCCAATATAACTTTCGATTTTATAAAATACAGTTATTAAACTTTGAACAAGGTTTATAAAGTATCCAGATCGTCATCAACCCGCATCCTTTTGGCCAGAGCACCACCTTCGTCTTCGGAGTCAGTGTCACTGAGTTGCAGATCCGCATTCAATTGACCTTCTTGATTCATCTTACTGTTGCTGAGATCCAAATTACTCCAGGCATCCATCGATTCCTCATCAGGAAACATCGGTGGACATTGAGAATCGTCCATAGGTTGGATAAAGGAGTCCCTGGTGGCGTCATCATCAATATCGGATATAGAATTGCTCTCCTTGGCCTCGGTTTGTGCGATCCGCCCTTGTAACTCCAACAGATGGACCTCCTTTTCCATTATCAGTGCTTTTGCATGTTCGTAAATATCCTTCGCCTTGAGAGTGTAGGGAGATTCCGGCCCGTTAAAAATAGCACTGTTGTCGTAGATCTAGAAAAAGTCCCTGTGTCATTACAGAAACTAAGAGCTCCACAACTTGCCCCCCCAACAGGAGCAACTTACTTGTTTTACATCAGTGAGGAAAGTGTCAATGTTCTTATAAGTCTTCTCCTTGACTAGCTGTTCGATCGTACCTAGGTCCATAGGGCGTTGAACTCTTTCCAAATAATTAGGTAACTGAAAATTTTTGTCATAAATTCTAGCAATGCGCAACTAACCTTCTTTGTATCCACTTTTGTATGGAATGCGGCACTCTTTGGGAGATTTTTACAACTTTGCACAATATCACCAAGAATATAAGAAAAGCCGACCATATCATTGTCGTCCAACAAAGGATTAATCGCTTTCTCCAATTCGATCAATCGATGTTCGTGATCCGCTATCCGACGACAAGCAAGCTCAAATACTCGGTTGGCAGCACTTGTTATCGGATGAACTGGCCCGTTGTATTTCTTCGCGTTATCCAAAAGTAACACCAGATCGGTCATAAACTGTCGTCGAAGTTCATACCTGTTATCATTTATTTTTTTCCGTATCTTTTGGAGATCAATAGGATTGGCGATAATATCATAATAATCTTTCACCTAAAAATGGTCTAATGGGTCGGAAAAAATATTTCATACCAATTTGGGGTTCACAGGTTGCATCAATGGGTCTACGCCTTCCAATCCCTTGATTTCATTAAAGACATCCAACAACAGACTGGACATAGACACACGCGGATCGGCTCGTCTTCTATGAACTGATTTCTGAGGACCCATTAAATAATCGGTGTCATCCAAATTGAGCTTCCGTCTACTTCTCTTTGTGGACTGGCTAGCCACAGTCGAAGCCGGAGAAGGCAAATCAATTCGACTCGAGGGACCTGCCAAGGATTCCTCCTCAATCAAATCGAGAGACTTCAAATTTTCTGGAGAGTTTGTCATCTGACCTTGGGTTAAGTGACGAGGAATTCGCAGTCTATAATTCATTTTTTATAGTTATAAAACACCTACTTCAATGGCATCTTGTCTTGCTGTTCAGCATGCTTAAAAAATTTGGTAGAGACTTTGAGTCTGGTACCCTCGAGTTCGAACAGTTCTCCGCTGGCCAAACTCAGATCTTCCAAATCCACACTTTGACTGCTCGCATTCTAAAATAAATTCTTGATAATTCTTTGTCGTTAGTGCTACGAGTACACATTTGAATTGTCCATTGTCGGAAACCCCAAAAACGGACGAAGAAGTTTTTAAAAATTATTTACAATGTTGCGTCATCAGTAGCATCTGATTTTACAATTTCCTACTCATCCCCGAAAAGTGCCCACCCAAAAAGCCCAGGAACCCGCAAAATTCTAGCGCCGCGTTAATCTCGATTTCTTCGTACTTCCGTTGGTTCAGCAGAACCTTGGAAATGTAAATTTAGCGTTCCAACTAGACTCAGCGCAGGCTCACAAGGCAAAAGCGAATCAAGACAAGGAACGAACCCGATTTTCCCGAGTTCATTCCAAAAATTTTAAGTTACGTTTGGAGCTCTATATCGCCACCAAAGGCAGCCACTCTGAAATGAGACCAATATGTTATAAATAATGCTCTATGTTACTGATGATGACCGTTACTTTTGCGGAATTTTAATTGTTAGAAAAAATATAAAAATTAAAATAAGTTTCCATTTTTTGCCGCACCCTGTAAAGTCAAATAAAACTTTTTACCAAGAGGTCTCCAACAGTTTTCTCGGCTTTGTTATCCTTCCCATAAAGAGGGCAGTTCTTATTGGTCTTCATGTGGCCATTCCCTCCACATGCACTGCATCTCATCTTTTGCAAACTTGGCTTTATTGGGACAGGTTTCTTTTCTTTTTCGGGCTTCTTCTTCGGTGGTCGACCAATCTGAGTGTGCATCTTTTGCCTTAGTTCATTCCTCCTAATTCTTCTAAGCTGATCCTGCAGCCGTCGCTTTTCTTTCCTTCTTTCCTAAAAGTAACTTTTTGCATCAACCGATGGGCAAAGAAAAAAAGGCGTTATAATAAGTACCTCCTTGTATTGCTCATCCATTTCTGCATACACTTTTATCCAAGCCAAATCGTGATTGTGACGAACCCGCAGATAGGCGTCGATAACATGGGGATTGTTAATAACCTCAACCCGAGTCTAAAATTGTTATGTAATAATATCACTAAAGCTTACCGATTCAACTCCCTCTGAGGATTTAACAGTTCTGTAAATCTTTAGTTTTCTAGGAACAGAAGGTCCTGGCTGAGTCTGACTAACCTCAGGTTTCTGCGGAGGCTTTTCTGATGCCTTGTTGGAGGTTCCCTTGATTAACTTCTGAAGAGCTAACCTCTCCTTTTCTTCGTCTTCCATCTCCGCCTGATGTCTCATTGTCTTCGGCAAGGCCGTTTTTTCATTTCCGTCCAGTATTTTTTCCAATCGACTAGCCATATCTTCGTTATCCGAGTCTTCATTGTCAGATCCTTCATCGGTACTCACCGGATCTTCACAGGAGAGAGCTTGGTTCTGAAGGTCAAACACATTCTGGCAATACTTTTTGTACTTGTCTTGCATGTCGGCAAAGTTGATCTTCATGTTTCCGCGGGCAAATCGGGACATACCTGCAATAAAAAGTTCGGCTACTACTTATCGTCTGGAATGATAACCTTGTTAATCTCAACTATACAGCGTGTTTCAAGAAACTCCGCGGAAAGCTTTAAACGATTTTTTTTGTTGGTTTCTGGTATACCAAGTGGTTCGCCCGACGGCTAAACGTCCGCCGAGGCTTGGCGACGAAATTTTGGAGGGCATACGATGCCAGCAGGGAATGTTAGCCAGACCATAAGAATTGTGCTGGGCCGTTTCTTAAAAAGCTGAGTTATGGACTTCGCCGATGTGGCAAGCGCCCGCCATATCTTCGCCGAATGCTTGATAAGCATAAACATATGCAAATATCCTCTTTTCAACCATCAGTCATAATAAAGCGTTTAAGATTGGTGTGATGATCAAAAGGCGATCAAAAGTCTCATCCGAATACGCCACTCCACGCCGGTGGAAAAAACTCTTTATAGTCAAAAAAAAAAAGTCCATCTTGTTCTTTCTACTCTAAAAATAATTTTTTGGATATCTTTGCTGAGCGCCAACGAATCGACGAAAACGCTCCGCCGAATTACTTAAAACATTCTGTATAAATGGGCACGCCGCAAGCTTTCTTCAGATTTGCCTCACCTACCTGCCCCACTAAAGTCTGACCGTGCCTTTGCTGCTTGTGTGGAAAGGGTCCTGATAACGTCGATTATTTCCCACCGTGACAACGAATTTATCTCTTCTTCCTTAACTCCGTAGGACCGACAAATTTCCTTAGCCTCTTTCAAAGGGAGTTTCCTGAGATCCGCATTTGTACCGGTGACAAGGCGTTTAGGAATTTGGGGGACATCTTCCTTTTGTGGTTTGGCTGAGACTCGAACATAAGAAAACCCTTGTCCACAACCAGTCGGGTCAGCAACTCCGGTCTGATCCAGCAAACACTTTCCCTTTGTTGCCGCAATAAATGCACGTGACGTATTCCAAGGCGCACATTTGATCTAAAATATCAAGATAAAAAAGAATGTACTCAATTCGGAATGCCACAAACCTCATCTTCAATAGTAACTTGATCGTCGGAGTCATCATCGTTTTCCGGCGTGAAAAAATATTTTTCTCCATAACCGGCGTCTTTCAATCTTTGTTCGGCCGACATCATACTGTATTGGGCACAACACATTTCAGGGGTAACCATGCTTAAAACTTCCTCTTTGCTGGGCAACCTAAAATCGTCTCGGACAACCCAATAATTCTGTTCCGTTCCAGCTCCAAGTCGTTTAAAATCAGAACATTGTTTCAGCCGCTTCCTGACTGAACTTTCGGCATAATGGGGGAATGCATTCTTAATGTCGTCCATTTTTAAACGGCGAGGCTGTTGATCACTGGCCCAAAACAGCCGGTAGATAAATGCCTATAAAGCAATACTATGTGAAGCAAGAGACATACCAAAAGGAAATCTCTGACAAACACAGAAGCCTTTTTGGAGTTTGGACTGGGTACTTCGAACGACGGGCATTCTTGTCCGGCCACAAATAGTGACGGACATTCGCGCAGGAACAACCCGTATTTGTTTCGAATAAGTAAAAAGTCCGTATGTGCGGGTCGATGCTGATAAATAGGGGCTCTATACATGTTGTTCTCTATTGCTTGCAAACACTGTCCAGGTGCCAAATTACCCAGAAATTGGGCATTCATTGCAAACGCGGATTCTCCAAACTCCAAAGTCGGTTCGGTTTCTTTTTGAGTTTTCCTTCGGTAATAATTTCGTATCTTCGAGGCCATACCAGGCTGGCTAAGAAGTGGCGGGTGCTCTTCGGAGTACTCGATTAACAACAACTTTCCATCCCTTCCAGAGAGATCGTTCAATGTCCTCATGTAAAAGATATCCCCACCACCTTCGGCCATCTTCTGTTTCCGTCGCTGTTCATCTGCTTTCCGGATATGTCTAACCAGATTATGTACTGGCAAAGGCTGATTCAGCATATCTCGCATGACTTTCTTCATCACTGGCATCCGATGTAGATGTCTGAGCTTGAAAGAATTCAGATTCGTGGGGAAGAAAGCGCGGTGAATGTTCTGAGCGGGAATCGAATGTTGAATATTTGCTCCATTCATCGACCTCTGCGTATTCTTCGGAAAATAATAATCGTCGTTACTCATGTTGAACGGGTCTTTGTCCGCGATTTGAGCAATCGTGCTTTCCAGTTGTTCTTCTTCTTCCTGTTTTTGTCGTCTCTGAACTTGTCCCAATATCATTTTGGACTTCTTTGTAAATTGCTGATCCTAAAAAGAAATAATTTCAAAAAAATGCCTAGTTACCCTCTTGTCCACATGACGGTCTTCTTTCCTGTCATCGGATGGAACGTCTTCTGGCATTCCGTAGACCATGGGATCTTCATCATACATTACAGTAAGTGTCTTCGGTTCTAAAATCAGTCAAGTTTCAAGGGAAGAATACAAAGACGGACCAAAAACAATCGGCATATTATCTGGATCGATGATAATATCGTTCTCCCAGGCAGTATACTCTACCTCCTCGCTAACCAACGGAAACATTGACCGACTAGTATCAGGACCAAAGACATCTTCAACCTCTGGCTTCACTTTCTGTTGCAATTCATCCAAAGTCTTCGGGCTAAATTCGTCGGACCCTAGAACTATATGCAACACTAATAAAAACTCACAACAACTTCGATAAAGCTTGTGCGTTCTGGTATTCACTGTGGACACCCAACCATACTTCGGAACTTGATCCATCTTAAAATCAGTTGGTCCTTTCTGTGAGATATCCATAATAATATCGTCCTCCCAACGAGTGAAGTTTACAGGCAATAGATTTTCATCAGGGATTTCGAACAGATTATACGGTTTTTTATTTCCCTAAAAAACAAATTCTAACGAATGGTAAAAGTTACCTTTTGCACCTTAAACCCGTAATCAAACTTTTTTGGTTTCTCCGGTACTCCCATGCGATCGTACCAGATTTGAGCTGGGCCAAATCGCCAGGCTGGGGTTTCATCATCCTCCTCGCCAGTTTTACCCTTCTTATTCAATTTCTTTTCAAGCTCCGGATCCAACAACAACTGTGTCTGATCAATTACACAATCCTTCTTTTTCGGAAAGGATAAAGGACTTGCTGGCCGCTGTTCTGTCTTCTTCTTGAAAGTTTTCGAAGGCCACCAAATAAGATTTTGAGATAATGTTTTCGGATTCACGCCAAAAACGCGGGAAAATCTTAAAGGGGCGTCAAACCGAAAGTCGGCCGAGTACAATCTAAAATGAATCAAACATCGTTTGGAAAATGTCTTACCTTGGATCAATATGTTGATGTTCATCTGCTAGAATCCCGCATAGCGGAGCATCTGCACGGCGGTTTGGGGGCACAAAGGAAGACAATTTTGTATCTGAATTGGAAGTCGGTATTAAAGATTGTTTTTACCGTGTGGAGGAGTTTCTAATTCGAAATCATCATATTTTGGATCTTCAATAACAAAGTTTTCATCATCCGAACGACGCTCGTATCCATTACCGTGCACATTCTCTTCATCGATTAGATCTAAAACCATTTCCTCCAGGGATTCTGTTTGCTCATCTCCATTTTCTTCCTGAAGTTCATTGTTTCCACTGTTTTCGTATGCAGTGAATTTGGAAGATCCTAACGGCTCCGCCATTCCCAAAAGTAGAATGAAACATGCGCTTCAATCTGAAACACAATAATTCATTGCAAAAAAATGAATTTTCCGGAAAATTATTGTGTTTCAGATTTCAGCTCAAGCTATGCAAATTTTTCCCCAGAAATACGACATTCTTGGGAATTTCGATTTTTCATAGTTATAAAAATTCGACTTTCCCAAATCAAACTTTGTCTTCGAAAGTCGAAAAGAAGAACTATTAGACCAAAAATTCGAATAGGAAATTGGGCCCACTGCAGTGCTAATCGGAGAGCTAAGAAAAAATTTGAAAATTAGTTTAGCACCGCGATACGTACACGCGGATTCCCAGATATATTTTTCCGATTTGCAAATAAACTGCACCCGAATTTATTTTCTTCAAAAATTATTTTTGTGAGCTGCGCCCGGGCTTTGTGAAAATGTTGGTTGCCATTTTATACGAAGAAGACAAAAATTCCAAAAAACCTCCGAACTGCCCCCCAATTTTTGATTTTCACCAAAAAATCCGAACTCTCCCCTTTTTTGAACACTCCCCATTTTGAAAATTGAAAAAATTAGGTGTGACATGTTACACGACGAAAAAGTTAGTTTTTTGTAATTTTGGGGGAGTGTTCAAAAAAGGGGGAAGTTCGGAAGGGGGAAAGTTCAAAAAGGGGGAGAGTTCGGATTGGGGGACCGCTCGGCTCAATCAATGAAAATTTTGTAATGGGCGTCCAAGAGTAGCTTTTTTTGACAACCGAACTTTTTAAACGACTGGCCAAAAACTGATTGCCAAGGTGTCAGAATGAAGGATAGCCGAATTTTTGCTCAATTTGCAACGCGTTGGAAAGTTAAATGAAAAGCCGCAAATGGCCCCAAGTGAAGGGTTATAGAAAGTTTGAAAGTTTTTCATCTCTATCGAAACCCGCGAAATAATCCGACATTTTTTGGTGATTTTCAACCGAAAAAATCCGAAATTTCCCGATCATTTTCAACCGAAAAACACTGGTTTTCGGGATAAAAGGGCCCTACTTCAAAAGGTCGTAGCGACCTCAGTTTGCACTTAAAAATCTTGCAATTTCGTAGGCAAAAATTAATGGCGCTTAATTTCCAAAAACAAAGTCTGCGTCTCCACCGGAAGTTATAGCCTCAGACTATCATTCACGTTTCTTGAAAGACGCTGCAGAAAGCGCGCTGTATAATACATAATGCTGTGAAATTTTATTACGGATGATTATGTAATTGGGCCTGTGTTTGTCACAAGAAACGACCTCAAAAGCAATGAAAAACAGGAACAGAACAATACCATGTTTTTATTTATTTTTGCGCCAACCATCGTTGGGTTGTATGGTTTTCATGTGTCTCTGTCTACTTTTTTTGCTCTCGAAAGGGAAAGGAAGGGGGGGGGTGGCTCCTTCTTCCCGTTTCAGAACAACAGTCCCTTGGAGGGTTGCGCTTTAAAGTCTCGTGAGTGTGTTATGGGGCGAACCAATTGTGGGAAGGGGTGGTTTCTTAGGCCAAAGTTTTCCAAAGGTGATTGAAATGAAGATGGGAGGGACAAGTTTATGGGATCAGCCAGTACCGACCGATCCGCGTGACATCAAGGGACAGGCTCTTTGGGCTCTTTTAGAGCCGGTCGTTCGTTTTCGAGTAGAGTGTATCGCGATCAGCTGAGTGACGAAAAAGTCTTAATTAGAGGATTGTTATAGAGGTCGGCTGACCATCTCGAGTCTCTTATCCGGAGAATCCTCCCCCCAAAGGGCCGCCGACCTTCTTATAAGCTGCGTCTTCTCAACCCGTTAACTGCTTTATCCGGCTTGAAGTTGGGAAAATGCCTTTCCTTGGAAAAGATTGGCGTGCTCCGGGTGAGACCTGGGTCCGTCTTAATCATACATCTGGCTGGGAACGTATTAAACTTCGGCCTGTCCAAATCTGTGGTCTTGGTGAATCCAAAGACGACGACCTGTTTAAAGGACGAACCTCATCTATTAGTATATCCAGTGTTGATGACATATTGAGCTCCAGTCCAACACAGAGTAATCCACGAAGTGATTCTGACGATTCTGGTAAGATTTTGTGATCTTGACTTATCTTTCTTCAGCTGAAGAAGAGGATGAATGGCAGCCGTTTGTATTTGTGAAACAAAATCGATCAAAAGAAGTAAGTCATATGAAATGGCACCACCTTATATGACATTATCTGAAATATTTCAGTTTATCGGTTGCACAAGCATGAGCGAAGCATTTCATCGACTTGATCTTGCCCGTGCTGTACTGGACGTTCGAAGATTTAATTACGTTTGCAAGGTAAGATCTATCTCGCAAATGTGGTAGTTTAGGTTGTTCAAATTTTGGTGAATGAAAAATTACAAAACCTCAGTGCAACTGCCCGCAAGCATCTATTTGCCATCATTCAGGCCATCGTGATTCATAGTAAGTCTTTTTTGCCGGGCTTTCCTCATCCGCTGGACTCTTATCATCCATCAGCTGTCCTTAAGAAACTAGACAAGGGAGAAGGGTCAGCTGAGGTGATATCACAATCAAAACACATGTGACGAATAAATAAACCTTTGATCTTTAGGTGTTGAAAGAGATCTTCACGTGAGCACGGCCAGAGAGTTGGTTTCTCAGTTCGGCACTGGGCTGGAAGGTCACGTGTGCGGCTCCCCCCAACTTGTTAGTAAACAACTCGATATGGCCAACGATCTTCTTGACATGATTGTGGACCAGAATCCAATCACACTGGCGGAGTCCAGCGAGGACTCGTTGACCTTCCTCGACCTTCCCAAAGAAATCATCGCTCTTATATTAAGACGACTGCCCGATCATTTATCCATGTTGGAAGCAGCCAAAGCCCACGAGACTTTGGACTCCCTAGTGTCCCACGAATCTCGCCTCTGGCAATCGTTGGCAAAGTTTCATTTCACAGAGGAACAAATTCAAAAACAACTGAAGTCTGAGATGACATGGCGCCATATCTTCTATCAATGCAAAAAATATTACGGGTTGCGGGAAATGTATGCTGATCTCATCCATATTTGTTGCCATTGCAAAGCTCTGTTTTGGAAGGACCATGGCCATCCATGTGTTGGCCGTGGAGAAGCTCCTTCAGTCCGTGTGACTCCTGCCCAGTTCGTGGACATGTTATTGTTTCTATAAAACTCCGATCATCATCAAGGCGACCTCAGGAACCGAAATTCTTCATTGAGCATCCGGTGAATATTAATTAACCCCGTTGCGGGTCAGTCTTATCTACAAGTCTTCTACGTAAGCGCACCACTGAATCCTATCCAATTCAACAAATTTCTATTTTTCTTCTACCCGATATGTACATTTAACAATGAAAGTGAAAGGTAATAGAACATATTGAGCCTATAATTCAAATAAACGGCATCCATCCAACATACATCTGGCATAAGTTTTCGGGGTCGGTTGCTTGTTTTATCAGATTGTTCACCTAAAATAAAGTTTGGCTGATGTGCGATCGATTTTATAACAATGATGCAATAAAGAAATTACTTGTTGTTCAGGTGACGCTCGGGTGTAATTTGCTTCAGTCCCGTCCAACTTTGCTTTGAGCCTTGCAATTGCGTTTTCCGCTAGCATGTTTTTGGATCCATCCTCTCTGTTTCCGACAGGGAAGGTGGTCATCGGATCTAGAAGAAGAAGAGAAGAAAGCCCGACAATCACATCCGCATTCTCACGGAGCCGCTCGAGGGCATATACAGCAACATGTTTAAAACGGCCATTCGCTCCATCGATAAGAATCGGGTCCATCAAATCTCTTGTCAGTCGGAAAGGAACTCTTTCGGGTAGTTGCAAGATCCTCTGACTGAAGTCGAAGATCATTCCAAGGTCAATATGAACAAGCATTCCACTCCGTTCGTCAACTAGTATATTGTTTAGATGACGATCACCAAGTCCAACAACAAAACATACTAAAAGGATAATAAAAAATATTATATAATATATGGAACTTACAAATTGACCACAAGGCCAAGCTGTCGGTGTAGAGTCGAATACTTTCGAAGAACTTGTGAGGAAGGGAAAAGTTTTCGTAAAAAAAGTGTCTAAACACAGGGTTAATCGATCTGCATAAATTGAGGAACTGCTCTTTGATTGGTGAATTCCAATTCTTAAAAATCGAGATAGCGTCGGCAACAGGCGTATCCTCAGGATTGTATCTCAAATGGGCTCCTGTTTGTTCATCAACAAGCCAGCGATTAAGGGATACGGTATTGTCAACGTATTCAATCAGTCCCGCATTATCAGTTATCGGGACCACAATGTAAGTCTGAACGGGTTTAAGGATATCTCCTTTAAATTCTTCTTCTCGAATCAATATATTCGCAACTTTAAACAACACCTGGGCCAGATCATCTTGTCGTAAGTCCTCCGGCTTAAAAAAAAATATTAAAATGGTTATGAAAGACATACCTTGACTATAAGACGCTTTGTCACACCTTCAGATGTTCGAATCGTTAGAATTTTAGGCGATGAAGCGCCTCCTGCCCTTAAGACAACATTCGAAACACCTGAGAAAGTTATCAAGTCGGACACAGAATAAGTCTGAGGTTCAGGTACCTAAAAACGAGAACACGCAATAAAAGATGACATCAAAAGATTCTGAACTCTTCAACAAGGATAGAATCTACTTACAGGCTGTTCAACAATTGGAACAGGGACGTGCAACAAATTTTCGAATTGCTCATCAGTTTGAAACCTTCGTTTATCCATGATATAAGAATCTGTAAAATAAATTTTACCATTTAAAAACCAAACCCACTCTTTGCTTTATCGTAATCATAATCGCTGTCAAACCGAGACTTTGCAACTGACTCATAAAACGTCACAGCCCTCCTCATGGTTCGAATAATGGCCTTCAGGGCAACAAGATCAGAACAACTATTCAACAACCTACGCAATGTCTCACCGTTCTAAAAAATTGTAAAATACAACACATCAAATTTAGAAACATACCTGATCACCGGTATCATCTCTGTGAAAGTGGTACAGAATAGTATTCAGAGAGTGATAAGGATAGTCGGAAACCACACCAACCATTATCTCGAACACCACACTCGACACCGGCTTGTCGATGAACAAATACCCAGATAAGACGTTGGTAACAACGAGCCAAACAGACGACGGAATTAATCCAACGGAATTCTGAATTCTTTGTTTTATATTAAAAACCAGAGACTTTACCTTTACCATACTCATCAACTCTTCATTCTCATAATTTTGCACAATCAGTGCGGCTAGGCGGGGCACTACAGACTTATCGTCAGTACCCAATCTCAGCGCCTTTATGTAACAATCAGCAAGAGTCAAGAGGTAGTTCGTCCAATCATTAAGCACTTTTTTCAAGTCGGCTTTCTCCAAATGCAATTCCTTTCCCAGTCTTGGACGGTCTTTAATAGGTCCGTTGCTGAATACGACAACTGAAAAAATTAAAACAATCAACTCACTCATATTGGACTTCTAATTCTTTTACGATATAATCTTTCATTTTGAATTCAGTTGAATTTTTGTGTGCATCCAATCCAGTGAAACGTTTTTGACAGAAAGCAGCAAAGACCTTACAAACCTTAAGTTGGTAGCTGGGCTCGTTGGACGCAATGAATCGACTCGACAACGCAGCCTTAAAGTCGCTAAAAGTGGAATACAAGCGAGCTTACATTTTTTAGATGCTCCTCCGATTCTTGAACATCAGATGACATATCTGCCAGCATTATCAAAGCGTCTGTTTCAATCGCGCAATAATTAACGAGTTCAACCGCAGAGAGCCCATCCTTCTTGTCTACGGTATACTCCCTAAGGATCTTCTCCAAAAAAAAGCGCGAATTTAAGTCATCACCAAGGGATTTAAATAAATTGGCCTTTAGCAGCATAGAGTTGTTTAGGAACTTTGGAAAGCTCCGGACAGTCACATCATAGGCAAAGTTTAATATCTCTTCCGCTCTCTAAAGATCCCACTTTCTGTGGTTGCAAATAAAAAATACCTGCTCAGAAGAAATTTTTAAGTACGATTCTGCCAAACGCATCAGCGATGAGTTCAGGATCAGGAACTCATTTTCTTGGGGAGCTTTAGTCGACTTCTTCCATTTTAAGGCAACAAAAGGAATGGTTCTGTTCAAGCTTCTGAATGAAAGCCTTCTCAGCTCTTCGTCGATACTTTTTATATCTTCAGTTTTGTAGACCTTTCGCAAAAATTCAATTTCTTGGCTTAAAACGACTAACTCCTTTCCTGGTATTAGCGATCTTTCTGACATATCCTGCAAAAACTTCTGCAACGACTCAACCGTCTCCAACTTCTGATCGTCATGTATCAACTTGAAAAGCGTGTACAAATGGGTACCAACATTATCCAAATTCCTGAACGCCATTACACGTTTATGGATAAAATCTTACGTTTTAGGTAACACAGCCTTAATGTTTTTTGTCTCATCTAAGGACCACATGGTCAAGTTCATCAGGCATTCGTATCCCTCATCCAGATCCAAGGTGACGTCATTGTTTCCCAGATGATACGAAGCCAATGATGATTGTTTCCAATCTTGGCTTTGATTCAATGCGGTCACCATCCGCGTCCAGTTGTGCTCATTTTGAGCGACGAATGCCCTGCAATATGTAATAAACAGTGTTATTCACTTACTTAACCTGGGGCGTGACCTGGTCCTCAAATGAAATCCCGTGAATTGAAAACCCATGCCCAGCCTTGATTAATAACTCTTTGTAAAGATTCATCATTCCTCTGTAACCTGAGGAGAAAGAGGACAACAAGTTTTTCTTCGTGTGTTCGAAAGCTTGCAAACATCTCGATTCCTTTTCACTGCAAAAGTACATTTATATCCCGTTGACTTCATAGAATTTTACCTGTCAATGCAATATCTCAATACCAAAAGCCCTGGTTCGTATAGTCCAACTAGATGAAGAACCTTGGCCCACAGAAAACGATCAAACTTTGGTCCAGCCAAATTGATAGCTTTCGTCAAGCAAGCGCAGAGGAAGACGTCGTTCTCATCAAAGGCAGATTCGTTTAACAAATACTCTGCGTATTCACCCATCGCCTCGGGCAGGCATGCAATCTTTTTTTTGCTTTCCAAACATCTGTATATCGCACTCATAACAGCTTTTATTCCGAAATAGGGCTGGAACACGCTTGAATTATGACACAAGGGAGGTTCCGCAAATCCGACGCTCATATTGTCTTTAAATATTGGACATTGAGCCGTGCACAGGCCACATATCAATGAGAGCCTTAGCCCGAGCTATTCATGGACAGCAGATATTCTACGATCTTTGCAGCATGCAAAACGTGGAGACCGGTGAAAAAACCTTTGGACATATGCTGGAGTTTCGCGCAGAAAAAAATTATTTTTTTGTGAAAACACTACTCTATACGGTAGAAATAGGCATAAAACTCATGCTGAAAATCACCAAAAAAGTGTCGCCCTTTAGACGACTTTCGATCGTTTCTGCAAAGCGCGAGCCAGCAGTCTCGCATAAACCTTACAAGGAAAGTACTTCTATGGGGTGTGGAGTTACAGGTCGAGATATATATCAAAAAATTCGCAAAAATTTTCAGATTCAGAATATATAAAAATTAGCTGCCTAATTTTGGTCTGATGACATGTTTTTGTCCTCAGAAGTTTTCTCGCGACACCATGCAAGTGTCTTTTTGACCGTGTTTTTACCAATAAAAAATTTTTGTTTTGTGCTACAATAAATTCTGAGGCCTTGACAAGCCTTAAAATATCAAATTAGATTACAACTACACCTTAGAAGTAGTTGCAATGTAAAAAATGGGTTCTAGTGTTGATAGACCAAAATTAGGCAGCTAAATTTTATATATTCTGAATCAGAAAATTTTTTTGAATTTTTTGATATATAAAGCGGGAGATAAAAGATTTTCTGAAAAATTTTTGAAATTTTTCTGTTTTTACTTCTTTTTTAAAAAAAAAGTAAATTTTGAAAAATTTCCGGAAATTTTCGATTTCGGAGAGTCAAAAAACATTCTTACTCCGAACGACAAATTTTTGGAAAGTTGGATCAAAAATGGCTCGCCAAAAGGTCGATCCGCAAAGTTGAAACAAAAATGGCTCGCCCATTTTGGCTGGTGAGTAGGATGCCGTTTTTACTCACCTGCACGCAAATTTATTTTCTTCAAAACTATTTTTGCGAGCTGCGCCCGGGAATTCCAGATGTGTCAAATTTCTCTCTCCCGGAAGAAACGTTTTGATTTTTTTTGAAGTTGTGAATCTATTTTCTCCACGAAGATGGGCTGCAAAGTGATCAAGTAAGTTAGCATTAGCAAGAGGAGATGTACTTTTTTCGTTTGACACCAAAAATTTTCCTTTTATTTCAGAGAAAGGTACAAATTTTTTCCAATTCGTAAAGCTTCATGACCATGGATAATGTAAGTGCGCTTATCGCGTTTTTTGTTCCGTTATTGGAGTTAACAGTTCTAGGCTGGCGAGTTCTAGAGGACACCTCACTTTAGTTTTGTTATATACTCTATCTATCAAACGCCACCAATTTCGATTTCTAGGTGTCATGTACAATATCGAAATCCGCTCAGATCTGCCGGATTTTTGCCACGAATGCGTTCTAAACTGAGGTAATAACGTAATAAGGCTCAAATAACGTTGTTACAACAACTTGAAGATAGTTTGCATAGGTTTTACTTTAGTATAACATACTTTTGGAAAGTTAGTATAGTATTTGAAATTTTTACGTCGTTATTCCTCAAAATTTATGGGGTTTCATACATGGAGAATATACATGAGAGTGGGGTCTCCTCTAAACGTTTCCCGACTTAGAATCTTGACGTCGTAGCAAAAAAGGAGATAATCTCACTTACATTATCCATGGTCATGAAGCTTTACGAATTGGAAAAATTTTGTACCTTTCTCTGAAATAAAATGGAAATTTTTGATGTCAAATGAAAAACGTACATCTCCTCTTGCCAATGCTAACTTACTTGATCACTTTCCAGCCCATCTTCGTGGAGAACATAGCTTCACAACGTCGCACAAACGTAAAAATAATTTTTTCGGAAGAGAAAAACTTGACACATCAGGGAAAGCCTTGGCATCAACCTTGCAACCTGCAGACTGCAGTGCGGGGCCAAAAAGAGGAATAAAGTAAAAACAAGCTCTGACTTTCGGCGACTCCGAGCGGGGAGTAAGATCCGGTCCTACTCCCGACCTTGAAGTCGGAAAGCCAGAAACAAAATTGACTTTCTTTTGCATTTTCCTTGAAGTAAACTGAAAATTTACTTTTTTTTTAAAAAAAAAGTAAAAACAGAAAAATTTCAAAAATTTTTCAGAAAATCTTTTATCTCCCGCTTTATATATCTCGACCTGTAACTCCACACCCCATAGAAGTACTTTCCTTGTTAGAAAAAACTACAGGGTGGGGCATCTTTGTGGCCCGATTTGAGATTTGGCCAAAAACTAAAGAAGTTATAGCCAATTCAAATCGGGCCACAAAGATGCCCCACCCTGTATTCTAAATTTGTGACAAGTTTCATCAAAGTCTGAGCATCGCACTTGGAGTACCTTCCCCTGTTAATAAAAGTAAAAAAACTGATACTATACCTTGTGCAAAAAAGTAAATAAAATCTCTTGACCAACCATGTCACAGGCCGTTAGAATCTTTAGGAGAAATCTCTTCAGTCCAACGGCATTCTCCATGAAACTATGCGTGGTCTTGGTCATCTTCCTTTCATAAGATATCAAAAACGAATAAAGTTCGCAACAAATTAGTAGTGGGCATAATTCTTCTTGAAGGTAAAGAACATATTTTACAGTAAAAATATCATCCCCATTAGTCTGCATTCCTTTTGCCCAAGCCCACATATCTTCTCCATAATCGACGACATTTTTTTGATCATAAAAAGGCAGATAATGTAATAATTTTGTGCGGAGATGGGGAAACAATCTCCATAACTCTTTCAGAAAGTTTAAATCCAGGCCTAAAAAACGTAAAAATAAAATGGCCCCTTACGTATCCCTTGGAGTGTGTTGACATTGCACCAGAAGCCGAAACATGTTACAAATGGCTCATTTTTCATGTTTCTTCCATCCCTCAGCTTAACGACTTGTTCAGAAAAATCTAATTGAGACTTTTCGGGATCGGAGAAGAGAATAACATATTCGGAAATCAAAGGAATGGAGTATTGAAGCAGATGCTTCCATAGCTCTGGGTAACCACTTCCATTAACGTAAATCGTATCTATCGTCCGAAACACAGCTCCTGCACACTGAGTAGAGTCAAACACATTAAACTTGGCACATGCTCGCAACCATTGATCAATTAGAATAAGAAGATCCTTAAACAACCTAAAAATTATATTATAAAACAACTGCAAACGTATTTTTAACACTCAACTACAAACCGCTTACATAACATTTTCTCTCAAGATCATTCCGATTATGACTCGGCCAACGCAACCCACGTCCAACACGATCAAACTCATTGCTTGTTTTACCTCTTCAGTTACATTATCGGGAGTTGCGCTTGACATCCGAACCAAAAATGATGTCATAAATTGCAACAATGTTCCCATAAGTGACATAAACACCTTATTTCCTCCGGATTTTCTCACCAGAACATCCGCCAAAGATCTGATACCGTGTAACACCTTAACCAAATCGTCATCAACCCCTTCGGCTCTGCAATTCATTAAATGAAAGTAAAAATATTATATTTGAAACATACTTAATGAACAAACCGCTGGCCGTCTGGAAAACATTCTTCAAGGCAACAAACCAGTTGAAAACGGTGTCGGAAACGGGCAAAACGTCATTTAGACGCTAAAAATTTGTGAAACATTACTCAAAAAGACTTACCTGCTTCAACTTCTTCATCGCCTCGAGCAGAGGATCGCATTCACAACGTAAGATCAACTTATGCAAGCAATTTGATAAAAGAATACACAGGGGTCTAGCGTGAAGATCCAGAAAAGTAGGCTCGCAGTGGTTTATATATGATACAAATCTCATTACATTCTGACAAGTTGGCTGAATAAATCCGAAAAGTGCAACTGGATTTATTTCCTCAAACGAAACCTCAATGTCAAACTCCAGCCCCATACGCTTAAAATAAAACAAAAAATACGCAATCAAATTTGAAAACATACGGTTTGAGCCAAAACAATTTCTCTAAGCGCAATCTTCTTCAGACCATTATCAATCCGGTTACTCAACATATCCCTTCTAAAATTATTTATCTTCTTAAGGGTAGATCCACTCACTCCAGTTCCAAAATAAACTTCGTCAGTGTTTTCCTTGAAAGTAATGCGGCATGTCTTGATATCAGGAGTATTCTGTTCTTGAAGTCCGATGTATCCCACAAAATTTCAATCACATTTTGGTTCAAAAATTTAGATTCGAGATTGGTCAAAGTATCTCCAATAAAATAGGGCCGTGCACTGTCCCTGTCTAAAAAAGCCAAAGCAAATCTCCATTCAACACCAGACTCGACGTTAACCCTCTCGGAAATAAACTTTTTTATAGAATGCGGGGCGAAGCGCCAATTCTCATCGATGTGGAATTTGTCGATAGAATTATTGACAAAGATACTCAACAACTCGTTACCCAGTACCTAAAAAATCATCATATACAAAAAACACTGATACTTATTTACATCATGAAAGCGGTCAAATTTTTTGTATGCCCTTTCTCCATTCCCATTGAACAATCTTTTCAAGTCCGTTGTTATGCGGAAGAGATGTATTTTGTCCAACGTCTCCATCTTAAGTCTTTCTCTAAGCGATGTATCAACGAAGAAATCGACCACCTCATATATAATGTAATCCTCTGTAAAGCTGCGTCCTGAAGATATAAAACTCCGGTCGGCTTCTTACTTTTTCCTGAAGGAAAATACAAAAATAATTTGAATATAAGACATGAGGGGTTAGCCTGAATAGAAAAACTTTTCATCAATCGTTGAATCAAGTCCTTTCTGAAAGTCCAGCAAGTTTTCCGACCAGTTTCAACTCGTAATGAATCGATGCTTTCTTCGTCAAATTCAATACAGGACATTAAATCACTGATGGCTTGGATGTTGGGTTGAGAAAACTTCCGCAGTTGGCACAAGGTATTGAAAAAGGACGCAAAGTTGAAAAGGTGTTTAACTCCTATAAGAAATCCTGTAGCAACAGAGGTGTACATACCTAACTTAAGCAAGTTAGCAATCAGAACTGATGAACTGTTTTGCAAACCTGGAATTTCTAACCATTTTCCAAGGTTGGAATTCAAAAAACAGTAATCTGCAGTTTCCAAGAATTCAGTCTCTGTCAAATACAAGGCCAACGTTTCTGCAGCGATCGACGCGGAGTGACTTCTAAGAAATAAAATTCAAAAACAAGCACATACAATTCTGAGTCGTTTTGAAGGAAGTCCGTTAAACTTCTACAAATCATCACGCTGAAATCCCGACTGACACCAGCAGGAAACTCTATCTTACTGGAACGAATAACGTGAATAAAGTTTGGATCCCCATTTCTCAAAATTCTCTTGATTATTGGATCCCCGTCCCTACGCCAGTGCAACGCTAAGTTGCTGGTACTCGAGCAACATCGACCTTGAAAATCCATTACCAACAATCTTGCCAAAAAGCGAAGACTATCCTTATCAAAGGCACAATTCTTAGCATAATTACTTCTCGTCTTTTCTCGTTCCAGACAGGATATGGCGGCGTTGTAAACATCTAACGTTAAATGATAAGCCATTCGAACACCGTCGATGTACAAACATTCCTCTTCAAGCTTGGCACGAGGATACGCAACTTCGAGAAACATGTCAAGAAACAATAACAAGTACCTCTAAAATAATGTATTAAACGCAAAAAAATCTGGCAACCTACGTTAAAAGCTTTATGTTCTCCTGGATTCGATATGGCTTCCCCACTAATAGACCAAATTTGAATTTTAGGAAACAGTTGACGAACTACCGGCATAAATGCATCCAGCAAAAGCACTCGGTAGCCAAAGGAAAAATGTTCGAGTAACGACGTCATCATGATCAGCACACTAGTTCGCGCTGGATTCAAACCCTGAGACCAACTTAACATAACTGTCTCAACAAATTTCAAAAGCTTACTTAAAACTTTTTACAAACGCATTAGTAAAATCTTGCAAGAATCCTTCAAAGTTCTCCGATTGAGGTAAGTATCTCAACGACTCGACAAAAATGGATAAAAGCTCACATAACTTAACCAACTCTTTCCGGGAATCGTCTGGCATAAACACATAATTCATCAACGTATGTAGTAAATCTTTAAAAAAAATTATAAGAGAAAAGAAAACAAAAATTTACTGGAAACTCTCGCATCCGGAAATTGCGTCACATCATAAGCAACGAATATGCTTCGAGCCACGTCGAGGGTATCCCACCATACACCGTCCTCGGATCCCACCCATATACCACGATTCTTCTTTAACAGACACTCAAGACAATACAAAAATATTGAACCGTTGCGTACTCCTTTTTCTAAACAGGGATCTCTCAATAAAAAAAATAATACTTTTGATGCAGATGATACATGCAGCCTTCCAGACTTTAAACAAAGTTTGTGAGAAAGATTTGATTTTCTTCCCAATCTTGCTCTCGTTCATTTCACATTCCTAAACGAATAAACATAGGCACTTTCCTTACCTGTATGACTACTTGACATAACATGTCCATAACGTTCTCAAAGTTATCCATCAGCAACGCCGGGACAACACCGTCTTGTCCCCAAAGATACGCGACCATTTCAGAAGCATTCTAAAAGTAAATCAAGTTCTAAGCCCAATTACCGTTCTTTCGTGTATTTTTTTGTGCTTATTTGATACCAAGTCTGATAATGTTTTCTTGAATAAATCTGCTTCTTGGTTTCGGCTCATTTTTAAGGAACAGAATTTCCATTAAACTGAAAACAAGATAAAAAAAACCTTTCTAAAGTAAAACCAAAAATATTAAAAACCCATAGGAATGACCGATTCCCTGTACGTTCGTTCCCGGCGAATAGATCACCCCGGAGGATCCAGTTTTAACTGCTAGTTTCCACGGTTTGTCCAAAAAGACAAAAAACCGCCGAAAAGAATTTGTGTTTTACGGAAACCGTTTTATACGATCAAACGTTTCACAGTAGAGAATAACTGGGTCGTTCATCTCGCAAGGCATTACAGGCATTACTGACGATTTGATAATCTTACAGGGGAAGTACCCCAAGTGCGACGCTCAGATTTCGACGAAACTTGGCACAAATTTAGAATAGTTTTTTCTAAGATATATGCGAGAATCTTAGCTCGCGCTTTGCAGAAACAACCGAGATTTTTAGTCCGAAAGTCGGCGAAAATTTGGCACTTTTTGCAGAATTTCGACACGAAAAGTTTCATGCTTATTCCTATTGTAATGGGTAATGCTTCCACAAAAAATGAATTTTTTCCGTACGAAACTAGCGAAGTTATGGCCAAAAAGTGTTTTTCTCTCTGACCGCTCTCCGCGGTTAGCATGCTCTCTCGGCGGCAAAGATCGTCCAATATCTCGGCGGCGCTTGCAAAGCGCGAGCTAAAATTTTCAGGAATTGATACTTAGTCCATGCCCGACGTGTGTGCAAAATTTAAAGAAAATCTGAGCGTCGCACTTGGGGTACTTCCCTTGTTAGTATAAATACAAACAATATTATTAGGCAGTACTAGAAAATAATCGACAAATACTATTCTGGCAAATGGAGCAACGGATAGCCAAAGTAGCTAACAGCGACACTTCCGGAACCGGGCAAAAATCAAAGATAAGGCTTACACCTATCATCTGACAGGGGAAGTACTTCAAGTGTGACGCTCAGATTTTCTTTAAATTTTGCACACACATCGGGTATGGACTAAATATCAATTCCTGAAAGTTTTAGCTCGCGCTTTGCGGGCGCCGCCGAGATATTGAACGATTTTTGCCGCCGAGAGAGCACGCTCAACGTGGAGAGCGGTCAGAGAGAAAACCGCTTTTTGGCCATAACTTTGGCAGTTTCGTGCGGAAAAATTTGATTTTTTGTAGAAACATTATTCTTTACGGTTGAAATAGGCATGAAACTTTTCGTGCCGAAATTCGGCAAAAAGTCCCAAATTTTCGCCGACTTTCGATCTAAAAATCCCGGTTGTTTCTGCAAAGCGCGAGCTAGGATTCCCGCATATATCTTAGAAAAAATTATTCTAAATTTGTGTCAAGTTTCATCAAAATCTGAGCGTCACACTTCAAGTACTTCCCTTGTGAATAGATTGTTATTAACTTCGAAATTTTTTAATTTTTTGTCTGGTTGTTACTTTTTTTAAGTAGTAGCGTTAAAAAGCAATTTTTGGATTTTTTTCTAAAAATACTCGATTTAGGGGTTTTCGAGAGTGCTGATTTCGAAAGGGGAAAAATTACAGGAAAATTTTTGAAATTAAATGCAACACAACGCCAAAGATTGATTGTAATCGTGACAAGTCGTAGTAACATGTATTGACGTGTAATAAAGAAGCCACGCATCGGAGGGATCGCCTGCTTCCTTTATTTTTCATTTGTTATAACGGGTTTAATTTTGTTGTGATCGATCTGAGGAAAAATTACTTTAGATAACTCTAATGTTACTGTTTCCCGCATGTTTAAATTGGAAGCAATGAAGTCTAATATTCTGGTAAGTTTTGTCGTCATGTAAATTGAAAAGTTTCAGTTATTATTTCTTCTTATTGTTGTTTCCATTGTGAATGGAAAGACTCCAGTTGTCTCTATGCCTACAAAGCTTTGCCTAAATGCAGAATGTAGCGGTAAGTGGCTTCAAAAATTATTTATATCGTTTTAGAGTTGGTTTTTACTACCACAGCGACTCGAGCATATCAGTCCAACCACCAACAAATGTTAAGTTTGGAGCCGGAAATGCTTGTAAAGGTTTATGGATTCAAATTTAGCAATCGTGACGTATTTTTGGCAGAGGTAGTACGCAATTTCTCGTGTATTTATTTTTTTTAGGTTAACGGGCAATTGGGTTGGGTATATCCTGGTTTCATTAGTCTGGAGCCCTACTTTTTCTTCCTCGAATCTGCTTTAAAAACGAATGCAAAATTGTATAAAGTAGAACAACGGGAAGACGGAAGTGCTCGAGGAAAGGTAGTCGGTAAGAGAGACAAAGAAAAAAACAAAATATCTTTTTAGCTGAGCTAGACGCCAATCCTGAATTATATCGCGATTATCAGGTCATTGCTGACAGAGTACAGCTCAAACCGGAAGAAATTCAAATAGTCAAGCCTGCTGAGTCTGCGTCACATCACGGGCATAGCCATGGCCACAGCCATTCCCATGACCATCAGAGTCACGACCACTCTCATGTAAAACCAGAAGTTTCCACGACTACTACTTCTGCACCTCTGTTTTCTGAAACTCAAATCACTGAAACATCTGCGCCACAGTTGAACATACAGACAACCATAGTTCCAATAACCGTTACGTCCGATGCACCACCTCCGGTTACAACGGAGGCCTCCTCAGATTCTGATGTGAATAGTTTCGATCGTCCTGTGGCAACCGCGACCCCAGGATTTAAATCCCAGGATTCTCTTCCGCTGGGGTCGGATAATCCTAGTGTGAAGATTAACCCTTATGGATCAGTAAGACTTCAAGACGTTACAACTACCCCTGTGCCTCGTCAAGTGGATGACCCAACCCCAGAACCTTTAACTACAAGTACAGCCTCGCCATTAGCAGCTGCAGATGAAACTGTTTCTGTAACTCCTGCTGCCCCATACGTCTCTCCACTGTCCACAACGCTGCCCCCTGAAACAACAGAACTTCCTGTGCTTGAAGATTTGAATCTGGATATACCAACAATCACATTGAATCCGAGTTTTGATTCTGTCGATGTTTCCACGACAAGTTCAAGTCCAGTCACTACTACTCTCGAATATGCAGATCCGCTCACAATGACACAGACAACTGCTACTCCTTTGACAACGACTATCCAAGCTACAACTTCTTCTGTGGATGTGGGGAAAAATGTACGTTTACTTTTTTGTTACCACGTTTAATCACGGCAAAGCGACAAATAAGGGAGCTGCTCATGTAGCAGCTCTTTACTGCGGTTTTAAGTTTTTTTACTTCGGCGAAAATTAAGGTATTCGATTATCAGGAGCGCACATCATTCCGAACTTTTTGTGTGGGCAAAACCCGGTGTCAAAAAACAATTTTTTTCGACATGACTTTCTAGTTTCGGTTAGCTGCACTTTTATCAGAGTAAGTAAAAGAAGAATAACATGCTAGAGAGCAGCATGAAAAATGTAACATCCGAAAATCTCGTTATTTTTGTCCATCAAAAATTTTTGTGGTCCAAAAACGATTTTTCTGACATTCCAAGTTTTTTGGAAAGCCGTGTGTAAAATTTAGCTATCATACAATTTTACGTTTGGTTATGAATATTCGCTTTTTGATTGTTTTCTTGTTTAGGAGTACTGTTTCAAAGGCGACTGCTCTGATTTCGAATCTACAAAAGATACGAACAAAGTCTACGCGCGGGCTATGGAACATCTTGAAAACAAAGACGATGGTATCATTCGGACTGGACTGAAGTCCTTTATTAACGGCCTCAAGGGTATACTTCCTTATCCTTTCGACGGGTTGGACGATACTGGTGTCGTTATGGTCTTCTTTTCTTTGTTTTCATTTGTCGTATTCATTATTGGCAGGATATTGGATGATTCTGGTAAGATTCCGTGGTTTATATAGTTGTTTTATAGAATGTCCGGACGCGTTTGACCGGAGGACTTTATTCGATGCTAAGACAAAGATTACGGAACAAGCCGCTGTCATCGATAAATTGAAAAGTAATGCTCCTTCTGGACAGCAACTTGTTCAGCTTCAAGAATTCCAACAAAAAATACAAGCACAAAAGGAAGAGATATTTCAGTTGCGACAAAGGGTCATTGATCCTTCAGTTATCCATGAAAAGGACCGATTGTTGGCCGATTTGGAGAATGAAGTTCACAGATTAAACAGTGCTGTACGGGAGAGAGATAATCAGTAAGTTGCATGTTTCTTGTATCTATTCTGGATTTAGGATATCTGAACTGAAGGTTGAAAGAAGTGCCTTAGAAGATAGAGTTGAAAAGATCAAGGAAGAGAAGAAAATCTTAGATAAGAAGTTGCACGACAAAATTGCACATTTGCAACGGGATCTGACAACGTCTGAAAGTAAACTTGAGCAACTTCAGAGCATATTGCCGGAAAAAGAGAATGCTCTGCAAATTAAGGAAACCGAGATTTCTAAATTGCTTGATCAAATTAGAGAGCTGGAGGAGTACAGTGTTGCGTATTCCAAGAGTATTATCGATCTGGAAACTAAACTCAGAAAGGCCGAAGAGAGTGGAGGTAGTGTGAAGAGTGGAGATGGAGGAAGCTGGTCAGATATTGACAAATCAGAAATTGATAAATCTGACATCGACATATCGCATGACAATGAGACTACTGAAGGTTTATCTAGTGGAACCATGATTGACTCTGAGAGCAATGTCCCCGTTATCATAAAAAAAGAAAGTAAAGTTCATCACACCGAAGATATAAGAGTGCTGGCAAAGGCAAACGTTGAGGTTACCAAACTTAAAGAAGAAAAGCAGGCCCTTAAAGAAGAAAAGCAGGCCTTGGAGTAAGTATTTTTTGCGAATTTTTGTAAAGCTTTTTTCAGGAGTCAGTTGAATAACGAGAAAACAACAAAGAAGGCATTAGAAGAGAAGCTGATAGACCGGGACAACATAATCGTTCGGCTGAATACTCAGATCGATTCACTGAACGAAGAATTGAAAGAAAAGAAACTTGAGATTAAAGAGAAACAAGTAAAGATCGAAGCCCTGACAGAAGAAAGAATAGAAATTTACAAACAAGTTCTGGAGGCACGGAACGAAGCCAAGGCATTGTCGTCAGAGTCATCTAGACTGGAAAACGAAAAGAACGTCTTGGAAAGGGCTGCCAGAGAGCTGGAACAGAAACTTAAAAAAGCTGAGGATTTGGAGGCGAAATTGAGGACCAAGATGTTCCACGATGAGAGAGACGCTCAGAAGAAGATCAAGGGTCTTGAAGAGAAGATTGCTCATATGACGACAATTCAGATTTCTAGTAAAACTGCCGAAACTGGAAACTTGTCTATGGCTTCGAATGGTCTCTTCAACGACGTCCCGTCTTTGTGGTCGCCTTTCAATAATTTTAACACTAATGGTTCACTCGATGAGTAAGTATATTAAAGTCATTTTGTATGTGAAATGCAAAATGACTTGCATTTCACTTACTTAATTAATTGTAGGAGTGAACCCGATTTTCTCACAAATCGAAGTGATCCCAGGCGAAATTTGCGGGCCGGTAATATTAGTCCCGCCAGGTCAACAGAATCGAGTGGAAATGTAAATGATCAGCGTGGTAAGTCCCACCTTACCAGTAGGGACATGGGAAGAGAACGACCTGAACAGCAGACCAGAGGTACCACCCAAAGAAGGATGCGGTAAGTTTGTCATATGCTTTCAAGAAAGCTCTTTGTTTAAGGTCGCGGTCTGCTGGTCGTTTTCCACGTGAAGCATATCCCGCCCAACAAGTGCCATCAGGGCGCATGTCGGCTGGACGGTCAGGAGGGCACATCTCTCCAGCTACTTCGTTGTTGCATACCGCCTCACCATATTACGCCGACTCTTCTGGAATCGCCACCCTCCCAAGACCGGCTTCAGGTGGACGTCTGCCAAAGGTCCCTTCTAATTTGTCAAATCTGTATTACTCATCGGACGGATCTCCACCGCCTAATCTGGTTCAACGAGCAGGGATTCCACCCGTTAAGAATGTCCCTCGGCCAGTTACTGTTCGAGCGGCGATAAAATTGCATCCGCCCAGGCCACAGAAATAAACAAAGTTAGTTTTAGTAGTGTATGAATCTGTTTTTACTGTGTCAAACTTCGGGTACTTTGTGATAATAATTTATATATGGGATTGTTAAAATAAACGACTTAAAATAGCATTTTTGGTAGTCTCGATCTTCTCTGCACAAACTGATGCACAGGACAAGGTGTTACGCCAGACTCTTGAAATCTTTGTTATATTATGGAAGCGTCACTATTCCGCTATTCCGGAAGTGTCCTGACGCAACTCCGGAAATGTCTTGACGCGGTACTTCTAAATTTCTCCATCTTGTTAAACGACCGACGAAATAAGTGGTAAAATTATTTACGGCTGATGTTAACGGTATTCACCATAGTCTATGTTATGATACTTGGCATATTGGATCAACGTCCAAATAATATGCTGTATCTGCATGGTTAGAGACAATAATTGAAAAATTTGGTCTTCTTTCGCATAAGATGTCCCTGCAAATTCCAAATACTGGGCGCAGCTCGGAAGTCCATCAACTGTGGCTTGCATCGGACGTGACGAATTTATTCATCGTTATTTGTATATTTTTTGGATTTGATGCTGAGAAATGGTTGATCAAATAGAAGAAAGTATTACCAAAGCCTCATCTTCGATGAAAGATTTCAAACTGAGGTGGCGTCCATTGATCGAGAAGCAACTTGCTCGAATGGAGAGCTTGGAAAATGAACTCCTCAAAAACGACAACTCTGGCCAGTTGTCTGTCACAGCTCAGTATTTGTTGGATGCCGAGATGAATAAGCTAAATAAATTGTTTGAGGAGATGTCGTCGAATCATAAACAAATTCATGGATCGATATCACGATGTGGTAGAGAATTGGATAAGAACTTCCAGGTTGAACTTAATGATCTTATAAAGAATCAAAAGGACTTTGAAAGTAATCCAGAGGCCTTTCAAAAGGTAAATTCGTTGATATACGAACATTTACTGAGCCTGGGAAGAATCGACGTGGCCACCACCTTCGCCAGGGTATGTGTTATTTTCAGGTTTTATAGTGTTTTGTTTTTAGGAATCTGAGCAACTGCTTGAAACACCCAAAAATTGTGACATCAAACTATTCGAAAATATAATGCGGCCATTCCGAGAAAAGAATTATTTGCCAGCGATTGAATGGATAAAGCGAAATGCCAGCCATCAAAAAGATCTTCTCTTTAAACTTCACAGACAAGTTATTATTACTTTGCTACAATCAGGTAAACGTTTGAGTTAAAACACTCCAACTTATAGGTAACAAGTCCGACGCATTGGCTTACTGTAAAAACATGCAGGAATTCGGGAGCGACTATGCAAACGAGATATCAGGGTTGATGTTCGTAGTGGTGCACTATCCAAATGTTGGAAGACATCAGAATTTATTCTTTGATGGGATTTGGCTTGAACTAGAAGAGCAGATTTCACACGTATTGTGTCAGCATTCGGGAACGATTCTTTCTAAACTGTAATCGTTTTTGCTTTGGGGGCTTGTCTTTAGTTAATGTTATTCTTGAATCTAAACCTTCATTTTTAGAATCGATGTGGGAGCTAGTGCTGTTCCGATGTTACTGGAATTGCAAAGATTCATTACTCGGAGGACTTCTAATGGATGGCTGACTGATGAACTTCCTACCGAGATCCCAATTTCTGAACATGTTCATTCGACATTCACTTGTCCGATTCTTAAAGTTCAGACTACAGATGAAAACCCTCCAATTCGATTGAAATGTGGTCATGTAATCAGTCTGGAGGCCATGACCAAATTGATTCACACATCCAGAAGCCAGAAACTGAAATGCCCTTATTGTCCAGAAGAATGTACAGAAAGCGAAACTAAACGTTTATATTTCTAATAAATTATTTACACTAATAGCAAGTGGAACAACGTCTCCCGTTGGAAGGTCAGACCGATGACTTCAGGCGTCTGGAGGATATCGGTCTCGTGGGTAATTGAAGAGATGGGAAGTGCCGCAGGGCGCTGATATCGCCCATTGACAAATCTGGTGACCGTCGATGACTTTCGCTATCTCACTTTCGATTTCACGAGAAATGCGATTAAAATGTTGGGGCCCGTTTCTCTTCTGTCTGATCATCTCTTCAGCCCTTGACGCCCACCAAATGTAACGTCAGGAAACCAATAGTTAAATTGTGTAGAGATGACGTTTTTAAGGTGTACCGAGTTTTTCCCGTTGCGTTGGAACAGATTCAATTATTGGATGGGATCAACGTTGACAATGGCGAGGTAAGCTAAAGTTTGCGGAAGCATTCCTAACTTCCTTTTTGTTACAGATTGATTTCTGGTACAGGACAACCAAACCGGGGGGATTCTCCGATGTTATGATCTCTTCAACTTTTGAGCCTGTGTTTCTACAATTATTAAACAAGCATGAGATTCCGTTCAACGTCACCATTCCAGATGTCCAACAGTAAGGACATATTAGCTTAATTTATCGGTTTAGATTAATCATACAAAAAGAGAAACGCAAAAAAGAAGATCTTTTTGGAACGCGGTTACGAAGAACCCCTCAGACATACCGTAAGAGATATTACCCGAGTCTTCTTTGCCTTGATTTTTAAATCATTTTCGTGTTAAGTTTAAAAAATAATACTGTTCATTTCAGCTTCTGGTCGAGATATTGAGACCGTGGGGATTACTAGAGCCGATTTTCGATTCGGAGAGTATAGTAGCTATGCTGCCATGGTCAGGTATCTTAGGACGCTGGAGTTTTATTATCCTAAAATAGTCAGACTCATCAGAATAGGGATGTCCCATGAAGGTCGACCAATCGAAGGAGTGAAGGTTGGTAAACAGCTGCCTGGACGTTGGTCTAACGTTGCCGTTTTCTTCACAAGGAAAGTGCTTTTATAGGGACTCCTACTTTTACGCGGGACACATCTCAAAAAAATCCGAAAAATTGTGAATATGTAAAAATTACAGTGCGCGACAAAATTATAACCGCACTTTAGGAATTGCTGTAACTTTTTTGGTTGTCAATAGAAATGTGCCATATTTGGCTCCAATATGCACTAGTGCCTCACGAATCATGTGCCAAAAAATTATTTCGGGAAATTTCCCCAATTTGGAAAAAAATTGAAAAAACCAAAATTTTGATGATTTTCTATGCGACAAAATTATAACCGCACTTACGAATTTGGTGAATTAGCCTAATTAAATCAAGGAATAACAATAACTAATGTTTAGTTAGGTTGCCTGAGGCTTCAATAACGTCGATTGAATAGCCGGGAATATTCTGGGCAAAGTTTTTTTAGCCTCTTCTGGCCAATTTTGTGCCAGAATCGGAAAAGTGCCTATTTTAGCTCAGTTACTGTAGCATAATGCTTGTTGTCGCGGTGTAGTTAACAAACCAGGAAGCCCCACATGTTCTCTGTCGGATTTGAAGCCAGGGAACGCATGGGCTCGTCCGGGATAGCAATTCCTTGTCGTTTAAGAAACAGCTTTGTCTACCAGCTAAGGTATACGCGAGCCCTGCCCTGCATTTACGTGTAGTCTGGTTGCCAATACGTTACCCGATGGTTGCCTAAGACTCCCTGGTACTCAAGGATACTTATTTGAGTTGATGTGGCCTCCAACGGAAGCACTCCGGTTCTTCGAATGCGCCGAAAGATTATCAGCAAGCCACCTAAAACGTTACGGCGCGGGAAATAATGCGTTTCTCTTCTGATTTCACGTCTTAATGTGGGTCATGTGTGAAGCCGTCAGGTACATCATTTGGCCATAAAATCTTCAAGGATTTCGGCACTGTAATGATGTTAAACTAACCTTTAACTGATCAACCTATTTTGCCAATGTCACCTTGGCAAATCTCGGCCGCGCTCTGCCGTGGACCCGGCCAGCTGAGGCCACAACTTCATACGACGCCCAGTGATGACGTAGCCGTGTCTTACAACCTCCAGCATAGCTTTACTGCTACAATTGAGGCCTATTTCTTAGCTTATATGAGCCCAAGGGATATTGGAGTTGGAAACTCGGCGGATATATCAGCCCTTGCTCTGCTGCAGTGGCGCAACTTTTTTCTCAGAACGTTTAGATGTGTTATAGGCTTCTGGGTTACTCAGTTAGTTGCTGGCAAACTCTGTCCGAATGGCCTACCTGAGCTAAAATAGGCACTTTTCCGATTCTGGCACAATATTGGCCAGAAGAGGTTAAAAAAACTTTGCCCAGAATATTCCCGGCTATTCAATCGACGTTATTGAAGCCTCAGGCAACGTAACTAAACATTAGTTATTGTTATTCCTTGATTTAATTAGGCTAATTCACCAAATTCGTAAGTGCGGTTATAATTTTGTCGCATAGAAAATCATCAAAATTTTGGTGTTTTCAATTTTTTTCCAAATTGGGGAAATTTCCCGAAACAATTTTTTGGCACATGATTCGTGAGACACTAGTGCATAGTGGAGCCAAATATGGCACATTTCTATTGACAACCAAAAAAGTTACAGCAATTTCTAAAGTGCGGTTATAATTTTGTCGCGCACTGTAGCTACCCAATTTTGGGTTTAAGGGTCGAAAATGCCCAAAAACTGGCTAAATTTATCGTCAAAAGGCGCCTAGCGTTAAAAAGTAATTTTTGGAATTTTTTCTAAAAATACTCAATATAGGGGTTATCGAGGGTGCTGATTTCGAAAATGATGATGGTTTTTTCTGATTTTGACTTTTTTTTTAAAACAGGTTTTGCCAGAGAGTCGAGCTAGTTGAGCACAAAAAACAAGGTGTTACAGTAGGGATGTGAAGTACATATCACAAATAGGTAGTTAGTCATATTTTAAAATTCTCCGGTCAAATCATAAATTTTTGGGTTACTGTAGATATACTTTAACATTTTTAGATTTTTCATTTCTCCTCGATTAGCTGTCCGATTGGCTCGGGAGCTTTTTAGGGTTATAGAATGAAGCAACGTTTGTATTGACACCTTTTTTTCTAGGACTTCTGGACGTATGCGAAAAATTTGCATATTTACTAAAAAATTTAAAATTCATTAATTTTCTCGAAAAATATGCATACTTGTACATCCTTTTTATTGCTCCAAATAATGCTGTGTGATGTAACGATTCCAACGGTAGCAAAATCGTGGCTAGATCATGTGCCACACCTTCACACGAGTCAAGGGGCATCACGAAATTTCAAAATCAGAAAAAGCGAACATCATTTTCGAAATCAGTCTTCGAGTACTTTTAAAAAAAAATTCCAAAAAATAACTTTTTAACACTACTAGTTAAGAAAAAATGTAAAGAAAAAATTTTGAAATCCTCGCCATCGACTGTCCACTATTCCCCGTTTGGGGGTCTCTCACCAAGGGCAGCTAATTTTTACCGAAGGGAGACTGAATATGAACTGACTGAATATGAAGGACCGAATATGAAGGACCGAATATGAACTGACTGAATATGAAAACCGGGTTTCTGTTACTGTTAGTACTACCTAGGTTCCGATTAAGGACTCTTTTTGAAATTTTTTCGACTTATAACACCTTTTAGACGTTAATGGTGTTGTTTTGGTGTCTAATACTGCTTTAAAAAAACATTTTTAACACATGGTGCAAAATAGTACTACCTGGTACTATTTAGTACGAGGAGAAAATTTGGCCGGTAATGGTGTTGGTTTGGTGCTTAGTACAGCCCAAAAACACATTTATAGCACTTGGTACTATATAGTCCTTGAAATAGACCAAACTTGCCAAATTTCATATTCAGTCAGCACCACAGTTCATATTCAGTCAGTTCATATTCGGTCAGTTCATATTCAGTCCTTTTCATATTCAGTCCTTCATATTTAGTCCTTTATATTCAGTCAGTTCATATTCAGTCAGGCACCCAGTTTTTACATATTCTTAATCAGCACGATTTTACGTATTTTTTGAGATATGTCCCGTCTAAAAGCACGAGCCCCCATAAAAGTACTTTCCTTGTTAGAAAAATGCGAAATCTCGAAGTGTCGAAATATTTATTGACTTGTCGGTTGAGTTCCGCAACATGTCAGAAATCTTTTCGGATTACAATTTTTTTTATTATCCGTTTCATAGTACATGCTGGTTCAGCCGAAGCTTCCAACCTTATTTCAAGTATTTCTACGCCGGTTGTGTCCGAACACTGACTCAAACAGTGCACACGAGCGAATTGTGCACCTGAGCGAACAGTGCACCTGACATTTTTGAACAGTGCACCTAGGTGCACAAAAGAATTTTTTGCAAATAATTGAACAACATTTGAAAAGTTTTCGCTTCGGGACAGCGAAAGAAAAATTTTGGGTTTGTGAAAAGCTAAGTATGAAAAGGGGAGATCAAAGGAAGTTTTTTTTGACTGGTTTATTGTGTGTGTGAAAAGATAAATACGACAGCGGGACCGTTTTTTTCTTGCAAGAATAGAGCGTCTTTCTTGCCTTGCTCTGGTGCCATATTATTATTTTGGCACACCAAACCAAAAAAATGATTCTTGAGGTATAAAAAAAAATCAGTAAAAACGACTTGCCTTGATCCCCCTTGTCATATTTACTTTTTCACACACAAAAAAATCTGGCAAAAAAACTTGCTTTATTCTCCCTTTGCTTTGTCATATTTAGCTTTCCACAAACCAAAAATTCTTTTCCCCTGTCCCGAAGCGAAAACATTTCAAAATTTGTTGAATTATACAAAAAGAAACACTGAAAGCATTTCCAAATTCGTCAGATGCACTGTTCGAGCATAATCCCTGGATTACCTAAAACGCGACCCGAGCTGTCCCTGACCCGAAAACTCGGGACGCGAAATTGAATTTTTTTTGTAAAAATTTAGAAACTATGTACAATTCCGCATTTGTCATTTAAAACTGTTCTGAAGTTGCCAAATGTCACTGTTTTATAGATTGGATTTCCAGTTTCCAATACCACAAAACGAGCTGTCTGGATAGATGGAAATATACATGCAAGAGAATGGGCGTCGAGTCACACGGCCTTGTTTATTATTAATCAGGTACATTCTTAAGTTCCCCAGATTGGCTACAAACCAAAAAATGAAAAGTCAATGCGAGCTGCGGCCAGGAAATAGAAGACCGTGCACTTCACGCATGGTAAATAGAAGTCCAATCGCTAATCTAGGCTTAGGCTAAACCTAAACTAAGCCGAGCCCAGCCACCTTTTCGTTGTATGATTGAGTACGGAAAGGTCCGCTGCGGAAAGGTCCGCTAAAAAAAGAAAAGAGGAGGGCGGGGGAGGGGTGGGGGAGGTTTTCGATGGCGCTGATTTCGAAAATCATATCATTTTTTTCTGAATTTTACAATTTTGCTTAAGCAGTAGTGTCATTTTCGCTGTAAAGACGAAAAAAGTGTCATAAGTTTTCTTACAGTATCATACAAGTTTGACCAAGTTTTTACCAATTAAAACATTTATTTTAAAGAATTGAGAAAGAAGTCGTATTGAATACGATATTCGCAATCAGCGCCATCGAAAACCTCCCCTCCTCCCCGCCCTCTTCTTTTCTTTTTTTAGCGGACCTTTCCGCAGCGGACCTTTCCGTGGCCAGCGACACATCTTTTCACAAGGAAAGTATTATACTTTTATGGGGGCTCCTACTTTTCGACGGAAAATATTTCAAAAAATCCGAAAAATTGTGCAGATCATGAATATATAAAACTTATCTGCCCAATTTTGGGTTTAAGGGTTGAAAATGCCCAAAAACTGGCTAAATTTACCGGCAAAGGGGCTTTAATCATGAACAATGTCATCAACCTTGACTGATGCCTGAGCGCAAAAGAAAGAAATAGTGGAACTGACGTGGATTGACATAGTTACCCTAGTCCATTTTCCTATGGCGGCAATCTCTAACATAAACCGCGTTTAAAGCATAATAATTATGGTGGCCATTTTTTGACCATGCCAAAAGAACATATTGCCCCAATACGTGCTTGGCCAGCACTGCAGTCCAACAATGTTATAGTAGCACGTCTTACAAGTCTTGTGAGTTTTGTATAAGCTTTACACTGATACCATATTTATATTTTTTTTATCTACCTATGACCACTCTTCTTCGTTAGTGCGAATCATCTTGGGGTGGCCTTTTTTTGGCCTCCACTGTATATAGGTAGTAACAGTAACAGAAACCGGAGTTGGACGATTGGGGAAAGGGACGATGGGGGAAAAAGACGATTGGGGAAAAGTATGATTGGGGAAACCGAAAAGTATTATTTTTCTTCCATGCAAATGTCGAACTTAGGATAAGTGCTCATTCCGAAAACAACATTCTTTTTTCCTTAAGTAGTACTGTAAAGTAGTAATTTTTGATTTTTTCTCATAAATACTCGATTTAGGGGTTTTCGAGGGCGCTGATTTCGAAAATCATGTTCATTTTTTCTGAACTTTACTAGTTTTCCTTAAGTAGTAGTGTTAAAAAGTAACTTTTTGAAATGTTTCTAAAAATATTGGATATAGGGGTTTTCGAGGGTGCTGATTTCGAAAATCATGTTCATTTTTTCTAGTTGTCGTTTTTTTCCTAACGAAGTAGTAAGTAGTACTGTTAAGTAGTAATTTTTTGAAAATTTTCCAAAGATGCTGGATTTAGGGGTTTCCAAAGGTGATGGTCTCGAAAATCATGTTAACTTTTCCACTAGCACTAAGTAGTGCTGTCTGACATTATGTAGGACCAGCACCTTCGAAACCCCCTAAATCCAATATTTTTGGAAAATTTTCAAAAAATTACTACTTAACAGTACTGCTTAAGAAAAAAGCGACAACTAGAAAAAAAGAACATCATTTTCGAAATCAGCACTCTCGAAACCCCCTATATCCAATACTTTTAGAAAAATTTCAAAAAGTTACTTTTTAACACTACTACTTAAGGAAACCTAGTAAAGTTCAAAAAAAAATGAACATGATGTTCGAAATCAGCGCCCTCGAAAACCCCTAAATCGAGTATTTATGAGAAAAAATCAAAAATTACTACTTTACAGTACTACTTAAAGAAAAAAGTGAGAATCAAAAAAATGAATGTTATTTTCGAAATGAGCACCCTCGATTATCCTAACTTCGACATTTGCATGGAAGAAAAATAATACTTTTCGGTTTCCTCAATCGTACTTTTCCCCAATCGTCCCAGTTTCACAGAAACCCGGTTTTCATATTCAGTCAGTTCATATTCTGTCCTTCATACTTTAAGCCAATGATTCTAGAGTAGAATTTCACGCTGATTCCAAAAATATAAGAATAAGCTACATGTTTTTATAAGCAACCGGTTTGAGCCCGGTCCGAAAGCTGAGCTCCGTTAAATTCAGAATGCTAAAAAACCCAAGCACGATCAACTTTAGCTATTTACTAGGCGAAAGTTGCACCGTAATCCGCGGAAACCAAAAACCATAATGGATGGACACGGATATTTTAAGAAAATCTGAGCGCCCCACCAAAAAAACTTCCCTTGTTAATTGAACCATAATACAATGGTTAAATTTTAGTTAGTTGCCGGCTATGGAAACCACCAACAGATCACTGAATATCTGAATGAACTCAATTTTTATATTGTTCCGTGTCTTAATCCGGATGGCTATGAGTACTCCCGGAGTTCGGTACTACCACAAGTAAGAAAAAACGGTTATATAAAATATTTGAAGATACGGCTATGGAGGAAGAACAGATCACCCGAAAAGTGTATGCCCACTCCATGGGGAGGGATTCGATGTTGCCAAGGGGTTGATCTCAACAGGAACTTCGACTTTCACTGGGCTGGTAGGGTTGCCTTCTTTTAGATATAAGGATGGTGACATACTCATCAAATCGTGTACAGAAACCGCGATTTCTTGTCTGTTAGGCCCCTAGACAAGAAATCCGTAATTATTGTCTCAAATTGCGTAACATTGTTCAATATTGCGCAAATTTCTGCTCTCTCCCTGTGGACACTTGTTTCTCTTTTCTCTGCTCACTAGGGAAGTGTACAAACTGACGCTCACCAAATGGCAAGTGTTATACACCACTGGAAAGCCCTTGAAAAATTGTACAAGGAACCATTTCCATTTTTTGTAATAAATAGAATGCGTCAGGGCAGAAAATTTTCATTTATCCCTTAAAACAGCTTTTTTGTAAGGGTCGAGCTAGCTGTGCACATGAAACAGGATGTCGCAGCAGAGTCGTGAAACGGTAGCCATAGGTTTCCCTAATCACGAATATTAGATTTCAGAAAAAATTTTTTTGATTATTGGCCTACTGTAGGTGTACTGTAGCTTTCCCGCATTTCCAGGATCTCAGCTACAAGAGGTCGGGTTGTATCCGGACCTTCTCTGAATTATAGAATGGACAATTCTAAGCATCTTTCATGTTGGGCACTTTTTCCTATCTGTGCCGGAAGTATTCTAAAAATTTGCATAATTGTCAAAAAATTCACATTTTTCAAATTTTATAGAAAAATTTGCATAATGGCATGACATTTTTATTACCCTAAAAGATGCTCCGTGATGTGGCAATTCAAACGGTATATAGATCACCGCAAGGGGTTCTGCCTATGTTGCAAACGGGTCGTCTAAATGTTGGATCATCAGGAATTTAATTTTTCTGAACGTCAAATTTTGTCAAAAAAATGTGGTGTTTGGTATGACCAAAGATTGTATTGGACTTCAAAGTGGTTCCAAAGTAAAAATATGTAATTTTATGACAAAATAATGTTATAAATCTTTAAAAGACGATTTCTGAGTCAGTGGACATAGGAAAAAATCAATTTTGAGATTTTTGCATTAAAACGACCGTCGATAGATGCTAAGCAAAAGCGAAGGACGTTTTTTTGCGAAATCCTCCAATAAGATATATTTTTTTACAATTTACTGTTTTTTAAGTAATCGCTTATAGTTGTCGTATTTTAGCTCTGAATACAACAATTTTAAGCTTACTGATGTTTTCGACCATTGCTAACACGACGGAGCTATTATTTTTTTTAGTTTCCTACTGTAACTTCCCGTGATACAGTATTGGCCGAAAAAAACGGCCGTAAAATCCTTGTTTCTAAAAACCCCCAGCTGATTTTTTGATATGTTAATCAGCGTAAAATTCTGCTCTAGATGCAATCAAAAAAAGTGCAAAAAGTGGTACGACAAATTTCGTGGTGTAGTGGTTAGTGGGCGGGACTACCATTCCAGCGTCCCGGGTTCGATCCCGGCTGGGTGCAAATGTCAAAAAAAATGCCGCAAATCAATTTTTTAATTACCTATTTTTACTTTGGAACAACTTTGAAGTCTAATACAATCTTTGGTCATACCAAACATCAAATTTTTTTGACAAAATTTGACTTTAATTCCTGATGAACCAATATTTAGACGACCCGTTTGCAACATAGGCAGAACCCCTTGCGGTGATCTATATACCGTTTGAATTTCCACATTACGGAGCATCTTTTAGAGCAATAAAAATGTCATGCCATTATGCAAATTTTTCTATAAAATTTGAAAAATGTAAATTTTTTGACAATTATGCAAATTTTTAGAATACTTCCGGCACAGATAGGAAAAAGTGCCCAACATGAAAGATGCTTAGAATTGTCCATTCTATAATTCAGAGAAGGTCCGGATACAATCCGACCTCTTGTAGCCGAGATCCTGGAAATGCGGGAAAGCTACAGTACACCTACAGTAGGCCAATAATCAAAAAAAATTTTTCTGAAATTTAATACTCGTGATTAGGGAAACCTATGGTTACTGTTTCACGGCTCTGCTGCGACATCCTGTTTCATGTGCACAAGGCAAATCTGAAAGCTCGAGTCTTTCGCAAAACCTGTTTTAAGTTGTTTTCTTATGTGATAAGATACGTTTTGTTTTAAAACGCAAAGTGGTACGAATTATCACTAGGTGGGTTTAGGAATTATTTTTCAGCGTGGCTTTTGCCAACAAAACCATCTTCTTTACTTGTAATCTAATCCCCGTTTTCGTATACTCAAACAGTGAAAAAAAATCATTGTTTTTATCCAAAAAAAAACGTGTAAATTTACTGGTTTTAAATGCAATGGATCGTCTTCTAACAAAATTAAAAGACTTACAAAAGTTTAACGCAAATATGTTTCTAACTCAAAAAAAAAATCAAAACGGGCTCTTCATTGATGTATGTCACTTGTCATTTAGTGAGGGTCAGTTTGTACAGAAATTGCGGACTACGATGACAACAAGGACTGCAAGAGGATTGTATTCTCGTCTATTCTCCTCCCAGACAAGAGTTGCGAATTTCTTGTCTAGAGGCATAACAGACAAGAAATGGCGGTTTCTGGTCACGACACCCGATTTGATGCGTATGTCACTATCCTTATATGTTTGCAGAGACTGGGTCCAGCGACAATCCCTGCTCGAATCTTTACGCTGGGGAATATGCGTTCAGTGAGCCCGAATCACAGTAAGCTGACTTCAACGGAGTTTGAAAATCTGTGTTTTAGCTCTGTGTCCATGTTTTTGCAATCCAACAATCTAAGAGGCAAGTTAGATGTTTTTATTACCCTTCACACTTATGCCCAATTCTGGATTCATCCCTATAGTCATTTACGACGAAAATATCCAACCGATGTTGATGACATTGTAAGTTTGATTTCTTTGGATTGCATCTGTTTAGTTGGGCATGGCTGAGAAGGCGACAAAGAAGTTAAAACAAATATACGGAACCGAATATCACGTGGGAACAGGCGCTGACCTGTTGTGTAAGTGGTTGCGATAACTCGATGTTCCTTTTAGCACCAGCAGCCGGTGGCTCCGATGATTGGGCCAAGGATATTCTTGGAGTAAAATACGTTTATTTGTTGGAATTGCGACCAAATAATAACAGTGAGTGAATGTAAGGCGCGTGTGTTCTACATCGTTTCGGATTTTATTCTCGTCCCAAATTGCGCAACATTGCGCAAATTTTTGCTCTATCCCCGTGAAGATTTTTTTCTTTCTTGCTCTGCTCAGTCAAGAATCGCGCATTTCTTGTCTAGAGGGCCCACAGGCAAGAAATGCGGGTTTTCTGCGAGGAGGACCGAAAAGATGTCGAACGAACGCGCCTTATATTCCAAAACTTAAATCGAAATTTAGTGAAAAATGGGTTTATCTTGGACAGATCGGAGCTGTTGCCGGTGGGTGTAGAAACATTGGAAGGTCTGAAGGTTATCTTTGACTCGGTTCTAAAACAAAACTCGACGTCATCCCAACCTAGCGCTTACAGCCTATCCGTTAACAACACTCTCGACATTAGACGACTCTCTTCAAACGCTCCCAGTAATCCTTTCAACCAGCATGCAAGATCTACCCAGCCTTCGCGTTGGAATACTATATATATACCTCGGACCCCACATTACACTACACCGATCACCACAACAGCGACAGCAAGTACAAATGAGGCTAGTACTCTGTCTTCTACAACTACTACGGCCGCTGCACCTACAATCAAAATTTTGAGTGCTACAGCGATGACGACAACAACGACTACAAACGCTCGGGAAGAAAAATCTTTAGTCGCTCCTGTTGCTCAAACTGGATCTGAAATAGATGCTCAAACGACAACATCAAAGGAAGGAGCCTTAGATATTCTGAAGAACTTACCTTTCGAAACTCGAAAACAGTTGAGCGAGGAATTGCTAAAGAAGCAACTCAGTAAGTTGAGACGATTTGGTTATCGTTAAATTTAGTGAGAATAAAAAACCTGGCTATGATGAACACAACACCAATTCTTCCGTCCACTCTGAACCTTAAAAATGCGGCGTCTGAATTAGAAATTGCGTCTGTTCTTAGTACCCAAACAGTACCTTACTCGACGTTACTATCGTCTACCCCTTTAAACAGCACCGCTCTGCCCTCAACGATTTTCGCTTCTCGTTATCTAAGCACGACCACAAGACCATCTACACAAATAGATTCGACATCTACAACAAGGAAAACATCAGAAAGTTGCGTAGACAAGAAGTATTCTTGTGCCTTTTGGATTAATGCTGATAAAAAAGCCTGCCATGCGCAGAAAAGATTTATGGAGACAAATTGTGCATTGTCCTGCGGTTACTGTAATAAGGAATAGACCCGTTATGCGTGGTCGTGTTTACACCTCTTCATTCTCGTCATCGGTCTTGGCACGGCCAGCTCTTTGCTTCTGTAGGAGTTGTAATAAACTTGATACATACATGCGATGTTACCTTTCGTTTGAAGTGCTTAATCACCATGTTTGCGATGAACTCGATTTGCAATGGAGATTGCAGGCTGGCTTGTCTTTGCGATCTAATATAAGATACAATCTTGTCCATGTTGACTCCGTCCAGGCTGTGGGAATGAATTTGTTGATGTAAAAGCTGCAGGAAACATTTCTTAGATTCAGAGTTAGACACCTACCTCAAAAAGGAAATAGGAACTAGCCCTACCGACCCCCGCAAGACTGACAACTATCACTGGTCGGTTACATTTTCTAAAGTGCGTGATTAAACATATCGTTGAATTTTACCGTAGATAGGACTGGATCTCCCATAGCCTCTGTTCATTGGGACATTGGTTATATTCCCAGGAAGAGTAAGTCAACCATCGGAGATGTCGCGTCTCATTTCCTTTCGTTAATCCGAGAACAGTTAGCTTCAGATCATCGTGAGCTTGGGACTCCAGTTGTAAATTCACCAAGATTTGATCCCCAAATACACCGGCCCTAGAACGAAACATATACATTATAATATCGCGTGCCGGCACATTATGGGCCATTATGGGATTGACCATCATGATTTCGAAAATGACATTCATTTTTTAAATCTTTCCTTGTCTCTCTTAAGCAGTAGTGTTAAATAGTAATTTTTTTAAATTTTTTTTGATAAAGATCATCTAGATTTAAAAAATGACATTATTTTTTTAGATCATGACTTGTTTTTCCTAAGTAAGTAGTACAGGGTGGGCCACTCGATTTCTCTGGAGCTGAGACCCGTCGTTTTCAACTAATTTATTTCAAAAAATATATATTTTGAATTGACCTTTCAATGCCTTCCCCGCCCTGTAGTGTAAAATAGTTCATTTTTAAATCTTCTTTAAATTTTGCACACACGTTGGGAATAGACCACATAATTTACTGGGTGCTCAAGCTCGCGCTTTGCAAGCGCAGTCGAGATATTCAACAATCTTTGCGGCCGAGTGAGTACGCGAAACGCGGAGTGCCGCCAGAGATAAATAAAAACACCTTCTATCCGTATCTTTGCCAGTTTCGAGAAAAAAAGTCTTTTGTGGAAACATCACCCTCTACAATAAAAACAGGCATAAAACTTTACGGGCCAAAATTCGCAAAAAAGTGACTTATTTTTTTCAACTTTCGACTAAAAAATTTTGGTCGTTTCTGCAAAGCGCGGGCATGAGCGAGAGTACGTGTTTTAACTGAAGCAGTATCCTATAATTCTATTAGGAAACATCGTAAGATTGTGCCCCATAAAGTTACAGATCCCCCGAATTGACTTAACAAGCAAAAATCTGAAAACACGAATGTAATTTTAGAAATCAGGATGGTCGATTATCCCTAGTTTCAGAAATCTGCCCATACACGGGATTCAACTACCGTTTTTGTGGCAACAAGTCGACCTTCTCTCTCAACATTTCCTCTTCAGTTAATATCATAAGAACGGCATAGACTTTCTCTTGCCAGATCATATCCCAAAAGTCATTTACAGTATCTTTCAAAGGTTTCTGCGTAAGGATGATTTCCTTTTGATCTGGCAAGTTGAGTTTGTTGGCGTGTATAAATCCGCCATTCTGTAATTCCACACGGCTGCAGTCGTTACAATGGATATCTAGAAACATGAGCTTGTATACCATACCATAACCAACCGTCAAATCGACACTTTTCTCCAGCTTTATCAGAAGCAAGGTGTGGTTTTGGTCGCTCGGGAAATGTGAAGAGAGCGGCAACGGTTTCTGCGTTTCGGGAGGTATGATAATTGAGGAATTCGCCGGCTTGTCGATCCTCAGCTCTAATGTTATCTTCTTTCTTCCGTGCTTCTAAACTGACATATAAGATCTATTAATTCCGAGTTACTTGGAGTCTTTGGAGGTCGATGGAATTTTATGTTTTCTTTATGGTCATCTTGCGTAATTTCCGTTTTCTTGACGTCGGCTTTTTGATTCTTGGCATCGTCTACTCTGGTGATTGCGTGTTTTTGCACTGACATGCTGCCCCCGTAAGCGCTTGATACTGTAAAAATTTGGAAAAAAAAGTTATGACGAACCTCCGGTGCTTGTGGCTTTTGTGTCACAGAAAGCGGACCGTCCAGTTTGAGTTGGAGCAGCAAAGGGGGTGGGCTTTTTCTCCGCATAACCTTGATACGGTGAGCCTCCGTAGAAAAAAGAACGGTTGGTCTTTTGGAAATCATGGCTTTGATGCTCATTTTTCTGCATAAAGTCATCCCGCTGAACCTTACCGTCCTGAATGCGGCGCAGTGTGAATTCCAGCGGAATTCGCTGTCTAGTCTGAGATTGGCTTCTTAGAGGGTGTTGGGTTCCTGGAGAGAAACGTCTGTGACGGCCGTCCTGTTTCTGATGAGCTTCGAAGTCCTTAAAAGCGTTATTTTTCATTTGTCATTTACCGAAGCTCGTTTGCGACGTTTTTCTGTGCGGGTCTTGTGCTTCTTCGGCTTCGGTCCAAACCAACTCATTCTTACGACCGAACTCGAGCGAATGACCCAAAAAATTACCTCTCGATTATTTTTCATCAGAATAAATAACGTTTATTATAACAGCGGAAATTTTGAATTGGAAAGAAGTAAATATTATGTCCGCCGGGAAGTGTAATGAACAGGAGGACTGGACCGAGACGGAGTTTCGGGACGGCGTTCAAAGTAACGATCACTCGCATGGGCATAAACTACCCGTTGATCTCGGGGATGACCCGAAGGCGAATCCCGGTCGTGCATAGTCCGTCGAATAATGCCTCCAGAGGAAGAAAAGACGCCTTCGTTACCCACTAAAATACAAAACTTTCCACCGTGCAGAGAAAATCAAATTTATCGTATTTAAAGGACAGACAGAGTAAGTAGTGCAATATTTAGAGCTTAAGGAGTCGAACCTGCCAGTCCTGCTCGTCCACGTCGTCTAGCAAGAGCCTGTCGAAGACCAAACCATCCTGCAAACCAGATCCCGATGCAACACACACACGGCACACATATAACCAACAGGAGCACAATGAAGCCTAAAATCCATCCGACAACACGGCCGGCTTGCCTGGAATCACTGACTGTCAAGAGCGTTGCGCAATACCTACCATCCGTAGTAACTTCCATAGTAGTCGGACTCGTAATACTGTCGTTTAATCCTTGAACTGAGTGTAATATTAGAATAAGACAAGGTGTCATTCATGTCAACATCGTCTAGTTTCTGGGCACTGACGTAAATAACACACACCGAGAGGAGTAAAGCCTTAGAAAATAAGTTTTGAGTACCGCACAACATGCCACAACACAACTGACTGACCGATCCCTTCTACCACATACTGCTGCGAGTTGACGTAATGTACAAGTAAGGGTTTTTAATTGTTCTTGGACGATTTCTCAAGTGGACGACGCGGCTCACTGCGCAAAAAGGGTGGGACAACTCGATTTCCGTTTACATAAAACTTTCTTTGAATCCATTTGTTATTTCGTTTTTATTTTATTTGCTCTCATACGTGAAGGGCCATAATACATGGCGATGATGACCATGACGAAGAAATCATCTACACGCATCCAATTTCAACAAAAGTTATCAAATGCACAGCGAATCCAAGAATTCAGGAAAAAATTTCAAGCATCGATTTCAAATAACTCTAGAGGCATTATCAAGCGGGTGAAGAAACAAGCAATACAATAGCTGATAACAACCCATCTCTCTTCCAGCTTATTCTCCATTTCATTTTTCCGACATTTAGAGTTCTGAATGGTATATTTCCAGCCAATATTTCTATTACTTTCTGGCTTTTTTCTATTTGTAAACGCACATGCCGAGGCAATAGGTGAGCATAGTGAATGTTCTAGTACATATTTTTCAGACTGCCCGTCAAGTAGAAGATTCTACGACAAGGGAAACGATACGTGTATCTGCATTGTTCCCAAGATTGAGGGGAATGAGATAAAGCAATACGTTTACCAGTTGGACAGAATGGCATGTGAGGATGACTTTTGGACCTGGTGGCTTTTCACTTCATGGCCATTCTTTGTAGTCGGCACAGTGCTTTGCATCTTTGCAATCCAATTGTGGATAAAAAAAAATAAAACTCGAAGGGAAAGGGATTCTGACGGGATATCAGAGAATTATCCTCCACCCCCTCAGTACTCAGTGCTCTATTCCGTTCCGGGTTCCGATGAAAAGAACCAGGTGAAGTCGCTCCAAATTAATCAAGATGTTATTCCACCAGCAGATCAACGGAAAATGTTTATCAAAAATTTTTATTCAGAAAGTCAGCATTAAAACAATAAAAACTTTTTGTTAAACAAATGGGCAAACTTAAATATTTGGTGATTTTAGAGGTGTCTCAATAACGTTGAAAAGAGAAGTTTTCTTTCACTTCAAGTGGTAACGGTCCTTGAATTTCAAGGGAAACAGTTGACTCCGAAGGGAAACGAATAAGCCCAGATTTTTTTCATTATTTTCGTATAAAATGTCGCACGAATGCGAATCAAAAGGCCGCAGACCGCGCCATTAAAATAATATATTTATTTTTATTTTTACTCTCTTTGGTCTTTTCATCATCTGGATTGTAATGAGCCTATTTCGTCGTTCTGCGTTACTGCATCCGTCCTTTGGTACTTCATTTCAACTCAGGTGAGAATTTTAAAAGGCGACCTTAATCTTCAGGCCCTTGTCTTTGTCGACGTCGCATCAACTGTATGCTCGAAATACCATTATAAATTTTGTCCCTCAGCAAGAAGCATGGGTTGTAGAGAGAATGGGGCGTTTTTACAAGATCTTGGAACCAGTAGGTGCTTTTTGAACATGCAGTGTATGATATTTAGGGCGTCAACTTCTTGATACCGTTAGTGGATAGCATTAAATATGTTCAAAGTTTGAAAGAAATAGCCATTGAAATTCCTCAACAGGGTGCAATCACATTGGACAATGTCCAGCTGCAACTGGATGGTGTTCTTTACCTCAGAGTTGTTGATGCATACAAGGTAAACACTCTAAAAGAATAATTATTGAATCATTTAGGCTTCTTATGGTGTCGACGACCCCGAATTTGCTGTTACTCAATTAGCTCAAACAACGATGCGATCAGAAGTTGGTAAAATAAGTTTGGATACGGTTTTTAAAGAGAGAGAGCAACTTAACGTCTCCATTGTGGGTAAGTCCTGAAGCTTGTTTTAATTGCTTTTAGAATCGTTGAACAAGGCTGCAGAACCATGGGGGCTGGTCTGTATGAGATACGAGATAAGTGAGTGATTAAATAATTTCTCCGATCTTATTCCTAGGAAATATGACGATGCCTGAAAGAATTCAACAAGCAATGCAAATGCAAGTAGAAGCCGAACGGAAGAAGAGAGCTGCCATTCTTGAGTCAGAAGGAAGTCGTGATGCTGCTATCAATGTTGCTGAGGGAGAAAAGAAAGCCAGAATCCTGGCCTCTGAAGCTTTCCAGCAAGAACAAATCAACCAAGCCGAAGGAAAAGCGAAGGCCATAGAATTAGAAGCTGCTGCTCGACAACGTGGACTGGCTATGGTAGCAGAATCACTGACCAAAAATGGTGGAAGGAATGCCGCCTCTTTGGCGGTGGCCGAGCAATATGTGAAAGCCTTCTCGGGTCTAGCCAAGACTTCGAATACACTTATTGTGCCAGCAAATGCAGCAGATGCCAATTCAATGATTGCTCAGGCTTTGACAATTTATCAGAAAATGGGTAATCAAGTAAACAACAACAGCCAAGAGTCGCAGTAGAATAAAGACATGGGTTAGATACGGACATGGAAGGTGCGGATGAAATCCGGGGATCTTGATACCACATGCTCGAATTCCGCAAATGATATTTGTTCATCACCGTCCAAATCCGCCTCTTCGATTATCTGTAATAGGCATTTTGTTTTTATTTATTCTAGTAAACTTATTTACCCTTTCAATGATGAATTCAATTTCCTCATCAGTCAATTCATCTCGAGTGAGAGAGCGAATCATTTTGCTAATGTCGTCATGGCCAAGCTGTTCGTCTCCGTCATCGTCGTAAATGCGAAACGCATATTTTAGTTTTAATTGTAATGGAGCATTCTCGCTGAACACGCTGAACATATCCAAAAAATCATCAAAACTGAGATTGCCGCTTCCGTCTTCGGAAAACACCTGACAGATCCGCCTTTTAAAGGGATTTTCCTAAAGGATTTTAAAAATCAAGGTGATTTATTACTTTTAGTTCCGGCATTTTTTCGACTTCCTCAAAAGTAAGGTGGATCATGGATGTTCTAGTTCCTTGCATGTTGGTCGGTATCTTCACCGGATTCAGAGCGTAGAATCTTTTATAAAGCCGAAGGATATCCTTCTTTGTAAAGAAAGTGCAGTCCTAAACAATCAGTTGATGGCCCATGACTAACCTTACCTGATACTCATCTAATTGTTGAGAAGTAAATACGCCGCCCTTTGAGAAGAGATTCAAATCGCTTAAGGAGCTTGTTGAATTCCCCATTGCGTATATTACAGCTCCAAACGGCCGGTCAGTTTAATACGAGTCAAACGAGGCGGGAGAGAAAGCGAAAGGCCGGAACCGAAAGAATGGCCAGATACGAGCGGCCGCTGTTTTGTCTTTTAGTGTTATGAAGAATGCCATTGGGACAGAATTGATTTCTTCATTGCTATAACAAAAACAACTCAACAACCTAAGAAATTCGTGGATATAACATTGGCTAATACGACCATTTCATTAATTTTTCAATGTCATCTCCATTCCTGACTGCCCTTTTTGACAATATCTCAATGCCAGTATCAGTTAGGAGTACGTCATCTTCGATTCTGAAGCCAATGTCGGCGAATTGTGGATTAATTAAGGTCTCGGTCATCTTCCGGTCGACATAAATTCCTGAAATTGAAAGAACAATAAGTTTGGTGACAGTGGTAAACATTAGAAACTCCAAATAAACAAATGTAAGAAATATTTCAGTAATTCAACCTCTTCGCATGAGACAGTATAATTACACTCTTCTTGTAAACATACCAGGTTCTATTGTAAAAACGACTCCTGGCGGCATCTCAATAGAACGGGATACTGTAGGTGTGTCATGCACATCCATGCCTAAGTAATGGGAGACATGGTGTTCGCAGAGTTTGTAACAGGCCTCGATTATTTCTTCGTCTGAAATCCCCTTTTTGAAAAAGAACATCGATTTGAGAATCGTGGCCATAGCACCAAGCATATGAAGATATAATCCGCTCAATTTCAATGGACGAACATTCTGCGCGTATTCCAAACATTCTTCATGGACCTCGCTCAATGCTTCGTATAGCTCTCGTTGTGCTGGCGTAAAAGTTCCGGACACAGGAAAGCAGCGTGTGATATCAGAAACGTATCCATGATAATCAGCTCCCGCATCAACGAGCACGCAATCATCGTTATGAATGGTCTGTAAGTGTTACATAAACTTCTTGCTTTTCATATTACCTTATTAGAATCGATGTAATGGATAGTGTTTGCTCGTTTTCCTGCAGCTACAACTGGAGAGTATGCTTGGCAATTCGCTCCTCTTCTGCGCATCTCATACTCCAGAAATCCAACAATATGACTCTCTTGATTCACGTTTTTCTGGGTCTCCAACATCGCATTGTGAGCTTCACTTCCAATTCTGGCGGCAGTACGAAGATGTTCAATCTCAGCGGGCGACTTTCGCCATCTTAGATGATCAATCTCATTTAAAAGAACCAATCGTTTCCCTCTAAAGCCAGATCGCAATTTTACAACAGATTCGTCTTCATCTAATCCACGATCGTCAAAAGCAAATGAATTGGATGGTTGGAGATTAGTTATGAGGAATCTGGGTAGTTCGGTTAAAGGCAAAACATCATCCAACCCGGACATCTTCTTCAACGTATCGACATCCGGTGAATCTCCATCCCACAATCTTTCTTTATCACTTTTGAAGTGGATGAACAAGGTTGAGGCCTTGTCGGTTATCACCAACTTTGAATTCGGTTGTAGAGCCCCAGCTAAATATCGGAAACTTGAACATTGACGAAAAGGGCTAGGAACATCTGGAGCACAGTAAGTCTTCTTAAAACCATTTAGATAAACGACTGGATGTGGGTGATGCAATTTCAACCTTTCCAGAAGCCGAAGACGTCGAACTATATACTCCGACCCTTGAATGGGTAAAAGATCTTGGTAATTAAGTCTTTTCAACCCATTCATTCCTTAATTAAAAAATTAATAATTTCGTCTTGCATCACATGAAGCAATAAGGGAAATCCCACCGGAACCGTTAAGAAGGAGTTCAACTATTACAAACATTACTACCCTATCTTTATTCGAACAGACAACAAAAAATATTTATAATCTAACGTTGATGCCCCCTGTAACAGGACAGTTCTCACCAGAAATATATCTAGCGCGATCTGAGACCAAGAATTCAATTAATCCAGCACAATCCTTAGGTTGAGCCAATCGTCCAAGAGGGATCAGATTCTCCAAGGAATTCTTGGCAGTTTCGTCGTCTGTATTCCATACAGAACCGGTCTCATCGTCCTTAAACATCCCGAGAACAACAGAATTAACTCTAACATTCTCTTTAGCCATATCCACAGCTAACGCTTTAGTTAATCCAAGAACTGCCGTTTGGACTGTGCTGTATAGGCCGAGATCGATGAATGAAGTGTAACCAGCCATCGACGAAAGGAATATTACAGAGCCATTTCTACGATCATAATTAAAAAAATGTGTACTACGTACTTTGATTTTTGAAGTAATGGATACGCAGAAGACGCAAGAAGGAATGGGATGGTCAGATACTGAGAGAACACCTAAAACGGAATGATTTATAAATATGAAAATAAAAACCTGATCAAATTGTAGCTTCGAACTGTTTATGATATCTCCAGTCACTTCGTTTCTCCCCGGGTTCAGCACTACACAGTCGAGTCCTTTGTATTTGTTTTGAATCTAAAAATAAACCCATATTTCCACAAGTACTGACTTCTTCAACCAATTGTTTCCGATGACTTTCTATGGACGGATCAAATACTGCACCACATGCAATCACACCTTTATCACCAAGATCGGAAACCGTCTGCTCCAACGTTTGTTGACTTGAGCCAGTTAAGAAAATCTTAGCCCCTGCAAGGCCAAGTCTCCGACTAATGGCCTTCCCTATAGTATCTGTCCCATTGACAACCAACGCCGTTTTCCCATACAAGCCCCCACTCATTAATACTATTCAATTCATTCAACACCTTCAGATTTACAAAGTTTGATCAATTTTGCGAAAATATTTTTTGTGTCAACTGTTACTCATTGGGTTAAGTCTTGCGTATAAAAACAAAATAATCAGTCCGCAGCAGGGGTGGTCAGTGGGCCGGGCTCAAAAATGGAAAATTACAAACGGGCCGGGCCCGTCACGGGCCGGGCCGCGGGCCTGGGGTTTTTTCCGGCCCGGCCCGGCCCGTCTAAATTACAATGCCAAACCGTTGGCATTCATTGTTTTCGCGCCGGGAAAATTAATTGATGTTGTTATAGTTGCTGTTTCTCAAGTTCTAAAACGTTTACAAGTCTATAGTTCCATTATAAAACCACAAAACTATCACATTGATCCTTTACTAGCTATATCAACGCCTTTTTTGCCTAAGTTTAGATCCCAAGCTTGGGCGCAGTTCGCAGAACCCTCTATAAACGGGCCTGCACGGGCCGGGCCGGGCCAGGCCCGTCACGGGCCGGGCCGGGCCTGGAAAAAGACTAGACGGGCCGGGCCGGGCCGGTAATTAGACGGGCCGGGCCGCGGGCCGAAAATCGGAAAAATAGGGTTCGCTGACCACCCCTGGTCCGCAGCGGTTTCACATAACAGAAAAGCGGTAAATTTACGTATGTATGTTGGGGATATCGTACCAGAATCAAAAATCAAAATGGCAACTTGATATGAAGAAGTTAGATATGGATATTTTGGGATTGCAGTCTTAAAGTATCCGTCTTCCACAAATCAAACAGAAAAACAGTATAAAATCATACTCCGAGTGACACTTATTTGTTACCTTAGGTGTTTTATATCATAAACTCGTTTCCCCCCATTGCTCACAACGAAAAAAACCAGAAGCGAACGGCATTCAAAGAAAAATTACCACCACTTATCATCGGCGTCGATTCCGGATTTGGGGATCCAATAGATGGTGTTTATTGCAGTCATAGTTATTTCTTCGAACAATGTTTTTTTGAATTTTATGTCCATTTAGTGTTGTTTTTGACGAAAGTCGTCTGTCCAGTCTTTTCGTTTTACCGCGGTAGTTTACCGTCTCTTCTGCATGGACAATTGATTTCGGGCAATTCTTTGAGTGAATCTTTTTGCATTGTAAGGGGTTTTTGGTGATCCGCCTTCCCAATCCTCTTCAGTAGAGCGTGAACACCGTTTGTGGTTTTCTTCTTCTGACGGCGAGTGAGCAATAATTAGCGTATATTACTATATCCTTGGTCCGGGTTTGTTTGCTTTTTCTATCTTCAATTCCAGTGATGAGAAATAAACATCATTACGTGTTTCTGGTGGTATTGGCATCTTTTTATGTGGTCTCATCACGTAAGATTTATGTTTTAAATCGATGACTTAAATCTAATTATATGCAGAGCAATGCGAACGGACACCAGTAAAAGTTTTGGTCGTATTTGACATTACTTTGGGCGATGGGAAGGTGTTTTCTTCCAAAAAAGGTATCACAGAAGAGGTTTTACGTCACATAGATGCCGTGGGAAAGGGTCGCGAGATTAATTACGGATTCATTGCATATCATTCACATGCAGTTGTGCTGTCATCCCTAAAGTCCAACAAAAGCAAATCCTTGGATGTTGTATGTGAGGATGCCCAATATGTCAATTTTAGATTATTTCCCATATTAATGGTATCAGACCTCGGCCGGGTTTCAAGAGTTCTGTAGGTAACAGCATTAACGCAGCTGTGGACCATATTGCGCAACAAACAAACATCGGCGGCCACAATATCATCATTCTGGTATCGAATGGTGATGAAAGCGAGGAGGTGGACAATCTTGTTATGGCTGTGTAAGATTACAGAAAATTATGACACACCCCTTTAGAAAGAGACTGTGGTCGTTGAATATTGAGCTGTTTGCCATTACTGATCCGTCGTCTCTCTATTTGTCAACATTACTCGCCAAGAATCGGAAGAATGTTTTCTCTGCGCCCTCTGATTTCCCGCATCTTCTGAAAGCGATAGATTCTTCAATCAAAACTTGTCTTGAGGATGTACAACCAAATGGGCTTCAAAGGATTCCTTATTTTGAAACAAGTGCTCCCCTCCGATCCAAATTATTACCCGAAAGTTATGGCGCTCATTGTGGCCCAGAACTTAAAGTCACATTTTTAAATATTCTAGGAAATGCCAAAGACAAAGTGTCCACTTTCTTCACCGATTTCCTTGGCAATCGAGGTGTAAATGTAGGGGTGACTAAAAACATCATGAATTGTTTAGATCGTGACAGTCAGTTCTGCTTCCGAAAGCATTGCGCACATAATACAAGATGAAGTGGACCATCTAAAAGAATGGAAGGGACAAAAAATATTGATAATCTTTAATCAGAAGACGACCCGCTCTTCTTGGGGTGAGATATTGGAGACGTATCACGCTCTCGAGGCGAATAACATTTTGACGATCATCGGAAACCCGTATAGATCTCTGGAAAATGAAATGAAGATTTATGCTGGCAAAAAAGGCTTCGTTATTTTCGAAACTGAGAAGTAAGCAGTAAAAAATTAATTACAATTTCATCAGATTCCTCTCAACTGTAGTCGGATACACGGAAAAATGCGCAAAAAACAAAAATTCAGCAGGTTCCAAAAACGGCAATGACAACAGGTTTACAAAACAAGCTACCTCTACAACTACAGTGACTGCGATACCTAAAGCAACAGCAGAACTTTCAACATCAACCCTTGTGACTAATCGAGAAACTACGACGATTACGCAGGCCTTAGAAGTGCAAGGTTCTACTATAAGTTCTGCCGTCAGTAGTACTGAAGAAGACTTGGGGTTTGATGACATTCAGGAATGTAATCACGGTGAGTGTCACATTGCTGCCTACCTATCGTGATTTTTCTCAGAAACCGATATCCTTGTTCTACTGGACCCGAATATAAATAGTATCGCGGAATTTGAGAAAAGGCGGAACATTTTATTGGAGTTGACCATCTCATTGCCAAAAAGATTTAAATTGGCGATTTCAAATCTGGACAAAGGATTTACCAACGGCAAAGAGCTTCTGTTGTCATACATTAGCGGCTTAAAATTGGAAGAAGTGAAGAACTCAGATCCCATCACTTTGCTGGGTCAATTACCCGATTCGTCGTCAGTTATCTACATCGATGGATCGGATCAGAGTTTATTGACCTCTGGGTTCAATCGATTTGCGGATTTCGCCGTGATAACTTCAAAAAAACGTGTCCAGTTGTTTCAAGAAAAGTACAAAACGTTCCAATTCGACCTTATAGATGTATGCTGAAAATTTTTGATACTTATTCTAGCTGTCTTTTAGGCATCTGGACCTAGATTTTACACCTGGGCGTTTCGCTGTATGGTCGCTTTAAAAAAACCGGAAAATGTGGAGGTCAAGAGACAAATCAAGAGTGCTGACAATTCAAACAACATCACGCCTGACTCCCACAACTCTAGTCCTGCAGAAATTGAGCTTTTTATTGATAGTAATAACGATACAGAATGTCGCACAGATGTCATCTTTGTGTTAGATACATCTCAGAGTGTGGAAGCCCGGTTTCAAGATCAACTTCAAGTTATTGCCGATTTTGTAAGCAACTTTGTGCTGCTTTATGGAAAAATTACAAGTTGTGCACTTGATTTTTTTAGATTGCCAGTGCGCCGCAGTCAGACTTTGAAAGTAGAGTCAAAGTAGGGCTCGTTACTTTCAACAATGAGGCCAAGACCATACTGGATTTATCTCAGTTCAGAACAAAGGAGGTCATTGTGAATACTGTGTTGAGTATCGAGCATACTGGAGGCCCCACTTCTTTAGTAAAAGGAGTCGAAGAAGTTCTCAATCTAATCAAATTAACGCAAGATTTGGCACGCAGATTGACGATAGTACTTGTGTCTGATGGCAATAGCCAAGATGAATGGAGTAAAGTGTTATCTACTTCAAATTCCCTCCGTCAGATAAAGGGAGAGGTATTTACCGTTGCAGTAAGCAACGATTACTTCTTACGGTGGGTAATTTTAACAGAAATACTTCTTTGGATTTAAAACTCTTCCTTTAAATGAAAATAACTGTATGCTTCGTTTAGAGAACTCGAACTGTACGCGGGGAATAAAGACAGGGTTTACGTGGAAGGGCGATTACCTCAATTCTTATCCGCCCTCAAGGGCTCATCTATTATATGTGAATCGAAGAAGGAAAACATTATTCCACAAAATATTGCCTCTAAATGTAATGGTGACCCTATTGATTTAGTTTTTATTGTGGACACGGCATCAACCGATTTTCTTTCTCTGAAGAATTCAATTAAAGAATTGATCAACAGCATTGAAGGAGTCGGAGTAAGTACCTGCCAGAAAAGTAATCTTTTCTTTTTACAGTCAAGGATTCGCATTGCTCTCTCAAAGGCGGACAGAGAAACTGGGCTGGTCCTTGGATTTCGAGAAGGGATCACAAATTCTGACGTCACCTTCGAAATCGAGAAATTGTCTCCGTCATTACAGACTTCACTTGTATCTGCCGTTAACTTGGCAGTTAACGAGTTACTTCGATCCAAACGAGGCGCACGAAAGATAGTCATCGTTGTATCAAATGGCAGTAGCATCGATCAAGAAAGCGAAGTGACAACAACGTCTATGAGACTTAAAGATATCTCAGACAAAATATACGTATATAATCCTGATGGAAAAGTAGATCTATTAAAGTCCTACATCAACCAACCAGAGGGACTTGTAACCTCAATAAATCGGGTCAAGACGGTAAGCCCTAAAAAAAGTATTAATTTTTTCAGGAACTTCAAAAAGATTTGCAGTGTAAAGAAAGGTAAGAAAATCATCGATATTAATGAAATAAATGTAGTGTGAAAGCCAAACCAAGTGAGGACACCTCCCCCGAACTCGAATCCAAAGACATAGTTATACCGTTAACAGAAAAACCAATATTTGAACATAACGAGTAAGTATTTTACCGTGAATATTGCTTGTACCTTTATGTCATCAAAAGACTGCGATTTAGGTGTGCCAAAAACAAGATGGATTTGATTGTAATTCTCGACGCCTCCACCTCTCGGGAGAATGTGTTTGAACATCAGAGAGAACTAGCTCTCAGTCTCATAGAAAGACTTCCTATATCCAAGTTCGACACACATGTTGCCACAGGAATTAACAGCTTCAACGAAGAAGCAACACTTGGGCAAACTTTATCTTTTGGTCGGGATCGTGACGTAAGATGCCTAAACCCAAATTCTATAATTACATCCAGATGGTCCGCCAATCTATCGAACAGATCAATTATGTTGGAGGAAGCACATATACCTCGAAAGCTGTCAATCTTGCCATCGATGACCTTGAACGGAATGGGCGTAAGGATGCAACGAAGGTGATCGTGTTGATGAATGATGGCATGTCTCAGGATCCATGGGAATTAGTTGTCCAGACCAGTAAAAGACTCGCCGAATCCGGGGCTGTTCGGTTTGGAGTGGCGTTGGGGCAGGAGGTGGATTTGAGGGAATTACAACTCTATGCGGGCGGCTTAGACCGAATTTATAGAGATGGATCAACTGAAAAGTATGTTGCGTAACGTCCTAAAAACCATTTAAAGATTCCTTCATGATGTTGTCAGCCTTCTAAATAAAACAAATTGTGGACTCCAGCAAGACCCATCTTCAATTACTGAACTCTCCGAAAATGAATTACTTACGAACACTCAGTCATGTCAAAGAGACATCGATATTGTAATCTTTCTGGACAATTCGGGCGGTCGTCTAAACACAACCAGATATCTAGCCCTGGATATTATTGGTCAGCTACAACCTATTATTACGTAGAATTATATTTTTTTTAGGTTCATTGCCAATGAATGACCACGTGAAGGTGTCTTTGGTATCTTTTGCTGGCAAGCCAATTATCGTTCATGGCTTGAAAGATGATAACTCTAAGAACAATCTATTCAAAATCGTGGATCAGCTACGAACTGGCGTCGGAGACCCCAATTATGTGGCGGCGCTGGAAAGGGGACTCGAATATTTTAAAGCGAATCGGAGGCCAGATGTTCCTGGCTTATTCTTGATTATTGGGGACGGGAACGCGACCAATCAAGAAGCCGAGTTGCAGAGCCTTCAAATCCGGCTCAAAGCGGTAAATAAAATAAATCACTTTAATTGCATGATCTGCAAGGTATACAAGGATTATTTTCAGTCGCCTGATCTTTCTGTGATATCAGTAAGTAATGAGGAGCATGTAAATACAAAGAAGTTGGAGTATCTGACGGGATCAGAGGACAGAATATTCTCATTTAAACAGAATTCAAATTTTACAACGGAGCTTATGAAGATTACCAAGGGCTTAAATTGCGACAAAGCCAAGTCAACCTTGTTATCGGATACGTTAGAAGGATCCGGTTTAGAAGAACAAGAGCTTCAACAAGATGCGGCACTGCTGACAGAAGATCCGTTTGGAGATTCAAAGATTTATGACAAGAAAGGCAAACCTGACATTACAGGTCTTCAAGTTTTGAAGCAACCCATAAAACCAAAATTTGAGGATCCTATGACGAAACATGCTGTCACGGTGAGTGTAATTGGAAAATATTTTTTGCTTTTAACACTAAAAAACCCGTTCTTGCCAAATCAGGGTCCAGGTAGTATGGGAAGTATGACATAGTATTGTAAAAAAATTTTAATTTTTGAAATGTTTAAAATTTGTAGGATTTTCGACCATAAAAAATCCAAAAATGAGACCTGTTTTGCTCAAAAGTAGATATTATACTCCCGGACATAAATTTTTGACCACCCATATCTTAAGTGAATATAACTGAATCATTTTGAAATTTGGCATGTGTACTAGTCATGACAGGCAGAATCTGTCACGGAAAACTGTTTTTCGTTTCTATGTCCTTAGGCAAGTTATGCAAATTTTATAAAAATAGGTGGATAAAACTTTCCGATCACTTAAAGTAATTAAAGTTTTCTCGGTCACTTTGAGTAGGCGACATGGTTCAGTTGTCTCACAACACTATTTAAGAACCTACAAGGACGGTAAGTATACTATTTAACATCAAGTTAGGCGTGTGCCCTCAAGAAACTCGTATCGTTGCAGCGCCCTTTTTCGTGTTAAAATCATGCTTTAAATGACAACGCCGATTTTTTTGTTTTAGAAAAGGTATTAAGGGACTCATTGGAGTTAGTAATGCATGATCTTAATATCCTGCGATGTGCAGTATGCCACTAATGCCTTAAACAAATCACTTGGGAATAATTTAAAAAATTATCTCTAAATAATTAATCATAACTGCAGGCGTTTTTATTAAATCTGGCTGAAAATTATCTACAGTACTCTTTGATAAATACGTAGTAAAGAACGCAGGGTTACAGGATCCCGCAATTTTTTATCTCCCGCGGGACATCCGTGTTTCTTCTAGCTGCCCGCAGTGTGTCATTTTGAAAAATTCTGTCAAATTAACAGCCCTACTTTTAACAGTACTACCTAGAAAGGAAGTACTTCTATGTGGTATGGACAGGTCGCGATATATACTAAAAAATCGCAAAATTTTTCTGATTCAGAACGTAGTAAGTATTGTTAAGTAATAATTTTAAAATTTTTTTCTACAAATACTTGATACCCAAACTAACTGTCCCTGACCCGAAGCGTCGCGACGCGTCAGTTAGTACTATATAGTACAATAAAGAGAAAAACTTAACATGTGTTTCGAAATCAGCACCCTCGAAAACTCCTCAATCGAATATTTTTAAAAACCCGACTTTTCGGGTCGACGACAGTTCGGGTCAACACAAATATGGGGGCGTACCCGAACCCGGCCTCTCGGGTATTTGGGTATATCCCGGGAATATACCCCGGGAGTATACCAAGTCCGAACCCTACCCAGAGTTATTGAAACATATAAGGCGCGTGCGTTCTACTTCTCTTCGGACTTCCTCGCAGAAAACCCGAATTTCTTGTCTGTGGGCCCGCTAGACAAGAAACGCGCAATTCTTGTCTAAAATTGCGTAACATTGCGCAATATTGCGCAATTTTCTGCTCTCTCCCCGTGAAGATTTTTTTCTTTTTTTCTCTGCTCAGCCAAGAATTGCACATTTCTTGTCTAGCGGGCCCACAGACAAGAAATGCGGGTTTTCTGCGAGGAAGTCCGAAGAGAAGTAGAACGCACGCGCCTTATATAAAGGACAGAGACCCCCGAATCGGGGGTCTCCTTCGACGCGGGGTCTCTTTCGAAGGAAACCAAGTTTTGAAATATTTTTACATTTTCCGAATCAAAAAAATTTTGTGATTTTTTTTCTCAGAAGTACTTTTCTCGTTAAGAAAAAAGTAAGATCAGAAAAGATGAACATCAGCATGCTCCAAAATCCCTAAATTAAAGAAACAAAAAACTCAGCGGTCATTATTTGGGTCATTATCGATGACTTTCAATGGGCTCATCCAAACTTACACCACCCAACTATGCGTCACGGATTATTTCTCGACGCCCTCTCAGATACCTTTTTTGAACCTTTTTGTATAACTACAGTAGCCCATTTTCACTTCAATCAAGTAACATAAATGCAAGCCGACCGATTCTTGTGCTTTTGGAATGGCTTTGTAATTTGAAACTAGTAATTTTTAACGTGACTTGCCGTATCACTGTAAGATATTGTACTTGAAAGATGTGCGAAATCAAATTAAACCACTATTTTATACGAAATCAGGAGGAACTAGACTGCCTGTACCGCAGTTCGGCTCAAACGGGTTTTTGGGGGTTAACACGTTTATATTAATTTTATGTTTAAAGTATTTGTATATTTTTCAAAATCAGACTACTCTCCCAACCGAGCCAACATCAACATTTTCTTCTCCTCTCAACCAGGGAGAATGTGCCTATGATGTGCTTTTACTCATCGACTCATCTGGATCGGTTGTTGAGACGTTTGAAAGAGAAAAGAGACTGGCCTTGGACATTCTAGGCCATCTGCCTATTAGTCCGATGAATGTTCGGGTTGCTATTATTAAATTCTCTTCCCCGTCCAAAGTCCGGACGTTGCATGGCTTTAACTCTGTACAGACTAAAGCTCATGTTCTTAAAAAACTGGAAACGATTCGAATGAGTAGTGGTACCACCGCGATTCATAGTGCACTGCAGCATGCCGTAAATGAATATTCCACATCGAACGGAGCCCGATCCACTAAAGCGACGCCTTTAGTCATCGTTTTTACTGATGGATTCGGAAATAAAGACTTTCTGAAAGAAGCCACCGCTCTCCGCAGTCAAGTGCCAGATTTGTTTGCCGTTGCTATTAACCATGAGGTCAGTTAGGGATGTAATCTTACTCTTGTTTTCAGTTCCCCATTAGTCGGCGCGGATTAGTTGCCATTACCGGAAGCACCAATAAAGTGTTTACAGAGAAGAGTATCGATAAACTCCATTCCCTGCTTCGGCTAAAGTTGAAATATTGCTGGTTATGATCTATTATTTTATAGGATTTTTAAAATAAATTATATGCTCAAATGAAGCCTCAATCTGTGCAAGGTCAGGACACTAACGATCGAAGGGTCAAAAGCTCTCTTATGAGCATTTTATTGTTATCGGAATAAGTGAGCAAACAATGCGACGTACTCTTAATTTTGACAGGTGCTTTACATCTAGAAATGATGGGTTACTGTGGGGGAGTAATAAATTTTGGCTTTCATACTTAATCGATAAAGAAAAGATGTTCTGAGAGAGGGAGACGGACTCCATTAAGGGTGGTATAACGCCCAGGAGTTGAGTCTGTGGCCCTTTGTCCCTTTCCTCGATTTCCAGCTGAGTAAGCGCACTCGAATTTATATTCATTGCGCAACTCCCGCGCCTTAATTGTGCCGTCCGCCGCTCCTCTCCTATACCTCGACCGCCATCCATTTTTTTCACTATTAAACCATAATACAAAAAGAGAGACAAAGCGCATTGGATCCTGAAGGACGGAAAAGAGTAGTAATTCCCATTCTGTGTGTGTTTGATAATTACCGGGGTTGATTCGGACGGCCCCGGCGAAGGTCGACGAGATCCTCCATTAGATTTACTGGAGGGCGTGTTTTACGGCTGTTCTATTGCATGGCCAGGAGACATCTGGCGAGCGGCTCTTATCATTTCCCGCCATCAGTTTTCAGTTCTTTCGGCTCCTGTTTCCGCCACTATCGCTCGCGTATCTGCGCGGGATTGCATAAAAATATAAAATGGGTTTCGAAATAGATCTGGAGGTTCGGTTCTTCAATGGCCTTGGGCGTTTGACTGGCGGGTTCTGTTTGTTTCCATGTCGCGCCATTGTTATTACCTTGGGAAATTTCCCCGTGTGTTTCTTATTCCCAGAGGCTAATTTACCGCGGGTGACTTACATCCTTCAGAGTAGGCCAAAGAATAAACAATGTCATGGTCATTCTTTATTTAAAAGTCCCACAAGCCTTCCGCCCGGCTTGTGGCCGCCGCGGTGTCGACTCTTGGCCGTTGGTGCCACTTCGTGCAGAGTGCAGCCATGCCGAATGAGAGGCGAAAACCGGACAATACTCTGGGCCAAAGAAGGACTTTCATTTTCCGAAAAAGTGTTCTTATGGCTTGCGTTGCCCGAAAATAATTGGATTTGAGTCTCATTGCCACTCCCGTAATCAGATTTTGCCCTGGCGCCAACGATGACGATTGTAAAATTTACCCTCCAGTAATCTTCATTACGTGTTCATTAAGCGAAAAATACTCCTTTTTTCCGAGAGAACTCTCAACGAGATCTTGAGAAGTGTTACCTCGCTTCTCTCTAAAGGACAGGGAGAGGTCGAGGGTCGGGTGGGCCGGTTGGGTGAGTCGTCTGCATTCCCACTCAAATCCAGCCGGCTTTTACGTTGGCTTTATGGGGCCTAGTTTTAATCGAATATGGCCTGCGCAAGGGGCAACAGTTCATTCTGATCTCAATTAACTTCCGTGGGGTGAGGTCAGAGGGTTTACTGCGCGGAAGTGGAACGGAGCGTGGATGTGAGGGATATTGTTTGCGGAGGGATGAATACATCGACCGCCGATTATGGATCGGAAAGGAGAGAGCGAGGGTAGGGAGGAGAATCGAGGAAAAAGCCAGGTGTGGCGATACACCGTGCGGCGTCGACCTTACCTAGTTCGTGTTTATGCGAGGAGTCCGGGAGAAAGGAAAATTGAAGAGGAAGGCGCGACTGGATGTGTCTCGACCATCAGAGGCAGATGTACAATGGCAGCTGTGACCACATCTGGTGGCACGGTTTGAGTAAAAACTCACACCTTGTTTGGAAAAAATATGTGTTCGTTTCCAGAAATCCCATTATTATTAATATTATTTTGCTTATCCCGTCACTTCTTGTATTTGGACCTGGTTCTTTCTATTTTGGGAAGCCTGGACGATTTCGTTGGTCTTTCCCGCCATGATATTTGTTTTAGAAGGTGAACCACACTTTCCTTTCCATTCCCGGATTTTTGGCTTTTTCGGGGTTTGTGCCTGTTTTAAATATAAATTATTACAGAAGGACAAGAAGAACAATCGTTGCGGGTTCGTCGAAAAGATCTTCGAGTCTCCGCAAACGTTCACTGCCGGCCATTTCTCTCGAACGACCCTCCACCACAAAGTAAAGTGGGGGAGTGAAAAGACGAACTTAATTGAAGCCGTTTCCACAATCATGTTTGAAGACATCGGTTCCGGAGTTAGTTGGCATTCGTTTTTTCCTTTTGGCCTTCTGCAGTGACCACAGGCCGCTTCCCTTTATCCAATTTTCATGCTTCGGGTTTTTTCCTAATGAGATTCGAGGGCGGCGGAAGTGGCGCGTACACAGCGGGTTATCCATCAGGAAGAGGGCGTTTGCGCGGCCTGGGATTTGGTTTAAGCGGCAACAGCTGCATAGCCTTCTTTCCTCATTTTCCTTTCGCTGCGCGATTGGGCCTAAGAACAGGGCGCAATCTAGCAGGTGGGGACGGGGCGGAGGGCGAAAAGATGCTGCTTCAGTCCCCACCTCCTTTTCTTCTCGGAGAGGGTGCCTCGAACATTTGCCGATCTCATGTTTTATACGCGCGCGTGTCCGTCCATGTCCTTTCCGATCGACCTTATCTGTAGCGCGTGTAGATCTTTATCAGCCTTACTTTCGTTCTCGTCGTGCAATTACCGCAAAACCTTAATTTAAAATGTAAGGTTAATCCCCGTATTTTAGGTCTCATGGCTGGAGAAACATTATCACTAACCACCACACATCCTTTTTACCATGATTCTAACAATGGTCAGAACTTCACAAAGACGCCAGGAGCATGGTTTTTTGAAGTTGGACCTGACTATCCATGCGAGAATTCCTCTTCGGGGTCGACGAATGGCGAGTTATCCCCTGGTCTTAATGATTACAACGACGAATTCACTTTCAACCAAATGCGTGCATCCATTAAGAATGTTACCGAGACTGTTGAAGTGCCAAGTTCAGAACATGTGGCGGAGATAGTTGGTCGGCAAGGTGAGACTTTAATTTTTTGTTTGTGGTCGACGTTTGCAGAAGGGCTGATCGCTGCAATCGGATGCTTGAGTCGAATATTAGAGAAAGACTCTTGGGCCCTTCTCGTCATTTTTTTTTGGGTATTATTTGTTTATCTGAATATTCACTTCATCCTTCTTTCTAGGGTGCAAGATCAAAGCTTTGCGAGCAAAAACAAACACCTATATTAAGACCCCAGTCAGAGGTGAAGAGCCTGTTTTTGTTGTTACTGGTCGAGAAGAAGATGTCATCGAGGCAAAGCGAGAAATTGAATGTGCGGCTGAGCATTTCACCCAGATAAGAGCCTCCCGTCGGCATAGCCAAGGAGGATCTCCAGCTCCAGGTCATGTGACTGCCTATGTTAGAGTTCCCTTGAGAGTTGTCGGATTGGTGGTAGGTCCAAAAGGCGCTACCATCAAGAGAATTCAACAAGACACCCATACCTACATCATCACTCCGTCCAGAGAACGGGAGCCTATATTTGAAGTTACTGGACTCCCTCAAAACGTCGATGCTGCTAGAAGGGAAATCGAACAACATATTTACCAGCGGACCGGAAACATGCCTATAACCAATCCTAACGCTTCGATTCAATCGTTCGACTTCCAAGCGGCTGCAGCTGCCGCATGCCGATCATCAACTCAAATTGTTCCAACCAATAGACCTAATTATGGAGCTTTGGCAGCGGGAACCCATGAGATGCGAAAGGCGTTGGCATTGGAACAACTGATGATTGCATCCAAGGCAGCTCAGGAATCTTACGCAAGTGGGGATATGCATTCGTTGGCTGAAGCTAAGCAATCTTATTCTCACGCCATGAAACTTCTGAACCAATCTTTGAATGCCCAAGCTGCCGCAGCCACCCAACTAGGGGTAGCCCCTCCAGCACCCTTGCAGATACCTGAATGTCCACTCACTTTCTCAGACCGGAGTAACTCTCCGTATGAGAAGTCACCCCAGAATATTTTGACCAGCGCATCTGAGCCAGCAGCTTTCAACTCAACGTCGTCGGCTCCTAATAGCACCCGTGGGTCGTCCCCAGCGGCTCCCAATACCGCTGGTTCTCAAGCATCTCTAAATAGTAAGCTTGTTGTGGGTTGATCAATCGTAATCTATACAAATCGGATCTCAATAATTCTACTTTCAGATAATTCTTATAATACATGGTCGTGTTCAGAAGCGGGCTCGTTTGGCTATGGGTTCAATACCGGGACGTCGGATCAGTCCATCAATGCCTTAATGCACTTGTTTAACAACAGCTGTGGATTGAGTTCATCGAGTTCTGGATCCAGAGACGAAGGCATCGGTGATTCTCCAACCTCATCGTAAGTCATCAGATTTAGCTGGGCAATGATTGAGTTGTTCTAGATTGGGGATATTGAACGGGGATCCGTATCACTTGATGATGTCCAGCATATGGAGCGACCTCGATCCTCATCAACCTCCGTTTAATGCTGATGTAAAGGTTGATTCCATGGCCAGTGCATAATTTTCAGCTTTCCATTTTCTAACGTATTTTTTATATTAATTCAGTTTGTGATTTATATTATTACTACAGTTTATTTATTTCCTCTATTTATTTAATTAATTAGATTTTATTGTTGTTTCTACTGACCTCACCGATCTTGTTGTTAAATGCAGGTCTCTGGGCGTGTTCATATCGTTGTAACCTCATTGAACGCCTGTCTAATAATTCTATTAACCATTTTTATTGTCACCGTCGAGGAAAGATATCCGAAATTTTTATGTTTTCCTACACAAATCTCTTACACCCGCGAAACGAGTAGAAGAACTGGATGCTTTATATTATACTTGGAAAGCTTGGTTGGTATTAGATACTAAGCCATCGCTCAAGCTCCGAGTTGAGTCTAAACTTTAACCGTCTTTTTTATCATTCCAGATGTTTATCGGCTTTTTATTTTATTTATATTCAAAAGATTTATTTTATCACAATTTTATCGAATAAATTGGTTATAATTTAATGACATGGCTCGCCAGCCAGCTGTAAAAGTGTGTCATAACAGCTGGAAGGGCTTTATGGCGTGAAATGCGGAGTTATTTGGGCCGGCCATCTGCGGGAGCAGAGATAAAGAGAAGCCGATCCTAGTTGGTGAAATCAACCTTATCGTATGCCACATTAGTGCATCCAGGGAGCGTGTCCTCGGAGCGAGAGGCCGCGACTTCACAGTCCTTTCCATCCTCTGGGAACGATTTCTGCGCACAATTGTTCAATTAGCCCTGGAGGCATATAGTATTGCTCATTGTGCCGTTTGTTCCTCTCTGGTTACCCCATTCCTGACGCGGTTTGGGCAAAGAAAAAGGCTTAGAATAAACAATCTTCCCGGTCCGGCTCTATTAGAACAACTTGTAAACATTTCTTTTCAAGTCAGTTTAATAGGTTTCATTGGCTAAGCTGGAGGACTTCTTGGATCAGGCCCCGATCAAGTGTCCCCTTTGACCTTTTCTCCGTGTGCCGTTTTATGCCACATTGGGCCGAGCAACGCGCTCAGCCATATCGAGTAATTCGAAAGGCCAAAGAGTTCTGTCACACCTGGTTCTCATACCATTAGTGTCATGGGAACCATTCCCGTACTTTCAGTCGTTCCTACCTTTTACCTTTCCCGTTTTTTCAGTGCTGGAATTGGCTTACCCGGTATGCCTGTTCGATTGTTTAAGCGTCGATACCCCGGGCCATGATTTCGCCCATACTTGCCTTGTGCTCCTGGTTGCACGTTGGTTTTGCTTATCACTACCCAATCAGGTGAGTATATAAGTCAGCTAATGTCAAGGAATTTTCAGTTGCTTCTCTTGCGCGTCTGAGGAATATGAACAGTTATACCAAAGCTCTAAAAATAGCCGAACTATAGGCATTCCAGTCAGGTTTGACAAAATGTGCAACCGCGGGGATGACGTCAGAACCTTCTCCCCGGCTGTCAAATGTGACAGTGCATGTGTCACAGTTCTGGAACCTCAATATTTTGGTGGCAAGTTGGATGTGGTAATATAGTAATCAACGACGTTTTCAGGAGTTTTAAATGAAAAACAGCCATATATTTTCATCCGTGGTTGTGCTACTGATGTTTTTGCATGGGCTGCATCTCGACCGGCGGAAGTTGATTTTATGCATAACGGCGACATTTGCCTTTCTCTTCCAATCTCCGAAATATGGCCAGATGTGCAGGCAAACGATTTAGTGACTGTTTGTTCATGTACTAAAAACGGGTGTAATATTCATGACACAGTAGATTTAAGTAGTTCGTTGCTTCCAGCAAACTTATTAATAGCTTTGTGCTTTATCTTTTATTAAACCTGTTTACACAAACCAACAATAAAGAACAATATTTTCCTGATGACGGCTTATCGTTTCTGTTGCAGTTGTTTATCGTCTTGCTGGGTCATATTAGTCAGGACCTTTCCTAGCTTCTCATGAACATCGAGATACTTGGCGACGCAACGATCCAAACATACGGATTCCCCTTTTGTCAAGTCGGCTTCTTTGTAATGGGATGGGATGCATTTCGCTTGGCAAGTATTTGTCATTCTTCGGTACATATCAGACATCATCTCCATCTCAAGCTCAGCGACCATCACCATTGGGTCAGGAGCTTGGTTCTTGGCCATAGCTACACCCTGCAAAAATACGATATATTTACTGGAAGTACTCCAAATGCGACGCTCAGATTTTGATGAAACTTGGCAAAAATTTAGAGTAATTTTTTCTAAGATATATGCGAGAATCCTAGCTCGCGCTTTGCAGAAACAACGGAGATTTTTAGATTGAAAGTCGACCAAAATTTAGGACTTTTTGCCAAATTTTGGCACGAAAAGTTTCATGCCTATTTCTACCGTAAAGGGTAATGTTCCTATAAAAAATCAAATTTTTCCACACGAAACTGCCAAAGTTATGGCCAAAAAGCGTTTTTCTCTCTGACCGCTCTCCACGTTTAGCGTGCTATCTCGGCGGCAAAAATCGTTCGATATCACGGCGGCGCCCGCAAAGCGCGAGCTAAAACTTTCAGAAATTGATATTTAGTCCATACGTGTGTGCAAAATTTAAAGAAAATCTGGGCGTCGCACTTGGAGTACTTCCCTAGTTTCAAAAGTCCTAAAATAGCGCGGAATTTGTTAATAAATAAAATCAAGTAACGAATGAACGAGTTGGGTCCAAAATAGGCCGAAAAATTAAGGGTAAAAAAATTATGTCTTTGGGGTGCTTTTCGTCGCTTTGGGCAAACCGTAAACGTTCACGGTTCACGTGTGAACAGTTATCGCTAAAAAAGTTGATTTCAGAAAAGGGACAAAAGTTGCAGCCACACATGACACACATGTCAACTCTTTCATAAGACTAGAGAAACAGTTGACACAAATAAATTTCTTATCCCAAAGCTTCCGGCCAAAGATTTCTAAAAATTCTTAAGGGGGTAATTGTTTCTGTTGACTATGAAGAAGAAGGATTACAAGGAGTTTTCGGAGAATGTGTTCAATCAGAGCAAACACAACCGGAAAGTTCTCAGTCGCAGTCAACCTAAGAAGCGTGGTTTTAATTCTAAAACAGCCATAGAACAGGTTAAAAAAAGATGTGACGAACTGAATCAAGTAAGTCTTTATAGTTTGATTGTTACCTTTTAGACAATTGCATCAACTTATCAAAGATTTGATGAGTTCCCTCTCTCCCCGTTGACATTGAAGGGCCTGACCGACAGCGGATTTGAGAAACCAACCCCTGTACAAAGAGATTCTCTTGGTTGGTCTTTGATTGGGAAAGACGTTGTTGGATCTGCGAAGACGGGTAGCGGGAAGACATTGGCACTTATTATACCTGTAATTTCCTCTTTCTTAGTCAGTTGACCTTTTAGATATTGGAAAAGCTTTGGAAGAGTCGATGGACGAAGGATGATGGATTGGGTGCTCTTGTAATTGTTCCCACTCGCGAGCTGGCTTATCAGATATTTGAGATTCTAAATTCTGTTGGCAGTTTGCACCAATTCTCTGCCGCCTTGTTGATCGGAGGAACTGATGTGCAATTCCAAATGCAAAGAATGGCCTTTATGAACATTATTATTTGCACTCCTGGCCGGCTTTTGCAACATCTGGAGGAAAATTACTCATTTAATTGCGACCAACTGCAGATTTTAGTCATTGATGAAGCAGATAGAATATTGGATTTGGGCTTTAGAAGTCAGGTAAGCTTCAAGGAGGTAGATTTAATGCTTGGATTTTAGATTGATTCAATTGTGTCGTATTTGCCTAAAGAAAGACAAACGCTTCTTTTCTCCGCAACGCAAACCAAAAGCATTGAGGACTTAGCCAGAGTGTCGGTTACAGATCCTGTCTATGTTAGTGTAGACGAACATAGTGATGAAGTCACTCCAAAAAATCTCGAACAGGTTTGCTGGTTTACGTTTTATGATCTTAATTTGTAGAATTACATGGTCTGCAATGAAGAGGAAAAGATTAACGTGCTTTGGTCATTTTTGGTTAACAATAAAAGATCGAAAATCCTTATCTTTGTTTCGTGTTGTAAGGAGGTAAGTTGTATAATGATAGTGGTGTTTAACTTGCATTCTTCTAGGCGCGGTTTTTATCGGAAGCCTTTATGCATTTAAGGCCTGGAATTTCGCTTGGTGGTCTTTGGGGTACCCAAAAGCAGACCAAACGGCTCGAGATTTATCAGAGTTTCGATAGGAAGAAGAATGGGGCTGCTTTAATTTCGACCGACGTGGCCAGCAGAGGATTGGACTTTACCGACATAGACTGGGTTTTGCAATTGGACTGCCCCAACACAGTAGAAGATTACATTCATAGGTAAAAGGTCGTGCATTTTCAATGTTTGTATATAGGGTAGGAAGGACGGCAAGGATGAATAAGAAGGGCCGCGGTGTTCTTGTTTTGACGCCGACTCAGGAACAACCTTTTGTAACACAGCTTAAGAGTAAAGGTGTTCCGATCACACAGATCCGACCGGATCAAAAGAAGATTGTAGATATCCGGACCAAATTGATGGCGACGATAGCAAACTTCACCGAATTGAAGGAATTTGCTCATGGAGTAGGGTTGTTCCTTTAATGTTGTCTAATTTTTAGAGTATTGTGGCATACGCGAAGTCTATGTATTTTGCTCAAGACAAGGAAGTGTTTGATGTTAAGAGTATCGATTTTGATGCTCTTGCGTTGTCTTATGGATTGGCTGTAACCCCAAGGATTCGGTTTTTGAAAAAGCGTGGAATTTCTGTGAAACAAAACGAGCCGGATGTTAAAAACGAAATGTCCAAGAACAAGAAAAAGATGGCTTTACGAGAGTTATTGGAAAATGCGAAGAAAGAAGACAACTATGAAGTTGAAGGAATTGAAATTGGCGGGAGAAAGGAGCTTGAAGACAATGATGATCATGATGAAGATGTGCTTACTGTCAAGAAGAGGGACGTATTCAATGTTGCATCTGACGAACCAGAAGTGCCATTGCTTTCTACGACGGCTAGAAAAAATATAACCAAGGAAAAATTGGCGAAGAAACTTCTTAAAAAAGGAATTCCTTTGAATGTGAACGTAAAGTTTGACGATGACGGTACTCTTGAGGTAGATACTTTCTGCGGTTCTAACGGTCTTTTAGGGCGACATGGCGGTCAAACCGGAAGGATTGGATTTGGAGGAAGCGAAGAAAGAAATAGAGGAATCTAATCTTGAAGACAAGAAAAGGCATAAAGAACTAATCAAAAAGATGAGAAAGGTAGGGGTTATGTCATAGTAGTTAATTGAGCGTTTCTAAAAGTTATAAATCTATACATGTATTTTTAGGAAAGAAAATTGAAGAAACTAGGCAAATTGAAGAGAAAGGATGACGAACTGGATTTGGGAGGATCGGCGGATGAGGAGGAAGATCGGGACTTCTCATGGTTGCCAGATCCGGATGCTCCTAATAACCGGGTTGAAGATAGTGCGGAGGGCACGTCTGTTGACGAAACCATGGCTGAAGATACTGACGACATTGCTCCATCTGGGAAAAAGAGAAAACTGAACTCTGTACAGAATGCAGAGGAAGCGGCTCTGAAAATGATGAAGTTTTGAATTAATTGTTGGTTGTTATTGTTGTTGTTATAAAAGCTCTTTGTCTAATCATGGCCTACAGTTTTATGCTGAAAAGCCCAATTATAGCTTACAGTTTGACGCTGAAATATCTGATAATTCCTATCCCGCTTTATATTGCCTTTATTTGTTTAGATCATGGCGAAGCCCTTAACGGTCCCTGCAGAGTATGAATCCCGGATATCGGATGATGTGGAGTTCTGGAGCAGAATGAAGGCAGGTTTACAACTACACTGTGAAGCAGAATTATAACCGCGCTTAAAAAAACGGTGTAACTTTTATGGTTGTCAATAGATTTTGTCACAAAGAAAACTGCTTAAATAGGGGTTGTTTTAAAAATTTTCCGAGGTATGAAAACTACTCGAATGCATATTGGTGCCAATTACGACACAGCAAAGCGTTCTATACTTTTTTGAAATGAATTGGGCACCGACTTTTTCGATTTTGTTGGTGGTCGACATTTACGCGGGCCCGCGTAAATGCGCGGGTGCGATCGCCGAAAAGTGCATGCCGCTAGTGCAAAAACGGGAAGTCGCAGCGGCGAGGGCGAAAAAACGCACTGTGCAAATTCTACGGACTTTATGTCGCGACTAGTATGCAAGCGGTAATCTTTTTTTGGAAAAATTTTGCCTTTCAAAAAATTTTACATCGGTAGTTGTTACACACTATGATGTAAAATCTCTCTAATCGCTATTCCATTAGTTAACAGCATTAAAACATTCTCTGCAGAATGGTATTTGTTTTGTTTAAAGCCATCCACGTTGAGCAGAGTTACACAAAAAACAAAAAATTGAGTTTTTTGGCAGCTACTGTATATGTTTCAAGAAGAAATCAGGGGACGCGGTTTTTGCCGAACCCGTTATATCCAATACTGTAGTATAATTTGTGTTTTATAGGAAGTGGCCGTATTTCAAGAACCGGGGATAATATCCAGTGTCGACTTCTCACCTCAGAAACCCTACCATCTTGCAGTGGCCAATTCTAATAGGGTATGTGCAGTTATTTTTTATTAGTAATCATTTTTAGACATCTTTGTTTGACACTTCAATTACACAACCAGTATGGTTCCAAAGTAGATTCCGATCTAACGTTTTTGGGCTCAACTTTAGGAAGGATGGCAAATTACTGGGTAGGCGCGTACTTTCTGATATGTATTTGGTTTAGGAATGGGTACACTGGATGGTTATGTGCATTTCTTTGATGTCACGAAGAATAATATCCCTTCTCGGCACGCTCTTCGCGTGTTCAAGGCACATGATTCCGAAGTGAGATGTGTCCAATTTCCAACTAATACAAATAACTGCGCGACGTTTGGCGACGATGGAAACCTTAAAGTATGGGATTTAGCTCTGTCCAAACAGAGCGAACCTTTATATAAGGTTTCGAAGGCGCATTCTGACAGAATAAGAGCATCTGCCAGCTCCTCCCGAAGCTCCCATTTGCTGGCTTCTGGTTCGTACGATCATGTGGTGAAACTATGGGATACTCGACAACAGGATGGGTTTGCGCAAATTGTCATGAAACATGAAGCTCCTGTTGAGAAAATTTTGTTTTCGTCACATGACCGAATTATCATCAGCGCCGGCGGTAATGTCGTGAAGTTTTGGGATCTGGCTGCCGGTGGGCGACTGATTCAAACGCTTGAAAATCACAATAGAACAGTAAGTCCGGCTTCTGTATCTTATCTTAGATCTTTAGGTTACTTCACTTGCCTTGTCACAGGACGGAAAGTATTTGTTGACAGGAGGTCTTGATCGTCGGATTCATGTCTTCAGAATTGATCAAGGCATTTTTTCTATGGTATATACGATCTCTACAGCAGCGCCTGTTTTGTCCATGGATTTATCTGACAATGATGATTGTTTGGCGTTTGGAATGAACAATCTTCTTAATATTCAACGACGAGAAGTGAAGTTTAAACCAGCAACCGGTCATAAAAGGAACATTGTCGGAACCGGAAAACAATTAAAGTCCAAGAACCCGATTGTGCAATACCGGGAAGGAAATTCAGATATTAAACGGGCCGATTTTACTGCTAAACACGTTGAGCAGGTAAGAATTTTCATGCACATGCAATGATATTTTTCTGTATCTAATAATCGCATGTTTCCAGATTCACTTAGGACGGTTGGATGTTCTGTTACGTGGCTGTCAATTCAGAAGGGTGGTAGACCAAGTTATGCAAAATAAAAAGCTGAGGGAAGAACAACCCGAGCTTGTTGTTGCAGCTCTGAACCAACTAAAGATTCGCGGTGTCTTGTCTATTGCACTAGCGGGCAGACAAGGCCCGCAGCTTCGGCAAATACTTGGGTTTGTGTCGTCTCATTTCTTCAGGCCTTCATTCTTTGATGTTCTCTTTGAAGTGGCTCATGTTATTTTTAGTAAGTTAAAAGGGATTTATAATTGCAAAGTTTAGATATCTACGTTGAGGAAGACTTGAGTAAATCTGAGCTCTCCGCTGTCAGAGATCTGAGGAACCAGATAAAAGCAGAGATTGCTTGCCAACAGTCTATGTTGCGTGTTTGTGGAATAATAGAATCCTTGTGGAAATCGAATGAAGATACTGTGGATGATGAGGAAAGTGATGTGTTTGGAGAAGTGATTATTACGCCAAAAATCTACACTCTCAAGGGTTAATTTTTAATTGTTGGTTTTGTTGTTACTTGTTATAAAATATTTACATGGATTACTTCAAGGCGGTCAACTGTGAACACGGTTTTTATATCTTTGGAGTCTCATAGTAAATTTTATTGTCTTTTTACCTTCTTGTAGATGACTACGTTATTCCCCAGCCCGATTGATGACGACCAAGAAATGGAGGAAGTTCTTTCTTCAGAGGACGATGGAGATGACGTATGTGTTATGGACCGTTGCCATCTCTTGTTGTACGGTAATACATTTTATTTATAGGCGGTGAAAGTTCGAAGGAAACAGAAGAAAGGCGCACTCACCTGCGGATTCAAAAGTGATTTTGTATTCGTAGATGATAACATGGAGGAGGATGTGGATCATTACGACGGAATAAAGCCCTATCTGAAAAAAACGGTGGCCATCTCTTTGCAGGACAAGATAGATGAAGAGAGAAGGCGGCTTCAGATAGCTGATAAAGTGGTTTTAGGAGGGGCCGCTGAAGATGAGGAAACTGTTGTTAAAGAAGACGGAGGGCTAATTCAAGAAATGACTGAAACCTCGGGTACGGTAGCAGTTTTTAATCAACGTACTTTTTAGATAAAATCCGAGAGAAGCGAGTGAAGGGCATTAGTCAGAAGAACTTCTTTGATGAAGAATCAGAAAGCTTGACCAACGTGTCAGATTCCCTTAGCTTCTATGACATGAAATTGAGCAGACAAGTATTGAAGGTAAGGTTGGTGGTGTAAAATTTTATTTTTAGGCTGTTATGGAGTTGGGGTACAGTCAACCAACCCCAATCCAGTCCGCGTGCATCCCCGTTGCTCTTGCAGGAAAAGATATTTGTGCTTGTTCGGCAACTGGTACAGGAAAAACTGCGGCTTTCATGCTACCAATCCTAGAGAGGCTATTGTACAAGTCGAAGGGACAACGTTCCACTACCCGTGTTTTGGTTCTGGTACCTACCCGAGAGTTGGCTATCCAGGTCTTTCAAGTGTCTCGGAAGTTGGCAAAGTTCACCAACGTTGAGATATGTCTTTGTGCAGGTGGGTTAACTTTATTTGAATAATTTATGTAACTATCATGCTTGGAAGGACAGTGCCTAATCTAGCATTTGTGTTCTTTGCGAACGCTGTAATAAAACCGAGTGTAGCGATCATTATTATCGCACTGGAGTAGAATGCGTAGGTGTAGTGCCAGTGGTTGACCAAGTGGGAGGTGTAAATGGGAACGATGAAATGGACGATCCATTGCGCCATGGAAGCGAGTCCAGTTGCCTTTCCGAGATCTCCAGTTTCTACGGCGCTGAAATTATATTTACGCTTATTTATGCTTTCAACTTACGAGGTGATTTGGGTACAAGATTCGGCATATGCAACTGCGTAACTTCCTGTTTGTATGGCTGTAATGGCCAAGAATTGATAGAGACTTGTAGTGAAAGTAACGCTAGCATAACTGAACAATAGACCGCCAACAGCAATTTGTAACAGGGTCTTGGGGCTGAATCTTTTCTGAAGGAAAGGAAGAATGAAGAATTGAACGATCAGAAGAGAAGCTCCCATGGTGATGATAACCTCGGCACTGTCAGTTGTGCCTTTCATAAATGCGCGTAGCAAGAAATTACGCGCAATTAATTCGTAACAAACGTAAGCTGTAACCAGTAGAGCCCTCAGGATAAGACCTTCTCTCAATGCCGCATTTCTTCGAATCATCGGCCAGTAATCGTGAGGACGGAGTCTCGCCGAAGCTAATCGTGGAATAGAATGCGTAGTTGGAAGGAAGAACATCAATACTGGCAACAATAACAATGGCATCACACATCCATTGATAATTTGCGAAGTGCGCAGCGACGTCCACACGGCAACTTTAGAAGCTGTCATTGGTGCCAGGAACATGGAGATGGCCTGGAAAAATATTATAAGTTACGTTAGCATACCTGAGGGATCGTAAGAACCATTAAAGCGCCCGTCCTTTCTCTCTCGGTTGTCACAGTTGCTAGATACATTTCTGCCGTTGCATCGAGTTGGTATCCGACGCGGAAGAGCTAAACGAATTATAGTATTGATTAACCAATGGGAGCTTACTTGTATTCCAAAAAATGCCCACCATGTCCGGGTGAAGCCCAGTGAAACGTAATATGCAGATGTTAACAGCGTGGACACAATGAACATGATCTTGGGACCGATACTATCCGTCATTTGTCCGATAACAAGAGCGCCTACAGCATTGCAAAGACTACCAAAAGCTTGAATGTAAGCAAGGTCAATAATACTTAGAACTTCTACAGTATCCCATTGGAGAAAAGACAAGAGTGTGGTAGTCCAATTTGTGCCGAAACTCCATAAGCCGAAGATCAAGCACAGAACCGACATTACCTGCTGTTTGCGGTCCATGGCCACCATAATCTTCTGCAAAAAATAGAGATTAAAGAACGTATAGAAGAATAGAAGTTATACCCCTAATGATGATGTATAAACCAAAGGGGACCGATGGCGATTCTGCAAGCAGTTTTAGCGACGTGGGGAAGGAACACTGGGGAGGGTTGCTGGGGTTGCAAAGGAAGAGAACCGGATTGCTTTAGCCTGCTTCTTCTCCAATGCCGCGCATTACTCGTTCTGCGTGTGAAGAGAAGACTTTCCTTCGTGATGTTATTCTTTCTGTTTTCTCTACCCATCCCCGTTTGGGTTTTCATGACTGATCTCGTTCTGATGCCGCTTTATTGATGAGATTTTATCATCCAATAACCGTAATAGGAGGGCTTGTCAAGAGCGCTCTTTAAAAATGCTGTAAACATTTTTCTATTGCGATCTGAGGATTGAAATTCTTGTTGCATCGGCTTAATATATCGAGCGTTTTAAGCGTAAATCATATATTCGCGTATGCGTAATTTAATGAGAATTAATAGGATGCGCTTTTCACTGTCCGCAAAGAAACTTTTCGCTCTCCGCAAATAAAAACTTTTCACTGTCCGCAGGGGAAAAAGTTGCCGAAAGGTGCCCAGGAAGAAATCCAATTGGTGTTTAAAGTAACACGCACTCCTCTAATATACTAGAAAAGCAGATGTATAACCACATGTTTTTGCTTTAATAATCACCAATATCATGTACATTATCGTTAGGTTCTATCCTGAGTGCCTGCTTATCGCGTGAATTACTCGGAAAATAGAGCAAAATACATTACTAGATGTTTAAGCGTAATATCCGAAACTTTTACATCAAATTGACTGCTAAACATTGGGTTATACACAAAAAGAGTCTCATTTGCGAACAGTGAGAAGTTTTTTTGCGAAAAGAAGTAGTTCTTAATTAATATCCATTTTTAGGTGGTCTTGATTTGAAATCTCAAGAAGCTGCCCTGAGATTGGGTCTGGACATTGTTGTTGCAACTCCTGGGCGTTTGATTGATCATCTTCACAATTCTCCTTCATTTTCCCTGATAGATGTCGAAGTTCTTGTTCTCGATGAAGCTGATCGAATGTTGGACGAGCAGTTTGCAGAACAGATGAAGGAAATCATCAGACTTTGTTCTAAAACCAGGCAGACTATGCTTTTCTCCGCCACGATGACAGACGAAGTATGTTGCTCTGATTGATTATTATTTTTTTAGATTGAGGATTTGGTGAGGATGTCGTTGGAGAAACCGGTCAGGCTTTTTGTTAATGAGAGCACAGATACGGCTGCCAATTTACGGCAGGAGTTTGTCCGGGTCAGAGAAGGGCGAGAAAGCGACAGGGAAGCCATCGTTGCTGGTTAGTTCGAAAGGTTGCGGTTACATTTTTACTTTGTTTAGCTCTTGTCACGCGAACCTTCCTCGATCATACAATTATTTTTGTGAGGACAAAGAAGGATTGCGAGAGATTAAATATTTTGCTCGGACTTCTCGGCGTCAAAATTGGGCAATTGCACGGCGGTTTAACTCAAGCACAGCGTATTCATGCTTTGACGGCATTCAAGGCTGAGCAGTTGGATGTTCTTGTCTGTACTGACCTGGCATCTCGGGGATTGGACATTGAAGGAGTGCTAACTGTAAGCTAGCTGCCAGAAACTGTGTCTATTAATAGGTTATCAACATGCATATGCCAATATCGATCAAACCATATGTTCACAGAGTTGGTCGTACGGCTCGTGCCGGTAAAAGTGGAAGATCTATTTCTTTGGTGGGCGAAGATGATCGAAAGTTGATGAAGATGATTTATAAACAGAATAAGGGAAACTCGCTAAAGATTAGAAATATTACCGCAGGTGGGTCTGCTTGGATTAGTATAAAAGTGCTTTAGATGTTGTGGGCGCATACTCCGAGAGAATCAAAACTTTGGAGGATTCTGTTAGAAAGGTTCAGGAAGAGGAGAAGGGAGAAAAGGCTCATCGACAGGCTTTGGAAGTCTTGAATAAGGTTGAGGGAAAGTTGAACAACAAGCCTGACGAGAGGGAAGGTAGAGTCTGGTTCCAAACCAATAAAGAGAAGGCAACCGATAAGAGTAAGTTTATTTTCAGTCATTGGTTACCTTGTTTCTTCAGGGAAATTGAAGAGGGCTCATCAATTAATAAAACAGAAGGAGAAGGAGAAAGATCAGAAAACGGTAAGTCGTAATAATTCATAGCGTCATAGTCTGTGTTAAGCCAGAGGAAAGATTGGCCCAAAACACAGCTGCCTATCAGGTTCGCCGAGTTAAGAAAGAGAAAAGACAAAAGAGACTCAGAGCGGTAGAAGATGATGTTCCGAAGAAAGGAGGAGGCCGAGTAACCAAAAAGAGAAAGTCATCATTTGTGGGAGCGTTGACTAATGTTGACAGAAAATCAGTAAAGAATGTCAGATATGGGTGAGTAGTTTGTGATTATTTATGCTTTATTTGTGAGTTTTCTAAAGCGAATCTTTTTAGACCAGGAGACAAAGAATTTTTCAAGGCCAAGAAAGGCCTCAAGGAGAAGGGAGCTTTGAGGGGCCCGAGAAAATAATTGGGACTATATTGTTGCTATTATATTGTTGTTTCGGATTGTTACTTGTTAATTAAAGAAATAAGAGGACGAACAGGTTACGATCATCAAGCTTTTGTGCGTTTGTCTCTTTGTGATCATCATCAGGAGGTCCCAGGGAGTAACAGCGCGCATTTATTTGTTTCCACTCGTGACGTCTCCCGGGAACATTGCATGCTAGTTTTTTTCAAAATATAATTTTGGGCTACTTTCCATTATTATTATGGTTTGACCAAATTTTTGAATCGGGTTTTTGTAGTTGTGTGCAAGTAAAAGAAGAGAATTAAAAAGGTATTAAAAGATTTGCTTGCTGTAGAACATCTTCAATTTTTAAGAGTATTGCAAATAAATGATATGATAGCGCTGCACGCGAATCCAAAATAGAAGAAAAAATGTTATGTGTGCGTTAGGAGTGCATATGTGTAAGGCCAAACCGTTCTGAATTGGTTTCCGAGCAGTATTTTTTGCTCTTTTAGAAGTAAGGTTTTTTGATAAGAGACAACGTCAGAAAGAGAGGGAGAGCCCACGGGTGCACGTGACCAGGCGGTTTTTCACTTTCTCTTTTCCCGCCTCTGCTTTTTGTCTTATGTAACCTGTCCGAGGACGTTCTTCTCTCTCGATCAGCTGTTTTAACCTTACAACCAACAAACTCGTTTTTTGGAGGCTTTGGGGACCGTTTTAAACCGCGGACCCGTCAAGAATATTATAGTTGTCTTTCTTGTCACTACCATTTTCAGCGTCAACAGTTTGTTTATTTCCTTAAACGGTCAAAAAATTAAGAATTGTAATTGGAGGAAAATTACATAAATAATTTGCTTATAATTTGCCTTGTGTAATTCGTATTTACTATAAATCCTCTTGACTTATGTTAAGCATAAAAATGTTTTAAAATACAGGGTGCGGCAATTTTTCGGCCGGATTTTAATTTGCCATAACTTTTTTAGTTTTTGGGCAAATGTCAAAATTCTTTTTTTCCCTGAATCCATAGACAACCCCATTTTGTTTAATACCAAATATGTTATACCCGTTCATTAGACTACAGTAAAAATTCGAGACAAAGAAAAAGCTCTAATTTTCATAGCTGACAATGGAATTACCCCTAGTGCGACCCTCAGATTTTCCTTAAATTTTGCATATGGGCCGGACATAGGCCACACATCAATTCCTGAAAGTTTCAGCCCGCACCTTTCAGGGACGACCAAGATATTCAACGATTCTTTGCGGTCAGGAGGGCACATGAGTGGCCACACAGAAAGACTTTTTGGCTATATCTTCGCTAGTTTTGTGCGGAGATAGCTGATTTTTTGTGGAAACGGTATTCTCCGTGGCATGAACAGGCATGAAACTTTTTACGACAAAATTCGTAAAAAAAGTCATTTTTTCTGGCGATTTTCACACACGCCGAAAAAGCAGAGAAAACGACCGAAATGCCAATAACTATGAACTAGGTCCCTCTATATATAACATACTTGGTATTAAACAAAATGGGGTTGTCTGAGGATTCAGGGAAAAAAAGAATTTTAACATTCGGATAAAAACTAAAAAAGTTATAGCCAATTCAAATCCGGCCGAAAAATTGCCGCACCCTGTATGTAGTTTGCCCTGGAACCCATCAGAGAAAGCATACCGGTTGATGCTAAAAAGTGGTTGTTAAGTGTAAAATTTTGTAAGTTTGAGATAAATCATGAAATTGATTCTGTGGAAACCATATCATGTTTAGAAACGCGTAGTGCTGACCTTTAGTTCTCCCTGCAAAGCAGGACTTAAGCCCCTTAAAAAATTGCATGATTTACACTTCGAAATTATGTACAATTTACACTTTGTGACATCATTTGGTATTCTACAAGCTTACTCTGAAGAGTCCCAAACACCCCGATTGTCCGGACGCGGTTTTTATTTGCTTTATCGTTATTTTTGTTTTTTACAAAGATTCTATAAGCAGTACTGTGAACTTAAAATGTTAATCGTTGCAGATGCAAAGAGATGACACCTCAAATTCAGACAGTTCCTGGAGTCTTGTAAACGATGACTGTGATTTGGTGGGTTGACTAATTTTATTTCACTCTATTTAGATTGACGATACGGATTCGTTTTCATTGACTGAAGACTTGGAGATTGATTACTCCACCGATGATGACGTCAAATCGATTTACAGTGATGTCGAAGTCTGTGAGAATGATGTTGAAGATGAAATCGTGGTAGATCTGGGAGCAGACGACGAAGGAGAAAACAAAAGATGCCAGGGAGAAGTCGAGGAATCGGAAGAAGAAGATGAAGACGAGCAGATGAGTATCGTAGAGGAAGAAGAAGGACTAGAGGACTCGTGTTCCCGTTATTATGCATCTCCAGGATTAGTGGCAAAAAGTCTTGACAAACTCAGTAAGTTATATTTTAAGTTTTTCAATCTATTGTTCAGCATATTGTGATGATTCTGGATTGAATTGCCAGAGGGTAAGGGTCGCGACAACCTTTTCTGTGTTAGTTACAGCCATTATTGGGCTGGTGATTACATCCACCTGGAATATGGAGCAGTGTCTGACATACCCGGAAATGAATGGCGTAAGTCCGAAGCTATCGGGCTCTCTCTTGTTTGCCGTGTTAATACTTACTTTCCATTTTAGCTCGATATGGAATTGTTTGCGGCGAAAAAGAAACTTTTTTCGTGGAGATTGGATGACTGGGAAGAGGAGGAAAGACAGGAAGATGAAACCTTCGATTACGCTAAATCAATTGAACAATGTCAGATGAATCTGAGAGATGCCATTCGCACATCTGCGCAGAAATCGGCGTTGATGAGATATATGAAACTGAAGGAATTGAGGAGGGAAACCACTGTTCAAGGCCCTGTACCCCCGCCTCGAATCAGTGTGATGGGTGAGACTTCGCAGCCGTCGAAGTCTCCCCGTCCATGTTCGCCGGTGAGTGTCCATCCTTGTCATTCGTGGCCTCCTCATCCTCGTTTCCTCCCAACTACAGAGTCAGCTCCAGCTCCATGTTCCTGTAAGGTTGGAAAAGCAACAAGAAGGCCCACAAATGTGACGGAGCAATGCCCAGTCACGCTTAAATCAAGACAAAGTTCGATGAAGGCCATAAGAATGGGATATGACACATTTAAGTTGCCAGTAAGCGACTGGATGACAAAAAAAAATTTTTTTTAGCAATTTGAAATTTTGAAGCTGATGATCAACAATACGAACTCGCATCTGCCCATTCATCAATCAACTTACAGGAAGAAACAACAACAACGAAGGATAAATCTGAGACGTCGGAATATGCCTTCTTTTGAGTTCGGGGTCTTTCATGCCGAGGCTAAATGCAACCTGACTTCGGGCATTAAATCTCACCTAAGTTCGTCAGAACCCTTCCGAAAGACTCTCAACCCAAAAGAGTTTAATTCGGTTTGTTAATCCACTTCTGATTACTTTCACATTCTGATTACAGTACATTACTTTTCTTGATTCCATCCCCCATAGGCAATGTAAATTAAATTCAACTTTGTTACAATGTGAGCGATGTTGGTGGACTGGCTTCTGCCCCAAAATTAAAAAGAATTGTAACCTGAGGCGATGGCAACGGCTAAGAAAGATCGATCCCAAGGCTTTTGTGGAGAAGGATGCGGAATTACAGGCCATATTCAAGAAGATTGGATGGGCTTCATATTTGAGTAGGGCAGTTTACTGATTACAAAAAGTTTCAGCGAAAGTGAAAAAAACGAACGAAAGGATGTGTTCGCTGAGTACTCGGAGATCCAGCGAGATGATTCATGTTGAAGAAAATCGTAAACGGAAGAAAGCCCCTTCTTCGGCATTGTTGTTTAAAAGAGAAAATCACCGTAATAAGCTCCGAGAGGCCCCTTCAATTTCTGATTGGATTCTGACTCGTAGCACTCATCGGGCCTTGCTTCGAAACCGTCATTTGTTTAATGCTGCTGTGACAGTGTGATTCCACATTTTAAACAATGTAAATTTGTAAATAACATTTGTAGAAATAAAACTTTTTTTGAGGATAACTGAAATATTTTTTAAATATTGAACGTAACCGTTGCCTCTGACCTTTTAGTCATTGTTAGCAAAGCGACAGGTTGGGGATGATGGCAATGCGGTCTTTTGTTCATCCCGAGGTCAGGGCCTGTGTTAGAGAGTGGAGCGATGGAGGAGGCCGGCCAAATCATTACCCAATGTAATAAAAGAGCGACTCGAGAGTGCCGAGAATGGGCAGGGTTTCTGCGGCTCCTCGTTCCCCTGCCTCTCTCGTCTACTCGAACAGTCGACCTCAGCGCGAACTGATCAAGATGAGTGACCGGTCGGCAGGGGTCAGTCAGGTCGCGGGCCTACACACTCTCGCTTTTACTGCCGCCATTCAACAGATCGCCACGGCACCCAAATAGAAGGGCGGGTTGGTCTTAGATGGCCACTCTGATCGACGCCATCGCTCTCGCGAGACTGCGCCCTTTGACCTCGACATCATAACCTCTGCTGACCTCTTCTAACATTCCGCAACATCGTCTAATGGAATCAGTGGTTAACTTGGACTCTCTGGCTAATATGAAATTGCCGTGTCTTCAGTCTTCCACGATTGATATGACAACTGTGACGCACTCGTCCTTAGCCAACAACAATAAAATTCCATTGGATCTGTTGGTAAGTATAGAAGAGTGATTTGAACACAGTGCAGTTTCTATTCGCTTACCTCCATTGTTTACAGTTTGCCTGCTTGGAAGAGGCCTCAGAAGGTGAAGGGACGGTGGCAAAGAAGTTCCGTCTACAGCCGAATCCGATCAGTCCTTTGGATGTGGCATCAAGTGCCTCATCAACAAGTGCTTCGTCGACTCAACACAGCCCAATCCAGCTGAATACGCCCGGTCGATTCTTCTGTTCCAGGTCGAGGAAACCGCCAGAGCCGATCCCGAGTGATAAGAAAGTGAGATACCAAAAAATTGACCAAATAACGCTTAGCAGATTATTGGTCCTCCTTTAATATTATTTTCATTAGTAATTCAATCTTACTGTCAACATTTTTTTCTATCTGTGAGGATTTTCAGGATCAAGCTTATTATGCAAAAAGAAGAAAAAACAATGACGCGGCCAAAAGATCCCGAGATGCGCGACGGATGAAAGAGGAACAGACTGCCAAAAGAGCCGCCGAACTCGAACATGTAAGCCTTAATTATCTACCGCTACCTCGGTGTCGGAAAGCGGAGTTTTTGTAAATTTTATAATTATTTTTGTTTCCAAGTTTGATTGATTTAATTTAATTCAAGTGTTTTAAAATTTTAATTAACTTTTTCAAATGTCATCCAACTTGGTATTTAATAACCAACATTGATCAACACCGTCATTGGAAAAAATGTCTTACGAACTGTCCGAAAACGGTTGAGACAACGAGTCTGTAATAATCATGCTCCATTTCAGGAGAACCAAACTCTCAAACAGCAATTACAAAGTCTTCAAGAACAACTCTCCTACTACAGAGCCCTTAAAAATCTGAGTGATCCAACAGAAGAAAGGGGGAATGGAGTTCAGAAAGCGAAGGAGGAAGTCCCGGAGATGGTCAAATCAGAGCTGCTCCAGAACACCTCAGTTTTGCTGAGTCTTTTGAACAACGCTTCTCTCTTTTCTCTTCAAAGGGATGAAAATTTGGGCTCTAGATAGGTGATCCCTTGGTCTTTGTATATACGCTGGTTATCATGACAGCGGGTCCCTCAGCTCTCATTTTTTATTCTTTGATTTACATTGCAATGGTTTCAGAGATAATAAATATGCCCTTGTCCGTTGAGTACACGATAGTGTGGTCACAGAAACTCAGGCTCATTCGCACTTTCCTGCATTTGCACAAGATTGTATTGAATATCTTTCCTCTTTATGTTTCTGCTGTTCCTAAGGAAGTAGATTAGAAGGCCGATCATGATAAGGATTAGAGCCAAAGCAGAGAGCGACACCAGAAATCTCATCCAACGAGATTTCTCCTGTTCTGTTTGAAGTACCTTTTGTAACGACCATCCCTTGTAATCTGCTGGAGTCGCACAAAAGGTGGTGTTCTAAAAATAATAAAGTTATGACAAAGAAGATGCCTTTACCAATCTTTCAATGGCATGTAATTTATCCAAATGATCCCTTATGGAAGTGCAATCAAGTGGATTATTATGCAAATCCAGTTGTCTAGGTGAGAAATGTAGGTCCATTAAAGAGGTCAGATCATTGCGGGCCAAGTTGACGATCTCCAAACGTCTGGAACAGTTCTTAGGAATATCTAATCGAGTCAGGCGGTTTTCGGAGAGATCAACGCTTAGGAGATTTGGCGACTGAAAAGCATTCAAACTTATTACAGATTTCCATCGTTACTTCTCATTAAAAATTTTTCTTGTCCGACAACGATTACTGCGGAAGAAATTGTTGCGCAATACGCATAAAACCAAAAGAAATGAATAATAACCACAACATACTATAGCCTATTTTCACACAAAATTTTATACTTTTTTTATACAAAAATAAGATGACATTACATATTTATGTAATTTTTTGTAGGGTTTCTAAAAAAATGCGCTATACGAAGTGTTGCAGAAACAGAACCGCTGCAAATTAACAGACAAACACAAAGAGTTATTACCTGACAGAATAGAAAGCCGATGTCTTCTTTAAGATTATTTCCCCTCAAATAAATGTTCTGAAGTTGAGGCAAAGGAATGGAGAAGATGTCCTTGAGGACCTTCTTGTTATTCACTCTCTCAGCATCAAAAATATTACTCAAATCTATGGTCTCGAGAGAGTTTTTTAAGGGACTCAACGCATCTGGATCTACTTCTCTGATAGGATTGTTACTAAGATATAATCCGCGGATATTTGGCATCCCAGACAACGACTGGGCCCCGATTGAAGTGACCCTGCAGTCAGTCAGGTTGACGATCCGGAGTCTCTTGTGGGTGTAGATTCCAAAGATATTTTCGTCGGGAAGATCCAGGAATTCAGCCCCATTTACTTCCAGGTATTTTAAATTCGGATAATTAATGGTGCTGATCTTTCGGAAAAATGAAACGTTATGATTATTCAAGCTGGCGCATCGTATCGTCTCCTCATTACACTGACAACCAGTTATGCATTTTGTCTAAATAGTGCCATAAAACCGAGAATATCAGGTATTTGAATATACTAGTGATAAAAACTTACCGTGTGATAGGCAACCGCAAAAGGTAAGAGGAAAAGAAACCACATGAGGAGGACAGAACGCGGAGAAATGGCTTGAAGCCGCGCTGATCGGGCGCCAAAAAGGGAAGAGAGCAGCCATATACGATCATATCTCGAGGTAATATACTATAACATAAGAGCAGAGAAATCATGGCATTCCGAATAATCAGAGTAACCTCGTATCCAATCCCGACTTTGTTTTGGTGAAATTTAATTAGAAAAGCGAGGAATGTCCCATTTTGGCCATAATTGGGTGCGGAGTTTAGGGTCGGGGGATTCAGTGGAGCTGAATGAATATCTGGATTCAATTAAATCTTTTTCACAGAATTTTTCTTTCCCGAGATTTCGAGAAGCTTACAATTTACTACCTCGTTTTTATAATGAACTGGCTACTTTGTCCCACTTTAATGACGTATTTTTGTCACAGTATCACAGAAACTTGGAGTTTTAGAATTACTAGGGATCCCGATAATTTATTCAAGACACCGCGAGTATTTAAATCTTAGATTCGGCGCATTTCGAATTAAAATTAAACCAGGTGTTCCGAGAAACGTGCATGTACTTACTGTAAGGAAAACGGAAACCTGAATGAGAGATGAATTTCAAGACTACGGTCATCACTCGGGAAGGGGAATGAGGCCGGGAAGGCTGTAAAATGTTCCAATCGGCACATCTGGAGGCTGAGGGGATCGATCGGTCCTCTCCTCTCGCTTTATCCTCCCTTATCCGGGCCTGGCCGCTCCCGAGTTTTTGTTGATTTAGCTGTCTCGATCCAACTTTGGACCGCTGACGATCCCAAGGTCGCTCGATCCATCGCGTGGCCGTAAACTGGGAACATCTGTCGCGACTTCCCAGGCAGCTACCGACCCTTTCTTGGCTTATGCACTTCCACTTTTTAACTCCTGAGCGCGTCAATTCAAAAACAATTTGGAGTGTCTTCTTTCGTTTCGATGACCGGCCTTCAGAAGGCCACGCCGTCCGTTCTGTGCAGATTTTAGGGAGTAAATTATCCTCCTCAATCCCAGCGCAATAATGATCGAAGACGATCAAAGTGGGGCCTGCTTAAGTTCGAAGGGCCGGCCTTGGAGGGCGGCTTCCCTTTGCTCTTAATAAGGTTATGTGTTTACGAGTCTCGGCCCACACACTTCCACCTTTTTGGGAGATTTAATGTCACCGGAGCCAGTTTTCTTGAAAGGCGTGTGCTGCGCGAGCGTCATGATCTCCTGGGGAGTGCCAATGCAGACAGTAGGGAAGGGAAAGGAGACCTCGGCTTTGATGGAGTAGGGAATATGAAAAAGGAGTTTAACTTGGCGGTGGTGTGGAGCTTTGATTACATTTGTAATTGCATTACTTGCTTAATATGCTTATTCTCCGAGTCTTGTGGCGCTTTTGGTGGAATTACAAAACTGCGCGAAGAGGGAAATGATTCCCCTCGCTCTCCGACTAGGCCACATAAACGCGGTACCCTTATATGAGGGGGCTCTCCGGAACCGGGCTTTGCTCTCTGCTTCTCTCCTTTCCGCGTCCTCTTTCTGCACGCCGATTCAGCAAAAAAATAAACGCATATCCGTTCGATCCCTCGATCTCCGTGTTGGTGCTGGGCCTTTCTCGAATTCTCCCTGCTCTCAAATTGTCATTATTATAGTAGTCGAAGCTATTGAAAAATTGATATTTCAGGCATGTCCCCTTTCCATTCAAATGTTGAGACTAAGGAGAACAAAGACGTTGTGAACAGTTCATCATCCTCCTTGAGTTCGGTTCCTTTTTATCCTCAGTATCCCAATTACCCTTCTAATGGCTATGAACAACCTCCATCTTTGTCGGCCACTGATGAGAACAACTCCTTCCCAGAGGGTAAAACGGAAACGGCATCGTCTCAAAACGATCAGAAAATAGTAAGCGATACTGTAAATACAAAAGTAAAGATTTTTTAAGTAAAACGTATTTTTTCTAGGCGTTTAAAAGCGAGGAAATCGATGCGAATATCCAGAAGCCGTATTCATCCACGACCGTCATGTCAACGGGCCAGCCTTTATCTCAGCCGACCACAATTTCAGTGCCAGCTCAGACTACCGTAATCACCCCCCATCTTTATCCGGACCCCTCGTTGATCCCTGAAATCAGTTCTCCATCCGTTTACAACTCTTACTCCACACTTTACAGTTTTGCGGCAGGGAGTTCGAATGATGTCAATTACTGGCAACCGCCTCAGGGCATCTATCCCGGATCGGGTGGACCCATTTCAAATTATAATAGTGTTCTGTTGCCTGGAGGGGAAGAGTCATCCCCCAACTATCCAATCATCCCAGCCGACAGCAGAGTCGATCCATCCAGTCTGCCGTCCAGCTACATTACACCGGGTTGTCCATGGCCATACCCTCCATATTTGGTAGGAACCTCACAATAATCTTTATTTTTTTATTGTTTTAAGCCGGATGGAGCAGACCAACTTTCTTTGCCTTATATTGCTGATAATGGTTTCTATTCACAGCCAGGGCTTCCAGTAGGTTACTGTAATTTTATTAAAACATTCCCAGAACCCAACAATCGACCCTCATTACATTCCCAACGGTACTGCAAGAAATCTTGATCCGTATGTTCCGACTCCCATTGGCGGAGATCAGCCCGACCTGCCCATGATTCCACCTAATGAAAGTCTTCCTTCCTTTAGTTCTCCTCCCAATAGAATACAAAATACTTCAAACATGATGTATCCTAACAACGTTCTTAACCAAAAACAGGCAAGAAGTCGACGATCACGGAGTCTCAAAGACTCGGACGATGATAGTAGGTCGGAGGACAAGGAACAAGAAAGACGGCATGCAAACAATAATCGAGAACGGTAACAAGAGAGGTTCAGATGATTAAATTCTTATAGGATCCGAGTCAAAGACATCAACACCGCTTTCAAAGAGCTGGGCAAAATGTGCAGTCAGCACATCCCAAATACGAACGAGAGGAATCTAACCAAACTGAGTATTCTCCATCACGCTGTTCAGGTCATTAATGGACTAGAAGGACAGGTATGATCATTTTTCTAACAATGCCACAACAAATCTTGTTTTAGGTCCGTCAGCGCAATATGAACCCTCGTGCGAACTCGATGCGTCGTCGGGAACAGGCCCAGCAATGAATAAAATCACCTTATGTCTGAAATATTTGATAAATAAACTTCTGACCAAATAAAAGATTGGTTTTATTATTAAAGAGCGGCGAGGAGGTCAAGAGTTCTTAACAGGGAGCAGAGAAAGAAAAGGCAGTTGTCGTCGCTCTCTCTCTCTCCTTCTCACGCGACAGCACGTCGTAAACCGCGTCTCTATTCAAACGCCCATACCTCCCGCTATCTGGAAGGGGCATTATTCACTTTTTTGTTAGACCGGCATTCCTGATCAAGACCAGAAAGTTTTTTCTTTTATTTGAATTTTGTTGGTTGTTTATGTAGTCCGAGGTCTCAAGATCGTTTATATGTTTCTTTTGCAAATTATGACGCTTCAGAGAAATGAAATGTTACCTTCGAATGGCTCCTTGACCCCTCAGCCAGGCTACAAAGATCGAAATGAAATAGACTCATCTTCCTTAATGTCGAGGCGGGCAAGGCTATCAGAACCATCAACATCATCCTCCAATGTTGTAAGAAATTTGATAATGCATACGAAATAGATGCACATAAAAGAATAAAATGCAAATTCCAGCATCCCGGGCATCACAGGGACAAACTGGATTTAATCCGAGATTCCCTTAAGCCTTTCGAACAGAATCTAGAGCCAGGGTACAATGTGTCCTGCAATGTGCATAGTAATCATTATCTTGGCCCGGCAACATCAGCCCCGTTGTTTCAAGTTGAGCGGGTTGATGATAACCATCGAATTATGATAAATGCCTTGACGCAAGGTGGATATGATCCAGTAAGTGATTCAATTCTTTTTGTTAAAAACGTTTAGGAATCTGCTTATTATGCTCTCAAACTTGTAAACTTCCGGAGTGTCACTGATGCGGCAAAAGTTCTCACAGATCTGAAGCAGGTAATGTCTTGCCTTCCTTACTAACAATAAGTTGTTTTAGAAAATATTTTTAAATGGAAGTGCCAATCTTCCTTCTTGTTCGTATCCCCAGACGGGAACAAAACCTTCCCCGCCATATTATTTGTCATCAACCAAGTCGCTGCCAACGACTAACGAAAAGGTCCTCTCCGTCAATGGATTCGAACCCTTTAACTACGAACCCAATGGTAATAGTAGAAATTATTGTAAAGTGGAAACATCAAACACACGTAGAGATATGTAAGTTCAGTCAGCAGATACGACGATTGTGCTTTTAGAGAATATCCAAACATATATTCCGAGGAAGATTACAGAACCAGGGATTCAGAGGCCGTTCCCATTATCCGTTCGAGATTAAATAAACCCCGCTCTTACCTTATGTATCCATATGATATATCCCCTCAATTGCCATCGCCTTCTTATAAATGTCCAGACGTCCAACAGATGATTACCCAGACTTCTAATATCAAATTGGTAGAAAAAGAGAGTTCGAAAAAGCGATCCGTCTCTCCATTACCGTATTCCGTTAGCACGAAATTGAGGAAGAATTGTTACGAAAAGACCCTCAAGCCCTGCAAACCAGCAATGTTTCGATTTTTTATGGAACAACACACTGAGAAACTGATCCAACAATGGAAGGAAAGGAATCAGAGAGCTTTGCAGGTATCTCATAATTGCGGAATATTTCCTATAATTTACAGTTGTCAAGAGACATGGAAGCAGTCAACTTTTCTGAAAACATGAGAGAAAAAATGGTCAGGTTCCTCAGACAAAAAGAATCCCGGTATATCAGACTTCGACGACAAAAAATGAACAAAAGTATGTTTGAGTTGATCAGACATATTGGAGTTGGCGCTTTTGGAAAGGTTACCTTGGTTAAGAATGTAAGCTGATACTGTCTAACTTGCATGATTGGTTTTTAGAAAGAGACGGGTGAGATTTATGCCATGAAGACGTTGTCGAAAGAAGACGTCATCCAGAAACAACAGGCTGCCCATGTGAAAGCAGAACGGGACATCTTGGCCGAGGCTAACAGCGATTGGATTGTCAAGTTGTTCTTCTCCTTCCAGGACTCCCAGAACCTGTATTTTGTAATGGAATATGTTCCCGGAGGCGATTTAATGCAACTTTTGATCCAGAAAGGCATCTTCACTGAATCCCTTGCACGGTAAATGAAGAAATGAATTAATCATTCCTCTATAGAACGTACACAGCCGAATTAACTTGTGCTTTGGAATATGTTCATAACCTCGGATTTATTCATCGTGACATCAAACCGGATAATATCCTGATCGACAAGGAAGGACATATAAAATTAACGGACTTTGGGCTCTGCACCGGACTCAGATGGACTCACGACAAACGGTAATGCAAACAAAAAAGTCACATTTTTGTTTATAGACATTATATAAGTTATGATGAACCGAATGGGATTGGAACCCTCCATAACAGAGATGATTCCCTCAATTCGAATATCGTCCCTGGTCGACAGAAACCCAAGTTGTTAGAATATCGGCAACATAAGAAGAGGAATCAAGCCAATTCCATGGTTGGGACTGGAAATTATATGGCTCCAGAAGTGATCGAGAGGACGGGCCATACACAGTTGTGTGATTGGTGGTCAGTGGGGGTGATCTTATACGAAATGGTGTTTGGAAGACCTCCATTTTTGTCGGATACAGACAATCCGATGGACACTCAACACATGGTAATTGGACCCGATTTCAAGCAAGATATATAATTCTGTTTAGATAGTGAATTGGAAACGGTATCTCGACTTGCGAAACCCGAGGTTGACCCGAGAATGCATAGATATCATTGCTTGGTTATGTTGTGAACAGAACAACCGATTGGGAAAAAACGGGGCTCTCGAGGTCAAAGGACATCCTTGGTTCAAAACAGTCCAGATTGTAAGTTGTCGTTTATCATGCATTCATTATCTATTCGTTTTCAGAATGGAATTTCCCTGCCGCCCATTGACTTTGCCCGCCTCAGACAGATGCGTCCCGAGTTCGTTCCGCGAGTTGAGCACGCTGAAGACACCTCCAATTTCGATACCTTCGAAGTAAATTCAGAAGAAATCTTCAAAGAAGGCGATACTGGGAATGCCTACAACCCGGCGTTCTTTGACTTTACATTTCGTCATTTCTTTGCCAGTGATGGAATCAGCAAAGGTCTTCCGCTTCCTCCCACAAGTCGTTCCCAACAACGGCCAAGTCTCGCCAATCTTCTTCGAAATTCAGAAACTCAAAACGGAAAAGTCGGAAGCAATGATTCTGAACGAATCAATCCCCATATTCCTCATCCAATATTCAACAAACCCTCGAGGAATGGGCCCAGTTCCCAGCAGACAGCCCTCTATTCCACCTACATGAACAGCTCGTCAAGTACTACAAGGTCGATTCAGAAGTATGACACGCCTCAAGAAGCCGATGAGGATGACATGACCAAGCGATGACATTATACATTTTATAATGGTTTATTCCATCTGAACGGGTGTTTGTAAAGTAAACAATTTGATTGCGAGTTTAAATGATATGCCCCCGGCAAGCCCGATCGAATCGAAACCACAATTTCCTTTCTCCCAGGTGTCGCCTTGTTTTTGTGTTAACGAGAAGGAGGGGGGGCATATAAACATATAATGCATCTGCTTTTCGGCTTCTACGAGCATCCCTGTTTTCAATATGAAAGAATTCTTTTCCTTGATGGAAATTATTGATGAGGAATAGGGCTTTCACTGCTGCTTCGCCATGATCACACTGTCAGTGCGACGGTAACAATGACTAATGAAATTTGAGAAATAAAGCGGTAACAATGACTAATGAATTTTTGAGAAATTCTTTACCCATCCGTGTTTTGTAAAGGTTCTCGGAATGTTTCGGTTTGCTCTTTTTGTTTGTCTGGAATAGCGGTGTTCCCAGGGAATGAGGTCGCCGCCTGAAGTTACGTTGACACGCGTTATTCAACCCGAGCCCGCAGGCCCAGTTCACGGACGGTTTTGTCGGTTAGCCCTCCAATTTTTTAGGTCTTCCTTTTTTGGAATGAGAAATTTTACAACAAAATAAGGTAATTAAAAATCGATCAGTCGAAGTTTTCGGACATGAAATAAGTTGTGAAAATATCAATATTCAAACGAGAGCGTTTTATTTGCCGTGAGAAACCGTGCGTTGCGGGCGCCAGACCAAAATATTTTTGTTTTGGATGCGCGGGCTGTCTGAGCTGAATGCCGTTCAACTGATCGGAGACTCAGAGTCGGGGCTGCCTCGAATCGTCCTTGGCTCGGGTTTTTGTCGGAATTTCGTTGAGTTGGCCGATCTTTCTCGCCTTATTTTTTTTGTCATTTTCGTTGATCGTCTTAAAAAAAATCCAAAAAAAGCAGCCACTATATGGCGACACTTTTCTCTAGCGCATTTTCCCTCGGGCGATCAAAAAGAAAAACGCTTTGATCCTGACTGGGGATTATCCAATCCGCAAAGGTTCATTTCTGCCCTGCGGACCTGTTGTGAGCCCTATGTCGTTTCGCGTCCGCATTGTTTTTTACTCATTATTCCGTCTATTTACTGAAATTCGGGATTGGAAAACTTATTTTTGTGCACATTTTTCTCTCCGCTCTTTATTCCTGCCGTTTGAAACTGAAGATTGGCGATAGAGGGAATGGAGAAGAGAAAGCCGAAACTGAAAGCCAAACGCATTTCAGCTTACATCTATAGTAAAAAACATGGATTCCGGCAGGAAAAATATGTTAGGTATTGATGAACTAGGACCGGGAGGAACAGACAGGGGAATGGAATGAAAGTGATTAACAACGAGGAAAAAAGGCCCGCGGGTTTCTTACCGGAAAGCGGTGAGGCCGACTGGATTTTGCGTCCACGGGGAGAACAACAGAGGCGAGAGAACGGGGAATTCCTTTAGGGAGCGGGTTTCTTCTGCACGGGCCGCGTTGTTTGTTTGTGTATTTATTGTGTTTACAAACAACTAATATTCCAATTATTTCAGATGTCAGACCAGCCGAAACCCCCACGTTTAAAGTCAAATCCAGGTAGTTTGTTTTTCAATCTTAAAATGGAAGGATTTAAAGATCATGCGACGCACCGATAGTATTTAATTAAACTCATTTTATAAATTAATTGTAATTTGCGCAAATAGCCAAATCGCCGCATGCATTGCTAAGACAAAAATAATGTAAACAACTTGTTTCAGACAACACTCTGCAAAACCCAACATGGACGGTCACACGAAGGGAACGGACGGGAACTTCCCCGCTACGGCTAAATGATGAAAGTGGGGCCCCTTACTATCACACACGGACAATCACAACCACAGAAAGGGTACAGATATTACAAATGCCGTTAGATGTCAGTGATCCCGACTCATCTAGGCTTAAACTTCTTTCCATGTCTCCCACAGGTGAAGCTACCAGATCCGTTCACTCTACAACAACGACGATTAAAGCTGGCGGAACGCCCATCATTTCTGGTCTAACAGGACAAGGAGTCCCGCTATTTAACGGCATATACATGAACCTTCATCAGAGACAAACGACGACGGTTATAACGACAACAACTACTACGTACAAAGTCATGGAAGATGGAAGTGAAGAAGAATACGAGATGATTCAGGATACGGAAGATAAACAGCTCACAATCGACCTTCCTCTTGATGTTGCCAGTCCTGGAAGGCCCAGCAATGTAAGCTATGTAATGATAGGATCAGCAACCGACAGCTCGCTGTCCCCAATAACATCCGAAGATGACCAACACAGTCGCTATCGTACATCTGAATCGACCGAGGATGAAACGGAAAAAGGCGAATGGGGAGCAGTGTCAAGCCGCGCACGAACAGGACGCACGCTTTTGACTAATAGAACGAATACATCAAGCTCAGGATCATTAGACGAAACGGACTATGTTCACTTGTACAAAGATGGCACTGAATATGTAATTTGTCCCACAGACACGCCTATAGACATCCTTTATACAAACAGAAGAGAAGAAATGGGAAATAATAACATAACAGATTTCGTCACGGTGTACCATAGCGGCTATTCTGGGCAACGGTCGACAATTTACGACGACCAAATGTCTCCATCGACAAGCAAGGACGATGATAACAACTTTTTACAAAGTGGTCGCAGTGACATTGAGGAGCCCAAGCATG